TGTTCTTGTCGCATCTTTTTTCTTGGGTACTTGGGCCACCTCGGCCGGCGCTGGACGGAGCGAGTAGGAAGAAAGACACGTCCGCCGATTTTTTTGTTCGTAGATCCATCAACGTACGTTCGTTCTTCGAACGCGTGCATCATCGTCTAGTTTAGAGCGAGTGAGGTCACGTTATTGATCATGCGAGCTGTACGTGTACTCCGCCCCGCGTTAGCGCAGCGTAGCATGCCGCTGGCGTCTCGTCCTACAGCTGTGGCTGTCCGTGCGATGCAGACGCTGCAGAAGCGAAGGAGCGCCTTGCCTGCCACGGTCCCTGCTGTGGCGCGCGTATCCATGGTGCAGCCGACACGGCCGTACTCGACGGCGCCAAGTGAGCTGCCACTCGCGACCACTGTGCAGCCCAGTGAGGCGGATGTGGCGCGTCTCTTGCGCCAGCGCAACGTCGGTATTAGTGCGCACATCGACAGTGGCAAGACGACGCTAACGGAGCGTGTGCTATACTACACAGGCCGTATCAAGGACATTCACGAGGTGCGTGGTCGCGATGAAGTCGGTGCGAAGATGGACAGCATGGACTTGGAGCGTGAGAAGGGTATTACGATCCAGTCGGCCGCCACGTACTGCAAGTGGAAAGCGACGCCGCCTACGGAGAAGAGCAACATGACTGGCGATGCGGCGGACGACTCGGCCATGACGCAGAAGAAGGAGGACTTCCACATCAACATTATCGACACGCCTGGGCACGTCGACTTTACGATTGAAGTCGAGCGTGCGCTGCGTGTGCTGGACGGTGCTGTGTTGGTGCTGTGTGCCGTGTCCGGTGTGCAGTCGCAGACCATGACGGTGGACCGCCAGATGCGCCGCTACAATGTGCCGCGTCTCTCGTTCATCAACAAGATGGACCGTGCCGGTGCGAACCCGTGGCGCGTGGTCGAGCAGATCCGCACGAAGCTGCGTATGCCTTCGGCAGCCGTGCAGGTCCCGATTGGTGCAGAGGACAACTTTGAGGGCGTAGTCGACCTGGTGCGCTGGAAGGCCGTGTACAACGAAGGCATCAAGGGCAATGTCGTGCGGGAGACGGACGACATTCCCGAGAGTGTGCTGGAGCTTGCCAAGGAGAAGCGCCAGGAACTGATCGAGCAGTTGTCGGATGTCGATGATGAAATGGCGGAGATCTTCATTGAAGAGCGTGAGCCGACGCTGGATGAGCTAGCTGCGGCGCTGCGTCGTGCTACGGTGGCCTGCCGCTTCTCGCCTGTGTTCATGGGCACTGCGATCAAGAACAAGGGTGTGCAGGCGCTGTTGGATGGTATGTGTGCGTACTTGCCGAACCCGATGGAGGTCCCGGCGATTGCCAACGATATGAATGTAGCCAAGAAGCTCGCTGCAGAGGCGAACCAGGAGGGCCAGGATGCGGACGCTGTCCAGGCCGCGGCGCAGGCGGGCAGTGAAGTGCAGTTGGTGCCTGCCTCGGAGGCGCCGTTGGTGGGTTTGGCGTTCAAGCTGGAAGAAAGTCGGTTTGGCCAGCTGACCTACATGCGTGTGTACGAAGGTACGCTGCGCCGTGGCGGTATCATCTTCAACTCGCGTACGGGCAAGAAGGTCAAGGTCCCTCGTCTTGTGCGTATGCACTCGAACGATATGGAGGACGTGAACGAAATTGGCCCTGGTGAGATTTGTGCCATGTTCGGTGTGGAGTGCTCGTCGGGCGACACCTTTACGGATGGCAGTACGTCGCTTTCTATGTCCGCGATGTTTGTGCCGGAGCCTGTGATTTCGCTCTCGCTCTCGCCGGAAGGCAAGGACGCCAGTGCGAACTTCTCGCGAGCGCTGAACCGTTTCCAGAAGGAGGACCCGACGTTCCGTGTGCATGTGGACGCCGAGTCTGGTGAGACGATCATTTCAGGTATGGGTGAGCTGCACCTGGAGATCTACGTGGAACGTATGCGCCGTGAGTACAACGTGCCATGCACGACAGGCAAGCCGCGTGTCGCGTTCCGCGAGACGATTTCGCAGCCGGCCAAGTTCAACTACACGCACAAGAAGCAGACGGGCGGTGCTGGTCAGTTTGCGCGTGTCATTGGTTACATTGAGCCCATGCGCATGGACGAAGATACGGGCAAGGACACGGCGTTCGAGAACGCGGTCATGGGTGGCAACATTCCTGCGAGCTACATTCCTGCGTGTGACAAGGGCTTTGGCGATGCGCTGGAGAAGGGTTCGTTGGCGGGCTACCCTGTGTGTGGTGTGCGTATGGTGCTAGAGGACGGTGCGGCGCACAGTGTCGACTCGAGTGAGCTGGCCTTCCGTATCGCGACGATTGCTGCGTTCCGCGAGGCGTTCCGCGAGGCGGGTCCGTCGATTCTGGAGCCTAAGATGACCGTGGAAGTGATTGCCCCGGTCGAGTTCCAGGGCGCTGTGATCGGTGCGCTGAACCAGCGTAAGGGTACGATTGAGGACACGGAAGTGCGTGAAGACGACTTTACGATCACCGCCGAGGTGAGCCTCAACGACATGTTCGGCTTCTCGAGCCAGCTGCGTGGCCTGACACAGGGCAAGGGTGAGTTCTCTATGGAGTACAAGAAGCACGAGCCTGTCATGCCGAACGTGCAGGCGGACATGGAGGCGGCGTACCGCAAGAGTCTCGAGAAGAAGTAATGGGTTGGTCGATTGTGCCTTACTGCGCCTTCTTCGCCACGGAAGGCGTGAGCCGGTCAATCGCGACAAGGCGCTCGACCAGCGTAGGATGACTATAGTGATACGCGCTGTAGAGTGGATCATGATGCATCGATGACAAACTGATGTGAGTATGACACAAAAAACGTACTTGTGAATGGACAATTTGACGAGCGCGCGCTGCAGCAGCGCCGGGTACGCCTCGGCGTCCTGCCCCTCCACCGACGACGGCGCGTCACTGTAGCGCGAGAGCCATGCACGAACTGTGGCACTTGGCTCCGCGGCGGGCGTCGGGGTGGATGGCTGCGACGTGAGCAAGGCGCGCGCCTCTTTCTCTGCGGCTGTCGGCGCAGGCCGCGTGAGCTGCGCAGCAAATGCATCAGCTTGGTACTCGTACCGACGCACGACGGCGTTCAGTGTGAACTGCAGGAGCGCATCGGCAGGATGCACGACCAGGTTAAACAGCTCCATACCGATCATCACAGGCAGGTACGACACACGAGCGACCGCCGACGCATCACTACCGAACCCAAACGCACGGAAGAGCGACTTGTTGTGGATGAAGACAGCAAACACACACAAGTTCAAAAAGATCTGCACAAACGACATGGCGACCAGCTTGGTCGGATGACCGTACTTCCAGTGGCCCAGCTCATGCGCGAGCACGGCCTCAATTTCATCCGGCGTGGACTGCTCGATCAGCGTATCGTAAATGACAATGTGCTTGCTGCCGCCAGGCACAAAGCCGTAGAAGTACGCATTCGAGTGGCTACTACGCCGACTTCCGTCGATCATGTACAAGTGCTTGAGCGGGAAATTGAGCTGCTTCGCAAGCGCTGTCACACGATCACGCAGCACGCCCTCAGGCAGCGGCGTCAGCTTGTTGAACAGCGGCTGGATGAGCGTGGGGTAGATGACAGAGCCAAATACGACGACTGCCATGATCAGCAGCACAACGTACACGACAAACTGATCCCCCGCCCACCGCACGACCGTGACAAAGAGCGCAATCAGTGGCACCGTAATGATCCCGGTTAAGAGCAACTCCTTGATCTTGTCGGTGAAAAACGTGCGCCATGTCAGCTTGTTAAAGCCGTGTCGCTCCTCAATCACAAAGTTGCGGTACGCGCTGAGCGCCATAGATAGCGGGAGCTGCACCAGCACAGACACCACAGCATTGGCGCCTGACATGGTCTGCTCACTGTGCGCTACGCCCAGCTTGGTGAGCAGCATCCCACTCCAGACCCAGATGTGCGCACTCCAGTTGTAGTGTACAGAAGCCAAGTTCACAACGTGATTCAGGCCGTCCGCTATGAAACCAAAGCGGGCCTTGTCGCGTCCGTACTTCTGGCTTTTCACAAAGTCCTCGTGCGACACATGCTCTATCAGCGCCTTGGGCGCTGTGCGCCGGTAGTACATCAAGTACTGCCGGAACGACACGTACGTCTCAAAAAGGTAGACGACCCATAGCAAGCCCTCGACTAGGCCTTTCCAGGGGATCGCAGGGTCATCAAGGTACTGCTCTGCGGCATGGATACCGGCGACCAACGTTGGCGGCAGCGAGAACATAGCGAGATGGAAAGGCCGACGAAAAGCACGCGCGACACGTTGCCCTTGTGGAGGTTACGACTACACGTCCGTCCCTTCCTAGGAACGCCAGTGACGGCATGTCTATAGGCCTACCAGAACCCATCGTCGTCGTCCAGACCACGTGAGCCTTTGCTCGCAATGGCTTGGGCTCGATACATACTAGCCACCTGCTCGGGCGTGGTCGAGAGTTCCGGGGGTTTGTCGTCACGAATGCCTGCGTGAGTGTGCAGCGGTACGTACGAAGGAAGCGGGGGAAGCGCAGCGAGATCCCACGTGCATCAATCATGCCGCGGGCCGCCGTGTAGACGGGGCTGAGGGACAGATCGGCTGTGAGTACTTCCCATACGATTTTGGGCTCGAAGAACACCTGGTCGTGAGCCTTTGGCCTGTACATACGTCTGGCTTGGCATCGCCCAAGTCATAGTACCCCTTTTTCACCGGGATTTCCAGCTCTTTGAGCGTCTGGTAGTGCGACTCCAAGTCAGCTTCCGAGAAGCCCGTGCCAATCTGCGCGTAAGCTCGTGGTGTACGTACCTTGCAAATGCTCTGGTACGTCTCGCTGTCCTCGTCGTCTGTGGTCAGTCGTCGCTGGTTGGCACATACAGCAGGCCAATAGGAACTGGTGGTGAGTCGTTGTCATACGTACAGCGCCATACACGTTGGTACGCTTACCACGGCCATAGTAGCCGCCAATCACCGTAAGGTCCAAGCTATCGCCTGTACCGCTAAGGTAATCCTTCTTCAGCTTGAGCCAGTTGATCGAGCGGCGGCTGGGCTCATACGTCGCGTCTGCGCCCGTGAGCATCTTGACCATGAGACCTTCACATCCATGCACGATACTTTCGTCCAGGAACGTCTGAATCTCCTCCGTCGTCGTGCAGTCGCGATGCGTTGCAAAGTCAAACTCGTTGACAACCGGCTGGAAATGTTCCCGCAACAGCTCGCGCCGTCGCTGTAGCGTCTCTTGCAACAACGGCTCGCCGTTCAGGTACAACAGATCAAAGCCAAACAACTTGACAGCCACACGCACATCTTCTGCTTTGACATCTTTGCGTTTCCGCCGGCTCAGCTCCTGGAACGGTAGCAGTCGGCCAGGCGCTTGCTTCTCGTCCTCTGCCGCTGGCTCCCATGCCACAGCTTCCGCATCCAGGACAAAGCTGCGCACCGCTGGCGTCAGGCAGTGTGGGATCTGGGCTACCAGATCGGGGTATTTCATGCTCATATCCTCCGAGTTGCGGCTGAACACACGCACTTGCAATGTGCCATTGTCTGCATAAAAGCCATGCACCTGCGCTCGCTCTCCATCGTACTTGTATTCACACGTGAATGTCTGCCCTTCAAATCGGTCCAGCACCTCGCCAATGGCTTTGGTTGGCTTCGCCAACATGGGCTTCAGCGGGATGCCAGGTGTAAGTTTCAAGTGCGCACGAAGTCCCTCGGGGCCATACTCGAGCAGCGCAGGAATCAGCAAGTCATACGAAGGCAGCTCACTGAACACAGCCTTACCAATCAATGTGCCCTGCTCCAACTGCGCTGCCAATGCCTCTTCGTCCATACGCTTCGCTTCGCTCCCCAGGCGTACGAGCATCACAGCTTGCACTACAGCAACCAAGACTGTTTTTTCTGCAAGACCAATACGCAACTTGCCTTCCAAACTGCGAATCAAGTACTTGCTTTCTTCGCCTGTACACGCCGCCAACAGTCGCTTGATGATGCCCAGTTTCTTGTCTTGCGACTTGGCGCCTGACGCTGCGGCAATCTCCTTCAGCTGCTTAAACACGGAAGGCACTGTCAATGCCTGCGCTGCAAACATCGTGGGCTGGTGCTTCTTCGAAGCGAGAGCAACGAGGCCCAAATCGCCTTTGGCCTCAAAGTCTTTTTTGATACGTGCCATTTCGCGGCCCGTGCTCTGCGCAATGGCCTTGATAAGAAGGCCTTCACCGATACCGAGCTCCAGTCCTTCGTAGTCAGGGCATAGTCGATTGATGCACAAGTACACTGACGTGAGTAGATTTTCTTTCGCAGCTAGGAGAGGCTGGTGCTGCGCTGTACTCTGCTTCATCACTTGCACGAACAAATCCGTGACGAGCTGCAGGATTTCCAGTCGCTTCGTCGTCGCTTCTACTTTGCTGAACGTGTCCACCAATGTGGCGTATGTGATCGGCTTGCCTTTCGGCACAGTCGTCTCGCCTGCCACCTCTTTTACCTTCGCCGCCACGGCGTGCGCTTCCATGGCAGCCAGCGCTTTGTCACGCCCCTTGTCGCTTGGGACTACCGAGGCCGACGAAGCATCCTCATCCACACGAGCACGCTTGGTCGGCGGTGCACCGACAAACAGTGACCTATGTGTCAGTGATAGCGAGTACCTACTCCAATGTCGCCTGCTTCGGCATCGCGTGAGCGTGTCGAGTAGCGCGTCGCGTCAAGCCTCAACGGCGCAGGCTCACGGCACGTGACACCAACACACCGCCGTCGCCCAAGCGCACGACGCGTGTGTGTAGCTCACGTACACCCCAAGCACGGGCGGGCGGTATGCGGATTGAAGAGCTCATCATCGATGGGTTCAAAAGCTACCCTGTCCGTACGCATGTACGTGGCTTTGATCCCAGCTTCAATGCGATTACAGGCTTGAATGGTAGTGGGAAAAGCAACATCCTTGATGCCATTTGTTTCGTGCTTGGCCTCACGAATCTCAGCTCGGTATGTATCGTTTGTATCTAACGCCAGGTGCGCGCCTCCAATATCCAGGATCTGATCTACAAACGTGGACAGGCTGGTGTGACGAAAGCCTCGGTGACGATCGTGTTTGATAACAGCGATAAGGAGCGCTCGCCTGTGGCCTTTGAGAACTACCCTACTATTACGGTGACCAGGCAAATCGCCATGGGCGGTGTGTCCAAGTACCTGATCAATGGCCACAAAGCCACGCAGCAGGCCGTGCAAAACCTGTTTCAGAGTGTGCAGCTGAACATCAACAACCCCAACTTCTTGATTATGCAGGGCAAAATTACCAAGGTGCTCAACATGAAACCAGCCGAGATCCTCTCGATGATTGAGGAGGCTACTGGTACACGCATGTTTGAGGAGCGCAAGGAGCGTGCGTTCCGTACGATGGCCAAGAAGGACCAAAAGGTGCGCGAAATCGAGACGCTCCTGGACGAGGAAATTAAGCCGAAGCTCGATAAGCTACGCGAGGAAAAACGTGCCTTTCTCGAGTACCAAAAGGCGTCCTCGGAACTTGAGCGTCTCAATCGTCTTGCCAAGGCGCATGAATGGCAGGTTCTGCGATCCAAACTGGACGACCGACAGCAGAACGGCATTGAGCACACGCGCGACCTCATCCATACACAGCAAGACGAACGCGCCGCCTGGGTTCAGCATATGTCCAGTCTGCAAGCGGAACTAGCCAAGCTCGAAGAACGTCGTGCCACTGAACTGGCCTCTCATAGCAGTGCGGATGGCCGCTCTGCGATGGAACATGCCAAGGCATTGGCCCATGAGCTCGTGGAGGCTACTGCGCAGCAAGAGTTTCGGCAGACCGCATACGAGGAGGAGAAACATCGTGTCGAGACAGAAGAAGCTGCGCTAGCGGCAGCGCAGGCAGCGTGCGAGTCGCAACAGCATACCTACGATGATCTTGCCTCTACGTTTGTCGAGTTCAAACGTGAGCACGACGATGCGAGTGCCAAGTTGGCTGAGCAAGAATCGCTTCTCCAAACGCTACTTACCGGTATGTCGACCGGATCCCAAGATACCCAGGGCGGCTTCCAAGGACAGCTGGCCAAGGCGCGGGACAAAGAGGCTGCTGCGCAAGCGGAGATTCAGCAGGCGCGAATGCGTATAGCGCACTTGGAGAAGGACATCGAGGCCAAATGTCCGCAAGTGGAGCGCGAGGTGAAAGAGAATCGGCAGCTCACTGAGCAGCTCCACAAGGCGCAGCGGGCGGCGCAACGGGCCAAGGCCGACGTCGATGCATTGGGTTGGAATGCGCCGGCCTATGAGCAGCTCCACAAGGAGCGGCAAGCCCTGCAATCGCGGATCGAGGCCCTCTCACAACAGCACGAAGCCATGCAGGAGCGTTTGCCTGCATCGTTGCAGTTCACATATGCGGATCCAACGCCGAACTTTGATCGCTCGCAAGTGAAAGGGCTGATCGCAAGTCTTGTCCGTCTCGATCCGTCACGTACCAAGTATGCCACTGCGCTGGAAACATGTGCAGGTGGCCGTTTGTACAGCGTCGTGGTCGAGAACGAGCAGGTGGGCGCTCAGATCCTGGCAAAGGGCCAGCTGAAAAAGCGCGTGACGTTGATTCCTCTAACCAAGATCCAGGCACAAGTCGCGCCGCCTGCCAAGGTGGCTGCTGCGCAGCAGCTTGCGCCAGGCAAAGTGGATTTGGCCCTCTCGCTCGTGGGCTACGAACGTGATGTGGCCAAGGCGCTCGAGTACGTTTTCGGCACGACGTTGATTTGTGCAGATGCAGCCACCGCGAAAAAAGTCACGTTCGATGCGGCCGTGCGGATGAAGAGTGTTACCCTTGAAGGCGATATCTATGATCCTGCAGGCACACTGTCCGGCGGCAGTGCGAACACCGCGCAGGCCAACATTTTGCTGCGTATGCAAGAGGTGGCACAGGTCGCAGCCGAATTGCATGCCCAGCAAAGGGCACTGCACGATACGGACGCTGCATGGGCGAAGCTCTCGGCGGAGCACGAGAAGGTGCAGCGCCACGTCGCTGCGTACGAGCTGCAGCAACACCAAGCCGACCTCCTGCAGCAGCAAGTGGACGGATCACGTGCCGCACAGCTCCAGGCGGAGATCGAGGCGGGTCGTGCGTCGTTGGCAGCGCTGCAAACGTCGATTGAGGAGGCGCAGGCGCGGCAGGCTGATGCGGCGTCCCAGTGTGCCCAGTTGGAGCGCGATATCGCAGAGCTGGGTACGAACAAGGAGGCCAAAGTGAGTCGGGTTCGCGACGAATGCAAGGCGATGAAGGCGGCCCATGCAAAGCAGGCTCAGACTTTGAAGAAGCGCCAGGCAGCCCTTCGAGCAGCTGAGCTCGATCTCGGGCAGCACCGTATGGACGCAGAAGCAGCGCAGGAACGATTGACCGAGGCACAGACAGCGTGTGAACAGGCGCTGCAAGAGCAGCAGCAAGGTGCCGCTGCGTGTGATGCTTTGCGGCAGCGCGTGGCTGAGGCAGAAGCGAAGGTCGAAGCAGAACAGGCCGCGCTCTCGGCGTTTAGCGATGAAGTGAATACACTTCAAGCCACGCTGGCAGCGAAGAAAGCGGCCATTAGTGAGGCGGACGTTGCTATCAAGCAGGCGCAGCGGGACTTGGAGCAACACGAGCAGGTATGCCATGCGATGACCTCGCAGCTGAGCGCGCTAGAGGAAGACTATCCATGGATTTTGGACGATGCGCCGCTTTTTGGCCAGGCAAATACGCCGTACGAGTTCAGCAAGCACAACATGAAAGATGTTCAGCAGCTGTGCAAACAGTTAGGCGAGCAGCAAAGCGGCATGAAACGGCGTATCAACCCACGTGTGATGCATATGATTGACAATATCGAGAAGAAGGATGCGAGTCTTCAGAATATGCTCTCGACTGTCCTGCGTGACAAGAGCAAAATCGAGCAGACCATCGAGGAGCTCGATCGCTACAAAAAGGATGCACTGCAAGCGACATTTGAGCAGGTCAACCGCGACTTTGGTTCCATTTTCGGCGAGTTGTTGCCAGGAAATTATGCCAAGCTCCAGCCCCCTGACGGTGCCGACATCACACAAGGTCTCGAAGTGCGCGTTCGGCTAGGGCAAACGTGGAAACAGAGTCTGACTGAGCTCAGTGGTGGTCAGCGTTCGCTGATTGCCCTGAGTCTGATCATGTCGCTCTTGCAATTCAACCCCGCGCCTATGTACATTCTCGACGAGGTGGACGCCGCGCTTGATCTGTCCCATACGCAGCATATTGGCCACTTATTCCGCACTCGTTTCAAGGGCTCGCAGTTTATTGTGGTGTCACTCAAGGAAGGCCTATTCTCCAACGCGAACGTGCTTTTCCGCGCGCGCTTCCGCGATGGAACTAGTGTCGTGGAACGCATCGCCCAAAAATCGCATGAGGCCGAGAAAGAGAATAGGGCGTTGCCGCCGTTGGCCAGTAGTAAAAGGGCGCCCCGCACCCAACGCCCTCCTGTAGCGCCATAGTGTACGTTCTTTCCCTCACTCCACTTTCTGGTCAGGGGACATCTATGCCGGGTCTATCAGGGGCATATTCCGAATTATTTCAGCCAGCCACCTTTCTTCTAACCTGACGCCTGTGTGGGAGACAGTCCGTCACCGAGTGGTCTGCTGCCTGCCAGTATGTTTTTCTCACCTCTCCTTTGTGAGGCGTTGCCTGCCGCCTCTGATTCTATACGGCCTGAGAAGGGCACATCGAGTTTCAATGTGCAGGTACGTGTTCTTTTCTTCTCGGGGACGACTGACCATCGCTAGATCTACACGACCAATCAACCTTCCTCCGCGCTGGCCAACAAGCTCAAGCTTTTGGTAGAGGCGTCCAAGGCGCCGAACGGTGCCGTGCACTATGAAAAGAAGAGTGTGCCAAGCTCGGGGCTTACACGTCACACGATCTCCATCAAAGATCAGGGTGCGGTGCTGCCTGCCGCGTCTCCTTTGACGTCTACCCCAGACCGCACGAAGCCGTCCCGCTCGACGCTCCAAACGACGCTGCAGAATCTCGGTCAGTCAACGTACAATTTTGTGCTGGGTGGTATTGCTGGCTCCGTCGGTGCTACACTGGTGTACCCCATCGATTTGGTCAAGACGCGTATGCAGAACCAGCGCTCGAATGTCGTCGGTGAAGCGCTCATGTACAAGAACTCGCTTGACTGTGCTAAGAAGGTGTTCAGCAATGAAGGTTTCCTTGGTTTCTACTCGGGTCTTGTGCCGCAGCTTCTCGGCGTGGCGCCTGAGAAGGCCATCAAGCTGACGATGAACGATTTGGTTCGTTCGCTAACGAAAGATGCTGATGGCCACATTTCTATCGCCGCCGAGGTCCTCGCCGGTTCCGTAGCCGGTGGTTCTCAGGTCGTGTTCACCAATCCCCTGGAGATCGTGAAGATCCGTCTGCAGGTGCAGGGTGAGGCTGCCGGTGAGGCGAAGAAGAGTGCGATGCAGATCATTCGTCGTCTCGGTCTCTTTGGTCTGTACAAGGGTGCGGGCGCTTGCTTGCTGCGTGACATTCCGTTCAGTGCGATCTACTTCCCTATGTACGCTCACTTGAAGTCAGACCTGTTTGGCGAGGCGCCAGGTGTGAAGTTGTCGTTCGGCCAGCTCATCTCTGCCGCGTCGATTGCTGGTATCCCTGCCGCGTTCCTCACGACCCCGGCCGACGTGATTAAGACGCGTCTTCAAGTCGAGGCTCGCAAAGGTCAAGCGACGTACAAGGGTATTACGGACTGCTTCTTCCAGATCCTTAAGACCGAGTCGCCCACTGCGCTCTTCAAGGGTTCGCTGGCTCGTGTGCTGCGATCGAGTCCGCAGTTCGGTGCTACGTTGGTGACGTACGAGTACTTGAAAGCGATGATTCCGTCGCCGTTCGCATCGTCAGAATCGCGTCTCCCTAGCGTTATCAACTCGGAAGACTACCAGCGCACGCAAGAGGCGCTGAACCTCGTCATGAGTATCCACAAGCTCGCTCGTTCCTCGTAATTTAGTCCGATGTACCGGCACCGCCTCTTTATCCTTCTCATTTCTCCTTGTCCTAGTAGAGCTTTTTTTCTCTGTGGTACCGCATGCGGTCGATAGAACACACACAGGCCACAACACATCTGCCTATCCTTCCCCACATACACTCTGTTTCTCACCCAGTTTGCATTCAGTTCCCTATTGGAAATGACGGTATCTTTTGGTCACGTGCTACTTACGAGCTTCTTAGAAGCCCATACCACCCATACCACCCATGCCGCCCATGCCGCCCATGCCACCACCCATCGGCGGCGCAGGCTTCTCCTCCGGCGCATCCACAATGCAGCACTCCGAAGTCGTCAGCAGCGAGGCCACACCAGCAGCGTCCTGCAGGGCCGTGCGCACCACCTTAAGCGGGTCCAGCACACCAGCCACAATCAGGTCCTTGTACTCGCCAACGCTCGCGTCGTAACCAAAGCCAAACTCGCCAGGGTTCTCCAGGAGCTTGCCGACCACGACCGAACCCTCCTCACCAGCGTTCTCCACGATCTGGCGAGCAGGGCGCGTAAGCGCATTCTTGATGATCGAGACACCGAGCTGCTGGTCAAAGTTGGCAGTCTTGATGGAGTCGAGCGCCTTGCTGGCCTTGAGCAGAGCCACACCACCACCAGGCACAATACCCTCCTCCACAGCGGCACGAGTAGCGCACAGGGCATCATCGTAGCGGTCCTTCTTCTCGCCGACCTCAACCTCCGACGAGCCACCCACGCGAATCACAGCCACACCACCGCTGAGCTTCGCCAGACGCTCCTGCAGCTTGGTGCGGTCGTACTCCGAGGTGCTCGGGTCGTTCATCATCGAGCGGATCTGCTCGCAGCGAGCAGTAATGGCATCCTTGTTGCCATCGCCGTTCAGGAAGATCGTGTCCTCCTTAGTCACCGTCACACTGCCCGTAGTACCGAGCATGTCCGGCGTAGCACGGTCCAGCTTAATGTCGAGCTCCTCCGAGAACACCTGGCCGCCAGTGAGGATGGCCAAGTCGCCCAGAATGCTCTTGCGGTTGTCACCAAAGCCAGGCGCCTTCACAGCGCACACCTGAAGCTGGCCACGCAGCTTGTTGAGAATGCACGCAGCCAAGGCCTCACCGTCAATGTCCTCGGCAATGATGAGCAGAGGGCGGCGGGCCTGCACAGCCGTCTCGAGCGACGGAAGAATGTCCTGCAGCGCCGAGATCTTCTTCTCACTCAAGAGAATGAGGGGCTTCTCAAACTCCACCTTCTGGGTCTTCACGTCCGTGATAAAGTAGGGCGAGATGTAGCCACGGTCGAAGCGCATACCCTCCGTAATCTCAATCTCATCCTCGAGAGTCTTGCCCTCCTTGACGGTGATCACACCCTCTTTGCCGACCTTCTCCATAGCAGTGGCAATCAGCGAGCCAACGTGCTTGTCACCGTTGGCCGAGATGGTAGCCACCTGCGCAATCTCCTCCGAGGTCGTCACCTCGCGCTTGTGGCTCTCCAGGAACTTGATGACCTCGTCAACCGCAGCCTGGCTACCGCGACGCAGGTCCATCGGGTTGCAGCCAGCCGCGACGTTCTTCACACCCTCGGCGTAAATGGCACGAGCCAGCACCGTGGCGGTGGTGGTACCGTCACCCGCCAGCTCGTTGGTCTTGCTCGCCACATCCTGCACGAGACGAGCACCGAGGTTCTCGTACTTGTCCTTGAGCGTGATCGACTTAGCCACCGTCACACCATCCTTGGTGATCTTCGGGCCACCAAACGGCTGCTCGATAATCACGTTACGGCCCTTGGGGCCCAGCGTAACACTCACGGCATTCGCAAGAAGGTTCACACCCTGCAGAATCGCAGCACGACCTTCATTCGAGAACTTCACTTCCTTGTGGCTCAGCACGGCCGCCGAAGTCGACAGCGCGCGCGAGTTCAGCACGCGCGGCACACGCGCAGCTGCAGTGGAACGCAACATAGACATGGTTCTGTCAGTTGAATAGGAAGGTGAGTGGGGCTACGTATGCGACTCTATTATGCACGCATCTGACGAAGTTCGCCGAATGCCCTAGAAGAATTGCGTATAGCAGCCTACTAGGCCGTGCTACGCAGCCACTCACTGTGCGTCTCCACGTTCTGGCGTAGCTAAGTGGAATGAAACGGAACCGAATGGAAATTATTTCCTCGGCCGATGAGAGATTCGCAGCATCGTGCTGAGGATACAAGACGTCAGGGCGAGTGCGTCATACGCGCTTGCATACTTTGTGCATACTATGGTACGTCGCCAAGGTGGCGGCAAGGTCGTTGTAGCGCCTTGCTATGCCATGACAGAATACTAACCTCTTGCAGTCGGCCTCTTCGATCCGTAACATCAAGTCCGTGGTACCGCTGCTTGACCGCGTTCTTGTGCAGCGCTTCAAGCCGGAGTCCAAGACTGCTTCGGGCATCTTCCTCCCGTCGTCGGCCAACTCTTCCCCGTTGCCGGAGGCCTCAGTGATTGCCGCTGGCCCTGGTGCGCCTGACAAGGATGGCAAAGTCGTGCCGACCAGCGTACAGGCGGGTGACAAGGTCCTCCTTCCGTCCTGGGGCGGTAACTCGATCAAAGTGGGCGATGAGGTACGTGGACCAGTCTATATTGCTGGCTAACCAACAGGAATACCTCCTGATCCGTGACTCGGAGATCCTGGCTAAGATCCAGGAGTAACTACCATTGTACTGCTCAAGTAGAGGCGTCACCTTTGTACCGCCTACGATGCTAAGGAAATAAAATCTTACAAGCTGATTCGGCCCCTGGGCTGGCATGTGCGATCAAATTGATGTCCGATCTGTCTACGGATATCCTGGCTACCATAGTAGTTCCTACAATGTAGACAGACGTTCTCCCGCTGCGCGAATCTGCTGCAGTTATACAGAGATTGGCTTGATTTTGAAATGCAGCGAGATCAAGCTGAAAATCAGGCACTAATTTATGTTAACGGAGAGCACACGTACCTTAAGATCTTGCACGAGATAATACATGACACGTAGTCCTTCTGGATCTTCGCTATCCTGTACTTCAACGAGCGATCCAAGTTTGGCCGTCTCACTGTAAGTCTATTGTGACGTACCTCAAACGAAATATGCTCCTTACCGAGCCGGACTTCCAGCTCTTGACGTCCTACGACGTTCTTTTTGGGCCACTTCGCGTCGTCTTCCCTAACACGTTAGCCTGCTTAATCCATTCAAACGTACTTGAGGATCTCACTATCTTCCACGATCCGCCGCAGCTCTTTCACAACCAGTGGACTCACCCACACTGTACGTGTAAGCACGATTCATACATACTTTCTTTCCGAATAAGCGAGTCATTCCGGTAGTTGCTGTTGTTGGCATAACGCAGACGTCCACGATCGTATTCGAACTCTAAGAACTCATGACCATGTCGGCCTTGATGCCCTGTACTGTATATAAGTATATCGAGAACCTCCTGTACGTACTAGTATCGCACGTAAAAATCAGCGAGGCTTGGTTCCCCCGCGTCTGCGTTGGTCGCCATCGGTGATGAGAGATAGATTGACATGGCACGTGGGAGTGCTCGTTGATGTGTGCTTAGAAATCTTACTTGATCCATTCATATGCCAGATTTTCTGCTCCGCGGCAAAGGCAAAATCTGCGCGCACCTGGTGCGAAGCGCGTGAGGAATTCGTGTCTCCTGTCCATCAGCGAGCGATGCAACAACAAGGGCATCGCGAGCCACCTCCTCTGCTTCGGAGGAAGACAGAGGAAAGTAGCTCTTTATGTCCTTTGGAGTCCTCCAGCGTGCCTTTGGCACCTTCTCATTCTATGGATGGCATCCATTTGCATGACCGATCTCGTATCCATAATCTTACATGGGAATTGGACGGTGCCGCCTCGACAAGTAGCTCACCAGGCGGGGGCGGACGATCTCGGCATATGTCTCAGCCAAGCATGGGTGTATCGGGGTCGATGGCGATGTCGGAGCTTCCTCCTCCTTACACAGTTGTGGATGAACGTCATTCGCGCCACAATTCCATATCAACGCCATCCTCGGATCGGCACTCACTGCTTCGCACTGACTCGTATTTATCCGATGCTCATTCCATGTCATCGCTAGATCTTTTTGTGTCCGCTGACGATTTGCGTGCGCGCCCGTTACGGCAGCGTTTCAAGCCCTCTCGGTCTGGACTGTCTGACTCTCATCCAGTATCTTGTTCCACGTCTGCGTTGCACTCTGAGGATGAGCTTGACTCGATCCAGCGTTCAAATCCATCCAACAGCGGATTGTCTAGCATGGTCCCTTCGTTCCTTAGTACTGACTCACCACGCCCCTCCCGCGTGGAAACGACGGAGGAAGTCGAGCCCCTTCAGCCACTGCCCATGGCGTTTGCCATCTTGCTTCACTCTTTGCGTTTGTTTGCTGTGGTACCTGGTGCGTATGGAACGATGATCTTTTTGCGGCGTGCCTATATCGAGGGTAGTCAGGGACGGTGGCTGCGTGAGTCCTACAAGGACGAGAATGCTAGCGCCGTGGAGTACATTGCGTCTATGCTTTGGACTGTATGTACTGCTTTCCATGCCCTCTCTGTGACGACTCTTTTACTACGTCGCTGGTTGATTTATTATACTATCATTCCTACCCTCATTCGCCTTGTCACTTTCCAGTCCATTTCATGGTCGCTTGTGCGGCTGGTGTTGTATGCAAGTGGCCAGTCTCAGCCGCTTGGCGCATGGGTGGCCGTGTCGACGTTCACGGCCTTCTTCGAGATCTTTGCCCGTTGGACGACCAGCAACATTACAGATATCGACGAACCCTCTTCGCATGACCATGGTCACTCTGACGTCAACGAGACGGGGATTTCGGACGGCGAGGGGCTCTCGCACTTTGAGCATGATGATATGGACCATCAAGACTTGCAACATCCTTGGGTATGGCAACTCAGCCGTGAGAGACGGTACCGTTTGTACAGGGAACAGGGTTTACGGTTCTTCCGTGCCTTGATGGGTGGGCCCACAGACACTGTCGACACGGATTCAGACTTGGAGCCGCCTTCAAAACAGAGTCTCACTCCTTCAGTCCCCACCTCCAGTGCCTCTTCTACGGTCTCTGTCCGTGAAATTCAGGAATGGCACCGTCGTATCGACGAGCGCCGACAGCGGAAATTGCAAGACCGTACACGTCGTAAACATCTCAAGAAAAAGTCACGTATGTCCATGTTCTTTCAAAATTACCGTGCTGCCCGTATCCACTCACGACGTGTGTTCCACTGGGAAGTGGCTATGTGGCGCAATGTCATGCCTGTGGGCGTATTGGCCTATGTAACATTGTGGATCTTGTTGATTGAGTTTTCCTTTACACGCCATTTACAGTCGTAGATATACCCATACTCTCAACACAAGAGTTTTTTTATCGGAAAAGGCCGTACTATGTCCTTTTTGTCGGATAGGCATCATAAAGTGTCGTCACTCAAGGTTAAAGGCCCGCCGCAGCTGAGCTGTTTTTCCAGGGACCTGGATCACAGGTCTCACAGGCAAGATGCGTCTTTTCTTTGGCGTTGCAGGTGCAGTTGCCACCCAGGTGCTTGGGCCAGTTGTCCATGTCCACAAACGTTTTGATTAGCGGCAGGTAATTGGAGCCGCAAATGTCGATTTTTTCCGCCGTGTGGGCGGGCAGCCAACCCTTGACATACGACCAGATCGTTGTGAAGAGCATGGGCGCATTGATAATCTGCACACGGCCAGATAGCTCTGGGAAGTTGTTGTCGAGCAGGTTTAGCAGCTGCTGCAACCGGTTTTTCATCGCCCAGAACGTACCAAGGCCCAATCCCTGCACATTGAGCACCATAAAGTTATCGTCCACGAGGTGGCCCTGCGCTTCCGTACAGGCCAAGTAGCGCATGCGGACAGCCTTCTCTAGCGTCACAGAAAAGTTCTGGATGATCCGCTCGTTGGTCGTCACGCTAAACACCTTATCCGTATCGAGACCCGACAAATCCTGGATAAAGATCGGGCGGCCAAGCTTATCGGTCTTGTGGAAGTACATGCGCCAACCATACTCGGCGACCTGAGCGCGCTCAGTAAACTCAAACTCTTCACATAGCCGATCCAGCTCGATGTCTTCCTTGTACTTCTCGGCGCTGAGGTACATTTCCAAAGACTTGGCCACGTCAAAGTTACGAGCTCGCAAGAATCGCAGGAGCTGTGTCGTTTGATAGTGAGGAGCATTGTTCTTTTCGAGGGCGTTCTTTGCGTACAATTCCTCACGGAACTTGTCTAGGACCCTTTTCTGCTCGTCTGTGAGATTGCCTTCGTGACCAGCGACGGGTGTCTGACGTTAGTGCGTCGGATAGATACGTACGAAGTCCGGGTTGGCCGAACCCTGAGTCGCTGCAGGTGCCGTGGCCGACGAGGTAGCCTCACCTGGCGTTCCCACTTCTGAAGGTCTTCTAGACTTGGACGGTGCTGCCACGTCCGTCGCAGCAGCCGCGTCCGAGCGCGGGGCGGTGCTGCTTATCGGGCGAGCTTCGGTCGACTCACGTCGTGCGCCACCACCAAAGATATTTGAGAAGCTCTTGCGTGTCGATTGCTGCGCGTCCATCGCTGGTGCCTCAGCAGTAGTGTCAACCACCGATGACTGACGCGATCGGCTAGGGAGAATAGGCATGTTCAGAGGCAACGATCTGGAGGCTCGTTCGCTAGGACGTCTGCGCCCTTAGCTCCGTAGTGTCACGTGGGAGAAAGTAGTGTGGGGTGGAGGCAGAGGCTGGCGGCCCTGGCCGCGCGCTTTGGGGTGTCAAGCCAGGCACAATCGCTCCGTGCGCATTGCAGTGTGACGCGGATGCAGCGTGGGTCGCAGGCCGAGGCACGACGTGCCGCCGGCCTACCCGTGCTGCCCCGTGAAGTGATGTACCGTATCGTACATGCATTGTCGCATCCAGCCTCTGAAGGGGACGCGGCTAGTGTCCAAGCGCTGTTGCGGCTCAGTGCCGTGTGCCACATCGTTCGTGACTGGGCCTTGTCCGCGTTGTACGATGTCCTTGTCCTCCCACGGCATGTGCGTGACTTTCGCAAATGGTATGCACGGATGCGCGCTGCACAGCCGCCCTTCCCCAGCATTGGCTACGTACGTGCTCTATTTGTGGGCATTGATGATGTAAGTACTGGGCATTGCTTCTTACGCATTCTAGATTACACGGCTTACACAGACCTCAGCAGGCTGGGAATCTGAACTCTTGCGGTTCTTGCACTACCATGGCTCGACCATCGAGTACCTCTCTCTGTGGCAGACTGAATCTCGCGCTTTACTGCGTGATGCAGCGCAAGTGAGTGGCCAGCACAGTCATGCTGCCTGGGCGGTCGGTGAGCACCTGTTTGACGAGGCACCCGCCGCGGCGCCCGAGCCTTCTTCGTCCCACTGGGAAGACCAAGATATGCCCCAGTGGCTCCGCGACGAGCTGGCACATGCCCCTACCGACCAAGTCGCGCGACAACACATGGCCCATTTCCCTCTCGTTCCACGGGCCGCACCTCAACCACTCGCATGGCGTCAACGTCCTCGACCACGGCTGTGCACGCCGCGGTGCTTGAGTATTGTTATGCATTATCCATTTTACGAAAATGAACGGCCTGACCTCTTTGCCAAAATGATCGTATGGTCGTGTGTGGAAGAGCTCGATGTGTACGTCCCTATGGAACTGGACAAATCTCTTCAGCTTCTTTCTACGTTGATCCACACGCCCACACGGCGCCTACGTATTTCATCCGCACATACCACGCTGGCCATTGAGAGTCTTGCCTCTGCGCCCTGGTCCAATGCCTGTGACGTTCTTGCCCATCTCCTTCGTCACGCTACCCTACACGAAGCTTTGCTGCAAGAGATGCGAGGCCGTGGCGTGTCAGCACCCGAGGTCCTTCGTGCTGCCTGCCTTCGCCATCTCGCACAGATGCCGGCAGCAGCCGCAGACATCCCCCCGCCTACCATACCTGGACTGCGTCTCTGCTTCACGTCCCCCCACCAGGCGGTTTGGGGCAAGCTTCGGCATCGATTGTGGGACTTTCGTGAGCGCGCTCAGTATGGCGAAGAAGGTGCCTGGGCCGAATTACTACGGTCACCTACGTAGTCGTACGACAATTGACTTACATAAGAGAGCTGGCCATCTGGCTCAGAGCCGCACCTTGCTCAGGGTAGTCGCGGATGAACTGCAGCTGCGCGCGCGAGGCGTACTCGTACGTGATCGCATTGATAAGCTCAGGCTCTGTGCGTGCAATCTCCGCCGAGCGACGGAAGTACTCAATCGCCTCGGGAATCTTGCTCTGCTGCAGGCTCAGCTGCGCCAGCGTCGCGACGGCCACATCGCATTCAGGGTCGATCTTCAGCGCATCACGGCACAACTGCTCGGCACCCGTGAGATCCTGCTTCCACTGGAAGAGCACCAGGGCCTTGTTGATCATCGGGAGCACATTCGTGCTGTTGGGCTTGGCACGCTCCAGGGCGATACTCTTGTCGAAGTTCGCCACAGCGTCTTCATGGCGCTGCTGGTCGAGGAGCAGCTCACCGTAGTAGTTGTACGACTCCGGCGCGTTCTCGAACGTCTTGAGGATACGACGGAACGCTGCTGTGCTGCGCGCAATGTTGCCCAGCTTGTAGTTCGCCACGGCGTGCTGCACCTGGGAGAAAATGAACTTGTCGTCCAGCGACGTCGACTTCTCGTAGTCGGCAATCGCCGCGTCAAAGTCGCCCAGAATAAAGTTGACCTGGCCACGGTGGTAGTAAATGTCAGGGTCCTCTGGCTGGATGGCAATGGCCTTCTCAAAGTCCTTGAACGCGGCATCCTTGTCGCCCAGCTCCATATGCACACTCGCCTTCTTGACCCAGCTCTGCACATAGTCGTCACACAGCTCCGTGCTACGGTCCAAGTCGTCCAACGCACGCTGCGCAAGGCCAATCACGAAGTAGTACGTGCCACGCAGGTTGAGCGCTGTGGCCTCCAGCTCCTTGGTCGAGAGACCCTGCTCAATTGCCTCGCTCACCAGCGTGAACGAATGCGTGTAGTTGCGTGCAGCCTGCGCCTCAAAGGCCTTCTGCAACGTCTTGTCACCCTGCGATGCATCGTCGTGGATCTTGGGCGGCGACGAAGGACGGAACGCCTCAAAGTACGCCGTCACAAACGTCGGGCTTGGCAGACGCGGCTCACGCGTCGCCATAATCTGCTTCGCCTTGCCAGATGCCAGCTTCTTCAGCACACGCTCGACACTCGAGGTGGCATTCGAATCACGGAACTGACCCAGAATGGCCACGGCCGTAAAGTCAGAGAGACTCTGCGTGAGATAAGCGCGAGCCTTGTCGCCTTCCTCGCCCGGCTCCTCCGCCTTCTCGCCCAGCTGCTCGGTCGCCACAGCACGGCGGTTCAGCGCCTTGACGTATGCATGCTCCAGCTTCAGCGCTTCGTTGCAGTCCTCGATCACCTTCTCCGGGCGACCCAGGTTCGAGTAGCACGCAGCACGGTTGCTAAAGAACACGGCCGATGGTGCGGCAGCAATCGCCTTGGTATACTTGGCAATAGCATCTTCATACTTCTTGTCCGTGTACGCCTTGTTGCCCAGGCCCTTGAGGTACTGCGCCACAGCCTCGCGACGCTCCTGCGGCAAACGCTTGATCTCCGCTTCGCTCAGGTTCGCAAGTGATTCGTCACTCGCATCGTCAAGAAGCGGGCCATCCGACGTGGTCGAGGCACTTGACTTTGCCTTCTTCGACTTCTTGGAGCGCTTCTTCTTCGAGCTGCTGCTCGATGCTGTCTTCGTGCTGGAAGAATCCTTTGCCACAGAACGAGTGCCTGACAGGTAGTATGCACCAGCAGCACTGGCCACGGCCGCCGTCGCAGCAACGGCTACCACCGCAAAGCGGTTTTCTTGGATCCAACGCGCAAGACTGTTCGCGGATGCGTTCGACGTCATGCTCGTGCAACACAACAAACAAATGCAGCTAGACACGTCGAGCGACGCCCGCGCTTTCGAAGACCGCCGCTGCCGAGGGGGGCTGGAGGCTGGTCACGTGCTACACGGGCGTCCCTGGGCTGTTGGTCTATACGAGTGGCTGGCCGCCGCAGCACAGACAACCTAGCGTGGATCATGTCGGAGGAGACTGTACCTAAGCCGGAGGTCGCTCCGGAGCAGCTTAACATCAAAGTCAAGGATGCTGAAGGCAACGAAGTGTTCTTCAAGGTCAAGCGTACCACCAAGCTTGCGAAGCTGAAGCGCGCGTATGCCGAGCGTATGGGCAAGCCTGAGAACAGTGTGCGTTTCATCTTTGATGGCCAGCGTGTCGGTGACGACGACACTGCCGAGTCGGTATGTGCATCTTCAGACTCACAGAATAGCTTGACATGAACGACCAGGATGAAATCGATGCTATGATCGAGCAGCTGGGCGGCTCGTTCTAGATAGGTTCTGCATATTAAAAAATTTGCGATAACACATTGTCCATGTCTGCACCACCACTCGCTGGTGTGCGACTGGGCCCTTTGTGCGTACGTTGGTCACGCACATCGCGGTACACCGGTGCACGTTGCTGGTATGTATGGGTCGGCGCTACCGCCTCACTCGGGGCTTCTCCACGTTTGATGCGTTTCGCCTCCTTCTCTCGCTGCACACGCGAACGTTCAACCTTCTTGAGGTAGTCACGCTGCTCATGGGCCGATTGAGATAGCTCCATACGCAATCGTGCCGCGTGTGATGCGCGTTCTTGTGACATCTGCTCCATCAACATGGGCCACCGGAAGCCTTTGAGGTATTTCATTGTCCACACATCGTCCTTCCATCGGTTTACTACACCCGCTCCCGTATGCGATCGCCTAGATGAATGTGCTGAGCCACCCAAGGTACCAATGGGCTGTGCATTGAGCATTTCGGCGGTCGTCCGCGCTACGCGCTTCGACTGAAACTCAATCCAGCCTTCTGAGAAGTGCGAGGCGCGCTTCGGCTTTTTGGACGTCGCCTTTTCTTTGGGTTGCAGGTAGATGCGGCCCACTTCACCAAATTGTGAAAAAATATGCCGTACTTTGGCTGGCGTCATCCCTGGCGGTATACGACTCACATAGATAATGCCCCTCTTTTGTTGCTTTTTCTTGAACTCTTCCAGGTCTTTCGTCGTGAGAATCGGCCCTGCCATAGCCTCCTCTTCGTTCTCATCCATCTCGTCTCCGCCTACTTCATCTTCCTCATCTTCCTCTTCCTCTTCCACTTCCTCATCCTCTTCTCTATCCCGCTTCGATGGTCGTGTCGATTCCTTATTCTCCCACGCATCCATAGAAAAGCGTGGATCAGCCTGCACGGCTTCCTCCTCCCCTTTCGCTGCCATGGTCCTGCGCGCCATGCTGTCCAGGAGCACGAAGGAGGTGGAGAGCCACGTGATATAGGCAGACGACATCGACATTTTTTTTTTTTTTAGCGTGGCGTTGTCGGCCAACAGCGTGATCCTTCGCTCGCGGTCACTGCGTTGTATGCCATGGCTGTATCCTACTACGATGAAATTGAGCTAGAAGATATGGAATTTGACGAGGCGCGTCAAGCGTTTACGTTTCCATGCCCATGTGGAGACAAATTTGAAATTACGTTGGCACAGCTTAAGGACGAAGAAGATATTGCGCGATGTCCGAGCTGCACGTTAATTATCCGTGTAATTTACGATCCGGTACGTTGGACCTACTATTCTCATTCCTAAGCTTGACTTGGATCTCTGATATCCGATGTAAATGTATACTCCCATGCCTATGAATCTACGATTATGACGTCCTTTCCACAAATTTAATGGTGCTGCCACTGCTGGGCATTGATGTGGTCTTGGGCCGCAGTGGCGGCACCGTATCCCAATCATCATCGTCCTCTTCCACTGTAGCATTGACTTCCGTTGAACTAGGTTCTGGCTGAGCCGTGGACGTCTCCTCGAGAACGTTCGCGCGCTTCTCCGCGCGAGGCGAGGGGCCTATCTTGGCCGTTGCAAACGACGCCTCCTCCTGCGTGCGACCCACTGTACTATCGCCCACACTCGAGGTCGAGAGTTCGCCCGTCTCATGAGCTGGCATCCGTGCCGACAAGTGTTCCTCCACGTAGCCTGACGCAGTTCCGTTCTCATCCACAGAGGCCGTGCTTACAGCAGCGTCCTTGGACCGCAAGGCCGATGTGGCTGGCGTCGGTGCCCAACGTCCTGAACGCTGCGCAAAGCCTGCCAAAATTTGCTGGTCCTTCACAGGCGAGTTCAAGCCCGAGGAGGCCGCGGACTTGGCCGGCGAAGCCCATGGATCGCCATGACCTGCCAGTGCCATACTGGACGCATTCTCGACCGACGGAATGGTCGAGACAGACATCATCGACTCAGTCGCTGGCACAGGCGCCTTGCTCACCTCATTCCTCGTGCTTGTTAGACTGAACGAGTCCGACGTAGGTGTACGAATCGTTTGGCTAGGGGCCTGGGCTGTGTTGGTTGAAGGTGCCTCGGCACTGTTCGACTCTTTGGCCGTCCATGGCTGCGCCTCTTCGACGCCTACCAACGATGCGGTCGATGGCTGGGTGGCGGACGTAGCATCGTTCATTGGGTCTGTAGTACGTGGTTCAGACGCCGCTTCCGGCGTGTCTGTATTCGAGACGTTGGGCGAAAGGACAGCTTCGCCTGCGGAGTGCGCTGCGACACCCACAGCCGCTGCCGTCGTAGCTACACCGCCTACGCCGGCCGCAATGCCTGCTACCATGGCCGCCATCGGTCCTGAGGTGTCTGCTGTCACGTCGCTTTCCTCCACCTGCGACGACGTGGATGTCATCTCACGCTCATGCGCTTGCAAGAAGGCCGCACTCGTCCGCTGCTCCGCCTCGGTGAATGGCTTGGCCTGCGGTGTGGGCGTGGCAGCTTCCTCGTCCACCGCCGCCGGCGCCGGCGCCGCTGCCGAGGCGTGCGTCGTAGATTCGGGAACGTGCGGCAAGTCTTGCGACATCCTACGCTCCATCGTACGGCTAATGGGGATGCCAAGCTGGTTAAGATGCATAGGGTGCTCTGCATGCACATGGTCGTTCACCTCGTTAGTATCCGCCGTAACATGATGAGTGCCATGCGAAGTATACGACTCCAAGGAGTGCCGCTTAAGTGATGCATCCTCATTGCTTACTTCCGAAATGCGGCTGAGGAGTGTGTTGTTCGGCACCATATTGGGAATCTCATCATGGTCCACCACGGTTGGCTGCATCGGCGTATCGGTGCTCGCAGGTGACGGTATCTCTGTCGACTTCCATGGCTGCGGCTTGGCCTGCGGCATGAGTGTCCAAGACATGGCAGGGGCTACCGACTTCGCAGATATGGAGCCAATGCGAGCCGGTTTTGGCAGCTTGAAACTGGCTGTACGCGACGAAGAAGTCGTTTGTTGCTCTGCCGCTTCCTTCTTGGACTTGAGCGGTGCGGTCTCGGAGGTAGGGCCGCGGGCCGCATGCGTCGTCTGAGCCTCCAAAACACGCTGGAATGGATTGGTTGAAGCAGGCACGGCAGGCGGTACCGATTCTGACACCGTGGACGGCGACGTCGTCTTGGACGGTTCAGCGTGTGTCGGGGCCTGCGATGCTGGGGGCATCATCGTAAAGGGCGCGGCTACATTCTGCACAGCAATCGATGATGGGCTGCGCGCGATAGGGGCCAACAGCGATGGCGACAAGGAATGCATAGCATGAATGGACCACGTCGGCGCCGTTTGTTTCGGCACGGCCAAAGGTGCATTTTCGTCCACTGTAGTGAGAGGCGTCTCGCTCGCTGCCGGACCCGGCTTAACAAGCTCGTCTGGGACCGTCTCTAGCCCAGTCGGCACATCTTCGACCGTGGACGGCGCTTCTGCCTGCTGGGTCTCCCACCCCGACGGCACCTCCTCCACAGCCGCCGGCACTGTCTCCACCGTCGACGGCTTGTCCTTGGAGGGAGTGTCCTCTTCCGAGACCGGCGTCTCTTTCTTCGCGACTGGCAGATCGTCTACCGCCTGTTCCTCGACCGTCGGCAAAGGCTCGTCCACCTTGGCCTGCATGGCCTCCTGTGGCAATGGCGGCACAGGCGAAGAAGGAGAGCGGGCCATGCTGGGCCAGGTAGGCGACATGGGCCGCTCCGCTGTGGTGCGAGGGGTAGACGCCGCTGGCGCCACACCCGTAGCTCCATTCGCAGGCAACACCGAGGAGGCTTGGGAGTACGCTGACGTGTCCGACTTCGGCGATGTCGCTGTCTCCGGCTTCGGTGCACGAGTGCGTACAGGTGCATAGGTATGGGTGGTCTTCTCCACGGGCTTGGGCGGCATTGGCTCAGGAAGGTGGTATACATCCTGACCAGGTGGTGGGGCCAAGTCGGCGACTTCTGTGTACATCACACGTCCGCTCTGTTTCGGGATCTGCGTCGCCTTGCGCTTGTATTGTGACCTGGATGGTACACGCATAGGCGGCGATTCAACCTCATTGGCCATCGACGGTGACACAGGCGAGCGTGGCGACGACGTCATGGATGGCATCACCGCCTCGGAAGGCAAAGGTGGCGTGGGCTTGTCGAGTTGCTGGCTTCGTCGGTGCTGGCTGCGTTTGTCACTCATTGGGGGCGACGAAAGCGCTGGCGTCACTGTGGTGCGAGGCACAACCTCGGCCTCGGCCTCTGCCTTCCCTGTCTTTTCCGCCTTGGCAAGCACGACAGGAGAGGGGGCCCCTCGCACAGACGTCGAGGTCGTCGGGTCCTCCCCAGGAGGGCTTGTAGCCAACACGGCCGTAGTGTCCTTTGGTGCCTGAGTGGCTTTAGTAGCCACTGGTAGGGACGTTGTGTTTGTCGATACCTTGCCCTCTTGTGACGTCGTGGTCATCGGCACAGCCACGACCTCGGGTGTCGGCGATGGCACAGTGTTGGCGGCGCTGGTGGGCGCTGTCGCCACCACAGGTGCCACTGTGGTATTGGGCATGGTGGAAGGCGCAGCCGCGTCCTCCGCCGCCGCGGTAGGACGAGGTTGTGACACATGTGGAGATACAGGCACAATCACCGCTGGCGGGGCCTCCATGGATCGCTCCAGTGCTGGCGAAGCGACACGTGGTGGGGGCACCACCTTGGTCGTCGTCGTTGGACTGGCCATACGCTGCAGCTGCGGTCGTGGTGACGGCTCCTGGGGCTGGGGCGACACTGGGTGTGGCGCAGGCTGGGTGGGGGGCACAGGCGACGCTGCTGAGGACATGCGCGGCGTCGGGGTGTCTTGACCGCTTCGCGATGTACGACCTGCCATCGCTGCTTGGGACGTCGGCTCCGCCTCGTGCTCGTGACCCAGGTGACTCATGTGCAAGAAACTCTTCTTGCCCTTCACGATCCACTCGGACGATTTCTTCTTTAGCTGCCCGAGCAGATGAGGCGGCATGTTCGGCCCAGGCGACGTCGGGCGGGACGACGCACCTGCGACGTCGTTACCACCAGGCGTATGAGAACGATGCGTAAACGGTGCCCAGGAATGACGTGGGCTACTGGAGCCTGGTGTCGAGGGCGTATGCGAGCCCAAGATCCCCAGGAACGAACGGCGATGCTCAAGAGGCGACGACGTCGACTTGCGCCGAGCCTCGCGCTCGGCGGTTGGGGCCAACGCTGGCGAGGTAGTGCGCTCGGCCGCTGGTGGTTTGAGTGCGTCCATTACTTCGACTTGAGGCAGTTCCGGGGACTGTGCCCACAATCCAACCACGGGTTCGTGCGCTGGCGTGGGCTCGGCAGGCTTCTCGTCCATCAGCTCTTTCGGCACGCTCGGCACAGGCTTGCGCGCTGGCTTGCGCCCATTCGTAGGCGATTGCGGTCGCGTAGACTCGGCCAATGCTGCCTCCTTTGTGACGTCCGGCGTCATGGCGTGTGTTTCCTGCGTAGCGGCGACGGCCGTTGCGCCAGGCGACGAAACAGCTATCACTTCCGGCGCTGTCGAGGTTGTGACAGGTCGAATGATCGTACGTGGCGCACCTGCCTGCGTTGCCTGGGCTGCTGATGGGGCACTCGACGGCGTGGTTTGCGCCGCAACGGGCTTGCGCTCCTTTGCTAGCGGCGGCTGCGACTCGGGTTCGTGTGTCGGCGCTGTGGATAGCGTCTCGCTGTGCTCACTACGAGCGTCGACCGGTGTCGCTGCCGTTGCCGATGCTGCCGCCGCACCAGCTGCCGCGGCCATGCCACCGGCCGCAATGTCCGTAGTAGCCGTCGGTGCCTCTTTCGCAGGAGTTGGCGTCCTGTGAACGGTCTTCGGCACCTCTTTGGTAGTAGCCGCCTCGTCGGATGTCGTTGGCACCTCTTCAGCAGGCGCCGACGACGACTCCCACGTCGGCGGGACGGGTGCGAGACCTGTCATGGGCTCGGTCCGTGCCACTTCGCCGGCTTCGGTGACAAACTCGTACGTCACTGCCACGGTCGATTCCGGCGCTTGGCCAGCGCGTACCATACGGAACTGATGGAGCTTGCGCAGCATCGGCAGGGAATGCCGCTGCATCCGACCAGCCGCATCCAGTGTCGCGCGGTAGTCGGCCGGCACAACTTCTTCCACAATGTACCAGGCCGGCTGCGTACGTGGCGATCCATCGAGGTGCGTCTCCGTGCTGGCCTCCTGCGACAATTGCAGCACCGCAAACGAGGCCTCTCGGTGCACACGTTCATCACGTGCACTCCACCCATTCGCGACCAGGTAGTCCGCCCAGACCTCCGCAAAGAGGGGGTCCATGACGGTGGGCGCAATGTGCGGCTCACTGCTGTACTCAAACGGCAGTGCTACACCATGGTACATATGCGGGTCGCCCGAGGACATCGGCTGTGCACTCGCACTGCCCAGCGCCGGGGCATCAGCCGGCGGCTGCTCCAAACGCATCAGCGCATCCCACGACGACGCAGGCCGCTGCGGAAAACCTTGCTTTTCAAATTGGTGCCACGGCGTAGAATCGGTCGTCGCCTCCGTTTCGTCGCGTACCTGGAAATCGAGGAACGACGTATCCAGCTCGTCGAAGCCGTCAAACGCAAACTCATGCCAACGCTGCATCACAGGCGACACACGGCCATCGCCGGTTGCCGCCTTCGCACTCTCCGTGCCGCGATGTATCGACGTGCGTGGGCGTGGCGTACGACCTGGCGCCATGTTCAGCAGCTTCCGCGACTCTGGCGCGACGTCCAGGCCATGCAACGTCGACGGCCATGCCGTTGGATGCACCAGGTCCAAGGCGTACTCACGCACATGGCGTGCGACGTACGTCGCGGGCACCACTTGCACGGAGGTGGACGATGCATCCAGATTGGGCGAGAGCGTGTGTGGGTAATGGCCAATCAGACGGATCAGACGACGTGGCACACTCGCTGTCGATGGGGCCATAGAAACATGGTACCGCATGAACGCCAACAAGATGTGCTCCGTGGCATTGGACGCACGTACATAGCCCGCGTACGTATCGGCAAAGCTCGCATCTTCCGGCAATCCAAAGAGTAGCACACCCATGTAGCGCCCAACTTGACTGGGCTTCATACGGTTCTGACTGCTGTGCGTCGCGACGAGAGCGAAAAAGTCCATAAGCACATCCAGCAGGCGGCCAACCGACGCATCGAGCATCTGCGTCAAGTGGATGTACGAATCCATAGGGTACGCCGCCGCTTCTTCCTCTTGCCGCCAGACTAGGTACGCTGACCATGGCACGAAGCCAAACTCACGATACATCACCAGCGGCTTTGTCCCCTCACTGGGCGGCGAACGTTCCGCTACTACGCGGCCAAGGCGCGCTAGCATCCACTTGAGCACGGCCACAAGAGAATAGACAGGGGCAAATTGCAGCTCTTGGTCCAGTGTCTTCTCGGCATTCGCACTGGGACGCTGCAGCGACTCGATTACAGCTTGCAGGAGACGCTGCGTGTCCGACGACGAGAGGGCCACCGCCATAGAGCTCAAGAGCATCGGCGCTTCTACACCGCGCTGACGAAGCTTCTTGATTAGGCGCACAACATACGCTGTGACCAGATCCAAATCCAACGGCTGCTCCCATGCCTTGCCTGTGTATCCATACACCGGCGGCTGCGACGGCTTCGAGGTGGTCGTGGTCGTGGTCTGAGACGCTTGTTGGGACGACGGCTGCACTGGTGAGCGCAAGAAGGGGTTGGTCGACGGTGTATCCGGCGAGGCTACCGACGCGGTAGCCGCTGGCGTGGGCGCCTTCGTGTCCATCCGCTGGGTCGACGACGCGGAGACAGGCCTGACCGTGCTACCAGGCATCGTACGCCCGCCTGTCGTAGACGAAGTCGTGCTTGGCGCGGCCAGCCGCGCCTCACTCGGAAGGCTAGGAAGAGGTCGTGACATGTCCGCGTCCAGGACCTGAGGCGAGCGGGTGGGCTCCGCAGACGCACCGCCCTGGGACGAAGCGCGCGCCGGCGCTTCTCTCGACTTCGTATCCTCCTCCGGATGCAAAGCCAGCCACTCCATAGCGGAGGCGGCTACAGAGTCTAATCGATCTCGTTCTCGCGCTGTTACACTACTCATGGTCCACACAGCGCGATGGATGATCTGTGAGGTAACACACGGACGAGGCCAGAGAGAGAGGGCCACTGGCTGGTCCGTCCAACACCTACAGGCTGCATCTAGCCAATCACCGTAAGACACTACTTCCTTCCTGAGCCAGACTGCTTCGTTGCCAGTGCCTCCACATGGCCTGCGCGCCGCCCCTCGCGTGGAGAGATGCACGTACAGGTCGGCGGGGCCGGCGTGGTGGATATCGCCACGCATCGGCACAGATACTGGTGGATCTGAGTCGTCCACGCACTCGGCGCGAACCAAGTGGCAAGAAGCGATAACTGCTCCGCGAGCGACAGCGTTTCCACACTCGCGTACGTATGGCACGAGTGTGCGTGTTTCCTATCGTCAGAGACGTATTACGCACCACCATGCACGTCTAAGTGAGCCACACACGTACGTACCGAAGTGCCTTGTGCGTGCGTGTTCCTACTCCGAGGTCCACATCTATGTCAGCCGAAGACCACGTACATGTGCTGCATTGGCCGCCTTGGGTTAGTGAGGTGTACGTACAGAGTGCATACGTATGCATGCCATGCGACGACACTGATCCTTGCTGCTGCACATCCAGCGGCGCATCAAAAGGTAGACGTCGTTTTGCGCTAATCCCATGCGTGTACTGAAGATGCGTCGCATACGCTGCGTCAGTGGTGGCCTACGTACTGGAGTCACGCAGTCGGTAAAATGCCATCCTCATGCCATTCTCCATACTTTGGTCAGCTTGCTTCATGCATACATACATACCATATTGGGCACAATCCTTCTCGCTGGCCCTTGTGAATCCGTACAAGCCGCGGCGTATACATGTCCAAGTAACTTGAGGGTGCTTGCCACGTCCCTTCTGTACATCGCTCCGCAAATACCGCACCGTTCAAAGAAGCCGGCAAGGGGGCTCGCCAACAAGGGCAGAGAAACCGCGGCAAGATGCATTGTCCAGGCGCTGTGATCTCGGTGTGCCACCTTAACAACGACGTCTGGCCTCGTGGTATCGGTGCACGAATCAGTCGCATGAGCTCCTCCAAGGAGATCTGCGCAAGGGGCCCCGGCGCCTGCTTGATATTGGTATAGACTACATCTTGAAGAGGCTCTTGAGGAGCAAGATACAATTGACTCGGTGCAATAGTTCGCACAGGCTCTGACACCACGCCGCGCCATACGTGAGCCCATGCGTTGCCTCCATCGGTGTGCGCCGTAGGGCTACGTTCCATGGTACAACCGGCTCCGTTTTGATCCACCAGGATTGGCATTCGCTATGTACGCACTGCCTACGTCCCTGCTCGGTTGTTATATAGGATGACGCCCCCACGTCGCACCGGAACGATGCCGAGTGGAGGCATGTGTGATGATTGTGTTAGTACAGCGCCAACTGGCAGGGCGCCGAGGGCCGCGTCAGCGCCGCCCGCAGCGAGGTATTGCTCAGCAGCGATAAAGTCGCATCGCGTGTCTCGGGCGTATCAAGGACCGTTCGATTCTTGGCATCTGTCCAGGAAAAGTCGATGATGATGGCAGCCAAGTGCTCAATGTGCAGGGCGTCCTTGTCCAACAAAGCCTGTATACGATGCGGCGTGCCGACAGCTGCCGGTGTGACCTGTGTTTCGAGCCATGCAGCCTGCTCTTCCACTTTAAAATGACGTGCAAACAACTTGGCGACGTTAGGACCGGACGATGCCGGCGTGTCTTTGGGAGTGGGCTTGTCGCCTTTGCGGCGCTTGGTGGGGCGTTCTTCACTTGGCAGCAAGGGTCGCAACGCGCGTGCTACGTCCGCTGCTCGTTGGGCATTTCCCGTGATGACCAGGATCCGGGGCGTGCCATGCGCTTGCATCCATGGATGCGAGGCGCTCTGAAACGCCGAAGCATCAGTACAGACACCTGCATGTAAGCAGCTTTGTACGTACACTCGCGCACAAATGTCGATAGATTGTCCAGTGTGCGTTCGCGGGTAAACTGGTACGTCTCCAAAAAGGCCGCGGCTGCGTGTAAGCGATCGATGTACATACCTGCCAAGCGCATTTCTGACAGCTCCAATTCACTTAGCTTGGGGAACGCTTTGCGCTGCAAGGCGCTCAGATAATCCGCTTGCAAGTCAGCTGGCTGCATAGCCACCGTCCGTGCTGCCTCGACCTGTTCTTGAAACGCGGCTGATTTCTAGGGTAAGTAGAGTCTTTGTTACGTACCTTGCGACGCTGTGCTTTTGCTTGTTCACGGCGTTTGCGTTTCTTTTCAGCCGCTTTGTCGGTATGCGATGTGCTGGTGGTCGCTTTCGGCTTGGTATGTTCGTTTTCATCGTCAGAGTACGCGACCAGGTGCTCATCAATTAACAATCCGTCGTCCAATTCGTCCGCCATGCTCACTAGGCCGATGCGATGCGCACGTACAGTGCTTGTCAGCCTACTCCAATTTTTTTTAGGAGATTCGCTTATTCAGCACATCGTCTCGGCGCGCGCGGGGCGCTACGAATGTCGCGGCGGCCACGGTAGCGCGCGTTTTTCTCCGGTTTCCGATCCACGTCGCGCCGCGGTTCTTGCGATGGTAAAGCGAAGTGCTACAAGTAAATTTCCCATTGCGCGCATTAAGCGCATTATGCAGGCGGATGAAGATGTCGGCAAAGTAGCGCAGGCGACGCCCGTGGTTATATGTACGTACGATATGTCTCACACCGCAGCCAAAGCGCTCGAACTGTTTATGCAGGACATTGTTGCGAGTGCCGTAGAGCAAACACGCAAGACGGGCGGCAAGCGTGTGGCACCTTACCATCTGTATGTATATGTGATGCTCACGACAAGGAAACGCGCTGCGTTGACGATAGAGACGTTTGACTTCCTCAAGGATATCGTGGAGAAAGTAGCAGACCCCCTTGAATCTGGTGGCGCTGCGCGTAGCACGAAGCGTCGCAAGGTGGCCAAGGCCGAGGAGGCGGACGAGGCCTCTGCGGATGACTCGGCGGAATAGAGAGAGCATGCCTAGGGCATGTTGTCCTCGCCCTGTAGCGCAGCGCAGCGCGGCATGATACGAAGCGATGCCGCCTCTGTACTTGTAGATGAGAAAGGATAAGCCATTCTATGGTGTCTTCTGCTATGGCTAGCGCGAGCTTTTGCCGCTGCTATGCTCCATGACATCGCCCGTGGGCTGGCCTCCCTCGTAGCGTGGCTCGCTCTTGCCACGTTGACGTAGCCACGTTGGGTATGGTGCTTACGTATGCTGACCCAATTTTCGCCGACCGCTGCGCGAGGACGCCGCGCCATTTTTCCGCGCTCGAGATTTTTTTTTCGAGTCCTCCCTGCGCCCCATCAACTAAACCGGCGATACTTTTGGACGTTGTCTCTTGAGCCGACGTCGACTAGTAGCGAACGAGGTTGTGGTGGACCAGGAAGTAGATCTACTCACACTTCATTGCTATCTTTGGTTGCAATGTCTGGCGTGTCTACGAACGGGGCAGGAGCAGCGGCGCCTGCCATTGCGCCGTCGCTTCGTGCTGCGCTGGCCGACCAAGTGCCATCGCGCGCCCCCTCACCCGCGCCGCCAGCGACGTCGGCGCCGATCGGTCATGAAGCTTCCTCGACGATGGTGCTGGAGCTGGCTGACAAGACGGAGTACCGCGGTATTAGCTTCGGTGCGGAAGGCAAGAGCATTTCCGGCGAGTGTGTTTTCCAGACTGGTATGGTGGGCTACGTCGAGTCGCTCACTGACCCGTCGTACGAGGGCCAGATCCTCGTACTGACATACCCCCTGATTGGCAACTACGGTGTGCCTGCGCGCCCGCAGGAGAACGAATTTCCGCACTTCAAGGCGCCGTTTGAGTCGTCGCGCATCCACGTCGCTGGTCTGGTGGTGGCCTACTACAGCCACGAATTCAGCCACTACCTGGCCGCCTCAGGCTTGAGCGACTGGCTCAAGGAAAATGGCGTGCCGGCCGTCTACGGTATCGACACGCGTGCGCTGACCAAGCGCATTCGTACGAAGGGCAGCATGCTTGCGCGCATGCTGGCGGTGGACCCGCGCTCTTCGCCAGAGCTCGAGCTCCGTTCGCGTCTGCTCCCTGTGGAGTGGCACGACCCGAATGGCGATCACCTTGTCTCGCGTGTCTCGACGAGGACCCCGATGCTGTATACGCCCCAGGACACGCAGCCGGCCGGCTTGCGTATGGCCAACGAGCCTGCGTTGGTCCATGCGTCAGGCCGTGGCATTCGTGTGCTGGCGCTCGATATGGGCATGAAGCGGAACCAAGTTCGTTGCTTCACGTCACGTGGCGTGGAATTGAAGGTGGTGCCGTACAACTACGACATTCTCAACGAGACGGAGCCGTTTGACGGTCTTTTCCTCTCGAACGGTCCTGGCGATCCTACGCAGTGCATGGAGACGGTGGAGCGCGTGCGTGCGTTTATCCAGCGCACGAACGATGTCGTACCTGTGTTTGGTATCTGTCTCGGTCACCAGATTCTCTCTCTCGCGGCCGGCGCACGTACCATCAAGATGAAGTACGGCAACCGTGGCCAGAACATTCCGTGCACGGACCAGCTCTCGGGCCGCTGCTATATCACATCGCAGAACCACGGTTACGCTGTGGATGCGCGTTCGCTTCCCTCCGGCTGGAAGGAGTTGTTTGTCAACGCCAACGATGGCTCGAACGAAGGTATTTACTGCGAGACGGCGCCGTACTTTAGTGTACAGTTCCACCCCGAAAGCACGGCTGGCCCGCGTGATACCGAGTACCTCTTTGATGTGTTCATCCGCTCTGTCGTGGACAATGCCGCTGTGCGTCACAAGGATGGCGGCATGACGGCCTCGCATGGCGCTGTGGCGTTCCCTGGTGGCCGTTGGGAAGAGCATGAGGCTGCCCACCCGCGTCTGCACCCCAAGAAGGTGCTGGTGCTTGGTTCGGGTGGTCTGAGCATTGGCCAGGCTGGTGAGTTTGACTACAGTGGCTCGCAGGCCATCAAGGCGCTGAAAGAAGAAGGCATTTATACCGTGCTCATCAACCCGAACATTGCGACGATCCAGACGTCGGCGGGTCTGGCCGATAAGGTGTACTTTTTGCCTGTGACGCCCGAGTTTGTGCTCAAGGTGCTGCGTCACGAGCGCCCTGATGGTATCTACTGCACGTTCGGTGGTCAGACGGCGCTCAATGTCGGTATCAAGATCAAGGACGAGTTGGCAGGTCTGGGTGTGCGCAACCTCGGTACGCCGATCGAGACCATCATCACGACAGAGGACCGTGACTTGTTCGCGAAGGCCATGGAAGAGATTGGCGAGCGATGCGCGCCCTCGGCGAGTGCGAACAACTGGGACGAGGCGCTGACGGCTGCGCGCTCGATTGGGTTCCCGGTGATTGTGCGTGCAGCCTTTGCTCTGGGTGGTCTTGGCTCCGGCTTTGCGAAGAACGAGGACGAGCTGCGTCGCCTGTGCAACACGGCGTTTGCGAACAGTCCGCAGGTGCTGGTCGAGAAGAGTATGAAGGGCTGGAAAGAGGTCGAGTACGAAGTTGTGCGTGACTGCCGCAACAACTGCATTACGGTGTGTAACATGGAGAACTTTGATCCGCTGGGTGTGCACACGGGTGACTCGATCGTGATTGCGCCGAGTCAGACGCTCTCGGACGAAGACTACAATATGCTGCGTACGACAGCGGTGAATGTCATCCGTCATTTGGGCGTCGTGGGTGAGTGCAACATCCAGTATGCGCTGAACCCCCTTTCGCGTGAGTACTGCATTATCGAGGTGAACGCGCGTCTCTCGCGTTCGTCCGCGCTGGCCTCCAAGGCGACGGGCTACCCGTTGGCGTTTGTCGCCGCGAAGCTCGGTCTGAACATCCCGCTGAACGAGCTGCGCAACTCGGTGACGCGCGAGACGTCGGCGTGCTTCGAGCCCAGCTTGGACTATGTCGTGACCAAGATCCCACGCTGGGACCTGCGCAAGTTTATGCGTGTCAGCTCGAAGCTCGGTAGCAGCATGAAGAGTGTCGGTGAAGTCATGGCGATTGGCCGTACGTTTGAAGAGAGTATCCAAAAGGCCATTCGATCTGTCGACCCCTCGTTTGAAGGCTTTGGCGTGAACGACCATGTGGAGGACGCTGACATTGACGAGGAATTGGAGCGTCCGACGGACCGCCGTATTTTCGCGATTGCCAATGCGATGGCCAAGGGCTACTCGGTCGACGAGATTCACGCCATGTCGAATATTGACCGCTGGTTCCTTAGCAAGCTGCAGGGCATTATGACCACGGCCTCGGCGATGGAGCAGCACAGCACGTCGCAGCTGCCTATGGCCCTGCTGCGTCTCGCGAAGCAGCACGGTTTCTCCGACAAGCAGATTGCCAAGTGCACCGCGAGCGCCGAGCTGGCTGTGCGTCGTCGTCGTCAGGAGCTGGGCATCACGCCGTTTGTGAAGCAGATCGATACCGTCGCGGCCGAGTTCCCTGCGCACACCAACTACCTGTACATGACGTACAATGCCGTGGAGCACGACTTGTCGTTCGACGACAAGGGTGTGATGGTGCTTGGCTCGGGTGTGTACCGTATCGGTTCCTCTGTCGAGTTCGATTGGTGTGCTGTGCGTGCGATCCGCACGCTGCGCAGCAAGGGCTTCAAGACGGTCATGGTCAACTACAACCCCGAGACGGTCTCGACCGACTACGACGAGGCGGATCGTCTGTACTTTGAGAACATCTCGCTCGAAACCGTTATGGACATTTACGAGCTCGAGCAGTCGTCGGGTGTGGTGATTTCCATGGGTGGTCAGACGCCGAACAACATTGCGTTGCCGCTCCACCGCCAGGGTGTCAAGGTGCTGGGCACGTCGCCTGAGATGATCGACAATGCCGAGAACCGCTACAAGTTCTCGCGCATGCTGGACCGTCTTGGTGTGGACCAGCCGATGTGGAAGGAGCTCACGTCGCTGGAGGATGCGTACGCAACGTGCGCGCGCTTCGGCTACCCTGTACTGGTCCGTCCATCGTACGTGCTGAGTGGTGCCGCGATGAACGTCGTGTACTCTGCGGAGGACCTCAGCAACTATCTGTCGCAAGCCGCGGCGATCAACCGTGAGCACCCGGTGGTGATTACCAAGTACCTCGAGGGCGCCAAGGAGATTGAGATGGACGCTGTGGCCAAGGACGGCAAGCTCATTATGCACTACATTTCCGAGCACGTGGAGAATGCCGGTGTGCACTCGGGTGACGCTACGCTCATTCTCCCGCCGCAGGACTTGGAGCCAGAGACGGTGCACCGTATTGAGGTGGCTACGAGCAAGATTGTCGAGGCGCTCAACGTCACCGGTCCGTGCAACATCCAGTTCATTGCGAAGAACAACGAGATCAAGGTCATTGAGTGCAATGTGCGTGCGGCGCGTTCGTTCCCCTTCGTGTCGAAGGTCACTGGCATTGACGCGATTGAGATGGCGACGTGTGCGATGATGGACTTGGCCGTGGAGCCGTACCCGAAGGTCACGATGCCGAAGGACTATGTCGGCATCAAGGTCCCGCAGTTCTCCTTCTCGCGTCTGAGCGGCGCCGATCCGATTCTCGGCGTGGAGATGGCGTCGACCGGTGAAGTCGCATGCTTTGGCCGCAACAAGTACGAGGCGTACTTGCGTGCAATGCTCGCCTCGGGCATCCGTCTTCCTACGCAGAACGTGCTGCTGAGTGTCGGCTCGTTCAGCGAGAAGCAAGAGCTCTTGCCGTCGGTGCGCACGCTCCACGAGCTTGGATTTACACTGTATGGCTCGTCGGGTACGGCCGACTTTTACACGGAGCACGGCATTCCGGTCATCCACCTGGAGGCCCTGCCGGAAGACGACGACTGGCGTGGCGAGGAGAACAGCAAGTCGTCGTACTCGCTGCTGACGCACTTGACGCAGGGTCTGAGCTCGCTGTTCATTTCGCTGCCCAGCAAGAACAAGTACCGCCGTCCCTCGTCGTTCACGTCGATGGGCTACCGTGCCCGTCGTCTGGCCATTGACCGCTCGATCCCGCTGCTGACCAACATCAAGAACGCCAAGCTGTTTGTCGAGGCCCTCGCCATGCACCGTCGCCAAGGCAGCACGTTTGAGATTCTCCCGATCGATGCGAAGACCTCGCACGTCACGTGCACGTTCCCTGGCCTGGTGCTCTTGCCGGGTCTGCTCCCCTCGCCGGCGTCGTCGAGTGTGTTGTCGTACACCCGCACAGCGGCGCGCGCGGGCTTCACATCGATCCTCTTTGCGTCGGCGGGCCGTGACAATGCCATTGTCGACGATGCTTCGCTGGCCACCGCTGAAGCGGCGATGGAGGGTCAGTGTGCTGTCGACATCTCGCTCTCGCTTCTCGCCTCGCCGATGAACGTGGACGAGCTGCCTTCGCTCGCCCCACGCGTGCGTGTGCTCTTCATTTCGTTCCAGGACGCTATGCGCGAGCACAGTTCTCGCCCTGCCGTCGTCGCGAGCTACTTTGCGCACTGGCCGGAGGACAAGCTCATCGCAACCGATGCCAATGGCTCGGACCTCGCTTCGATGCTGCTTCTCGCGAGCCTGCACAACCGCCCGCTCCACGTTACCAACGTGCGCAGCGCCGAGGACGTGCAGCTCATTGCGCTCTCCAAGGCCAAGGGCCTGAAAGTCACGTGCGACGTGCCGATCTACGCCCTGTTCTTCGCTACGGACATGTACCCAGCCGCCACGTGTCTTCCGAGCCCAGACGACCAAAAGGCGCTCTGGGAGAGCTTGGACCAGGTGGATGTGCTCTCGGTTGGTGCGCTGCCCTACTTGATGGCCGAGCAGCTGGGCCACGAGGTGGCGCCGACGGCAGGTGTGGACGATGCAATCCACCTCGTGCTCAACGCCGTCCACGATGGCCGTTTGCGTGTGGAGGACATCGAGGCGAAGATGTGCACGGCCCCGCGCTCCATCTTTGGCCTGCCCGAACAGCCTGACACACTCGTCTCTGCGGAAATTGACCGTATCGTGCGCGACGACCACCGCGAAGGCTGGTCGCCGCTGGATGCGGCCTCGGTGCGTGGTATGATTGGTCGTGTACAGATGCGTGGCCGTACCATTGTGCTGGATGGCCGCTCGCTCCACGAGGCGTTGGTCGGCTCGAATGTGAGTGGATACATGCCGGTCAAGTCGACGGTGCTGGCGACGCCTGCCACTGCGCTGGGCTCGGGCGAGCCGCGCCCGGCGGTGGATGCGCCGCTCTCGCCGTCGCTGGCGCTGCGCTCGCCGCGCAAGCGTGCGCTGGGTGTGCGTCCGCTGTCGCAGCTTGACGAGTTCCGTTTGGAGCCTGCTGCAGGGCCTGCACCGCCGACGCGCGTGGAGATGTACAGCCCCTCGTTCTCGCGCCGTCACATTTTGTCGGTGAAGCAGTTCAGTCGCGACGATTTGCATGCGCTCTTTGCTGTGGCGCAGGAGATGCGGTTCATGGTCGAACGGCATGGTGTCCTGAATGTGCTGCAGGGCTGCGTGATGAGCACGCTGTTCTACGAGGAGTCGACGCGCACCTCTTCGTCGTTTGAGGCGGCGATGCTGCGTTGCGGTGGTCAGGTCGTGACGATCAACACGGCACGCTCGTCGGTGGCCAAGGGCGAGACGCTGGCCGATACAGTGCGTACGCTCGGCTGCTACAGCGACGTGATTGTGTTGCGTCACCCGGCCGTGGGCTCTTCGCAGGAAGCGGCGAAGTACTCGCCTGTGCCGATCCTCAACGCAGGTGACGGCGTGGGTGAGCACCCGACGCAGGCGCTGCTGGACGTGTTCACCATCCGTGAGGAGCTGGGTACCGTTACCGGCTTGACTGTGACGTTGCTGGGTGACCTGAAGAACGGCCGTACGACGCACTCGCTCGTGCGTTTGCTGTCGCTCTATGGCGTTACAGTGAACTTTGTGAGCCCGCCGTCGTTGGCGATGCCGCGCGAAGTCGTGCGTGAGCTGACCAAGCTGGGTGTGCCGATGTACGAGACGGCGAACCTGGACGAAGTGCTGGGCAAGACGGATGTGCTGTACGTGACCCGTATCCAGAAGGAGCGCTTCGCCTCGCCTGAGGAGTACGAGGCCGTGAAGGGCTCGTACATTGTGAACAACGATGTCCTGGCTCGGGCCAAGGCGGACATGGTGGTATTGCACCCTCTGCCGCGTGTGGACGAAATCGATCCCGAAGTGGACTTTGATATTAAGCGTGCGGCGTACTTCCGCCAGATGCGCTGCGGTCTGTTTGTGCGCATGGCCCTCCTTGCGATGGTCTTGCACACGAACCCGCGCACGTAATGTGGTTAGAGAGAGCGACCGAGATAGCTTGAACTGCACCCCTTTTCCCCTTGCTCCGTTCGTACCTGAGGCCTCTGGCTGGTGATGACTAAGCGAAGGAAATAGCGACGTCGCGTCGCCGCTGGACAGCGAACGGGTCCTTACGTCGATGGCATTGCGGGCCACGGCTACAGTGCCATGGCCAGCGGCCTACATGCGCTGTATCCATGTGTACACCTACTTGTTGGCCCTCACGACGTTGTTGCTCTCGGCTCGCACCTACATGACGCCACGTGCTCGGTGGCTTCGTGCGTACGCGACGCTCGTGGCAGGTCTACATACTCTGGCCCTGTATGTACGTTGGCACCAGCATGACTGGGTCCATTTTCTACGTATGATGGACCTTATCTGTGCGCAAGGCACGCTAGGTCTGTGTATGTATATGCTCTACCGATACATCCGCACTCTAGACGCAACAGCGACGACACGCTTACCAGCGTCCTGGGCATCGTACATGCGCCTTTCGGCCCTGGGCTGGATCGCTATGCTGCCAACCGTGTACATACGCCCACTTTATACCCTCATGTACCTGCTCCTATGCCTGCAGTGGGTGCTGTACCATGCGCAGCTCTCCCGTGTGTGGACACACTACAGCCATCGCCTGGAAGCCGAGCCGGGGCTCCTTGCGTGGGCCATGTCGTGCCTAGGCGGCCCACCCCGTGCCAAAGCCTCACGCTCGGCCGCTGCAGCCCCAACTTCCGTACATATCACGTACGATCTCTTGAACGTGTACATGCTCATGTGCTTGCAACTCATGTTCCTTGTGATCTACAGCTACGCTGAAGAGCTACGTGACTTCCACGTGTGGATTGTGATCACCTCTCGCACCTTCTCTGTGGTGTTCTTCCTTCTGCTCGGCGCACCACATACCCTGGCCCTCTTTGATATCCCCCCCGCTTCGATGACGCACCAATCTGCGTAGGCTTATGTAGTCTCTCCAGGCATGGATTTTTCTTACGACAATACTAGCTATGACACGCAACGATCCATGCTACTCCCGCGACGACCGGAAATCGTCTTCCACCTTGCTGGCGATCTCCTTCATCTGCATCTCCACCGTCTCCAGCGTGTTGGCCGCCTCGCGGTGGTACTCTAGCTGCGCCTGCACCAGCGAGACCAGCGCCTTGATCGGCTCCGGGTTGTCAAGCACCGTCTTCATGAGACTGATCGCTTCTTCCGTCGCACTCACCAGCTTGTCTTCCGCCTGCTCCACCTCGTTGCGGTACTGGTCCAGCTTCGCCGTAGCCGTGTTGCTCTGCTCCGCCGACTTGAGGTGGCCACGCCAACCGTCCAGGTGCAGGCGCGCATCCCGCACTTGCTGACGCGCTTTGACGGCCAAGTTGATCTGGTTCCCAAACGAGTTCCACACCAAGATAAAGTGGTCGACAATCGTCCTGTCCTGCTTCAAACGTGCGCTGCCCACTACATCCTCGGCCACGGCAAAGCGCTGCAGCAGCTCTGCCAGCTTGCTCTCGGGCGTAGCGACCATCTCACCGCCCATGCTCGCCGGCACCTGCTGCGGGCCCTTGCCCAGCTCAATCGCCGACTCGGTAGCACTGCGCGAAATGGCATGGCTCAGCGTGCGCGAGTACGACGGCGGCGCGCTCGTGGCGTGGACCTGCGGCAGACTCGTGTGCTTCGTCGCCTGCGCCGCCCACGACGAGAGCGTGTGGCTCAGCGACTGAGCACCGTGCGTCACAGACTCTTGCAGATGGTGCTATGGTCAGTCCAGTCAGGTACATACAGGGTAGTCATACGCCTCGTTCTCGTACGTCTTGATGGTGCGCATCATCGTCTGGTGCACGTGCTTCATAGCATCCACTCGCTGCTCCAGCTGCTTGTACTCTTCTGGAAGCTCAGTGAGATCGTCGGCATGACCGAGACGCTCGCGCGCTTGCTGGTTCTGCCTTTGTTAGCTTTGAGGGGACGTACCAGCGTGCCGAAACGTTCCGAAATCTTCTGGCCAAACGGCTGCACACTTGCGGTAAAGTTCTTGATATGGTCCATGATCGCAAAAAGGCAGGCACACAGGGCACCGCCGCTCGCGGCCGCAGGGCACCTCGCCTCCACGTCCTGCCGTGTGGGTGCGCGTGGGCCAGCGGTCAACGGGCCCCGGCCCTCCACTGCACGTGGCAGGCGCAGCAGTGGAGGGCTACGCTCACCATCCAACGTCGGTTCAGGAGCCCTATCGGCAGGCACGCAGGCGGGCGCGATGCAGTATCAGCAGGACGAAAAGGTGCTATGTTTTCATGGCCCCTTAATTTACCAGGCCAAGGTAGGTGCATCGCAGTGTATTCTCACACTAGATCCTCATGGCCGAGGAATGGAAAGGCGATGAAAACCAGAATGGCGCGACAGGCCCGCATTATTTCGTCCATTACCAAGGCTGGAAAAAGACCTGGGACGAATGGGTCCCGCAGACGCGTCTCTTGAAATACAATGAAGAAAATCTCGCACGGCAAAAAGCCCTAGTTGACGCCCAAAAGGCTGAGGCGGCTGCAGCAGCTGCTGTGGCCGCCGCGCAGGCCGCCGAGAAGGAACAGGCATCGCGTGCCAAGGCGGACATCCGCAAAGCCGGCACACCGACAAATGGCTCCCCTGCGACATCAACGAGCCGTGGGTCCAAGCGCAGCCGTGAGTCCGCCGATGCCGACGAGCAAGACAAGCGTCCTGATCTGCGTCTGACCATACCAGAACCTCTCAAGGCGCAGCTGGTCGATGATTGGGAAAATGTCACACGCAAAGAGCAATTGGTCCCTCTCCCACGCCAGCCCAACGTAAAACAGATTTTGGACGACTATGCAGCGTACTACCAATCGAAGGCCAAGGCGACCACGCGGGCGCGGTCGCCCGCGGTGCTCACGGAAGTGTTGGCTGGTTTGAAGCTGTACTTTGATAAGAGCCTGGCGCAAAACCTTCTGTACCGCTTTGAACGGCCGCAATATGTCGAAATGCGCAAACGGCATGGGCCCAAGATGGGCGACGGTGACGTCCAGACGGAAATTGCGGCGGCCAAGCCGGGTGGTGGCCGACGTGGACGTACCAAGGCCTCTGCCGCGAAGGACGAGGGCACACCTTCCCCCGCCCCTGCCCCCCCCTCCACGCTGACCGAGCTGGAGGCCAGTGCCTTGTACGGTGCCGAGCATCTATTGCGTCTTTTTGGTACGTACCTACTCTACTTATGCAGTCAACCTGCCCAGCATTGTCTCTCATACCACGATGGATGCAGACTCTATTGCGATTCTTCGTGAGCACGTCAACGAGTTCCTTGCCTTCCTAGCGAAAGAAAAGGACCGCTTGTTTGTGCCAGAGTACGAAGACCCAAGCCCTGCGTACCACCGCCTTAGTGCTATATAGAACTGGTCCAAGTCGCAGCGGTGTGCATCGCTTACGTCGGCGGCCCTCGTTGCCCCTGCCCTGCGGGGCATGTGCGCGTGCATGGGCCTTGCCTGTCGATTTTGTTTGTCGGCCGAATGGCATGCTGGAAACCTCGATCGCGCGCCCGAGGCACGCGTTCGCACTGCCGCCGGACGACGTTTGTTGCCACTTGGCACGATGAGCTTGAACGTACAGCTCGATCGGAACCAGCCACGCACGCCGGCGACAGACAGCCGCGCGTTGCAGACGCTCATCAAGACAGAGAAGACATATGTGGATGACATGCTCACTGCGACATCCGCCGCGATCTCCGCGGCATCGTCGTTGCATGCATGGGGCTTGAGTGAGACGCCTGACTTGGACGAGGCGACAGGAGCCGTGGCTCACATGCTGGAAGCCGCGGCGAATGCGCAAAAGACCTATTCGCAGGCGCTGCATCAGTACCGCGACTCGCTCAAGGATATGTTGGACCGCGAGCAGAGCATTCGCAGCATTGTGCGTGACCGTGACATTTTGATGAACCGTATCATCAAGTACAGTCAGAAAAAGCCGTCGCGGTGGGAGATGATCAAGGGCGAAGAGGAATACCAGGCGCGTATTGCGGATACGGAGCGCGAGCTTCAGGCCTGTGAACAGACCTTGGCGAACGAGACGGCAGCGCTGATTGGTGTTAAGCGTCGGACGTTCAAAGAAGCGTTTATGATGCGTGCCAAGACGCTGGGCGATATGGGCGCGGCCATGATGGATTCGGCACGCAACATGCTCATGTACCTGGACTCCTTTGACGCGGACATCCCCGTCGCCCCTGTACCTGTGACGCCGCATACTTCCATGTCGCAAGCGCAGCCGATGACGACGTACAGCCAGGGCGCCTCACAGAACATTTTCTTGCCTGACACGGACACGACGGGCTATATGTCACCAGAGCCGGGGATGGCGCCTGCCGATGTGCCGCCGCAGGATGCCTACGCAGCGTATGGCCAGGAAGCTTACGCGCAGCCAGGGCAGGTCGCCTATACACAGCCAGGGCAGGAGGCTTATGCGTCGTACGCACAGCCAGCGCAGGATGCGCAGGATGCGTACCCATCGTACAGCCAGGAGTATGCGCGGTATGGCGATGCGTACCAGACGGAGCAGCCTGTCTACCAAACGGAACAGCCAGCCTACCACGACCCGTCCTACGCGCAGGATGGCTACGTGTCTGGGCGCGAGACGTTCATGACACCCGAGCCCCAGGCGGATATGTATGCCCAGGACCCGTATGCGTACGCCACCAAGGAAGTGCCGGGCCTTCCTCAAGATGATGTGCCGCGTCCACGATCGCGCTCGCGCCGACCTCGTATGGAGCGCGCTAGCAGTGCATCGGCCCTTAATGAAGCCAAGCCACGCAAGAAGTCGCAGCACCGCTCTTCGTCGAGCATGTCGTTTGCGAGTGGGGCAGCGAACCTACCGCAAGTGCCTGGCGGTGTACCAAGTGCGCCACGCCTCAACTTGGAGCATGCTCGCGATGGATTCGTTGCGCCGACGGTGCCTGGCGGCGTGCCGACAGCGCCACGCCTGTTTATGCACCAGGCAAACGATGAAGTAGCTAGCACCGCGGATACGTCGGTGGTGTACCGACCTACGCGCCGCCGTAACTACGCAGACAACGACTCGGACTCGGACGACGATGGCTGGCGTCGTCCGCGTCACCAGCGCTCGAGCAGCCACGGCGGCGCTAGCGGTGGCGGTGGCGGCTTTTTCTCGCGTGTATCGAACCTCTTCCGCTCGGATCTGCGGGGCGAGACCAAGTCGTCGCTGGGGCATCGTGGTGGCACGGACTCTCTTTTCTCGCCGATGACAGAACGTACGCATGGCGGTCGCGCCTCGCGCTCGTCGAGGACGCGATGGACGCAGGGCGGTGAGAGCAGTGATGACGAGCCGAACGTCGGTGTTGTGCGCCATGTGAACAACCGCCCTGGAAGCAGCTTGCAGCGTCTTCGCTCGCCTGTGCGCACGGCCGAAGAGCAGGCGTTGGACGAGGCGATTCGTCGTAGTGTCATTGGCGCTGGCATTGCTCCGGCAGGGGCTGCCAAGCGCCCAACCTCGCGGCAGTCGGATGCGTATGGCATTGGTGCAGGCCCCCCACCCTCGAGTGTGCTGCGTGAGCGGGCGTCGCAGCGTCACTCGGTCGAGGTGGGCGACTCGCTTGGTCGTCCTGCGTCTGCTGGCGCTACGTTGCGCCCACGCAGCAGCTCGGAGCAGATCGGCAAGGCGAAGCCGAAGGGCAAGAAGAAGAAGAAGAGGGATGCAGGCGCTCACCCACCGCCTGCGCCATCGAGCTATGCCAACGCGTACGGGACCAATGCGAGCAAGTTTGAGACAGATTCATGGGTGGCACGGCCCAGCTCCAGCATGGAATTGTCGTCGGCGCCTGCACGCCCACGCAGTGCGATGAGCTCGTCAGGCCGTGCGACGCCGCTCAAGTCGGCCATGAAGTCCAAGGGCACACCCGCAAGCAACAAACACATCTCGATTATCGAGGGCGATGTATCCGCGGAGATGAACCAACTCACGCTGGATGTCGATCGCCAGATCGACGGCACGGGCCATCTTGATCTCAACCTGGGCGAGCTCTCAACGACCAAGCCTGCGACGCCATCCACGACGACGACCATCGCCCCGGCGCTCTCCTACTTGGGCCAACCTGTCGCACCCTCTTCGACTACGACGCACGTGACAGAGGCGGCGTCCGTGCCTCACAGCGCGAGTGTTGGCACGGATGCGGCGGAGACGTACCGTGCGTTCTTGCAGGCTGATGGCCAAGTGCCGCCTGCTGCGTCGCCTGTGACTACGTTGCAAGACGCTCAGCCACCGATCACATCGATGCCGTCGCTCTACGGCTCAACGACGACGGCCGCCGTCGCGTCCCCGGTGCCCGCCGCGGAACTTCCTAAGAAGAAGAAAAAGTCGGCAAAGGTGGTTCCCCCAAGTGAGCCCGTATCGAATGAGCCGGCAGTGCTGGCGTCGTCGATTACTGCCGAGGCGGCGGCGCGCATGCCGCGTCGTGAGACGGCAGTCAGTCCTGCGCCTCTCTCATTGCATCCACCTCCACGTCCTCCACGTGCCACCTCGCCGAATACACGTCGCGTGGCCAAGCCGATCGCCCCGGTGACGGAAGAGGACTCGAGTGACGAGGGTCATCGGTCGACGTGGACTTCGCGTGTGCACCGCGTGGACGACTCGAGTGACGAGGACGAAGGCGGCGCAGGCGCATACGACGGCAACGACTACAACTCTGCCCGTCAGGCTTTCGGTAGTGCCACCCACCATCTTGGGCTGGCCACAGGCTCGATTACGCCGCAGCCATAGTGGGCTGCTATCTATAGTACGTGTTAATGCCACATGCCTTTTTTTCTACATGCGTTGGATGTAAGTCCTCTCCGTGTGACGGGTTACATCTCCTGCAGAGCGCCCGTAGCGCGTTCCGCAGCAACGCGGCGCACATAGGTCGCGCTCACAATGTTGAATGCCTCAAAGTAGCGCTCCAAGCAGCGCTCCACGCACGTCTGCTCCTTGCCACTGAGCGACTGGCCGGGCGCCGTCACACACTTCAGGTAGCACTTGTCTGTCGCCTTGCCGATCAGCTGCTGCGCGTTGGCCATCGCGATCTCGTTTGCGACACGCTGCTTAATAGCATCTTTTTGCTCGGCGGACGAAGCGCCTTTCTTGCCGGTGAGCGACGAAAAGTCCATACTGCTCGCACTTCGATGCGATCTCTCGTCGGTGGCTACGCCGCGCGGATCGATCGCTGGCCCTGGCCTAGGCAAGCACGTGACATGCGTTGGTAGGGACGTGAGGGGAGGGGACAGTGGAGGGAGCGGGGGTCGGGTGTCGTCACGACGGGGGAGCATGCAGCAGGCGGTGGTGCCGACTGTCGCGGCCCTCTCGCGCGCGTTTCTACGCGTGGGATGTCGTCGTGTGCGTGTGGAAGGCACGGAAGCTTTTACGGAGCTTTTATGCAGTCCGGAACGCATGCAGGAAGGCCGGGGTATTGTCACTTGTATGTATCATTGCTCTACTCACGCTAGATGCCAATCACATTTCTGTGTACGTTGCTACCTTACTCACCTAGCAGCATGGATGAGCCAGTTATGTGGGGGTGTTTGCCTCGCCATACCTTCCGCGATGAACGTACCGTCCGATGGAGCTTGGGGGCTAGCGAGATCATTTTCAAAAACGATATCTGCCGCTGGTTCTTCCGGCATGGCCAGACACTGGAAGTGTTTCGTGGCAATGGCATCTACCAAAAAGCGATAGAAGACGCGTTGGCCATACTGGCAGAAGGGCGATGGGTCCACATTTTCCCTGAAGGTCGTGTGAATGTGTCCACGTCGACGTACTTACCCCGTTTCAAATGGGGCGTGTCGCGACTCGTGCTGGAAGGCCCGAAGCTGCCGTACGTTGTACCGATCTGGCTTTCTGGCTTTGATCAGATCATGCCACAGCCACGTGCTCCGCCGACGTGGATGCCTCGCCTTGGGGCTGATATTACTATCACGTTCGGCGCACCCATCGAAGTCGATCCCTATGCCGAAGCGTATGCTGCATGGCAAGCTGATCCTGCCGCAAACCTAACGATGCCTCCAGTGGATGCGCCACGTGGGCATCTGTATACCAATGCGCCTCTTCGCCCAGGCGATCATCCCACCTACGCCGCGCTTCGCAGCCGCCTCGCCGCACATTTGCGGGCGTCGCTGGCGCAGCTCGGCTCAAAAATGCGCGAGTACTATGGCTACGGGCCAGGGGAGGGGACATTGGTGCACGGCGCATCGACTCCTCCTTAATTCATACCATTAGATAACTAATCTACATCGTATCGAGCACCGACTCTAGCACGCGATCCAGCTGAGGAGGCTTGCCCTCCTCGTCCTCGTCCGCTTCTTTTTTCACGGTACGCATTGGCCACAAGGCCGACGATACGGCGCCGTCTTTGTCGTCCAGTAGTTCTGTCAGGTGCCCTGGCCTCGCCGTCATTGGCGTGAGTGTCGCGCTGACCTTGGCCAGCACGTCCCACAGCCCGCCTGTCATCGGCGATAAGATGTGTTCTGTGACATGCTGCGATAGTGCCTGTTCGACCTGGGCTGCGGCCATGGACGCATCCTGGTCCATCGAGACATCTGCTGCGGCGCCATGCACAAACTCGGCGAGACTGCGTGCATACGCTAAGCCATCGACACTACCATAAACCACATCGATAAGCCGTTCCGTCTCTTGCGCGCCTTGCATGGAGATTTGCAGAGCGATAGGCAGTTGCTGCAGCGAGGCCCGTGGCACATACTGCGCGGTGCGTGGCAGGCCAAGTGCGCGGTACGGCATCGCACGCAAGTGATCACGTACCGCCTGCGTCAATCGGTCCCCAGCCACTGACGCATAGGGCTGAAGCACATGCTCATCGCCTGCCTGCGTCGCGGCCCAGGCAGGCAAACTGGCATACGCACCGAGATCCTGCAGCGCCATCAATCGCGTCATGTGGGGTCGGTAAAAAGTCCAATTCTGCTCGTCGCGCTCCTGCTCCAACTCACGCTCTCGGCGATTCAGACGCAATCCCGACTCTTGGATTGCCGGCGGCGGCATCGCTGGCCATACAGGCCGTGCGGCTGCACTGACTTTGGCACCCAGACCGCCTGGTGCCGCATGCGAAGCAATTGCAAAAGGCAAGGCACGTTGGTCGTCAGGGATGGTCGTGCCTTCAAAGGTATGACTGGCATTCTCAGCTGCGTGCCATGGCATAGACGCCGTCGCCGCGTACAGTGCATCAGGTCGGCCGGTTTGCGTAGGGGGAAACGTCAAACTCGGCTCGCCAGGTGCTTGGCCCGGCGCGGTCGGCGTTGTGGATAGCATCATCGGCAAGTGTTGCAGCGATTCATAGGCGGGCATAGACAATGTCTGAAGCGCGACGTACTCACGCACATCTGCAAGCTCAGCCGCGTCCAAAGCGCCGTCTTCACGGTACACAAACGGCACAGGCTCGTCCGACGCATTGCTGTTGCTGGACGGCGCACTGCTCGCCATCGATAGCGGCGGCGCAAGTCGTGGTTTGGGTTTGGCATGAGCGCGTACACTACACGCACTTCGCCCTGTAAGCTGATGCTTGCCTACACCCGCATACGCCAGCGTACGTCGGAAAAGCAGCTCGGCCGGGTCGTCGGTGTGCACATCCTTCAACGACCATGTTGTGGAACGCGCACTGCCTACACGCATCATGCGCCGGCTCAAATGCTCGGCATGCGGCTCTGCCTCAATCATCGCACGTTCATGCGCTGTTCGTTTGCGACGACCTCGTCGACGTGCTTCACTGGTATCGTCGTCACCGCCTTCCGTCGCACTCATCGCCGCATCGTCGGCGACGACACTCATCGCTTCACGCGCAATGGCACGCAGGCCCCAGGTCTCTAGACGCCGTGCAGCCGTATGGTAAATGGAAGATGGCGGGTTGAATAGCTGGGCATTCTGTGTGACCAGCATGAAATCGTGCTGAAACGCTTCCATTGAGGTATAGTACCCTTCGTGAACCCGCTGCTCCATCGTTCCGAGATCCATGGGATGCGTAATCACGTCGCGGTAGCCCGGCACTTCATCAGCATTCACCGGCTCATGAAAGAACAGGTACGGATCGCGTCTGAGGTAAGTAGGCAGGGCCAACGTACTTTTTAAGGCCGACGACCAAGGATTCCAAGGCGACTTTCAATGGTTTCGCACGCAGCTGCTTGAGCGGTCGTGCGCGGGGCATGGGCACTGTGGGAGAAGGTAGTACACTCACACTAGCACTGGGCGTCGTCGTGCTTGGCGGCGCTGGCGATGCCGCGGGGCTCTCACCGGCCGTGGTATCGCCTTCTGGTTTGCGTGAGCGACTGCGCTTCAATTTGATTCGCATCGTAGGCATAGGCGTCGTGCGGTTATCATCGCTGGACGACGCCTCTTCAGCCCATGAGGCACTCGAGTGCTCATCCTCCGACTCCGCACTCGCAGCGGAGGCTGGCGACGCATCTCCCCGCAGCGCCATCGCACTACCGCACCTTTTTCGGCTCGGGGGACCCTGCCCTTTCGCACGCGGGCGACGAAAGCCCCTCAACAATGCTGACAAAGCATGCACAAAAAAAGGCAGCGCTTGCTCGCCTCCATCCAGACCACGTCGTCGTACGGTGTTGGCCATAATTTGGTGCCTGCCACGTACAGTGCCTCGCGTAGCTCGCGCGATCCCACGTCCACGTACCTTCATGTCGTCGTACATTGACAAGCCACGTTTCCATAAACCAGCTCATCCATCGCGCGTGAAGCCAGCCCCGGCCGATCCTACGCTGGAGCCGATCGCGAAGACGCGCTTGGCGCTCTACACGTCGCCCCATGTGCCTGCCGATGCGCCGCATTTGCAGTCGCATGCACAGGCAGGTATCGATATGCAAAAGGCAGCCGCCACGGACGAGGCGGAGCGGCAGCGGCAGCAAAACGAGCAGCTGGCTATGCTGGCCAAGGCCAAGACGGAGCTTCGGAAGGAGCTGCCATACGTCGGTGTGCGGTGTGCGGCCACCGTATGCAGCACACTAGCGCGACACCCGGATGTACATGAACATGTGTTCCGTTCAAAAAAGTCCAAGCATATTTGTGCGGATCCACAGGGCGATCCAACGATGCGTGTCCTCCAACTAGGCGTCGCGGAGAACGACATACCAGAGGCCCTCGCAGACGCTGTGCGAGCTGTCGACGGTGTGATCATCCCGCACCCTGTGGTCTTCGATTGGGACTACTGGTCTGTGGATCAGGTGCTTCGAGCGTTGCTTCCTGAAGCACTGGAAGAAGGCGCGCCGTCGGCCTTCTCTATGGTCGGCCACATTGCACACGTCAACTTACGCGAAGAGTATTTGGCGTATCGCTACTTGATTGGCCAGGTCATCCTGGAAAAAACGCCGCGTGTCGAGACAGTGGTCAACAAGCTCGATACTATCGAGACCGAGTTTCGTGTGTTTGCCATGGAATTGCTCGCGGGTGAGCCCAAGTACGAGGCGGAGGTGTCGGAATCCGGCTGCCTGTTTACCTTGGATTTCCGCCATGTGTACTGGAACAGTCGTTTGCACACCGAGCATGGCCGGCTGATCGAGCAGTTCAAGCCGTTCCAAGTCCTTGCTGATGTCATGGCCGGCGTCGGTCCCTTTGCTGTGCCTGCCGCGAAGAAGGGATGCTGGGTCCTGGCTAATGACTTGAATCCGGCGTGCTACAACAGCTTGGTCTACAATGCGCAGCGCAACAAAGTGGAAGCACACTGCCGCGCCTCGTGCGAGGACGGACGGGCATTCATCCGGCACAGTGTGATCCAGGCATGGGATGCTGCTTTCCCTGCGGAAGATCCGTCGTTGATCAGCGGACGTCAAAAACGGCGTCAACGTCGCGAGCAGCAGCAGCAGCAGCAGCAGCAGCAGTCACAGCCTGCAGCGCCAGCGCCAGCGGCACCAGCACAGCCGGCTGGTCGTCCACGCCGTCTGGTGGACCACTTTACCATGAATTTGCCCGCTACGGCGCTAGAGTTCCTGGATGCCTACCGTGGACTGTATTCGCATTTGGCTGCGCATGCAGGTCGCGAGGCTCTGCAGGCCGAATTGGAGGCACGGGCCACGATGGAAGAGGTCGAACCATACCCTATGGTCCATGTACACTGCTTTACCAAAGATGTCGAGCATGCCGGTACGGATATTTGTGCGGTACGTATGTCAAATGACTAACATGTAGCGTGCTAGTGCTGCTTTAGGTCTCGAAGGGGAGGCATGTTTGCAGCCACCGGGCACGCCCAACGCCACACGCGACTTGTCGTTGCATCTCGTGCGATCGGTGGCGCCCAACAAAGACATGTACTGCCTGAGTTTCCGACTTCCGCCTTCAGTCCTATTCAGCTAAATCTACACTATGCCACAGCAATACTGGCGGACTGGTCCAGCACACTATATTGAAAGTCCAGAATACCTTCGCGTGTCAACAAAATCTCACGCAGCTCGTCTGGTGGGTCCTCGCCGATATCTTTCGCACGCTGCCAACGTTCAAGGCGCGTCATACCCATGCAAGGGCCATATCTGTAGATGTAAGTAGACGTGAGTACCTACGTTGGATCCATGTCAAACACACGCAAAATATGCTCGATACGATTGGTCGACGCGGCGTGGACTGGGTCAGTAGGGAAGAACGTACTTGGCTCCATGCCCATGGTCTTCTTAGCATGCTCCCATAGCGCATCGTACTTAGCACTCTCCGTGTCGAGCGTCGGCCGCCCTTCCGCCTGTTTTAGCAAGGCCGGGGGATACGTCCGTGCAGGCGGCTCCGCTGTCTTGGGCGGTACCTCCACAGCCGCTTGCACGGCCTTGGCGGCTTGGTCAATCTTAGCCGCCCGTTTCCCAGAGGCACGCGCTATGGACGAGCGCGCCTTGGCGCTGGTAAGGCCCAGCGCTTGGCCAGGCTTGCTCCGTGACGTCGGCATACGAACGGAAAGTAAAAGAGGCGGCGCGAGAGCGTAGTGGATGTTGTATCTTGCACGTGACATGACAGCTTGCTCGCTCTGGCCTAGCGTGGGGCCGTGGGGAGCGTGCTAAGCGCCAGTAGGCAAAGGCTACATGCGCTATGTCGTAGAACGATCTATTTTGGTCCAAGTATGCTTTGGGTAGTGCACAGCGTACGCTGCCATCGTGTTGCGAGGCAAAGAACTGGGACCGAAGAGGGGTCCAACCTGTAACCAGCACTGGACTCACTTTTTGCTTATGCAAGCAGCCTGTTGAAGCGTGGAGATGCGCAACACAACACACCGAGTGGGCTTCCTACATACGCTATCAAGCCTCTCGGCTCGACACTTGCTGTCATGGACGCATCAGCGAAACGGGCGCCCCCGAGCTTGTCGCCCGAGAAGCGCGTACCCACAGCCCCGGCGCGCAAGTTGGGCTCGGGTGCGCCGCGCCAGCATAGCCGTACAGCCTCGCTGTCTGCCCATGCCGCGCCGATCACCGATGTCATTCCGGAGAATTCCACAGACGATACCAGTGCCAAACAGAAACGTGAGCACTCCAGAAATTTTTCACGAATTCATTCCCGCAACTTGTCGGCGTTTTTTCCTCGTCCAGGCACAGAGGCCGAACGTGAAATGCAGACCGCCAAGGCGAATAACCTCGAAGCTCCGGTGGGCGAGGCGCCCGCTGGCGAATTGACACCAGAACAAGCTTCTCTAGAGAAACGGAGGCACCGACGAAACGAGCGCAGAGTAAGCTACTTACTTGCCCATGCGGCCAGCGAATCGGAGCAAACGCCGCGTTGGCCTTCCTCGTCGCAGTTGGCACCCGGTACGTTGACGTTGCACAGCATCACTGACATCCAGTCACACCGGATCTGTCCCAACTTATATCCCCTGACATAAGCAGGCATCGAAGCACCTCTGCCGCATGGTCGTCTTTGCCATCTCGGTCGGTGTCAGGTGTATACTCGCCCGTGGAAGCAACTACACCCGAACCTACACAAGCATTGCCATGCAGTAAGTCGACCTTATTGGGATACAGTGCCATCCATTTCAGCGTCGGTGTAGTGCTATGGGTACTAGGTCAAGTGCGTGACTCGCTGGCATTGGTTGGCTTCGGTTTGTTGATGGTATTCGATACGCTGGGCTTGATCCACGCCGCCATCTCGCCTTTATGGGCCAGCACCACGAGTGATGAAAAGTCATTGCAGCGGCCCTACGGGCTTCTTCGTGTGGAGACGCTGTATGACTTTTCCGCTGTGGTCTACCTGCTCTTTGCAGGTATCTATATGTGCAAGGAGAATGCCGAGCATGCCTTGCTAGCGTCCAGCTCGCCGCATGAAGAGGATCGTGATGGACTGCACTTACCTAGCCTTTTGTTGTGCCTAGTACTTCTGTTATGTATTGGCACCAATGTGGTTTTGCGGAATCATGCACGTCTAGCCGCGGCTTGTGGGATCAACAATGAAGCCGTGAACACCAATTTGGATGGCAGACATACAAAGCGTACTCATACGCGCAATACGTCCGTCCTTGCCCGCCCTATCATGGCGGCAGGTCCCATGTATGATGCGTTTATGAATCCGTTCTCTGCAATGATCTTGTTCTTTGCCATGGTGCTGGCAGTTGCCGCCTTTGTCTTGCCCCCTGCGAATGCCTCGGCGTTTGACAAGATTCTTGCAGGCCTCGAAGGTGCAAGTATGATGTATGTGAGTGTGACAGCGCTCAAGCCCTTGTGCAAGATTCTGTTACAGGCATCTCCGCCCAGTACCAACGTGCAAGTGCCGCAGCTGTACCGGGCATTGCACAACATTGAAAGTCATCATGCGGTGGTTCGCTTGAACAGAGTGCAGATGTGGCAGCTGACGTTACCATCGCTTGTGTTTAAGCAGAGCAGTGCGGGTGTCGAGCAGAAGACCGGGCTTGCTGGCGTGATGTCGAAACGTTCAGACAGCAAACAAGCATCCTTGGTTGTTCATATGCATGTGCATGTTAAGCAAGATGCGACAGAGCGTGATTGCATGGAGGTAACGCAATTCGCTTGGCAGCAATGTGCCCCGATTCTCGGTGTGTCGCCCCATGTGAAACCTGGCGATGCCTTGCATGGCTCTCGCACGGCAGGGGACCTCGTCATTCAGGTGACACGAGAGGGTGAACAATTACCCCATGATCATCACAGTCATGATCATGACCATCATCATCACCACAGTCATCACCATCACCATCATGACCACAGCCATGGTCATAACCATGAGCACCATACGCACCATCATGACCACAGCCATGAGCACCATAAGGAGTCGTCCTCGGCCAAGATGCCACTACCTTCAATTGTATCCGAAGTCGTGGAGCCATAATACCCAGTTTGTAGTACATATTTATAACCTACGTTCTGTTTAGTCCATACGGCATTTGAGTGTCCGCTCAATAACCTTGTCGGGTGTGCTGCATGTTAGCCAGGTCACAAAGAGATACATACATAATGCGCACAATGACACCCATACCGGAAAGCGCGTCGCGCTCAATACCACCAAGCATGGTCTGTGAAATCGTCTCGAACAGGTCTTCCGGCTCCAAATCCGGCTCCCATAAACCTTCTGCCATACCAAACAAGCGGTCGCTGGCCGTGCCACTCACGACAAAGTCTTTCGCAAAGTTCAAGCACCCAATTAGGTCAGATGCCGCAATAAACGGCTCATTTTTGGAGTTAAGGCCTGCTACGACAGGCTCGATAAAGTAAGGGCCAAATCGTCGCTCATACAACGTCGAGCTCATGAGGTGCGCAAACGTCTCAGGTTCAATATCGCGGTCTTCTTTCATGCGGTACATATTGAGACGGTATCGGAACTTTTCACGGAGAGTAGCTACATCGGTAGCAAGGCCTGGCAAGCCAACGTATGTGCGGTCCGTCATTTTGAATACCTTGTCGAACTGTGTCGAGAGAAGCAGGGCCTGGTTGCCGAGGCGGAGGTCGGAGGCAATGGCCACGCAGTTCTTGCCTTTCATGGCAATGACACTGCCACCATTGTATTCCATAATACTCACTGTACTGTTAGTCGATCATCATCCCTCTCTCTTTACCTACTCTTGACAAGCTGGCTAGGTAGCGGTGAGGACAACGCGCACGCACGTCGTCACGCAGAGCGTGGAGCAAGCCGATCACTCACGTGATAGTGCCACCTTGTCCCAGGCGGCGAGGGGCCCCTACGCGTGGAGCACATCACATAGCGACACAAGGCGGAAATAGCCATGAACCCACAAACGCGGAAATGGTTGGGCGACTGTATGTACAATACGCAAAGCATGCTAATGTCAAAGTGGCTACCGCCGGTGCCATGTCGATTATGTCGTACTTTGTACTCAAGGTAAGTGACAACGCACCCTTGAAACTGACTGGCCAGTACGCGTTGGAACACATGGATCCCAACCGCCAGAAAAAGCAGGACGCTAAGAAAGTATCAGAGACCAAGCTTGGAAAGCTCGGTGTGAACCGAAAGGATATCAAACTGAATGAATACGAAGGTATGTAGTAAATGTCTAACCGTCAGAGCAAATCGCCATGGAGCTGATCTTGCCGGAAGACATCCCCGTGACGTTCGAATCGATCGGCGGTCTAGACGGTATTATCTCGAGCCTGCAGGAGAGCGTGATTGCACCTCTTTGCTTCCCCCAACTGTTTAGCAGCACGAACGGCTTGCTCGGCGCACCCAAGGGTGTGCTTTTGTACGGTCCCCCTGGTACTGGTAAGACGATGCTGGCCAAGGCGCTCGCGAAAGAAAGCGGCGCGACTTTCATCAATATGCATGTGTCGACGTTGACGAACAAGTGGTTCGGTGAGTCGAATAAGCTGGTGGCTGCCCTCTTTGGCTTGGCGCGCAAGCTGCAGCCGACCATTGTTTTTATTGACGAGATCGACAGCTTCCTGCGCGAGCGTGCATCGGGTGATCATGAAGCAATGGCTATGATGAAGGCAGAGTTTATGACGCTATGGGACGGTCTTACCTCATCTAACGACCGCATCCTTGTGCTGGGCGCGACCAATCGCCCGGCGGACATTGACGCAGCGATTCTACGCCGTATGCCAAAACGCTACGCTGTGGGGCTACCTGATCCTGCGCAGCGCAAAAAGATTCTGGCCATCATGCTCTCCAACGTGCCGTGCAACTCGTCGTTCAACTTGGACGAGATTGTGCGCAAGACGGAAGGGTACAGCGGTAGCGATCTCAAGGAGCTGTGTCGTAATGCTGCCATGGTACCTGTGCGGGAAGTCTTGCGTAGTCAATCCGGCCGGGAGTCCGTCGAACGGGCGCGCATCAACTCCAAGGCGGGCAACACTGATGCCAATAATTTGGCGATGACCGTGCGACCCCTGAAGAACTCGGACTTTTTCCAAGTGGATACGGCGTTGCCAAGCAGCCATACTGAGCAGGAAGCGCTGGATTAGAGAGTCTATAGGAGGTAATATCTCATACACGACAGTTGTTGATGCTCAGAATCAAAATGTCGCTGGCGCCTACACTCTCGAGCTTGTCCATAATGGTGGCCACTTCGCTGCGGGACACCATGCTTGACACGGCGTTCCAGTCAGACTCTTCCAACGGACTCACAGTCGCAGCACGACGGCCAGGAGTAATCTCCAGCGCCTTGGCGAGGTTGTGCTTCTGAATGTTGTATTGGCACAGCACATACTTCGATGCTGCGATCACACCACGGATACGTGCGGTGATCAGGTTGATAAGTTCGGTGTTCGTGCGCTCATGGGGCTGGGTAGGACGAATCAAGACAGCTTCCGACGAAAGCAGCGTCGAAATGGGCTTCAGACCGCAAGCACGCATCGTCTCCCCTGACTCGACCAAGTCAACAATACCATCAGCGAGGCCGAGGGCGCACGCCGCTTCCACACTGCCGTTCAGGTACTGGATCTTCGTCGCGAGTTGGCCATTAGGCAGGGCCTTACCAGCCTCAGCCTCGATTTTGCGGAAGTACTCCCCAGCGATATGGTCAAAGCTGGTTGCCACGTTCTTTCCGACAAGATCATGCACACTCTGAATACTCTCGCTGTTCTCCGGCACCTGCACCTGGAGCTTGCACTTGCCGAAACCCAACGCAAGCGCCTCTGTGATCGCATCCGACACCGCCGGACCCGACTCCTTCACCATATCCTGCCCGGTAATACCGAGGTCGACGTTACCATTCGCTACAAAGCGAGGAATATCAGCAGCTGGCAGGAACACCAGTGCAATCGGCAGGTTGGTCACAAGTGCGACATCCAAACGGTGCGCACGCTTAAACTGGATGTCCGCACCGTTCAACAACGTCAGACACGTCTCGTAAAGACGGCCTGGGCAGTGTCAGGCAAATACCTGGTACAATACATACCCTTCTTGGGAATGGCAAACAGGAGACGGTTCTGTAGGTTCTCCGGACGAAGCAGCTGCGACATGGTACGTTCGAAACAATGCTTATGTGCAATGGCCGCGTGTGAATCATATAGCACGTGTCGCCAAGACGGCGCTTTTGCTTACGTTTTTTCGAGGGCGAAAACAACGCCCAAGCCACGCGAGTGTACGCCTCCGCAACACAAGGTAGGGCTCCCTAGGGCGAACGCACAAGATGCGTTGCACGAACTGTGGCTCCTTGGCCATTGATTTCGCCGACTCCCAGGCAGTATGTAGTGCTTGTGGTGTCGTGCTGGAAGAGTCCCAAATTGTCAGCGATATCACATTCGCGGAAAATACGGCGGGTGGCGCTGTGGTGCAAGGCAGCTATCTGGGTGCCGACCAAGTGCGTGCTCGTACGTCTGGCCCAGGCTTCCGTGGCAGCTCCGCAGGTGAATCACGCGAATGCACCATTGCAAATGCCCGGTGGAACATCAATCGCATGGCTACAGCGCGTGGGGTGCCTGCCCACGTAGCCGAACGCGCGCTGCGGTTCTTTCAGCTGGCCTTGGACGGTGGTACCACCACCGCATCAGGTTCTCAGCCCAAGAACTTTGTGTTGGGTCGGAAATCAGACTATACTGTGGCATCCTGTCTCTATGTGGCATGTCGTATGGCCAAAACCACACATATGCTCATTGACTTTGCCGATGTCATTCAAGTCAATGTGTTCGTGCTAGGCCGAAGTTATCTACGTCTGCTACGTGTGCTGAACCTGCAAATGCCACTAATTGACCCATCTTTCTATATCAGTCGATTCGCCGCGCTCCTTGAATTCGGCGATGAGACACAACGTGTCGTGACAGACGCGACGCGGTTGGTCACGCGTTTCAAAACAGATTGGATGGTCGAAGGACGTCGCCCAGCTGGTATCTGTGGCGCGTGTCTACTACTAGCCGCACGTATGAACCATTTCCGGCGGTCTGTGACGGAAATTGTACAGGTCGTGAAGATCGCAGACGTTACGCTGCGGAAGCGGTTGGAAGAATTCAAATCGACACCGAGTGGTCAGCTCACCATCGAGGACTTCCGCAGCGTATGGCTAGAAGAGGAAAACAATCCGCCAGCTTTCTCTCGCGCTCGAGCGCCAAAGAAAGAGAAAGAATCAGCCTCGCAGTTGAATGATATGGAAGCCCCGGTACCTGCAACCACAGAACCACTGCGAGGTGATATTGACCAGCTGGCAGACCAAGCGACAGAGCAGGAGATCAACTCTTTCCTTCGCCAAGCTGAGATCCAGGCGCTCGATAATGATCTTGCGGAAGAAGAACGGCAACGTGTGGAACGTGCGAAAGCCGGTCACATTCCGCGCCCGGACGAAGCGGCTATGCCAGCGACAGAGAGCGTGGAGGCGGACCGAGCGCAAGAGGCGAGTGAAGAGGGGGAGGCGGCAGCTGCGAAGGAAACAAGGACCCAGGATGATTTGGACGATTTGGACGAAGATGAACTGGACAGCTTTATATTGTCCGAAGAAGAAGTCAAAATCAAAGAACGCGTGTGGATGGAATTCAACAAAGATTATCTAGAAGCGGCGCTGGCTCGTCAGTTGAAATTGGAAGCAGATCAGAAGGCTGGCATTGCACCAGCTCCACGGAATCGCAAACGACAAAAGCCGCGCGATGGAACGACAGCGCCAACGCAATCCGCCGCGGAATCCGCCAAGCAAATGATGCAGCAGAAGCGCTGGTCGCGACGCATTAATTATGATGTTCTAAACAGTCTGTTTCCTGGTGCGCATGGTACTGGTAAGGAGAACTTGGCGCCCAATACCAAGGTCGCCGCATCTCAAGCTACGACGACCAATCCCCGCGACATGGAGGACGACAGTGAGGAAGAGGAGGACGAGAGCCAAGATGAGGGCGACGCAGGCGATGGTCCACTCTCCAAGCGCTCTCGTACATCCTCTGATTGGATGGCACTAGGTGGTCTCACACGACCAGAAGAAGAAGACACCTATGCGGACGACTATGACGATGCTTGGTGAGGCATCGCGCGAGTATGGTAGATCGTGTCTGTATTAATTCGATACCCCTTTTAGAAATTGTGGAGGTCTGCCGAGTACTATGAGTCCCTACCAGTCGCTCCACCGCGCACATCACCGGCAAGGTATTAAGGTGTAGCCAACCAGATCATTTTTATAACACATGCGTGTACCCAACCGAGGGTATCGTGCCGCCATGCATCGACATTGGTGGGCATCTCGGCCTTTTTTTGGTGCAAGGAGATTGTTTCAAGCGGCAACTACTGTCCGACGAGTTGGGCCTACAGAAAATAATCGCTTTACAAACAATAAAAAGGCACCGCCAGGCCCCATCCGTTTTTCATCAGTTTGTACGATGTCGCCTGTGGCTACAAAGGACAAGGGAAAAGAGACTGAGAAGAGTCCTTCCAAGGTTTTCTTCTCGAGCTTTGATGTCTCGGAACAAGTGTTCTACAGTGCGGATGATGCTGTCGCTCTGGTGAACCTCAAGCCTGTGGTGCCTGGTCATGTGCTTGTGATCCCACGCACCCAGTACCGCCGTTTCGCGGACATCCCACCTGCAGAGGTGGGGGCTCTCTTTGAAGTCGTGCAGAAAGTCGGTACCATTGTGGAGAACGCGTATAGTGGTACGGCACTCACGATTTCCGTGCAGGATGGTGCGTCTGCGGGTCAGACAGTGGACCATGTGCATGTACACATCCTGCCGCGTCGTGAGGGTGATATTGAGCCGAACGACAAGGTGTACGACATGCTAGAGACCTTTGGTCTGGAGCTCAACAATGTCCAGGCTGGAAAGAAGATGGACAGTGAGCGCAAGCCTCGTTCCATGAAGGAGATGAAAGCGGAAGCCAAGTGGCTCAAAGAGCAGTCGAACAAGGTGCTTGGCAAGCAACGCAAGGGCAAACTCCCTGTGACGCTGCTGAGCGGATTCCTGGGTGCCGGTAAGACGACGCTCTTGCGTCATATTCTGTCGAGCCCGGACCACGGCCTGCGTATTGCCGTGATTGTAAACGATATGAGCGAGCTAAACATTGATGCTCAACTGATTGCTGGCCGTCGTCTCATCCAGGGCAATGAGCACCTCATTGAGATGTCGAACGGCTGCGTGTGCTGCACGCTGCGTGCTGATCTGCTCGAGGAGGTTGCGGTCCTGGCGCGTGACCGTCATATTGACTATTTGGTCATTGAGTCGAGTGGTATTTCCGAGCCGATGCAGGTTGCTGAGACGTTCAGTGCTGAGTTCTCAGAGAATGCGGTGGACGATGAGCGAGTCGCTGCCATTCTCCAGCGTGGTGGCTTGCCAGCCGTGGCGCAGCTCGACACTTGCTGCACGGTTGTGGACGCCGCCAGTGTATTCCACGACTTCCACACGTCCGACTTTTTGGTCGATCGTCATGCGGGCATGGTGCCAGAGGAGGACGACCGCAACATTAGTGACCTCATGGTTGACCAACTTGAGTTTGCTGACTGTGTGATTGTGAACAAGAGCGATCTGGTGTCGGCAGATGCGCTGAAACAGGTGATCTCCCTGGTCAAGAAGCTCAACCCGTCGGCAAACATTATTCCTGCATCGCATGGCAAAATTGACGTGAAGGCCGTCCTAGGCACCAAAAGCTTCAGCTTTGAGAAAGCTGCTATGAGTGCCGGCTGGCTGCGCAGTCTGGTCGAAGACGTGAAGCCTGAGACGGAAGAGTACGGTATTAGCAGTTTTGTGTACCGTGCCCGTCGCCCCTTCCATCCTGAGCGTCTATGGAAGACTATCCGCAACTGCTTTGTCGTGATCCAGGAAGAGTTTATGGATGACGGTGTCGAAGAAGGCGAAGAAATGGATGAAGATGAGAAGGAAGACAAGGGAGAGGGCGAGAAAAAGGATGGCGAAGACATCGAGGTCGATGGCGAGGACGAGGACCAGCCAGCTTTGCGCCCGGAAGCTCGTCTCAAGTGCAAGCGTGAGTCGAAGGTATGGGGTCCACTGCTTCGATCCAAGGGCTTCTTGTGGCTGGCCACACGCCCGTTGATGTTTGGCGAGTGGTCGCAGGCCGGTGTGATGCTCACTCTCACTGGTGGTGCCCGCTGGCGTTGTGAGGTGCCTGACGAGGACTGGCCTGAGGACGAAGAGATTGTTGCGGCGATCAAGAAAGACTTTGACCCCAACACGCCCTGGGGTGACCGTCGTCAAGAGCTGGTGTTCATCGGTAACGGCATTAGCATTGATGCGATTCGTGAAACTATGAACGCATGCCTCCTTAACGATAATGAATGGAAGCAATGGGAGGAGATTATGAGCAAGGACATGACGATGGAGGAGAAGCATGAGGCTTTGGTCGAGATCTTTGATGACGGTTTCGAAGACTGGGTCGATCAAGAAGAGGACGACCACGACCACGAGCATGACCACATGGACGAAGCGTAAAATTAGAGAGCGCCAGCTGCTACAGAGATCATGACGCCCAGTGCAGCAAACAAAAGTGCGCCTGTGACACAAGCCAGCACAAAAACTAGACATATGTAAGCCACTCATGCCACGTAGAAAATACGTACCTTCCACACGGCTAGGAATGAACAAGCCTTTGATCATAGTGTTTTGGGTCTGGAAAAAGCGGGACGTGCCGCACAACAAAATAAAGATCCCGACGCCGACGAACGAGATACCGATAGGAGTGCCGCTGGTCTGGTAAGCATAGTCGATACCTACAGCCGTTGCAGAGAGTGCAGACGCACTTTGCTGTTAATTTGTTTAGCCTCGCCGCGCAAGAACGCCAAACTTCCCTGGACCTTCTTTTCATCCTCGTCCAGGATCAGTTCCGGTAGACGAAAGAGCTGTGCAATGGCGCTTGCCTGTTAGCAAAAAAAGTACATACACGCCAATCGCGACCAAGCTTAGGGACGTGCGCATCCATGCTAGGAATGTTCGTTCCAGTGCAAGATGGTCACGAGCTACAGAGCCCTTGTTTTCCAGCTCATAGGAGATTTGGAACATGGTGGACACACAAAAGGCTGCTATGCCCTGCCGAGAGGGGACGTGTGGCCCGATTGACACTGTATCACCCGATCGGGACTGGAGTTGGGCCGCACGGATCCCATGACTCTCGCGGAGGACAACCATGCTATTCCCAGCGTATGTCAAGTCCATTGTCAAGTACAAAAGCCCACATGCGCAAGATTTATCCTTTGCAAAAGGAGAGACTATTTGTGTGACGGGCTATGCGGATCGTGGTACGGAGGACGAGGAGGAAGATGAAGATGATCGTTGGTACATGGGCCATGCCTTAGACCAATCACGCCAGGGTCAATTTCCTGCGAGTTTGGTTGTGCCTACAGACCCACCAGCGGTGAAAGAGGCGCAAGAAGTATCACCAGCGGAACCGGAAACCCCAGACAAGATGACGAGCGAGCCTACTACCACAGACGGCGGTAGCGCCGCAGCAGGGGCTGCGCCTGCTGCGATGGTCGGCGGGCTGGCCGCTGGTACGGCAACCGCTGCACCAAGTGTTACGAAGCAGGATCATTTTGTTGAGGAGGGCGAGTCTAGGGAAAAGACGATGGAAGCGGCTTCCGTCCAAGACAGACCGACCCCCCCGATGCCCACGTCGACATCCACAGCGCCGAACCGGGAACCAACGCCTGAAGAGAATATCCAAACAGACGCACCTATGACGCCGTCCAATGGCTTGGAAAAAGTCTCGGCATCGAGCACAGAAGCGCCTCAGACACACCCTGCTATGGCTGAGACGGAAGAAAAAACCGCGATTCTTCCGGCCAGTACAGAAGATAGCAGTGTGGCTCCTGCGCCTGTGCCTGTTCCCACTACAGCCTCTACCTCTACTCCGTCTACAACCTCAGAGTCCGAGATTGATCCAAGCCGCCTATCCCTTCGTGATCGTATTGCGGCATTTAACAAACCCGTGGAGAAAAAGCCGCCGCCACCGATTCCACGCGGCAAACCTGGGGGATGGAAACGCCCTCCGCCCGCAGAAGGGTCCGAAAAACCCTTGCTGCCAAGTGACCCACCGCCTGCTATAGCTGCAACGCGGTCCAGTGTGCCTCCAGCCAAGCCGGTGGCGACCTCAGACCATGTGGACTCCAGTGCCGAGACGGCTACATCGTCGTTCAGCGCCTCTGATGCGAAAAGTAGTATCAAGATGAGCCTGAAGGAACGCATGGCGGCGCTGCAGCGCAAAGAAGCCGAGCCCAAAGTATCAGAACCTCCTGTGGTTGAACGATCTGTGCCTGCCAGTGATGTCAAAGCAGCAATAACAGAGCCAGCTCAAGAAGGTAGCGAGCTTGTGAGTCCTGACGAAGCCGAGCGTCGCGCCTCTATCGCACGTCGTATGGCCGCACTTGGTGGACGTCGTATGGATGCAGGTCTCTTTGCCCCGCCACCGCCTGTGGTTGCCTCCAAGCCGGAACCAGCAACAGAAGAGGCCTCCGAAGAAAGCACGCTGCCAAACGTGACAGAGGCAGAACCGGCGGCACCTGCTATGACCGCTGAGACCGACTCAATGGCGCCTCAACCTCTGGCTGTACCACGCCGTACTGCAGCCCCACGAACACGACGTGCAAAGACGTCAGAGTCTGTCCCATCCCCTCCCGCCGAAGCGCAGCCTGTGCTGAATGAGCCTGTCTCTGACGGGACAGCCGTGCTGGAAGAATCGGGTGAAGCATTGCCAGAGACAGACAAGAACGTACCTCCGCCAGCAACGGAGATAGCGCCCGCTGGGCAGAAGGACACGTTGACGGAGCAAGCGCCGCCCATGGATGCTCCTTTTGCAGCCGTGGATGAGCCGGCGATAGACACTGAAGCTCCGAGGGAGCCATCGATACCAGCCTCGTCTTCTCGGCCTGTTTTGCTACACGACCTGGCTGCACCTCTGCCACAAAAAGAAGGAACGATGACGTTGCACAACATGACTAGTATGAAAGAAGCGCTACCAACGGCTGAGCCTGTGACAACAACAGCCATGCCAACAACGACAACCCCCACGGAAATGAGTCCATCGACGGCGCCAACGTCCGTGCCTCTTCTTCCGTCTGTGGTGCCAGATGCGACGATGATCGCAACACTACCGCCTGCAATGTCAACACAGCCCGTGGAAGCGCCAGCGGACTTTGAAGAACAGCGCCACATGCTAGAAAACCTACTTCAAAGCCCAGAGGCAACGTCCGCCCCAACAGCCTTGCCGGTGGAGAAGACGCCCCAAGACCTGTCCGCCTCTGAGTCCGTGGTGCCGTCCACAGACTCAGAGCAGGAGAGACGTGACTCTATTACGCAGCGCTTGCAGCGCATGGGAGGTCAGCGCATAGCCGGTATGAGCCCAGCCCCCGTCATGGGCATGCCGATGCCCGTACGCAAAGCCACTCAAGAATCCACAGGGGAGACACAAGACTCGCTGTCTCCTACGGCTATGACAAGCCCAGTCGAAGCGCCTGTACATGGCGAGGCGTTGCCGCCCCGTCCTATGCGTCGGGCGCCTACTTTGCCACCTATGAACACGGACATAGACACGGCAACGCAGGACGAGGCAGCTCCTGTCCTCTCCCCAGAAGCACCCAGGCCAATGCAAGCGGAGATCATGGTGGATACATCCATGTTACCTCCGAATGCGACCACATCCACATCACCGAGCGAGACAAGCCCTGCGCAAGCCCGGCCTATGCGGGCACCACCGCGTGTCCCCCCTCCGCCCCCACCAAGTACATAACTACGTAGGGCGAAATGGACAGATTTCCTCCACTTGTACGTTCTTGATTGCTTTGTCGATTTTTGTAGACACCGTCATGGTGCGATTTAAGGTAGGCACACATGCTGAGTCTAACCAAAGAACCGCTGGCTTCTTTTATCGATTGTATCTGAACCACCAGCAGTGCCGGACAATTTAGGGAACGATATTCCCTTCAAGCCGCGTGCGCCGAACCTCAATGGCTATACCATAACCAAAGCACTTCGTGCTTCTCTGCAGCAAAATTTCGGCGATGCTGCGTCTGGCGCGTATGCTGGGCCGCTAGCGTGCAAATACTACTCTCCCAAATCGGGGCTTGGTATAGTGCGATGTGCGCGTGACGCGGCTCGCTATGTATGGGGTGCCGCTACGCTTCTCCAAACTATCGATGGACAGCGTGTCAGTATATACGTGCGAGCTTGTGGTGGTATGTTGCTTGCTCTTTTCACTAACTTCCATGTAGGTACCATTAAAAAGGTGCAAAATAAGGCCATCTCTATCGATAAAAGCTACATCCTCAAGATTGAGCAAGCTAAGCAGAGCAAACAAGGCGTACCCATTCCCATGGCAGCACATACCGAGGTTCTCGAGATACCTACTGACTTTGAAGCTATGGACGAAGATATGGGAACTATTGTCGATGAAGAAGATATCGGCGCGCCGATGGATAATCATCAGAGCTTGGTTTCCCTCAAGGCTGCACCACAAAGCGAAAACGATGATGATCCTCTTTCGACAAAGGAAGATATAAATTTGCCTCAAAACGTACTTGAATATCTCAAAAAGAGCAAAGAAGAGATTCTGAGCATCGCACAATCCTAACAACACAGCACCAAAATACCCTTGGATTCAAGGTGGGCTTTATCTAGACTTGAGTTGTGCAGTGATTTATACCAAAATGTGAAATTATCTCTCAGTCTGTGTCTCGTTGGTGTAGTTGGTTATCACGTCGGTCTCATAATATGATCGCGCTTGGCGCGAGTGATTGATATCTGGAGGTCGCCAGTTCGATCCTGGCACGGGACAAACTTTTTATGTACGCTACTGCGTAGTAGTCGTTATGGTGCTTCTTTATTTTTGGGCGTTATAAGCTCAAATTACTAGGAGGGAAGAGATCTATGGAATCAGTACTCTATACTTGGTCATCAATGTGGTTTTTGGTTATCAAAAAGTGCCTTGAAGAATTTTCTCTTGGATGAATCGTAGGCGTTCCTCAACAGACGAAGACCTAATATAGGTAATGACAATGCGCGATGGCTAATATGTTGTCTCGTTGGTGTAGTTGGTTATCACGTCGGTCTCATAATATGATCGCGCTTGGCGCGAGTGATTGATATCTGGAGGTCGCCAGTTCGATCCTGGCACGGGACACTTTTTGCTCCTCAAGAATATTGCCAATTTTTATGTAGTGCTTGGGTGTGATTGTAACCAGTACACATATATATCCCTCCCTGTCTTGAAAACCTACAAAAAAAATAACGAAACTATGGTAGACTATTTTTAACAAACTCTGCTAATTTATCAGTGGAAAAAATGTCGTCAACCACCATATTTGTCTCCGTTGGTGCTGGGAACATGGTGGATGCAAAACTCGTGTCTGCATTCTGTTCCATACCTTGTGACAAGATCCATTCCCAGAAGCCATCCATATCAGGTCCAGCAGAGTTTTGCAAGCCTGTAGGGCGTACATAGCTAGCGTCTCCTTGTCGTACCTCCATACCATTTACAGGCGCGTTTGAATTTCGGGTATCAGAGTTCGTCGCATTTACTGGCAAGGTCGTTGGGATCGTACTCATCATGTTAGGATCCAACGCGAGATTTGGGAGGGAAGAACCTGGTGATGTTTGGGACGAATTTTCGCGCCCATCTAGGAATGTAGAAAGATCAAAGGGCGCACCCCGTCTGGAAGCACGACGGAAGGGGGCTTCAACGCCTGTTTTGGTCACTTGATAAGGGTCAAATTGCGTATACGCAGGTTGGAGTGGTGGAAAGTCAGATAAGAGCGGTGCAGAGGAAGGAGATGATCCATCTTGCGATAGCGGTGAAAGGCCTTTCTCTGAACTAGATCCGGATGCTGTGCTGCTGGCTCCACTGCTAGGATGAGAGGCCTTTGCTACACGTTTAGCCAAGTTTAGCATTCTGTATTTATACCCTTGAAGGTGTTGGCCATTTCCAGGCTGCGAAATAAGATCCCATTGTGCTTGCTCTTCTTCCAGTAGCACTTCGACAATGCGAATACCTCGTGGATCGATGTTGGATTTACGAGATGCATCGTACATTGCTTGTAGTCCATCGAGAATTTCACTCCGCATTACACTTCGCTCATAAGCAGGGGGTGGTAGGTATAGAAGGTTCAAACATAACACCACAGTTGACATAAACGTTTGCAATACACTCATAATGAGCAAATCTGGCAAATCCGACTTTTCGCGAATCGATTTCTGCAGTGAGAGCGTTTTTCGTGCCATTTGGACACATAAGCGCCGCGAGTTTTGATTGCTTAAAGAATTGCGATGAAGTTGGAACATCTTGTTAAATGCCCCCACCTGGAAAGCCCAACGCTCCACTTCAACGATTTCCTCCAGATCTGGACGGACGGGAGAGTGCGACAAAATAGGGGCATTCTCAAGTACCGTGCGATACTTTGTATCAAGCAAATCAATCGTTTCGGGAGGAAGAGTCACTGAATTTTTGCCCGTCTTCACTTCCAACCGGTAAATAATCTCTGCTTGCTCACGATACACGAGTGTTAGATCAATAAATGACAGCATGTAGCTCATGTCAGTCACGACGTCTCGCGGATGGGGAGCTGGGAATGGTACGCTGAGTAAATCAGCATCATTGTAGTTGCCTGGCATGGGCGTGTTGAAATAGTCCAGCAAGGCTACACTAGGAATGGTCGTGGTAATATCACGCCATTCGTATAGTATCAGAGCCCACCATATACGCTTGGCAAGCTCGCGCCGTATCATATACTCAGGCGTCGCATTGGTGGGTGGCTGCCTGGCTTTATCACCAAGGCGGTGCAACCCAATGCTTTGCGCATTTGTCAATGCGATGCGAATGAGCCCATGGTTTGCCTCTGTTGTCCGAACACAATAAAGGGACAATAGTAAAATGGTTTGAATCACAGATAGTCTGGGTGACCCAATAAATCCCGATAAAACTAGCACAGTTTTGGTTGCACTGTGCCATAATGTGCAATATTGAGGATTCGTAAATGGTCCCAAAAGATCTTTAGGAATTTTGTCGCTTTTGGGACGGAACTGTACGGCCAATGTGAAGGTCATAAGAATGATACCTAGCCAGCAAGTATCGACATGCTCGATAACAGATGCTCGTCTTTGAGGGCAATCCAAGGCATAAAATATCTCTAATTCCTTGCGAAGCGTTGGAACATGAACAACGCTGTATGTGAAAGGCAGTACACGTTTTTCGAAAATATCCAACAACGCCATAGCTTGTTCACGATTGGGCAGCTCTTGAATAATTCCTGCCAAAATAGCAATACGTTGTGAAGAAATACCTGGCTCCGAGTAGTTCTTTTCTGTGGATATCATAGAGTGAGTACGGCATATCTCTTCCCCTGCGGCAATAGCCCAACCAAGACCCCAACCTAAAGATGATTCAGTGAGACTGTACAGTTTAAAGGCACCCCGATTTTGGCTCGCTGCAAGTAGCGGCGATACAACACTTGTATCGTATTGGTTCACTTCTGTGATCTCAATGTCTTCCGAAGATGAAGGGAGCCAGTCAGTAGGGATGCGACTTTCTTCATGTGCGCATTTTTGGAATGTCGCTTTGGGTGCCTGAAGCGGATCGACTAACGAGTCGTCTTCGCATTCGGCGCCGCTGTTATTCCCAAGAGAATAAGTAGGCTCCTTTTCCTCTCGAAGAATACTTCCTGCATGATGCCGCTGCAAAGATAAGGCTCCTTTCATCGTAAGTCCTTCTAACAATACGGCTGCCGCCTCAGCGTCGTAGTCATGTTTGGCTGTGGCCTCATCTGTCCGATAAAGAGAAGGAGTAGACGCACTGCTGTATGGGGATGTGTTTGCATCTGCAGACGGTGCCGCAGTAAGCGCAGGTTGTTGCTCCGTAGTAAGGTCTGTGCTATGCTTTTGCTTCTCAACGATAAAAGATTCAAGCTGCGCTAGCCGATTTTTAATAGCGGCAAACTCTTCCGCGGAGACTCCGTTGTGGCTTTTGCTACTTGACTGGGAGGTTTTGCGGCTTGGAGGTCCAGTGCGTGTCCTGTTTTCGATATGGCAGGTATCGCCAATACCTCGTCGAAGGCATTGGCTGCATGGTACAACTCGATCACACCAGATTTTTCTTTCACGACATGTCGTGCAGCTCAATGGTTGCCTGTTTCTCCGCCTTATCACTCGCTGTGGCGCCTGTGTGTCATTTACTGTAGGATCTGACGGCCCTTGTTGCTCCTCCGACATGGCTCCAACACGAACTACAGGGGGTGAATTGCCGAGCCAAGTCAAGTACTAATTGGATTATCTAATCTATCCGGCAGGCAGGCCCAGTGTGATTGACATCGGTGTCAGGATGCATGTCTTTCTATTGCAGCGCCAGTAGCGCCCTTGCCTATCGATGCTGGCTGTAGCATCTCGAGGCCAGTGTGTGTCCAGTGTAGAAGAAGCCCAACATGTTCCCTTTGGCATACAGCAGTATATTGACTATTTAATTAGTCAAGACCCTCATGATATCGACCGTGTTGTGGCGATACCCATGTTGCATGAGGCACCTGCCTTTGAAACCTCCGAATGGGTATTTGAACATTTGAAGTATGTATGCTTATGGCTTACAATAGACGTATTTTGAAGGATCTAAATGTGCCTTGGCTTCTGGAAATCCAATCCAAGTGCCAAAATGAAGATACGTGCACATCCATGCGGGTCGGAGATGAGGTTTTCCTGTGTCGGGCGCATGGAGATGGTCGTCCCTGCTCCGCCCGCAACTATATATTCCATGCTATGGACGATGCGTCTAGTCTCCTAAGCTCTCCGCAGCACTTTCCAACGGAAGGCCAAATCCCTCGGCAAAGCCGTCGTCTGTTTGTGACGGTGTGCAAGCAGCTGGCACGCGTCTTTTCTCATATGTACCAACACCATCATGAACTATTTACGGCATGTGAGGCCAAAACTTCACTCTATGCACGATTCAAAAAACTAGTTCAAATGTATGAACTTTTGCCTGATGATACATTGCCAAACTAGGCATTAGCATGTTGCACAGCTTCGCTGCGACCTTGTCGGTTAGTACGCTCACTAGATATCCGATACGTACATAGGGGACATGAATTGGAGTTATGCTCGAGCCATTGGTCGACGCACGCTGCGTGGAATGCATGTTTACAAGACAAAATTCGGCATTCGTCGTCATCCTGCCATTCATCAAGACACACCAGGCATTTCTCGCTTGTGTTTTCCGTCACACGCCCAGCCTCCTTAAGCGCGGGTAGCTCGGAAGCACGCACTTTCAAAAGACCGCTGCGTTCAATGTCCGCAGCACTAGCGGTGGGCCTTTTGTTGCTCATGGCCGTCATAGCACCAAGGAGCTCCATCATAAACATGAGATCACGGCCTGCATCGCGTGGGCGTGCGACTAAGAGTGGGTGCTGCTCATGGTAACGACCACCGCTTACAAACAACACAAAGCGAGATACGCCTGGACGGTTCTGGTCGCCATCGCGTGGCAGTGCATCATCACCGCCCATAAGCCGCTCTTCTGCACGAAGACTGCGCACACCTACCAGCACGCAGGGAATCAAGTTTGTGTCAGGCTGCTGGTCGAAACGGAAGAGGCGGAAGAACGACAGTTGCTCGCCGTCCACATCGCCTTCACGACGGACCCTCACGTCGTCGGGGAGAGTCGACTCGGATTCATGCGAGGACCCATTCATATGCTGGATCGCATAGCCAAGATCCTCCATCATATTGTGCAAGAATCTGTCAAACGAGCCAGGCTCACCTTCGGGGAAAGGCTGCCCCTGCCTTGCGCGTTCCAATGTAGATAAAATAGACAAGGAGTTCGCAGACGATGCAGCAGGGTTGGGATGGGGAGGGGTCGATGGGGTATGCCCTGGGAGTGATGCTCGTAAAGCATCGCGCATCAGGCGGGTAATCGTCGAAATGGTTTCAGATTCTGGCTCATTGGTCGCATGATGAGTATGTGTTTGTGTACGCCCAGAAAATAGACGTTCGAGCAACTCACGTCCATGACGTGGGCTGGAGGATGTGGACGACGAAGGCGTTGGTTGAGATGGTGTTGAAGGCGGTGGCGCTTGGGTCTCCGACGCCGGCGCTGCTGGCGTGGCTGACGCTGCATGGGGTGTAGTGGGAACGCCTGACGCAGCAGCAGCGGCAGCGGCCGCCGCCGGGTGGACAGGTGATGCATTTACCACCGATGCCGCTGTCGCAGCAGCAGCAATGGAAAGTATCCGGCTTAGCATCTCACCTTGCTCTTCCAGCGTAGCAACATGTGGCACGTTCGGATCGGTACCGGGCATAGCGGAACCAGGCATGCTGGGTGGCGGCTGTGGCGTGGGGTTGGTGTCTGCCGACGATGGAGCGCTACCATCTGATGCAGAACTAGGCGCGGTTCGCGCCACCAACGCGCCTTGCACAATCACGGAAGTGCCCGACAACGGCGCTGCGCCTGGCGGCATACCTTCGCGAGAAGCGCCGAGGACTTCCGACAGGAGCGTGCCAAGCGAAGTAGAAGGCCGTCCAGGCCCTAGCATAGGCCCCATTCCCGGACGTGGGACAGAGCCTATACGACGAGGCAGTCCAAAGGAACGACGCGCACCAAAAGTACCGGCCAACGACGATGGGTCAAGGCCCGGATGCCGTCCTTGCGACGGGGCTTGGCTCATGCGTGGGCCAAGCACGCTCTCAATCAGACGCACGGCTTCTTGCCGTTCACGTGCGAGCGGGTCAGGTGGGGTGGCAGATGTCTGCGTTGGCCTTGGGGTCGGTATGGGCGTGGTGCCATTCGCTGTGGGAGGGCTGTAGGTTGAGGAGGTCGGCGGATCGACCAGTATAACCTCGGGTGCCTCACTTCCAGTCTCATTGGCAGGGCTTGGTATTGTAGGCAACGTGCTCGGGACGGCGGCAGGCGCTGCGATCGAGGTTGTGGGCGTATCATCGCCGGCCTGCGATACGGTGGCGAGAGTAGGAATGCCTTGCATGGACATCGTGCGGCCCCAGCCAGGGCGAAAGCGATGAGGGACACCTGACGAAGCCGACGAGTCCGAAGATCGTTCACGATCTCGACGGAACCCACGCCAACCCAGGGACAATCGCCGACGGCGATGACGCTCAGGCTCAGTGTCGGTCGGCTCGTCATCCACTTCGTCACGGGTCCGACGCTGTGGCAGCATCGATGTAGGTCTGCTAGGATTGGTGTCAGTTGAGCGTCTGTTATTGCCCTCATCGCGCGACGTGCGCGAGTGAGCGGCCCCCATGACGCTAGCGTGACAGATAGACACACATCGCCAGCAAGATCGAGCGTCATCACGGCCTATGCACGTGATGGGACGGCTGTGACAGGCTCTCCCCCAGGCGCGTGGGGGCGTGCGCCAACGACCGCCTACGCCGCTCGCTGGGCCCTCTGGTTAACACTGCGGACGTGCGCTTGGACCTCTTTGCCGATGCAATCCCCGCTACTTGTCCTGCCTGTGAAGGACACACGCGATGTCGACTTGACCAAGCCGCTGTCTGCCCTTATTCGAACAAGTTACGAGCAGAATCCGGCGACGTATGCAGAGGAGCTCGCCCGAATCCAACAAGCGCGAGAAGATGCCGTGAGCGATAAGAACAGTGATACGAACAGTCGTGATATGCTTTTTCGCTACTTTCACATGGTAGAGATGCTGGAGCTTCGTTTTCCTGATATGAAAGCTACGTTTGTCTGGTTCGATGCGTTTACGCATACGGAAGTCACACAACAGACATGGGCTTACGAGAAAGCATGCATCATCTTTAACACTGCTGCTCGTGTAGCTTGCATTGCGTCCCAGCAGAATCGCCATGATAGCAGCGCAGATGCCCTTAAGCGAGCGTACGCTGGCTACCGACAAGCAGCCGGTCTGCTGGATTATATCAAAGACAATTTTCTGTATGCGCCCAGTGATGACTTAAAGGGGCCTACCTTACAGTCCCTACGCACACTCATGCTCGTCCAAGCCGCAGAAATCTTCTTGGAGAAAACGATCCACGATGGCAAGGGCGATGCGCTCATTGCTAAGCTAGCAAGTCATGTGGCCGCGACCTACGGTGCCTTGGCCATCGAGTGGGCCGACGAGACATGTACGTGGCGCACACCTATCATGTGGGGCCAGTTGGTCCGTTGCAAAGCGGAGTATTTCACAGCGATGACACAATACCACCGCGCCAAGGCAGACAATGCCGCGGGCCAGCATGCCTCCGCCCTGGCACGCTTCCGTCTAGCTGATGCCAAAGCCCGCAGTGCAGCTAGTATGACCAGCTTTGAAACCTGGATGGTAGCTGCCCATCTCCGTGAAACACTCACCAGTGAGGCCACATCAATGATGCGCAATCTCACACAGGCACAGTGCACGGCCACAGCCGAGGCCTTACGTGAGGCGGAGCGCGACAATGACTTGGTATACCATGAGCGTGCCCCAGCCGCCGAGTCCTTAGCGCCCATTGACCAAACGTCTGTGGCCACACCGATTGCTATTCGCGAACTCTTCTCCCATCCAGACGTCCAAAAGATGTTAGGGGCAGATATTCTGCAAGGTTTGGTGCCGCTCAGTGTGCTAGAAAGCGCCTCGATGTACTCTGAAGAGCAAGCCAAGCTCGTTCGTGCTGAAGCAGCCAAGTTGCAAGACGGAGAGGATGCAATGCTACGGGCACTTTCGACACTGCAATTGCCAGAGTGCTTGGATAGGTACGCTGGCCTGGAAGGTCATCATCCTCCACCTACATGTGTACCGTCCCACCGCATCTCCGATCTAGCCTCGGACTTGCAGGTTGGTGATGTATGCACCCGGATGGATCGGGAGGTAGCGGCGCTGTCCCGTCCTGTCGACAAGGTGCGTGAAGCCTTGGAATGCGCTCGGTCCCTGCTCGATATCGATGCACGGGAATGTGAGCATGCCCGTGTACAGTTCGGCGCGCAGTACACGCAACTCCCTACGGCCAGCGCTGGGCGCACGCTACGAAGGGATATTCAGGCAGCTCAGGATGCTTTGGCCTCAGCGCAGGACAAGGATCAAGCGATCCAACATCTGTGGCAGCAGGTGCAGTCGGACGTAGCGCTGCTTTCGCGTGGGCCTAACGCGGTGCAGACGGCGTACAAAGAGGCTGTGCAGGCTCGAGCCTCCCAGTCCCAACAAACACTGATTGATGCGGATGTTGCAGACGCAGCGCCGGCGCGTGCCCTCTTGCAGCAGATCCGGACGGATGTGAAAGCTTTGCAACACATGCCATCGGAGCGCGAAGCAATGTTGCAGGAGCTCAAGCAACAAGTACGCCAAGACGATATCTCACGAACACTCCTACTCAACCGGCGTGTGAAAAACATTGAGCCGACCCTCTTCGCTCAGGAGCTCAATAAGTACGCGCCACTTCGGCAGCGGATGGACGATCATCTGGCCCTGCAACAGAAACGCATTGAAGCGCTGACCGACGCGCTGGATCGGCTGAGTATGCACCCAGGAGCGGCCGATGTACGTCGCACGTGGGATGCGACGCACAGCACCGCCCAGGAATGGGATGCGCGTTTGTTACGGGCGTACGATGCTTATGTCGAAGTCCAATCAGGCATGTATCAGGCTCAGAATTTTTATACCAGTGCCGCGCATACCAGTGAGCAACTGAGCCACCAGGCAGAAACCTTCTTGGCAGAGCGTCGAGCAGAGCGCGCGCCATGGCGCAGTACATCGATGACAACGAGCTACACACCAAGTTCTACTTCTTCCACGACGCTAGCGGAAGATCTGGCTGCACTGCATATGGGTTCACGAGCGCACTCTACGTCGTCAGCCCCCACACCCCCATCATGGCCAGCCCCCTCCAATACCTATGCGCCGCGCTTTGCGTCCTCGTCCTCGTCTCAACCTGCGCCCCCACCTCGTCCGCCCCGTGTATAGTGACCTAGTTTACAGAGCAAGCTCATCTTCATCATCTTCATCCACGTATTCCATGGGCGTCACGGCGTCTTCTTCCATATCACTATCACGTTCACTCATAGCCGTGCTAGCGACACTCACAGAACGGCGGTGGGACGCGGAGGCATGGGCAGGTGCTCTCGCATGCGTCTGCGTGACCAGAGAAGGTGGTGGAGGCGGTAGCGTCGCGATCCATGCACGAAGGTCCTCTGCTGTGGCCTCATCGCGCTCAGACGGTGCATGCTTTTGTAGTGCACTGATAAAGCGCGCAATGGCATTGCGCGTCGTGGCATCGTAGGCCCGCTACGTGTTAGTGTGAGAAGACGTACCAATTGAAGGGCGTCTGCCAGCAAGGCAAGCTGTGTCGCACGAGAAGTATCGATTGTTGTCGGCCAAGTGAGCTTCGATAGCATGGCGACAATGGCCTTCCGTTCATCGCGCCGCGTCGACGTCAAGCCATGCCGCAGGGCATCAATCGCCATGTCAATATGGATCATGTCATCTGGTTGTGACAGTCTGTGTGTAAGTGTCCAGGATACATACAATAGTCGTTCAGGGTTCGTCCAGTCGAGAAGCTGAAGAACGATTTGCGTCGGAGTGACCATGTGCAGCTGCGCATCAGGGTCCTCGTATACACTCGACAATACATCGAGTACATCGACAAAGACACGCTGGATCATATGTTGATGACGCACATCCGAACTGCAAAAGAGCGGGAGGAAGTAACTAAGGCATTGCCGCAGGGCTTGGTTGTCTGCCGTGTCTGGGCTCATGTACGTCAGGACCAAACTCTTCAAGACGTCGTCATCGAACAGCACGCCTGTCAATAACAGCTTGGAAATACCTTCACTTGCTGTTGCTTGCACTTGCGGATCATCATGCTCTAGTAAACTTAGCAGGAATCCAATCATTTGCTGTCGTGCATACTGCAGACCTTGTTCTTCGTCACCGTTGAACTCGTTTTGCGCTGCGACTTCCGCACTTTGTGCACATAGCATATCGATGCCGTGCATGACGGTCAAGTCAAAAAGACACTCCACACATCGCACACGAATTGTGCCTTGCGCACGTTGGATCTGACTTAGAAGGAGAGGAAAGGTGACCAACGCCGTTTTGGGATCCAGCAAGGAACAGAGACCAAGGCATACCAAGCCTTGTTCACGTAACATCGCATCTTTGCTCTGGACGGTAGGCACAATCAGTTCCTGGATTAGACCTTCCAAGGTCGCGTCTCCTTGTAAGGAGCACGACAACCGCTCTAGCATCGAGCGTACAATCAACAATCGACGAGCCTCCAACTCGGCCATGTGTGCCGCCTGGGCTGGCGACGCGTCGTCGACCACGCGCTGGTGCCATGACAGCGCCTGCCTTGTGGTGGACGTATCAGCAATAGCAACTCCATCCTCCCCCTCGTTGGCCATAGGAGCCATGTCCTCATCGATATCCGCTTCGAGAGACTGAACCAGCTCGACGACCAGCTGCAGAAAGTCACGTTGCCCACTTGATAAACGGAGCAGCACATCAAGGCATCGTGGCACAAGTTTGGAAGGAAGCCATGCATTGCCAAGCATTTCACGGACCAGCATGTACATTTTTCGACGGCCCATCTCATCGCCATAATCGCAGTACATGGCAAGTGTCAACATCTCGTTAACAGTAAACACCCGAGAGAGTGCGAGGTCGTCCTGGACCATAGGCAGGCCATCACCATCATCTTCCTCTGCTTCTTCCATGGCCTGTTGTTCGAGAGACTGACTCAGCGCTTCGTACTCTGCCTGAATACGAAAGACCAGCGCCGTGACCACAGGAATGCACGACTCGAGTGCTCGTTCCATATGATGCGTTGTACTGTACAGCACAAAGCAACGTGCTAGCAAGGCCTTGGCAGGCGTCATCGCTGCCCAATATGACATGTGGTCTTCCAACAAGGCCTGCACAGTGGTGCGGACTTCCTGTGACTCTTCCAAGAGAGCCAGCACGACTGGTTCACCATTCTCTGTCCGACTCACATGCAAATGTTCCAACAAAGTGAGTATATCGCCGCCCATAGCCTCTAGCCAATACGCCACGAGTTTCCGTGCGGCTTTTTGCACGCTAGCATCACGTTCATGTAGACCCACGCGAATCACTTCGCTAAGTGAGACTTCGCCCAAGCCTAAGCTTGCGCGTACACTTGCGCCATCGTCGCGGGCCAGTAAAGGCTGTGCATCGACGAGCATTTTAAGCGAGCCCAAGTAGACGCATCGCCTGTTGGTAGTGTCCACATCTTGTAGACGCTCTAATAAGTACGGCAGGGTAGCCGTTGTTGGTGTGATATTGAACAAAGCGGCACGTCGCACTTCAGCGCTGGCATCGTGTCTCAACCGATGCAAAAGGAGACGCAGAGTTTGTTGGTCTGTACCTTCTTCATCAGACTGTAAGCGAGCGAGGGCCACAATGGCTTGTACACGCACACCAGATTCACGGTCAGTGAGGCGCTCCATTAAGAGACTAACGAGAGTCTCATATAAATCATCACTGAAGGTGAGCGTATCGTAGGTACCTACTCAATGCTGTCAATGGAGTTGATGAGCAGCGCTACGCATCCACAGCACCGCAAACGCACGTTTTTGTCTTTCGCACGAAATCCTTTCAGCAAATGCTTCAGAAGAATCGCGATAAAGCGAGTGGCCGTCGTATCGCTATCATCATCGACGCCAGCATTAAATTGCTCCTGGGCATAGGCCGCATACGTCGCAACGAACTTACAAATGCGATCAGCAGACTTGACACCCTTCTTCAACGCAAGCGCACGGTTGAGGCATGAAAATATAGTCTCATTGAAGAGCTTTTCACCGATCAGACGCGTGCCACGCTCCGTTTGCTCTGTTACTTGAGCACACTGCTTGTGCACCTTGAGCAAGGACACGCAGTTCTTGCGGTGATTTGCTAACGAGTGTTGGGCATCTTGGAAATGCGGTGGTATGTGTGTCTGTACCGTTTCCACGAGCGTGTGTCGCATTTTGCTACGCACAATGGGACGGCACAACGCAATAGAACCACCTCGTATGCTGCAAGCGATGGCGGGCGTGTTGGACAAGAACGCGCACCCCTCGCGCGTCGTATCACGTGATATGCAACCGACCTACGCACGCACCAGGAAGAGCTCTCTCTTCACTGATGGCCTTAGCGCTGCGTCGCAGAGGTCGCAGCGTGCGCTATCTCCTGGCGCGGGGCTACGCTTCTGCATCTACAAATCCTGTTGTGTACATTTCCAGGACACGGAATCCCTATTTTAATTTGGCTTGGGAGGATTTCTTGTTCCGCACTCTGCCTGAGAACGAGCCTGCATGTTTCTTGTATGTGAACGACCCTTGCGTCGTGGTTGGCCGCAATCAGAATCTATGGAGCGAAGTGGACCCGCAGGCTATGCGAGAGGAAAACGTTTCTGTGATTCGCAGGCAGAGTGGCGGTGGCACAGTGTACCATGATCCAGGCAACCTTAACTTTTCGTTTCATACATCCAAAGCGTCGTTCGCGCGGCGCATTCATACAGAACTCATTGCAGAAGCCTTCAAAAGTAAGCCAGTTTCTTTACCATCAAAGCATGGAATTGATCCAGTCTTCCTGACAGATCGCAATGATTTGGCCGTCCTGGATGTCCAAGCCACGGAGGCCGAAGAAAAGTGGTTCCGTAAAGTATCCGGCAGTGCCTATAAATTAGCAAATCACCGTGCGTATCACCATGGCACATTGTTGCTGGATGCAAATCTGCGGCGCATGTCGATGCTTAAGCAGCGCCGATCTCATATGACGACGAATGCTGTGTCATCGGTACCTTCCCCTGTAACCAACCTGACCATGGCGTTTCCTGACCAAGCCGCTCGTTTGGCGTGTGAGTGTGTCATGGAAGCCATTTACGCGGCTTTCTGCCGAAAGTATGGGCCCAGCAACAAGGTGTGGGTCGATGAGCGCATGCTCGATCACACAGCCCAAATCAAGTCTCGTACATATCATGTTCGTGAAAACTACGAATCATTACAAAGTTGGGATTGGCTTTATGGCTCCAACCCTGCCTTTTCTGTCACAGCATCGACCGAGCATGTGCCGTTCGATCAAGCGTCACTTACCGTGACACTGCATTGTACACACGGTCGAGTTGATCGCGTGGATGTGGAGACGCCGTCGCCCACGTTGGCGCAGGCAGTACAACAATTGAAAGGCGCACCGTACGACGCCTTGGCGTGGGCACCGCCATCGAGCGTACCGCCTAGCACAGCACCAGCGGTCGAGGCACGCCTAGCCGCGTGGCTGAAGAAGGCATTGTAGTATTAGGAAGGGCCTGACAAAAGGTCGTCAATCATTTGGTTCATTAGATCTTTCTTGTCGGTCAGATCGGCATTGGGCATAGCATCGGCCACCGCCTGACGTACATGCCGCTTAGTCACTTGCATTAAACTGGGTTGTGCGCCAAGGTAGGCACGGATGGTGGAGCGAATCTGTTCGTCGGTAGGATCTTCTGCATAGATCACAGGCACCGACAGGGGGGCAGGTTCATCTAACAGACTTGTCGCACCTGGCAACGGCGTACCCATGTCCGAATAGTTGGGGAACATAGCCGGCGGTGGCGGCATGCCATACATAGGCGGTGGTGGTGGTGGCATACCGTACATGGAGGGTGGTGCCAGCATGGGCATACCACTCATCATCGAGATACGAGGTTGCGATGCAGAGCCATTCCATGAATCACGCCACGATGTTGCACTAGATTGACGCTTAGACGCACGTTTGGCCTGCTTATCAAGCAGGTTTGTATGTTGGAAATAGTCGTCTTGGAACGGATCAGACGCCTCCATGGGCGTATACATGCCATGGCCAATGCTCGTGGGTGGCGGAGGCATATCATACAACAATACATCTTGCGAATCATCGCCATTCGCATAGATCTCCTGTTGGTACTCCGTTACTGTCTTGCGTGGAATCATGGCATCGCTGTAGGGCTCATCATCGGTGCCAGCCACCACTTTTTTGTTCCCTTTTTCACCGACAACGACACGTGTGTTACCCCACGAGAAGTCGTCCATGTGCCAGAAGGAATAAATAGGGAGCAGGAACGAGTAGAGTGGGTAGGCAATCAAATAGATGACCATCCAGCCAATGTACTGCCACTGGCGCTTCAGCAGGAAAATAATGGCTTGCAAACCATACACTGCCGCAATCATCACAATGGCAATAAGTGGTAGGGGGCTAGAACCTGTCGCCACGGTGATAATCAGGAACAACATGTACACAGCCGTAGCAGGCAGAATAATCGTACCGACCAAGTCAATAAACACAATGAAGCGCATGGAGAACAAGCAGAAACCACATAAGCCATCCATCATAACCAGCTCCGCCAAATTGTGGATGGTCGAGTTAATCCAACGACGTCGCTGCGAAAGCAATACAGAGAGGGATTCCGGCGCCATCGTCACTGCCTTTGCATCACTGCGGAACTTGGTCCGGAAAAGCGGAAAATGCTTGAGTAAGAGCGTGGTGAGGTACCGATCTTCACCGAGCGCTAGCAGATTCTTCTTGTGCAGTGTGTCCACGCGATTTTCCGAATAGTCATCAATCACTTTGTCCGAGATGAACAAAGGCCGGCCGCGGTCTGGCGAGCGTAAGCGATACATAGAGAAACAACCTGGCAAACACGTTACACTGCCAAAGAGGGACTCAAAGGCCTTGGCCATGTTGTGGGAGATATAGTACTCATACACTTGCACCATCGACCAAATGGAGGTATCCTCATTCTCCAGCAACGTCTCACCACACACTGCAATTGTGCGTGGGTCATCGACAGATGCAGAGACCAGACGATTGAGACCATCGCGCGATACGGCCGTATCGGCATCGACCATGAGGACATACTCGTAGAACGACGGATCGATGCCGATAATGTTCTTCATATGGTGATAGATTTCCAGCTCCAGGGGGAACATCGGCGTATCAAAGTGCACACGGTTCAAGTACCGCATCAACAGAATTTGGGTGTCACGCTTACCGCGGTTGCCAGGTCGCGAGCGCTCACTCGGACGACCGACTTTGACGACAACGACATACGGCACCACGTGGCCTTCACACTCAAACAGGCCTGAGTACACTTTGCCATAGTTGAGCTGCTTCGAGCCTTCCGCTACCGATTTGAACGGCAAGGGCTCTGGATCCACGCTGGGATCTACGCCGAAAATATCCAAGACAATTCGGGGGGTGGATGCATCGTTGCCACTACCCACAATCATGCCGTCGCAAACCACAAACAAAAGTTTTCGTTTGTCGTCGTAATCTTGCACTGCAATAGACTCAATCGTCTTGCGTAGGGAATCTTCGCCTTCTGTGTAGCAAGGCACATGACAAATTACGAAGCGGTCTTGTTGCTCTGGCATGGGTCGCGGCGCAAGCTGTAGTGCACTAACAAACTTGGCAAAGATCGAAACGAAGATTAAACATGAAAACGCAAGAAGCAGATAATTTTGGACCAGGCACTGCGCCTCCAGTCGGAAATCAAGACGGCCAACGTAGAAGGCGTTGTCTAGACAGGCCTGTGTTTCCTGCCGCACATCAGGCGCAAGGCCGCGCATCACCGCAGCAAAGTCATCGGTAATATCTGAGCCTGCTTGGCCTTCGAACAAGTCGACCACATTGTTGTTCAGGAAATCGTACTTGTTGTTGCCAGTTTGCATCTTGCGGGTGTGAACATAGTTCGTCAGATCGTAGATCTTTTCGTTAACAGTGGCCCAGCTTCGCCAGGAGCCGTCGGTCTGCACCCGCTTTTTGTCGTAGACATAGTAGCCTTTATAATAGGGCTTCATGCGAGGAAGGAAACGGTTGTAGTACCAGTTTTGGTCGTTCAGTGCTGTGTTGTTGTACGGTTGCGCAGCGCCGGACTTGTGGATAGCCTGTGGAATTGTAGCCGTGAGGTTTTCCTGCTGCATGAGTTGCAGCGCAGGATCGGTAACAAGTCCTCGGCAAGAAACAGAGAGCGGTACAGGGAAGTACGGGGTGAGGTCTTGGCCGGCCAGCTGCATCATAATGTCTGTCGTTACAGGTGTGGCGGGAATATCGGAGTGATCAAGCTTGTAAAATTTGGTGATGTCGTACACATCGCCTGCCACAGCGACATAGAACGATTTCGTTGTACTGTGCTCACCAAGCTGCCCCTCATTCCAAGCATGTTTGTAGTCTGGGCACAGAATAGGGCCCAAACCGATAATGTAAAAGAGAACCACGGCACAGAAGAAGAAAATCAACAAACAGATGGTCACTTTCTCGCGCCAGGCCATACGCACATCAGGGCGGCGCTGGTGCAGTACATGTGTCAGCACCGAATCAGGAATCCACCACGTCAACAGCCACGTGAGCCACGTCCACCAGCGTCGTAAGCGCGTGATCGGCACTTCCTCAATGTCAGTAGGCTGCAGCAGCGCTGCCTCTTTGTCCATCAACGCGGGCCACGATGTGTGGGAGGCCTCTCGCAGCATCGGCTCCGTGAGGAAAGGATCATCCTGGTCGTCGCCTTTAGGAAGAAGCGACATATCAGAGCCTGGCACGTCGTTGAGATAAGGCCCCTGACGAAACTTTGGCCCCATGGCAGCACTAGCCGAATGCATCATGGTAGACCCATGCATGGGATCATTCTGGTACGTATCCGAGGCTGGAGATACGTGCACCTCCGGCATCGGGGCATGCGAGGCATGAATAGGACCGATTTGCTCCTGCAGCGAGAACCACGCGGGATAGGACAGGCATACCACACTTTGACCCACAGCATAGTCCTGGGGCGACGTCCAATTGCGGGCGCGCGTAACGAGACTAAGAGCACCGTAACGCTCCTGGAACTCGTCGAGGTGCATCGAGATATAGCTGTACCGCTGTGCATTCGTCAGAAGCGAGAGGCCCATGGCATGCACTTGCGAGGAAACACGGCGTGTATCGAAAACCGTTGGCTTGGCTACATCCATGGCACGTAGACAGCACACGTACCAGCACGTGTCAGCCTGTTGCATGGTACGCACAAGCGCAATCATAACCGCATCCAATTGGGCTGAAACACCTTCCACGGTCGTTTCTGGCCAGGCCACACCGTCGCCCAGCGGCGTCGGACGACGAAGCGGTCGCGACGATACTTGTGCACGAAGCACAACCTGTTCATCGGACAAACGCGATTCTATGGCCAGCCCAGGACCAGCCCATAATCGCGCCACAAAGGAAGAGCGAGACGCACGAAGTGTCTGCAGTTGCTGTGTCGGTAACAGGTCCACTTCCGAGCGCTGGTGGCCACGCAGTGTGTATGCACAGGCACCCATTGCATGATTGATATCAAACACCACACGCTTGTTGTCTACATGTGGCGAAATAAAAGCGCGGTGGTGCTTGTGCAGGTCCAGATCGTGCACGAGCTGCTTTTCGTCGTCTTCTTTTCTCTCACCAGCTAGCACTGCCGAGAATGCGCGAGCATAGTCGCCCAGCATGCCGCCAGGCGGTGGCACATCACCATACACAGGCACAGCATCGCCACGAAGGAGCGACATGCAATCGGTTGGGACGTGTGTCTCGAGAATAGGGAGGCCTTCTGAAGCCATCATACCAGCCATCCCAGAAGCATCCAAAATAGACCGTACGTGAAGATGACGGACCAGGTCCGATAAGTAGTTCTTCATCAAATCGTCATAGTGGGCAGATCGGCCAGGGCCATTGGGCACACGACTTCGTGACACAAAGCCGGGGGGGTCGAGTTGGACAATATGCAGAAGGGCGTGGGGGTCCGACGGTACGAGCTTTTGGTTCATTGCTTCTACCAAGAAGGCAAAAAGGACCGCGTACAAGTTCTGGACCAATGCATCGCGCTGGCGCTGAGCCCCGGCCATGTCAAGCATATGCGTCACACGCTCACTGCCGACGCATCGCGTATCCGTGACCAAGCTCTGCTGAAGATCTGCGGCACTCACCTGCAGCACATCAGCTGCGCGGGTAAGTGCATGTGAGTCTGAGATGGTCGCACCTTGTCCATCCGCGACAAAGTCGACAGCATGGATGTGCAAAATCGCCGCCAAGACACGTAGCATGCCCTGCACGTGCTTCTCCTTGATGCCCATCGTAGAAAGCGCTCGCCGTGTCCATTCAAATGCACGTGCATCGTCGCGAGTGGGCACGACATTCATCGTGACTTCGTCCAGTCGGTACTCAGTCCGTTCTTTCTTGGAGGCGCCGGCCAGCAGCTGGTAGAAGATACCGTAGCCACGTTCACCTGGCAGCAGGCCATGCATACGGTGCTTATCTAGCCCAAATGTAAGGATCTTGGCACCCGCTAGGCGTCCCTGCTTGGAAAAGTGCAACTCCCAGTACGTGGCATGACGCGACGCTTGATCATTGGATAAGGTTTTGGCACTGCCGAACGACGAGAGAAGTTGCTGGGCACATTGCACTTGATCAGCTAGTCGTGCTTCACTCTGCGAGTGCGATGCAGATAGTGTTAACAGGTGCTCAATGACACGCTGCATGGTATAAGTCTTGCCCGAATCTGTCAATCCCGTATACAAGATAGACTGTGGGCGCTGCGTATGCAGCATTTTGTGGTATACGCGCGCGGCCAGCGTGAATGGATGGGGAGGCGCCGTGGTAAGGGGGCTATACAGAGTCGCTGCCTCCGCAGCATCCCGGTCGAGATGCGACATGTCCTTGTACGGGTTGGTCGCCACGAGGACCGTGGCAGAGGCCCACGTATAGGGTGCCGAATTCTCTACACGTTCACACAGGACCTGCGTGATCTCTGCATCAGTGATCGTGCTATCCACATCAGCGATGAGTGCAGCAAGATCCGGCGTCTGTGTAGCCATCCGGTTCACAGGTGAAAAACAGGGACACGAGGCAGCGGCACACCTGGGTCTGACACGCAACCTCGCGCCGCTGTGTGTTGGTCTCTTGAGTTTAGACCGCTTCGGCCGATATGGATACACTATGTGGAGGTCAGTGCTGAGGGGCCCGCAACGTCTCAATGAGCGTACGTTGCATGGACGGCTCGCGCCAGTAGTGATCTCCCTCGACTCTGTGCACGACCAGGTGGGGGGATAATGTACGTAGATGCTCGATCCATGTGGCGTAGCTCTGGAGAGTGAGAACGATAGAGAATGTACGCACCTCTTGGGATGTAAATTGGTCCCGGGTGGTATAGATGACACACACAGAGGTAGAGGACGATGACTTGTCCAGGCGGATCAATTCCTCAAGCGCTGCGTTGAATTTGAGCGTGTGAAACGACGTGAGAGCCCAGCGGACACCTAATGGGTACGACAGCAACACATACTGCACGTAGGCGTCGGCCCATCTGCCTGTCTTCATGGGCCGCACGGTGGACGCCTGCAGGGACCCAGCACTGTATCCTACGATGTAAAGCAACGGCCGCGACGTGGATGTGAAGGCCGGCGTTTGCTCCATCGCCTGCTGGACCACGAGTCGCATATCGAAGGCCTCTGGCTGCAACGACCATGACCCGCGACCCTCGGATTCGCCTATGCCACGAGCATTGTATGTCACGGCATAAAGTCCTTGCTGTGTAAGGATGCGTGCAATAATCTTAACAGTCACATCGTCCTGTGAGCCGCCCAAGAAGCCATACGCTAACGGTTAATTCGTGTGCCGATATAGCATGACGTACGATGTGCGATAACCGCCAGGCCACGACTGGGACCTGTGGGCTCAAACCAGCGCCCCTGGAGTGTGACGCGATCGCCCTGAAATGTGCACGCCATCGTCCCCAACAGAGGAGGGAAGGGGGGCATAGAATGGGCCCCAGACGCGACCCATATGCTTATGTAATCGTAAGAGATCATACTACAGGGGGTATCTATAGCGCTAGTCGGTCGACAGGGTGAGTGCCGCTGGCGTAAGCACACGGTCAACTGCCGCATCGGACGTAGCACCATGTTCCAAAAACGTGCTGTGAATCGAACTGTCACTAAGGCCACGTGCTCGGGGACGTAACATGGGCTCATGCCATGCAGGCACAGGTGGCATCGAGGGCGTCTGCGACACTACGCGACGCGAGCCTCCGGCCGCCTGTTGCAAGAGGTTGGGCTGCGATGCCTTGGTCTTGAGCATACCTGGCTTGCCAGAGGAGTGCATGCCATGTACGTGCACAGCTACTGACGTGGACATCACAGCCGCACTCGCGCGAGGCAGCATCCGAGATGGCGGCGCGGCAGTGCGATGCTCAGGCAAAGCTCGAGACATGGGCATAGGGAGGGAGGCGGATGGTGTGGTTGCCGCCACAGGCTCCGAGGTGGGAAACCGCACAAAGGCCGATTCGTTGATCGACGGGGTGGAGGGGGGTGTGGTATCGGGCGAGGAGGACGTGTCTGAGGACAGCACGCCTGTGAGCATGCGTGAGATCCAGCTGCGTTGACTGCTCACAGTTGTGCTGGCACCTAGATGCTCATGCAACAGCTTGGATGCCTGGCTAGGATTCAGTTGGATATCATTGACACAGCGTCGGAGGCGTGCCAACTCCAGCAACGATTCACGATGAAGCTTGACCAGCGCAAAAAAGTCACGACGCGTGACTAGGCTGCCCTGTGTCGACGTGCCACGCCGAGCTTCTTTCTCGAGGAGGACACGGAAATGCTCTTTCATGCCTTCGATATCCCGGATATTGGCCTGGATCGTAGTGCGTGACAAGTGAGCTACATCGCCTGCCAGTTTCTGACGTTGCAGACGCGTAGCAAGTGTATCAATATCGGCCTGTTGCAGCTTCGTGTAGGTGCGTGATACCGTATCCATCAAGGAGCCAAGCAGGGCTGACCGAGTCTCATGCGGTGGATCAGGGACGCCATGCTCTGATCCAAAGGCATGCAAGGAGCCAGTGTCGTGCGAGTGGGTATCTTCGTGCGAGTGAAGGGAGGGTGTCGTCTCGTGTACATAGTCCAAGAGCTTATCACTGCCCGACGGTGGGTCGAGCACCGAAGAAGAAGAAGAAGGCGCGCGTACAGAGTTGGCCAGCTCCATGTCCAGCGCCGGTGGAAGGGGCATGGAACTCTCGGCCGCTTCCTGGAGCTGTGCTACCTCGTCGTTCGCTGCTTGCAAGAGCGACTGCAAATGCTCGTGGTCACGACACAACGCCTCGTGTTCCTCCACCATCGAACGCAGAGCATCGTCCGGCAAGGAGCCGTCGCTCTGATCTGGCACATGGGCCGACGCCAAGCGTGCCTGTACAGCCTCCCATGCCCTTGCATACGCCTGAGCTGTACTCTGTGTAAAACGTGTTCGTTGGGCCTCTTCTTCCAGGCGCTCGCTTAGCTCCGAACAACGCTGTACCATGAGCTGCTTGTGCTTCTTCTCCGCAGAAACGCGTCGACGTCGTTCCGCCGCAAGCTCCGCCTTGGTATCCTCAAGCTCAGTACGTACATGGGTGAGCCTGGCTTCGAGCTGCGTGACTTTGACACGGTGCATTTTCATCTGCTTGAGCTGTTGCCGCGCCCCCTCCAATTCGGCCAGAAGCGCATGCTGACTCTGGTCGGCGGCTTCCAAGTTGAATTGCGCTTGAGAGAGCTGGTGCTCAAGCCGCTGTGTCTCTTTGATACTCTGCGATAAGCGGCCCAGGAGCTGATCGCGCTGCTGGGCATGCTCTTCGGACTCTTGCTGCGCACGGTGAACAATGGCATCCTGGCGCTGTAACAGCGCCTGGCCAATTTCGGCACTCAGCTGCAGATCCGACTCCATATCCTGCAGCTGCTGCGATACACGTTGCGCCACATCGCATTCAGTCTGGCCACAACAGCACAGTCGCAGAGGCAGCGCTGACGTATCGCCCTCCATGGCAGCGTACCGACTGCTGGTGCTTCGACCGTCATCGCTACTAGCAAAGCTTTGATGGCTTTTCCTATGCCTTGGCCCACCATTTAAACGTCGGTGCGAACTAATTTCATTCACAATGCGAGAAAATTCATCGGCAGAGGGTTTGCGTTGCAGACTCGCAAGCGAATCCTCCCACTCTGCCAGCTCATCCAGCGAGAGCACACTAGGGTTGGAGGCAATAGTAGACACTTCCAACAATGTGCTAGGCCGCTTCCGGACCTTGGGCGAGGACGTGGATGGGCGAGCCGGGGACGATTCGCTCATGGTCAACAGACAGGTTTTCTTTGCCCCTGCCTTGTATGGCACGCACGCGCGACGCGCACTCCACTTTTAGGCCGGTTTGCGTGTCGTTCGGTCGGGGTCACTGACTAAGCATTAGCCCTGGCAAGGCGACACAACTAGGAACAGAGATCTCTAGGGGACTAGGTAGCGGGACGTAGAGCGCGGAGACGCTGAGCCAAGGCTTCATCTTGATCGGCAGAGGGCGCGTTGCGTCGTGCTATACTCTCCGCAGGCAGCTCCGTGACTTTGCCAGCCAAACCTGCCTCGCCGAGTTGCTGGTGCACTTCTATGCCGTTTTCATCAGCCACTTGCTGCATGAGGAGATCCACTTGGTCTTGCGGCATGCCTGACGCAGTCGTGGAGTTCATCGTCGTCTCCATATATGATGTCTGCACGTCCACATCCTCCAATTGGTTCTCAAACTTGTCCATGACCATGGAGATCTGGGGTAAGAGCACATAGAACATACTCTTTCCAAGTCCATCGACTGCATAGCTTTGTCAAGTCCTTTGACCACCGACGACATGCTCCCTGTCACCTGGTTGTTAGCGAGAAAAACCGTACCTGACGCATTGATACGGCCGTTTCCACCCGACTAGCCACTGCATCGATACGGCTGCTGAGCCGCAACAAGTTCAAAGACTCGTTTTTCTTGCGAATAGAATTGGCCGCGTAGATCCGTGCACCTTCGGTATTTCCCTGAGCTAAAGCCTGGAGGTAAGAGGAAAGGTGACGAACCTTTTTCAGCTTGGCCTTCTCTGTGACTTCATCGCGGCTCGCTTTGTTCGCTTGACGCTGCAGCGATTTGGCCGTGAACTGTGGTAAGCATACAATCCACATACTTTGAGCTGAAACAGAGACTCTAACACGGGTAAGTGACAGGTCGTACATACTTTCCAGCCCGCTCATTCTTTGCAGCCACCAGGACACGAACAACGAGGAGTGGCGGAAGAAACGTGTTTGTGGAGGTGCCAAGCCCTCCAACACCCACAGACCTCCTACATCATGACGGCGCCTATGCTGAGCCACCTTCAGCCTGTGCTCGCGGAGATGCGCACCTGTGCGCATGACTCTCGTCCTGCATATGCTATGGCTGGTCTTTGTATGTACTGCATCTACTTATGCCAGGTGCGCTAGCTATGCCTTTTGGGTTTGGGCATGCGCTGCAGACCGCCAAGAAAGAGGTTCGTCAACGCCTACCGCGACTCGTCCCACCGTTCTGGCAATCGTTGGGATTCGGGTTCTTCTTTGCGTTTGGTGGGTACATGATTGATCAGGGCGATGTAATGAACGGGAGCGGCGTTATCACAGGTGTGTATCGAGTCGACTCACACGGTAGCATGGTCATTGACGTATGTGACATTTAAAACGCTGCCTATTCTGCGCTATCTGCATCGCTCGCCACTCTCCCTCCTCCTAAGTTTGTCGGCGAGTGGTATTGGATTGGGCGTGTATGGCAACTACTACTTCGACGAGACCAGCTGGCGTGGCGCCGTGCCTGGGATGACCCCTCCACAAACTGTAACCACCACGCCGTCACAAAAGATCGTGTAGAAGAGAAGGGTATAGACCGACTACGTAGAAATATTAATAGCACACTACGTAGGCGGCACCTCAGGGGAAATGGATCTCACCAAGATGTCGCGCAATTGACGTGCTACGCGAAGCAGCCCTTGGGACATGATATCCAACGTCCAAAGACTTACATTGCGCACACGCTGATTGTTGGCTTGTTGCGACGCCACATGATTCGCTAACGCCTCCCAAATCTTTTGGGAGACCAGAGGCGGAAGGCCTGTTTGAGAGAGATCAAGGGAGCCATCAAATTCGCTAAGATCCATAACGACGCGGCAGTGCACGGGAATCAGCGTCTTGTTGGCATTCATGAATGCTACAATAGGTCGAGCCAACGTATACGTCGAGTAGCTCAAGGCCCGCGTAAAGATCGGCATAGACGCTTTGATATCTTTCATACGCACATCCAGCTCGATGACCACAGACGGTGGGACACTGTTGGACGATGAATCCGCCGGATCTGATAAAGTCATATTCTCTCGCTCTGTGTCTGCACGATTTTCCGCCGTAGAAGGTAGGAAGCGGGGGCGGCGGCGCTTGTATCTCTCCGCCTCGTCATGCTCGGCACGCTGTTTCCGTACACGCTCTGCCACAGGACCCACCGCCGCAATAGGCGCTGAGAGAGCTGGGCCACTTAGCTCAGGCTGGCCGGGAATCAATACATCAAGATCGTCTTGTGACCATGGTCGGTCCGGCGAGAATGTCATATTGAGATTCTCAATAATCTCTGACAGCACCGTGCTCAAATCGACCCCCTCACCATATTGCCGAGGGAATTTGATGTCAGCGACCATATCGAAACGGCCTGCATAGATCCACATCAGCGGTCCACTCAAGCCCGCCATCTTTTGGATGTGGTCAATGTTGACACCATCGACACGCAATCGCGACCAGTTTTGGAAGTACGGGGCATTTTCCTTGCCGCGGTGACTGTACATACTTCGTGTCGTATGGTGAACACTTTGCGGCTTGTGCAGGCTGAACAAGCAGCCATCAATTTGGCCCGTAATGGAGTCGGCATTGAGTAAATCATAGAACAGCCACTGCGTACGAAGACGAGGGATGCGCGCATTGAAGATACTCAAATTAAACGGCCTAAAGTTGCCTGGCTGGTACACAGTCACCAGGAAATCTTCGATCGTGAACTGGTCCAAATCAAAGTCATTGGGCTTCGCTTTACGGCGCGCCTTCTTAGGATCCCATGGCACATCGGGGTCCCAAAACACGTGGCGACGATCCACAATGCCACGAATACCGCGAATATCCATCTTGTGGAGAATCCCACGACCGTCAAACCAGCGTGACAAGCTCAGCTGAACATCAATCGAGTCCACACGCAGCTCAAACATGGAGAAATTGGTATCTTTGCGTCTCTTCAGGGCCGGCGGCTCAGGTTGGCCAATCGGCCGCACAAGCTCATCACCTGTATCAAACGCAGGAATGGTGGGCTCATCACTAAGACCGAGTTCAAAAACATGAAGGTCGTTCCCCATCTCATCTTCACCACGCTCTTGACGTTCTTTGCGCAGTGTCTCAGGGTCCATCGGCTCTGCACGTCGGGTGATGACCACATCCTTGAAACTAATCAAGCCTTCTTTCCACTTGGGTACAATGGCGCTCCCAAACGCAATGGTGAAGCCTGTCTGTGCTGATAAAAATTTGGCTAGCTGCATAGCGATCCAGCCTTGCAGATTAAACACACTCAACGCTGCGAAAATAACAGATACGAACGTAGTCGTACCTACAATAATCCAAATTGCCGTGCCTAGACCACCAAGCGTAAAAAAGGCACTGATATCATCCACATTAAAGCGCCGAAAACCACGGATGGTGAACCACTTAAAGCGGATGCGCATGCGCGTCCAGAACCCACGCGCGATCTGCAAAAGCTCCTCCTTCGTGGGTCGTTCTGGCAAAATCTTGGTATTGCTGGACTTTGGGTGTCCCTCCTTGTTCTTTTCCGAAAAGCTGCGTGCTTTTAAGGCTAGATCACGTAGCGAACGAGGGTAGTTTTGGAAGGGGCGTAAGGACAGGTCCACCAGCTCCATCGTGTTGGAGCGCTTCGACGATAGCTGGCTGGCGGGTGGCATCTCCTGTTGAGGATCGCCTTTCCCTTCTTTCTTCTGTTCGGCATCTTTGTTCGCAGGATCGGTGGATTTGGGGGCCTGTTCGTTACCAGCACGAGCAGATGTGTGGAAAAGAGACGGACGTTGCCACCTGTGGCGTTGAGGAAATAGCATCGTAGGGGACGAGAGCAAGAGAGGCTGCCATAACCTACGATGTAAGGATACTCTAGTGGTACTTTGCATCATTTCGAGCCGCAATGCGGAGAAGGCGAGCTGAGCTGCCCTCAGCGCCATTAGCTACACCACGGCACCACCGCTAGGAGCAAATTATCAAGGCTCCCGCAGCGAAAGTCATCTGTCATTCCTCTCCACATGCACGTGCCACCTGGAGAGCTCATTACACGTGCAGAACGCTGCTGGTTCTCTCCATGTCATGGAAGAAGCACAGGAAGTAGGTGCAGGCGGCCCACAGTCTGACCACAGGAATGCCGACGTCTTGATCGTGCGATCTTAGAGGCCCAGAAGAGTAAGTTGGACATGCAGTACAGTGCTTACCTTGGCAGATTTGGCGGCACCGCCTACGTCACTTCAAGCGACGCAGGACGTGAATGTTCTGCGTCAGCAGCTTACCCAATGCGTAGAGCAGCATCGCATACTGCTACAGGAACTAGAACAGGAACTTCGAGTGGCCAAGAGCACGGCTGAAGAGTAGGTTGGATCGATCTAACGTAGCAGTCAGCAAACCTTGTGCCAGGAACTGCATGAAATAGAGCAGGCATGGCAGGCACAGCCAGAGATCCCTACGTCGTCCCACTCGGAGAAGGCGCTGCTAAAAGTTCTTGTGTCTCTCACAGAGCATGCCTTCGCGGATCCCGAGCTATGTGTACAGCTGCGGCTGTTGCTCGAGGTAGGTAGGACGCTCACTAACCTACCAGTGGCTTTTAAATGCGCTATGGGAGCAGCCCGACGATCCCTATGTACGGACCAAAGGTCTGGATCCTAGCGTCCTGGCCTTTGTACAGCAGGCGCAACTTATTGAGCACCATCCTTCACAGGCAGGGCTGGTTCGCCTGGTGGCCTTTCACGAACCGATGCCGGACCCGCAAACGCTGCGGCCCACGTTGTATAAATAGTAGGACACAGGAAAATATGGGAGTGATACTAGCGGCTATCATGCACCATAACATTACGCAGACTTGAAGTAGGATAGGGCGAGGATCTGACGCGTCCAGATCTCGAAATAGTCACGGAAATAGAAGAGGAGCGCCTGCGAGAGCACAGCCTTGGTAATCTGAGCGTTCATACCCTGGTACCAGCCAAGCACGCCCTTTTGGTGGTAGATATGGCCAAGGACATCGAAGGCAGTCTTGTATGGTGTGTTCTTGGCCTGCAGACGGATCTTGCTGAGGATATACGGGAATGTCACAATAGTAGCAAGAGTCTTGGAGAGCGCACCGATGACAAACGACTTACCAGGCGTCATGTGGCCACCCGATGCGGCAAGAATCAAGTTCTTCACACGCTCGTACACACCGTAGGTGATCGCAGGGTTAACGGTAAGCACCAGGCTTGGTCGCAGGCCGCGCCAGAAGCCAGTGATACCGTCGGCGTGGTAAATATCCTTGATATGGCCCACAAACGAGTCGTCTTCTTCGTGGTGATCCGTGCCGATCTGCTGGCGCGTGGCAATCACACCCACAGGGGTAGTAAACAGCTGTGCCAGGGCAGCGGACACAGCGCCGAGCACAAGCTCGGTAACGACGTGAAGTGTCGGAGCGGCAGTCTTGGAGTGAAGCACGCGCTTGATGTACACAGTACGGACGACCGAGTACCAGTAGAAGTATGCGAACTGCTGAATGAACGTGTTCAGGATGTTGGCAAGGAAGCCACGGTACAGCGACGAAGGGCCCTTGGTCCGAACAAGCATCAAGAGAGTCTGAACGATACCAAGCTTCTTCTTCGTGTCACCATGCTCGGCGGCTGCCTTTTTGTCGGCTTGGATGACAGTCTTGACGCTGTATGGTAAGTCAACATGTTCGTACATACGTATCGAGGGGGTATATCACAGCATTGGAGAAGACGCCTGCATTGCGTGAGTATGGCCTGCTGACGAAGTCCTACATACCACCAAGAGCACCCGCCAAGGCATTCTCAAAAGGAGTAAGAGGTTGCTCGCTAGTCATTGTAAAGGATTCGTGGGGATGGAGAGAGAGGACACTGGCAACACAATAGGTGGTGGTCTGCACGGAGGAGATTCCCTGGACACCTGCTTGGTAATCGAAAGCGGGGATATGTCTATCCGAGATAGAATCCCGGCCGGACCGGCGTGATTTACCTCCACACTGAAGGGGGGCCAGGGTAGCGAGCCGTACGCGAGGCCCCGCCGCATGTGGAGGAAACTGTCTTCTGCAGGAGAACGACGCTATTTTTTTGGTTGAAGAAAGCAAGAGGATACGGTGTAGAGGGAGCTACAAGATATTCTGCAGGAGAAAGGAAAGGAGCGTCGATACTAATGTTCAATAATGGCAAGGTTACCAGTCACAAGCTTGTTTTCAAGGATCGAACCGTCAGGAATCTCGATCCGGTTGCCCTCGTTGGCCACAATAATGACAGTGCCTTTGAGCTCGACACCACGGCCGAACGAGACATCGCCCATAACTGTAAGGTGGTCGAGTTCCATCATCTTGGGGATACTCTTAAAACGCTTCTGGTAGTTCGCCACCTTCTTGAAGGTGTCGCCCAGCTTAATAACCGGTGTTTGGCTGAACTGGCGCTGCGGGTTCATAACGAGCTTACCGTGCTCCAGGCTGTACAGATCACTGGTGATCAGGAGCAGGTCCGAGCAGCTCTTCACAGGCAGGAAACGCGAGCGCGGCACATTCACACCCTTTGCGCCACGGAAGTGCTTGATGGCAGCACCCACAGCAGTCTCCAGCTGGATCACAGGGTTGCCATTGTCAAGCGACTTGTGGTTCACAATAATCTCAAGGTCCAGCTCGTCGTTCTCCACCACACGCTTAATGGCCTTCAGGTTGAGCCATAGGTTGTTCGTGTTGAAGATCTTGAACTTCTTGATCGACTTGAAGTCTTCCACGTGCTCCGACGGCACCTGCGCAATCTCAAGCAGGCGGATGGTACCCTCGTAGTCAATCAGGGTACCACCCTTCACATCAGCCTTGGTCTTGTCGGTCACCTCCGAAATGAACTCAGCCTGCGTCTCGATCATGTGCTGGTAAATGTTCAGGTCCACCACAGCACCCAAGTTGTCCACATTCGATACAAATACGTATTCCTTGCCCATAGCAATCAGACTGTCGAGCAGGCCCGAGTTGTGCATCGCATCAAACAAGTCACCGTGTCCAGGCGGGTACCACAGGCTCTTGTTCGACGTCGCGCTCTGTGGGCAGGGTAGCATGCTGTCGCGGTCAATACGCGGGTAGCGCGACTGGTTGAATGTCAGGATTTCCACGTTGTGGTTTGCGTATTTTTGGATCACGCGAGCGGTGTCGTCATCGGTGTTGAAGGAGTTCATGAGGATGAACGGCACATTGACATTGTAAGTACCGTTAAGGTGCTCGATCTGACGCACAGACATGTCAAGGAACGTCATGCCCTCACGGACCTCAATCACACTCTTGGGGCCAGTGCAGCCCATCGTAGTACCGAGACCACCGTTAAGCTTCAGCACAGCCAGCTTGTTCAGCACCGAAGGGTCTGTGGCCTTCGGCAGTGCAGAGTAGGGCGTCACTTGCTCCGGGGCCGGAGGCTGAATCTTCTCCCAGTCCCTAGATGTCAGCCACATGAATGCACACATACAGTTTCTCACCCTTAGCCTTTTCAGCCAGGAAACGGTTGAAGAGGTGGTAGAACGAAGACATCTCCGCCTCAAATGCCTGCAGGGTAAGCCATACGAAGATAAATACATACACGCTTCGCAGCTGGGTCCTCAACACCATCGATCATCTGATTCAACTCGTTGCGCATAGCCTTGCTAGCGACGGCCAACGAAGCCGACTTGAAGTCCTGTCGTCGTGTTAGCAACCATGCACGATAAAAAAAAAAATTAAAAGATCAAAATACATACAATGTGCGACGCACCACGCTGGCGCGCAGCTTTCACACCAGTACCATCAAGTGAAGGAGATAGACTGTGCACCATAATAAATACAACAACGACCTCGCCAGTGGGTGTTACGGCAAGAGTGAACGTGCACTGTGTAGCCGTGGCGCCCGACACTCTAACACGCTTTGTCTACGCTTGCGTCAGAACTTACTGGTTGGTGCCCTTGGCTTACGTAAGATGAGTCGGGAGAGGGACGAAGCCTGTCGCCAAAGAAAATTATGCACAATGTACGCGCCTGAATGGATCGGCCGTATGGGTCAGCACCACGTGTAATATCCCGTGCATAACGCATGTCTAAACAACAGATTTCATTCCAACCTAGCACGGTCCAGCTATGTATTACGCCCGTTCCCAACCTGCAACAAGCTCTTCTTGCAGCTTTTTGGCGTTTCGACTGGCCTCCAGATCGTCCGTGCTCCGCAGGTGGTTGACAATGTCCTCCATCTTTCCAAAGTAGATTTCTTGCAATTGGTTGCGTATCTTGCCCTCAATATCCTCAATTATACGGCCTAGGTTACTGATATGGCTAGACGCATCTTCCACTTTGCACGTGTCTTGCGTTTGTCGGGTCAAGCTGCCGCCCAGATCCACTAGGCCAACGTTGTTAGTGTCAGTTCGTTGGAGTGATAGCATCACAGAACTAGATATTTTGTAGCGAGCTGACGATGATCCTGTGACCGTGTCGCGAGTACTGGATACCTCAAACACATGAATAGAGTCCCATGTGCCCAGTGTGGCCGGTTTCCCCTCCTCAATAGGGGTGTCTAAATCTGAATAGGTAAGCACAAACTTGTGAGCATACCTTTTTTGAAAAGCACCACCCCGGCAAAATTGGTGGGCAGGCTCTCGGACGAGGCTGAATCCATGTCCCATAGGTATGTGCTGGTATATCCTGTTTCATAATACCTAGTGTGTTAGAAGAAGCTGACTACGCACAATTTCCGGTATGTCTCGAAGGCATCATTTGCATGTAGTTCCAATTCTCGTAGTGCTCCTGTGGGCACAATTGGTGCATCCTCACCTTCTTCTGTAGTGATAGGAGGGAAGTATTGATTGCTGTACCAACTGCGCCAGCTGGCACCATCACGATTGTAGTCGCAGCACAGGAACTCACGACCTGCGCCTTCTTTCGAGTCGTCCACCTGTAGTGTCAAGGGTTGGTCTACGCTAGATGCAAGATCATCCGCCTCATTGGGCATTACTTTCATAAGCTTCTCGACATTCTCTTTCACATGAGCAGGAGGAAGTCGTCGAAGAATGTCCAATGACAGCGTCACAGGGTCGTCTTGTGTCGCACTCATGGTGGGGGACGTCAATGTGTGGAGCGATGAGGCACGTGCGCCAAGTCTCGAAGCCACGCCGCCCTGTCATTTCCCTATTTATCGGCATCATGGCGAACGAAAGTGCTCCGACAAAGAAGGTACAAGTCGTGGGGGCACCTCCGCCAGTAAAGGGCCCCGCACCGGAGCCTGAAACCGACTCCGAACATGAGCACGAGCACGAGCACGAAGCGGAGGAGCAAGAACATGAAGATGTCGCTGATGAAGATGAGGGCATTGACGAGTTGATGACGGCCTTTGAGGACGACGAAACCGATATTGATTTGACGCACTTGCGTCTGCACTCGACAAAGCGTTTGAATCTCCCTCGATTTGGGAAGACGCTGCAAAGACTAGGTCTCCGTCAAAACGAAATCCGCACGATGCGGGGAAAGGACCTTGGCGCCTGTCCGCATCTGAAAGAGTTAGACCTGTATGACAACGCCATTGAGCACATTAATGGCTTGGAAAACAATACAGAGCTTGAGTACGTATGCATTTGCTAATATGAAACAGGGTTTTAGATCTATCGTTCAACAATATTCGTCACATCTCTCGAATCTCACATCTTGGCCACTGCCATACCCTGTATTTCGTACAGAACAAAATCGCTCGCATTCGCCCCACAGACTTTCAAAGTCCCCTTTCTCTCAGCCTTCGAAGCCTGGAGTTGGGCGGAAACCGACTTCGGTCCTTGGAAAACCTGTCTCAACTGAGCAATTTGGAAGAGCTGTGGGTCGGTAAGAACAAAATCACGTCGTTGGAGGTATGTCGATGGCACGCTTATTAGCAGGGAATTCAATCACTAAAGAAGCTCCGTATCCTTTCTATTCAATCCAATCGATTGACCAAGCTAGAGGGCCTAGAAACGCTGGAGGCCTTGGAAGAATTGTACCTTTCACACAATGGTATTCAAAAACTGGAAGGATTAGAGCACAACACGAATCTCACTACATTGGACTTTGGTGCGAATCAAGTGCAAGTGATTGAAAACATCAAGCATCTGACGAAGCTGACACAGTTCTGGGTATGTAAACGTATTATCTCACACCAGGCCAACGATAACCAAATCACGGATATCAATCAGTTGGAGGAGTATCTTGGGCCTTCGTTCATGCCGGAACTGGAGACAGTCTATTTGGAAGGCAATCCAGCCCAAAAATCGGAAGGTGCTAGCTACCGGCGCAAGGTACAGTTGCTGCTGCCTCAGATCAAGCAGCTAGATGCGACGTACGTATACCAAAGTTCCTCACACATACAGCTTGGTTCGGCGATCGTAGTGGTATTGTATAGTACAAAATCGAACGCTATGGCTGAAAAGGAAACGATAGTCCTTTCTTTTAGCTGCGCTGCGTCTTGGATAGCAGCATACGATCCACTAGGCGCGAATAATACGAGCCATTCATACCTCCAGCAGGCATTTTTGGTGCACCTGGCTGGCCAGGAAGTGGCCTTTCAGTGCCGCCATCGGACTCGTTGCCCAGGTATACGTAAGGCTTGAGCTGGGACATGTAAGCATACGACGAAGAATACATACCTTGGTATCAGCCAAACCAGGAGGAACGACAAATGAAACCATACGCCCCTCATCCAGACGGTGGGTACGCAGGTTCCAAGTACGAGGGCGGCCCTGGGCATCATAAAGCTGGTTGCCTTGGCGATCGGCTAGGGCAATCCGCTTACGGAGAAGGACATTGCCTGCACGAGTACCTACACATATATAAGCACGCAAAAAGAAAATACATACCCTTATAGAAGTCCTTGTTGGCCTTTTTAGAGTTCAATGGAAGACGGCTCGCTTTCGAGAACGCGGCCTGCGTAGCACGAAACATTGTATCTCGTGAATCGAAGACGAAGACGACTGCAGCGATGCACTTCATCGGTTTATCACATGATTTGTCATAACCACCACCGTACGTTGATTAGTCATTGCAAGAAAAAAAAAAGACACGAGAGGTTCTTGACGGGAGGGCTAGGGACATCGGGCCTCGTTCTCAACGTTCACGCTTGTGGCATAGATTCACCATGCCCCCAGTTTCTGCGTCCAAAGCAAAGCGTCAAGCGTATGTGTACCGATAAGTGTTGTATACTAATACCTATGCAGTGAGAAGGCCGCCAAGGCTGCTGCTAAGGCCGGCAAGAGTGGCTCGTCCAAGGACTCTGTGACCACAGACGGTACCTCGGTCAGCGCTTCGACCAAGAGCTCGGCCTTTGAGGAGGAAGAGAAGGGACCCATCACAGATATGAAGAAGTTGGCTATTGCCACGGAGCGCAACGCCTCTGGTGTCGTTGTGAGTGACAAGCTGAGCCGTGACTTGCACATTGACAGCTTCTCCATGTCGTTCCACGGTCGTCTGTTGATTGACAATGCTACCATTGCGCTTAACTACGGTCAGCGTTACGGTCTCCTTGGTGAGAATGGTTCCGGTAAGACGACGTTCCTTGAGGCCCTGGCCAACCGTGATGTGGAAATTCCCGAGCATATTGACATCTACTTGGTCCGTGGTGAGGCCGAGCCGTCGGATGTGAATGCGCTGGACTATATTATTCGCTCTGCGCGTGAAAAGGTAGCTCGTCTTGAGAAGGAGATCGAGGACATGTCGGTGGCTGACGAAGTCGACGAAGTGGCCCTGGAGCTCAAGATGGAGGAGCTGGAGGACCTTGACCCGAGCACCTTTGAAGCCAAGGCTGGTGCGATTTTGCACGGTCTTGGTTTCTCGCAGACCATGATGAACAAGCCGACAAAGGATCTGTCGGGTGGTTGGCGTATGCGTGTGTCCCTGGCGCGTGCACTGTTCATTAAGCCTCACCTGCTGTTGCTGGATGAGCCGACAAACCACTTGGACCTGGAAGCCGTTGTGTGGCTGGAGGCGTACCTGTCGACCTACAACCACATTCTTGTGCTGACCTCGCACAGTGCCGACTTTATGGACAATGTCTGCACGAACATTATTGACCTGACTATTCAAAAGAAGTTCATTACCTACGGTGGTAACTACACGACCTACGTTCGTACCAAGACGGAGAACGAGGTGAACCAGATGAAGGCGTACCACAAGCAACAGGAGGAAATTGCGCATATCAAGAAGTTCATTGCCAGTGCTGGTACCTATGCCAACCTGGTCAAGCAGGCCAAGTCGAAGCAGAAGATCATCGACAAGATGGAGGCGGCTGGTCTCATTGAGCCTGTGGTGCAGCCCAAGCAGCTGCGTTTCAACTTCGAGGATGTGCGTAAGCTGCCGCCGCCGATTATTGCGTTCAACGATGTGGGTTTCAGCTACAGTGGCAAAGAAGAGGACTTTTTGTACAAGGACCTGAACTTTGGTATCGACATGGACAGCCGTGTGGCTATTGTGGGTCAGAACGGTACGGGTAAGTCGACGCTGCTGAACCTGATTACCGGTGTGCTGCAACCCGTAACCGGTAGTGTGCAGCGCCACCCTGCGTTGAAGCTCGGCAAGTACTCGCAGCACTCGGCGGACCAGCTGCCGTACGACAAGAGCCCGCTTGAGTACATTGAGGCGAAGTACAAGGAGAAGTACCCTGACAAGGATGTGCAGTTCTGGCGTGGTCAGCTGGGACGTTTCGGTTTGTCGGGTGCGCACCAAACCTCGGCCATCCGCACGCTTTCGGACGGTCTGCGCAACCGTGTGGTGTTCTCGCAGCTGGCTATGGAGAACCCGCACATTCTCCTGCTCGACGAGCCGACAAACCACTTGGATATGAGCTCTATTGATGCCCTTGCGAACGCTATCAAGGAGTTTGAGGGTGGTGTCGTGATTGTCTCGCACGACTTCCGTCTTATTTCGCAGGTTGCCGAAGAGCTGTGGGAGGTGAAGGACCGCAAGATTGTCAACCTCACCAAGCAGGACATCAGTATCCAAGACTACAAGAAGCTGCTGATGAAGAACAGTGCTGAGGCAATTGAACGTGCTAAGCTGACAGCCAAGTCGTCGTAAGGCTCGTTCACTGCCTTGTATTTGTAGGACGTATGCTGACGACGCTATGGCGCGCGACATAAAAGTAGAGCGAAGCGTGGTAGACCGACAGGTAGCTGATTCATCCACGTGGCTTCATGCAGTTGCATGCAGATTGGTGATGTGTGGCCAAAACGAAGGCGGGAAACCAAGTAGACCACCGCCACGATTGGCTGTTGGCCTGATCCTTTTACGTCTAGCCAGGACGCGTCCAAGGAATCCAAAGAGTGTCGTTCTCCTACATGGCCAGCACAGAGAATGGGGCCGGCAGTGCGTCGGCAGGTGTTATGCCATCGAGTGATCCAAAGAACCTTGGTTCTGATGCCATGAATGTGTTGAAAGGCGACAGTGTGACGTCGGAAACATCCATGAACAGCTCTGGGGCAGCCCCGACGGATGGCAACTCCAAGCCAGAAAACAGTGACGCGCCGCGTGCATGGCCTACATCGTTGCCACCTTTGCCACCGCATATGGCTGGTGCCGATCTGCCTATCGCTAATATCTCTCGAATTATGAAACGTGCCTTGCCGGACAATGGCAAAATTGCTAAGAACGCGAAGGAGTGCATGCAAGAGTGTGTAAGTGAGTTGATCAGTTTCATCACATCGGAGGCCAGCGACCGTTGCGGCAGTGAAAAGCGTAAAACTATCAATGGCGATGACATTTTGTACTCGCTCCGTGTGCTGGGCTTTGACAACTACGAGCAAGTGTTGAAAGTATACCTCAGTCGTTACCGCCAGGCGCAAGAAGAGAATCCGCGTCAGCGTCGCCGAAGAGCAGGCAAGCGACGCTCGTCACCGTCTTCCTTGCATGATGGGACAGGCACAGATGGTGATATGTCAACAGTAGATGGCGCGCAGGCGGATGATGACGGGCAGGACGATGACGATGACGACGATGCAGACGATGATGTAGACGACGAGTAATCCTAGCCTGCTGGTGATGGGAATCGCTCTTTCTTGTGCGCGAGTATGCAGGTACTTTTTTTTTCTCTTGCACGATGTAACTAGATACGGAAAAGAACTTCACCACGAACAACACTAATAATAACAACATTAAGAACAAGCAGTAGCTGAGAGCCTTGGAGAGCTCTACTCTACCGCGAGAGTAGTCATAGTGTGCATCCTACGTATGCAATAGTTAGGCCGAAGAGACGCCATTGTATGTTTTTGTAGCCAGACCGCTGCCTGAGCCACGACCCATCAATCATCTGCTGTAAGTACACATGCTCCATAAACAGCGAAACATACCACGAACCAACGCCATAATCATGCTAGAGTGTCAGCCAAACCCAAAGAAGGTACATACCGGTACAAGTAGAAGAAGAATGACAAGAGGTAGAAGCCCAGCTTGACAAAGCTTTCTTTCTTGTGCGTCATGAGCGTCCGGAAGATTTCTGTCGCGTCCAACAAATAGCTTTTATTTATCACTCTGCTAGGTGAGCGGTGGAAAGGCGTTACGTACTTGTTAGCGTTGTATGCCAGCAGCGGAATGTTGAGGAAGAGCGCAATCCATTGGCCAGTGAGCAAGAAAAGAACAGTAAGGAAAGCGTGTGCACCCATTTCTGGCAGCATAAACTGGTTAAGCTTCGTGCAAAGATCGATAGGGTTGATGTAGTCCGATTCCAAGTCCGAGTACATGATCACGTAGAAAACCATGACGAACAGCAACACTGCTGTGAGAATAATGGAAAGCAAGTACAGCCAACCTGCGATGAATGAGTATGTATAGGCCAACCTACCGTCTCCTGGCATATTGTAAACTAGGACGTGTCAATTCTCGAGAAGGGCCCTACGTACCACTCGCAAAAAGTCCCTAGTTAAAAAGTACAAGCGCAGCGGAGCAGCTCCCAGATCGGTGGCTGCGACACGCCGTCCCCCTACGGCTATATATGCGATTATGTAAGAAAGGGCAGGCAGCGCGTTACGCGTGCGCGGCAAGAGCCAAGCGCTGCCGCTTGCGTTGGGCCACGTCGGACACTGAAGGTGAGGGTGCAAAGTACATACATCGTAGTTTTTCAGGGAGCCATTCGCCATTGTTAATGATCAGCACCTTCATAAGTGGATGGTAGGAGAGACCTGGTAAAAGTTTGGGCGTGATAAGAAAGTACTGCCCGGCCTCCGGTCGGCATGTAATGTCGACCATATGGTTGTGGACAGCACGCTCAGCGCGAGGATCCATGCCCTGATTGATCTCGTCCACCAATGAAAAGGGTGATCGTGAGAGTTCCGTCAAGCTTAGAAGATACAAAATCGTCGAAAGCGACCGCTCGCCACCAGATTGGCGCTGGCCAGTAAGCAGTTGCAAGCGCTCGGTATCACGGAACTTGACAAGAATATCGATGCCCCATTTTTCATAGTCCTCTTCACGCGCCAGACGCACTTCGCCAGCACATCCCATACCTGCTGTTAGTCAAATAAATACATACGTGCAAAAGCAGCAGCGAATCGATTGTTGACGGAACACAACAAAGCGTCCAACGCAGGAAGCCAATGCCCTTCGACCTCCGCAATCGCGCGATCCAAACGGACTTGCTCGGCACGCGCATCAGCAATGGTGCGCTGGAGCTGTGCGATCTTTTCTTTGCGCGTGCGATACGCTTCCATCACACTAGGACCGACACTCGAAGGGATTTCAAGTTGGGCTTGTGTGCGTTCCAACTCAGCCATGAGCTCGGCAGAAGACCGGTCGGTCTCGTTCACATACTCGCGAAGTTGATCCTGAATGTCTTCTGAGGCATCAGCTAGGCATCGCTCTGCGCGGCGTTTACAAGTAAGCGCATGCTCCTTGGTATCGGTAAACGCCGCTATAGCATCGCGCACAGCTTGCTCACCCTCATCCACTTGCACTTTGTGGTCACGCAGCGCGGCTTCACGGGTCTGGATCTCACTGATGAGGCACAAAAGAGCCAACCCATCTTCGTCACTTGCATTGTACGCACGAGCCATGGTTTGCAAGAGCCGTACAGCTCGCTCCGCCACCTTACTGCGCTCCACGACCAGCTTGCGTCGCTCTTGATCGAGCTGCTGACGCTGGAGCACGACAGAAGGCCGCTTCTCTTCCTCCTGCAGGCGCTCTTTCTTCGTACGCAGCTGCCATTGTAGACGCTCCCAAGCCTTGTGCTCATCAGCCGCAGCTTGGTGCTGCGCTGAGAGGGTGGCTCGCTGTTCGGTGAGCTGTTCCAGGTGTGTCGTCTTGCTGAGGCGATCAGCTTCCAAGTCACGCAAAGCGGCCTCGGCACGTTCTAGTTCCGCCTCTGAGGACTGGACGGCATGCAAGGCGTGCTCTCGTGCTTCAGGATCACTGGTGTGAGCAAAGTTTCGTAGGGGTTTGAGAACACGCGATAGCGTCTGCGGCAAACGTTGGCCATAGCTCGAGTAGGTCGTGGAGAAAATGGTGTCGCCAGAAATGTAGCGACGTACAGAGCGGTCCTTTTCCATCGCAGCGGGATCTACGCCCCCTTGGAAAGCAATAGGAATCGCATGCAAGTGGGCCGTGCTGCACAAGTACCGAAGCACATCAGGCGGAGCATCGATACAGTCCAATGCATACGCATCGAACCCATGCGAGGTAAGCGTAGACACAGGCATGGGCGGTGTGTAGGTGGACAGCGCCGGGCCGCCTTCCATTTCCACGACATTGAGACGCCATTTGCGTTTGTCGATCAGTTCACGCGTAAAGAGGTCGTAGTCGGCACGTGTTTGGCACACAAATGTACGTTGCACAGCCCAGCTAAGGCACGTCTCGATCGCACGAGCTGCTTCAGGGCGCTTGAGCGAGAGGGCAACTAGGACAGGCTCATACACAGTCCGCTCAAAGATCCCTTGATTTTGCTCCAGCCACATGGTCGCTTCGTACGTATCACGATCGCCACGCGCAAGAATTTGCAGGCGCTGGTAGCGCACCGTTTGAAGTCGGTCGAGGCTGAAGTGAGTAACATAGGTACATACGTGAGTCGTGCTTCCTTGTGCTGAGTGCGTGCACGTTGCACCTTGGCATTCCATTCGCGCGTCTGTGCATCCAGATCACGTACATCTTCTGTAGCAACACGATGTTCCGTCTTGACAGCCCGCCATTGTTGATCTAGGGCGGTAAGGTCAACGGACGGGGGGCCAGTAGCAACGGACGCCTCCAGGGCGGCAATTTGTGTCCGCATTTCGTCCATGGCACGACGTCGCTCTTGCTCAAGCGACTCGAGTTTGCGTTCCTGCTCGTGCAAGCTTGCCAACTCCTGTTCAATAGATTCACGCGAAGTGGAGAGGCGCTTGAGATGGACCATGGCCTCGTCGGCTTCACGTCGATGCTCCGTTTGCAAGATAGTGATTTTGCTAGACCGTTGTTGTGCTTGTTCTAGGGCAGTCTCCAGTGGCTGCATGGCCAAAAGGATCGTTTGCAGAGCGTGTTTGGCCTCTTCACGCTTTTCACGCGCTGCCGTGTACCGATCCTTGGCTTCGCGGTAGTTGGCAAAAGCGACGCGAACTTGCAGCGACGCGACGCGCTTTTCCAGCTCGACACGCTCTTCGTACCGACGTATATCGCGTTCCAACACGGCATTTCGTGCCTCCAAATGATCATGCTCTTTTTGCTCTTGCTCCAGTCGAGTGACCAAAGCGGCACGTTGATGACCGTACTGGATCAGTTGAGCATGCCATTCAGACAGATGCGGATCGCCGGCGGCGTGCTGGGTATCTTGAAGCAGCTTGCTGGGAGTCATAGCTGCAAAGTCAGCCACACGATCCTGAGGAAGGAAAGAGCACAGATTGCCCACTTCGATATGGAAGCGCGAAACAGCTGCATGGACGTCGCGAATCGTGGCCGCCACGCCGTTCAGCATCCAATCACTTGTGTTCGAGTCGCGGAACATGATTCGGCGTAGAATCACATTTTGCTCCTCTGGGAAGCCTTGCAATTCGACCTCGACCCAGCCTTGAGCATGCCCGAGCTTGACATACGACGCCACGTCTTTCGCGCGGCCCAACACACTAGGCTTCCAACCCAACCCCAAGGCAATCGCACATACCACCGTACTCTTGCCTGTACCGTTAGGTCCGATGATCATGTTGAGATAGGGGCCAGGGAAGAATTCCACGGCATCGTACGTCACAAAATTCTCACAAGCAATACGCACAATGGCGCCAGGCAGGTATCTAAGGTGAGTGCAGGTCTTACATACCCTCCTGCATTGCGTGCTGGCCGTGCCGATGCATGAGGCCCTACCTGCATCGCAGGCGCTTCACACTGTCGCTCGTGCTCGCCTACCGACGGTGTACGGCGGCGGCGCGCACGCTGCGTGCTCATCACCGTGCGGCGCGAGAGTACGTCGTGACACACAAACGCGTCGCTCACCTTCTCTCACGTGATATGCAAAGGACGCGCCCCCACATTGTGGCACTTTCGCACGGCGCATCAATGACGGCCACGTCTGCCGAGCAGGCGTTGCAAGAATGGCTTCGTGCTATGGAGTTAGATACAAATAAGGCACCATGGGAGACGTGGGTCCAGTATTTTGACCAGCTCCCGCCGCAGGTTCTTCGCACTGTGGGCGAAATGTGGACGCCGGTCGAACGTGCAGCTTGTGCGCAAATTCGTGAACGGCGCCGGCGGTATGCAGAGAGGATGGCACCTGAGTCTCTGTCAGCACGAGTTCAGCGCATCTCGCATCCTACATGGTGGCAGGCCTGCGTGGCCGAATTGGAAGGCGAAGACGAAGACGACGAGGAAGACGAGGACACAGGCCATGATACCCCTCCACGAGCAGCAGCAGCGACGAGGATAAGAGCGACAGCCGTGGACGAACCTATCTTGCCAGCGGAGGCGGATCGGTATGAGCCACGCGATCTTCTTTCTACGCAAGGACCGGCCGCGCAGCTGCACGCCGAGTACCAACGAGCCATCCACCAGGAGGCGCCCGCCATCGAACGACACATCCCTACCCCGCTGGTGGATGCGTTTCAGCAGCAAGTATGGCATGCATTTTGCTGGGGCAAGGTACGTCGACAGGCTCACTCATGAATAGATCCCAGAGGTCAGCTATGATTGCGACTACGATGAGCGATGGGATGCGCCACATCGACGATACATGCAGGAAGATGCATGGTTCGAGGAGGACGATAGCGATACGGGGGCATAGACATGATAGATAGTGGGTATGTAATGCCTAGAACCCAAAAAGGCGCAACGTTACGCTGTGCCGTCGTAGCGCTTCACGATGCTGAGGTCAGCAGAGACGAAGATACGTACTTGGCCTCGTAGGGGTGTGCTTCGCCAGGGAAGATCTTGAGGCGCTCGAGACGACGCTCGCGAAGCTTGTTTTTTGGTAGCATACCAGACACGGCACGTCGGATGATCTACGTGTGAGACAGTGGATGACATACCTGTTCCGGCTTGTTCTGTAGCATGTCCTTGAACGGGATTTCCTTCAAGCCACCGGGGTACATGGTGTGGTGACGGTACAGCTTTTGTTCCGCCTTCTTTCCTGTGACGGCGATATGCGAGGCGTTTGTCACGACGACATAGTCGCCGGCATCGACGGCTGGGTCGTACATGGGCTTGTGCTTGCCCATCAGGGTCACGGCAATCGAGCGGGCAAGGCGGCCCAGCACACGCTCACGCGCGTCGACCTGGTGCCATACACGAGCAAAGGCTAGGGATGTCTAGGCGACGTGAGCCGCATCTTCATACGTACGTTGCCTACACGTTGCGACATGGCAGACAGACAAAAGGCAAACTTCGTGGAGCGACTGATCGGCCTTCGGCCGGGGGAGCTGCAAGGCCCGATCGCCATGTGCGCGCTGGCTGACTGGCTGGCTGGCTGGCAAGGGCGTGTTGCGCCGCGACGGGCGTGGCCCACGCATCCCTTCGTAGTACTACGACAGCGTAGCAAGGTAGGCTATCATGTCGTTTGATTTCAACCCTACGCCGGACGCAGGCTCGACGGATCCGATGTCGGACTTTTTGCAGCGTGAGAAGCAGGCGGCTGGTGAGCTGTTGGGCGGCGACCAGGACTTGTTTGGCAGCAGCGGCCACCACAAGAACAGCAGCACCAACGCAGCGCCTACGCAGCTCCCGAGCGACCTGGATGACTTTGAGCAGCGTGCCAAGGCCTTTCCGGCGCTGGATGGCGAGGAGGCACTGACGGACACGCCTGCCCCGCCGAAGCCTGCGACGGAGGAGGAGCGATTCCAGGCCTCGTTCCCACCGCTGGACAGTGCGTCGTTGGACGCTGGTGACGATGCAGGTGCGTGGGATTCGTGGGACACCGAGGAGCGAGAGGTCCCGGCCCCTGCTTCGGTCCCGGTGCCAGCCCCGGTAGCGGAGGCTACGCCAGAGGTGGCGGCCAAGCCCGCGCCTACGTCGATGCCAGTGGCAGAGCCGACGCCGGCGAGGGAGCCAGCGCCTGTTGAGGCGGCCAGTACGACCAAGACACCGTTCACGTATGCCGACCTGGACGAGGACACGGAGCCGTTGCGTGCCTGGCGTGAGAAGCAGGAAGAGGAGATTGCACGCCGTGAAGCGCAAGCGGAACGTCATCGTGCGGAGGCCATCTCCAAGGCCGAGCAGGAAATCGACCAATTCTACGCAGACTACAACGCACAGAAGGAAAAGAATATCAAGAAGAACAAGGAAGCGGAAGCGCGTTTCCTCGAGCAGAAGCAGAAAGAGCTGGCAGAGGGTACGACGTGGACGCGCATCACGAAGCTCCTCGATTTGCAAAACAGCCAGTCGAAGACCATTGCCAAGACGGGCGCTGGTGCGAGTGACTTGACGCGGATGAAGGAGCTGTACCTCAGCCTGCGTCGCGAGGGTGAGAAGGCGCCGGGTGCTGCGGGGTACTAATGAACTGTGCAATAGAGAGATAGGTCCTTGTCCGACCATGCATGATATCTAGCTAGTAGGGTGGTGGGAGTGGCATCCCGCGATCGTGCGAGGCAGAGACAGGGGTGGAATGCGGCGCCTTTGCGGACGCAGGTCGCCGACCAGACGCGAGCATTTTGTACTCTTCCGGCGAGGGTACACGTCGCGCTAGCTCGTCCAGCAGTTCGTCAAGTGTGCCCAGGAAATGCGGCGGCGCTCGTTTCCGCAGCATCACGACCCAGTGCTTCTTGATGACGTACATGGGCCACTGCCATTCCGGCGTCGCAAGCTGATCAAAGTCGATATCGGCAGCATTCTGCTTGCCTTGAGCCCGAATGCGCTGCAGCAGGATGTGATCGTCGTGCGGTGCGTACCAGCGCGCATTCTGCTCCTCTGAGCTACGACGCTCTGCACTCAGCATACCGCGCCACTTGCGGCTTAAGACGCTGATCCGCCGGGGCGAGGGGCCCAGTCGTTCGTGGATCAACGTCCATGGCAGATTTGGGCCGTCCGGGGAGCATCCTACCTTTTCGCAGCATTCCAGCACAGCCTGCCGCAGTGCCTCTTCTTCTTCTGGGCGAAAGGCGCCTTGGGGGACAGGGCCCTGGCTCCGACTTTGCATCTGTTCGCGCCAGAAGTGCTTGCATACGTTGCCAGATCGGCCCAGTCGTGCGCCGATCTTTTCCCATTGGTGGCCCAACTCGGCCACCGCCGAGGCCAGCGCTTCCATCTCGTCCTGCGTCCAGTGCCCGCCCCGCACGACGTCCTTGCGTAGGCTCTTGATGTGCATACGCACCGCGTAATTGGGGCGCGTGCCTACAGACAATGCAATGTGCTTCCATAGCTCTTCATGCATGTGTTTCTGCTCCGGCTTGCGATGCCATATGAGTTCGTCCAACGCAGCCTGCGATAAGCGGTAGTGCTGTGGTGAGTCAGCAGTGTACGTACCTTGCAAAACTTGTTCAGCGCATCGGTTGCACGATCTTCCTCGTCCTGGCTCCATCGTCCAGTGCGCCATGTAAGGCCGTACGCTTCTTTGAGCCAGAAAAGACGATCACTGGAGTACGCATGTTCAAGCACCATTTGCTCGTACGTCTGCCCTGCATGCGCAGCGACAAAGGCAGCGCGTGCTTTCTCCTGGTCAGGCTTCAGTGGTCGAGTCTGTCGGCGTGCAGTGGAGCGACGTGCGCGTGTCGGCGGCGCCGAGGCGGAGAGCGGCAGTCGCGCGGCGGACGCGCTGCTGGGGACAGACGCAGACGTAGACGCGGCTGCAGCATCCAGGACAAAGGGCAGCGTCGCATCTAGAACCAGCGGCGCAGCCGTGCTGGTATCGGGGGCCGTAGCCAGCTGCGGATGGAGTTCCTGCATGGCGTCCAGCGTCTGCGAGGCACTGGCGTACGTAGGACGGACGTCATGATAGTCGCCTGTACGTGCGCTTTTCGCGCTGGTATCAGCCTCGTCGACGCGACGCTTTCCAGAGCGTGACGTAGCAGTGTCCATATGTAGGAGGAGCGCCGTGTTGACATCCGCCCCGCCCGTAGCACTACGTGTGGTGGATGGCGGCATGGCAGCCAGCGGCGGCGGCGACGGGGGGGCCGTTGCTGTATGAGATGTCGTGGAGGGCCATGGCGAGGACGCGTCCCATGCATGGGACGCGTCCGCCGGCGGATGCGTCGAAGGCATAGGCGCTCTCGCTCGTTGCGCTCGCTGCTCCATCTCCCCCAGGCCAATCGCGCGAACGGCGGCAGCGTCGCGGTGAGGGTGGGGCGAGGGGGCCTACGCGCGCGCGCGCCCATAGTCACGTGGCAAAATCGCTAGCTACCTGTACCTTGACGTCGAGGCTATGTCTCTCTACCATGTATATTACTTGTGACGGATGGTGCTCTCGCTCGCGTGGCGGATGGCCCATGTCAGCGCGTACGTCTTTGCAGCGTCTTCGTACGTGCTAAGAATCGGCGCAGCGTCATTGCCATTCTCGATCGTGTCGATCATGTTGGCGACCTCGGAGAAGAAGGGGTCGTCGTCCCTGTAGCGCACCACCTCCTCGTGGTCGTCACCTGGACGGCGGATGTACAGCATCGGTTTGTTGTACGGGTCCACCAAGCGCAGCTGGTAGCCGTCCGCGTACACGTCGAACTCCGTCGAGTACTCGGTACCCTGCAGTGCCACGGCATGCGTCAGCGAGCCCACGGCACCCGTAGAGAACTTCCACGTAGCACACGTCACACGCGGAATGCGGTTCTCCGGCGCAATCTTTGACTCGTCAATCGGCATCTTCGACAGCTTGCCCGGCTCTTCAAAGTGCTCCACCGAGTGCGCCATGACGGTGTCAAGCTCCGCCTCCCCACCAAAGTAGCGCATCAAGTCACAAAAGTGCGTAGCCTGCTCGACAATCGGGCCAGGGTTGCGCGACTTGTCCCACCAGGCAGGCTTGGCCGTATGTTCGTAGGCCATAATGTAGCGCGCGTTGATGGCCATGACTTTCAGGTTGTTGCAGGCAATGATTTGCTTCATGTGCTGTACCGCCTTGAGGTAGCGAAGCATGTAGCCCACGGACACCGTGCAGCCGCTGGCCTTCAGCATCTCCGAGACCTTGAACACATCCTCTGCCGAGCCCGTCGAGATGGGCTTCTCAATGAACAGCGGCGTGCCCTTCATGTACTCAACCAGCTCTCTCTCGAGATCACGGCCAGGTTCAGTGGTGCCGCGGTACTCGGGCGGCGAGCCCACCCAGATAGCATGCGGCTTCTTCTCGTTTTTCGTCGCCTTGACAAACGCGTCAAAGTCATGGTACACAACAGTATTCTCGTACGCGCTCCGCACGAACGACTCGCGCTTGGTCTTCAGAACACGCTCCGCACGAGCCATGTCTGGGTCGATCAGCGCAGTGACTTTCAGACGCGGACCGAGTTTGTGCTCGAGACGGAACGAGTGGTTCCATGGGCCCTCTTCCGAGCCAAAGTTGATGTTGCCCGCGCCTACAATCACCACATTGAAGTCGGCACCAGGCGCAGGCGGATCCTGCTGATGCATGGCTGTCTGCATGTGCGGGTGAAAGTCCAGCGTAGGCGCATCGCTGGTATACGATGCAGCCATACGAGGCACGGCGCACGGGACCGCGCGAGCACCGCGCAGCGAGGCGCGCGCAGCGCTGAACAGGGCAGTTCGGACTACCTTGGATCCCAGCATAGGTGAATGCACACAGGAGACCTGCACGGCAGGAGCCCGTCTTTTTGTACAGGCGGCAGCACGGCTGGCCTCCACACAGATCGCCCCAGCATGTGCATGAACGGCGGCCCTATTCGGCCTAGGCTGCGTCCCGTTGGCTTCGTGGGCTGTATGTTTATTAAAACAGACTGAATTTCGTGCGTGTAGACAACTGCAGCACGCTGCGATCTCGCTAGGGCCAACCTGGATCGGACCTGCGCCGTGAGGGTATCAGGTGGCCTTGTCTCTCGCATGACCATGGGAGGCCGTGCTTCGGCCTATCGAGTCCACAGATACAGAATGCGCTATGAGGTCATGCGTGTCTAGACTCTGTCTACGGTAAGTGCATAGACAGCTAGCGGCGTGCACCGCCCAGTCGCTCTGTCAGCATCGCCGTGGTCAGCGAGCCATCTCGGATGTCAATCACCTTGCCGACATCCGCCTTCACACTGAACATCGATAGAGCAGAGGCATACAGCGTCGATAGCTCCATACTGGCCGACACGGGGGCCCAGCTAGATTGGTGAGTCGTACTTGTACATACTGGATCAATACAAGCGGCTGTAGGTGTTAGGTGCCTTGTGTGTACGTACATAAGACGTGCGTCCATCCGCGTGATGCAACTCAAAGCTGAGAATCACAAAGCGTGGAGAGTGCTCAGGTAGTTCTTCCTCGAGCTCCTCAGGCGTAATGGGATCAAGGATCTCTTCTTTTTCGATGAGGAGCTTCTTCTTGTCGATCTTCACAACAAACGCTGCGCCCTTGGATGTGCTCTTGGACAGACGAAAGGTACGTAGCTCCGTCAGCAATGACGGGTCAATATCCACCGTCGTCGACATGACGGCAACGAGACACGGAATTGGTGACGCAGCCTCCACATCTGTACGAACCCAAAAATGAGGCCTATTTTGAGAATGTCTATGTGTGCTTCGCTACAGCGCGCTTGGTCACCATCTGCTCGGACGCCTGACGGATCGCCCACGTGAAAGCATACGTACGCGCAGCATCGCCAAAGGTGCTCTGAATCGCATCCGACTTGGACGCATCCTCCATGGCATCCACAGCGCATGCCACCTCCGCGTAGAAAGGATCGTCGTCCGTGAATTTGTACTCTTCCTCCTTGTCCGAACCTGGGCGGCGGACGTACAGCGCCGGGGCGTTGTAAGCGTCGCACAGGCGCATCGAGTAGCCATCGGCTAACACATGCAGCTCCGTGAAAAAGTCACGGCCATGCATGGCAATTGCGTGCATCAGCGAGCCCACTGCACCCGACTCAAACTTCCATGTCGCGCTCGTCACACGCGGCACACGCTTTTCGGCAGGAATGTCGACGCCCTCGTCAAAGCCGATCTTCGAGAGCTTGCCCGGCTTCTCAAAGTACTCCAGCGTATGCGCAATCACCGAGTCCAACTCTACTTCACCACCAAAGTAGCGCGCCAAGTCGCAGAAGTGCGTCGCCTGCTCGATCACAGGGCCCAGACTTACGTCCTTGTTCCACCACCACTGCTTGACCAGCTTCTCGTAGGCAATGATGTAACGGCAGTTGACGGCCATCACCTCCAAGTTGTTCTCAGCGATGATCTGCTTCATCATCTGCACAGGCTTCAAGTAGCGGAACATGTAGCCCACAGCGACAGACGATGCCTTGTCGCTGATATAGCTGCTGGTAGCCATCACCTCCTCGACCGAGCTGGTGGTAATAGGCTTCTCGACAAACATAGCCACACCTGGCAGTGCGTTCGCAATCATAGCCTCAGTGTTGCGGCCTGGCTGCAGACTACCGCGCGTCGAGGGCGGCGAGCCTACCCAGAAGGCGTGCGGGCGCTTCTCGGGCGTGACTTGCGCGAGGTACTCTTCCAAGGAGGCGAAAATCTCCGTGTCCTTATAGGCATATTGTGCATCCGAAGCACGCTTCATGTCCAGCACACCCTGCGCAGCCGACTCAAACGGGTCAACCAGAGCTACGACACGGAGTCGCTGACCCAAGCGCTTCTCCAGACGAATCGAATGATTCCATGGGCCCTCAGGTGATCCAAAGTTGATCTGGCCAGCGCCTACAAAGGCGACACGGAACTCATCGGACGAGGTAGACATAATGGTGGGGCAAGAGCCAGGGTGACTCGGCCGTCTTCCCACTCTACGCTTTCCTCCCCTCCCCTGAGAAGCCCATTCGATCGAGAATTGCTTATTTTCCAGCTTGCATTACCGCAGATATTTTTTTATTCATTTATACCTGGAACGCCGCGGGGTATGGAGCCCATGCTACGCCCTATCCCATCACGTGCCGTGTCGGCGCTTGGCAGGGCGAGAGAGCACACTGCTGTGCATAGCACCGGCGGCCAGACGAGGTGCACCCCTCGTTGCCATACCATGTCTATGTTCTTGTTATCGACCTACGTTGGACGACGAGGGATGTTGCATCCAGGCGAGGCAGAGCATGGTTATGTCGTAGGGTCTTGTAGCCTTTCTAGAACGCACCTATCTCTTTCTGTTCTCCCTGATGCGCCCACCCTTTTACATATAGAACGGTGCCTTGCTCTAGCCGCGACTCCCACCGCCGCACAGTACGACAGCCACGACGCGGTCCTCGAGGCAGGTCGGCGTACGCGAGCAGGCGAAGGTGTGTCCACATATCACGTGACCCTTCGTCGTGGACAACGGGCTCGGCTCCGACGCTCGCTCACTTCTCTACATCGTCGCCATGCCTGTTCCTTTTGAGGCACTGCTGCCTATGGGCATTGTTGCTGGCCTGTTTGCCGTCACTGGTACAGGTTACAGCTTGGTCTCCCGTCTTGCCAACGAGGGAAAGGTACGTGTTTCGTTGTAGGTGGCCCGACTAACGACACAGCCGATGCGTCACAACCTGGACGAGTGGGAGCGTATGATGATGCGCCGTGATTTCCGTTTGACGGGTAGCAAGCGAGGACAATCGGTGTGTACGGTGTACAACTAACCGGTAGCGCGAAGCTGTGGCCCCTCCCGAGTTTGCGACAAATAGCGCGTGGGGCTCGGAGCAAGTATAACGGCATACAGATAGCAATAAAAAATTGTGCAAGATGAAAGCGATGGCCATGAGATGGTATTATGATCTACAGTACATGCAAATTACGAGATACTTAGCGGCGGCGGCGGCGGCGTTCGTTGGGATTCTTGCGGCCCACACCCAGCGCTGGGAGCTCGCCCACCTGTGTTGTATGGGCGCCGCTGAGGAGGTTCGGTAGCCAGTCAGGGTCCGCATATCGTGCTGTGAGCGAGTCCTGGCCCTTTTCGAGGGCCCTCTGTAGCTGCCTCTCCTCTTTGTCTCTGCGTGTCTTTTGCTGCGAGAGAGCACGTTGCCATTCCAGCTGGTCTTCACGTAGAATAGGGATGCCTGTCTTTTCGTTCCTGCTTTGCCCACTAGGCTTGCCGCCTGAAGCGCTGCCAGGCTTGGGCATGGGGAGAGAGTAAATGGTACCGCGATTTTTGTATTGGAAGTTGGACTTGAGGTGGATTTGCAAGCCGCCGGTCCCTTCGCCTGGCGGCGCCGAGGTGACAGAGGTGCGGAGGAGCGTAGCATTGCCGCAGGAAGGACAGAATTTGCGCTCCATGTCTTTGCAGATCTTGAAACAGGCGTGGCACCGCAAAACCCAGCTCTTCACACGCTCAATGCGCAAGCCATCGACGCTGACCAAGTAGAGTCCCATCTGTAGCAGGACGTTTTGCACGGCAAAGTCGCCAGTCATACAGGCCACCGTCATGCGTGCCGGTGCGCCCTTCTTCCCACGACGTCGGCGGCCTTTCTTGGCCGTACCTTCTTCCACAGGAACAGACTCGTCTGTCACGAGGCCGAGCGACTTATTCTTGTGCTTGGTGATATTCTCTGGCGTAATCCATTCGCCTCCTGTCGCCTCGTCATCCTCGTCGATGGTATCATGCACAGGTTTGTGCTTTGCGGTGACCAATGTGAATCCGTCGTCGTCGTCGTCGTCGTCGTCCTCGCGGCTTTCCTCTTCCTTCTTCACCTGGGATGCAGGCTTGGCGGGGGCCGGTGTGGGGGCAGGCGCGTGTTCTTTCTGCGCTGGCTGAGTCTGTCCCTTTTCTGCTAGGCGCTGCGCCTCATGCAGCTGCTGGCCTGTCTTGCCGCCGAGCGTCTCACGAATGCGCCACGTCCCATGTGCCTCGACTTCCAGGGCGTAGGTCAGAGCCAAGACATGCAAGTCTGGCTGCGAGAGGACCGCGTAGTCACCGGTCTGCTTGCTGAAGTCAATGACTTTGCGCATGGCCTCCGCGCTAGGTTCACGGACTTCCAGCTGGATTTGGCCAGTGGAGTGCAGCGACTCCAAGTACTCACGCGCTCGCACATCACGGAGCTCTGCCAGGACCGAGGGTGGGATATAGTACTTCTCCGCGAGCCCTGCGATTCGGGCCTGTGTGAGCAAGGGCGCCGCATCCAGGACGAGCTTCTCGATATGGCACGCGCTCCGCGTCCCGCTCGCTGTCATCGTGCGCAACGCTCGCGAGAAAGCCGTACATGGGCCGCAGTGGCCTACGCAAAAAAAAATGGCGCTCGGCCGATCCCTCCACCTCTCCGCCCGACGTGGAGGCGGCGGTAGGTGGTAGATGGCTGCGTCCCTGCGGCGTGGCATCGATGTGGGTGGCGTCGTGGCGTGTACAGCAAGGAGCGCGACGGCCTGCTTTTCGCGCGGCCTTTTCTTCATCTCGTCTTGTTCATGCAGACGAGCGTGAGCTGGATCTGTACGAAGTGCTAGGTGTGCCACGCGATGCGACCAAGGCACAGATCAAGAACCAATTCTACCGCCTCTCGAAAGAGCACCATCCTGACGTGGCCAAGCATGAAAAAGGCAAGGATACGTTCCAGCGCGTAAGCGAGGCATATGCTACGCTCAGCAACGATGCACAACGGCGTGCGTACGATCGAACGCTGCGCACGTCGACGCCCTCGACGTCCGCCGCGTCGTCGTCTCGGCAGGACACTGCGCGCTATGCATGGGCCTACCAGCGCCGCGCGCAGGCCGCCTCGCAGGCGGCGTCGGCGCGCTATACACCTCCTGGTGCACGTGCATCGGCCGCGTCTGCGAAGCGATCGGACGACGCAGCGCAGCGGTACACGACGCAAATGTATGCTCGCATGGCCGAGCGTGAGGCCCGCTTGCACGAGGCGCGCACACGGTCAGGCTCGTACGCGTCCCCGGCGCCCAACCCGGACAGTTTCCGCGCATGGAGTCAAAAGCGTTGGAGCGAGGAAGAGCACCAGGCGGCCATGTCGAGCTCGACATGGCGGTTCTTGCAAGTGGGCACGTTGCTCGGCGGTACGTTGTGGCTCAGCCACCGCCTGTTTTCCTAAGGCCGTAATAGTACTTGCTATTTTTCTTCTACCTACGTACAATACACCGTCCCCCCTAGTCCACATTACAACGTAGGCGTATGCGAAGCGAGGCCCGTCGGGGCGGCCTGGCTGTCCGCCTGCCCACGTGACGAGGGGTGATGAGGGCTGGGCGGGCGAGGACGTCGACGCTGGGCCTCCTCCAGCGAGATCGTCGGGTTGCTGTACGACGAAATGACTGGCTGCGAGGTATCGCGCCCTATCGTCGCCTTCATGACCGACTTCATCCATGCACGCAGCTCCTTCGGATCTTCGTGACTGAAGTGGTGCGTCCGCTCGGCGTCATGCAAGATCTTGAAGCCATGACGGCCCGTGGAAGGGTCGTCGGCGTACACTTTGTAGCCACGCAATGGAATATGACTCTTGACTTTGACGGCATTGGGATCCCGCAGCACCAGCAGGTCGTTGCCTTGCAGGACCAGGTAGCGTGCGTTCCATGTATTGTAGCGCTCGCCACGCTTCTTGATCCATCCCTGCTTGTCCACCGGGCCAATTTTGCTGAGGACCGTCGTGGTGCTGGCGGTCGCCGCCGCCGCTCCGCTGCCCACGCCCGCGGCCGCGGCAGTGGTTGTGCCGACCGGCATCGGCGCCGAAATCTGGCTCTTGCTCGGAGCCGCGCCGCTCGGAGCAGAGACCTGCGTCTGCTTCGGGCGGGGCGACAGCAACGGGAATCGCGAGCGCGACTCCATCTTGGGGCTCGGCGACGGGGGCGCAGGCGCCGACTCTGTCACCGGCGTCGGCAAGGGAACAGGCTGGGGCGCCTGCGCCGCCGTGTCCTGCGGCACCGAAGGCATCGGCTTGGACACCATCACAGGGCTCGACAAGGGGCTTTGCGAAGGCTTGGGCGGCGTCGCAGGGCGTTGCTGATTATCGTCGGCCATGCGCCGCGGCACGCCTGGCAGGTCAGTGGCCGATGTCGTCGACGCCGATGGCACTGCAATGACTGTCGGCACTGAGCTCGGCACCTTGGGCGGCGTCGACGTCGATACAGGCGCCGAGAAGGGCAGCGGCGACGACGACGTCGTCGTTGACGACGAGAGGGGCGCTGACACAGGCACATCCTTGTCCCATGGCAACCGCGTCGCTGCCTTCATCGACGACCACGACGCGGGCGGCGCCAGCTGCGTACGGTGCGTAGGCGAGAGGTACAAAGGTTCCGAGGCCAGCGTCCTCGAGACAGGCGGCGTGCTCTGCACCGCCGAGGCCGACGTCGCTGTCTCGCGCAAGTCCAGGCTCTTTTCTGTGACGGGCGTGCCGACCGACGACGGCACTGTGATCGGCGCGGGGATCGGCGCGCTCCCCGTCATCGGCGGCGGCGACGTAGGCACCTGTGCCCATGCCGGTGGGGGGCTCTGTACACTCGGCGAGAGCGGCGCCGAACTCGTTGCGACGCCACGCTCACGCAGCTCCTTGATACCGTTGGCCACGTGGAATCGACGGCCAAACGCCACGATATCAATCTCTTTGAGCATATTGATATCCATCGCCAGCAGCGCATCACCGCTGATTTCATGCTCGGCCAGCTTCTCAATCACTTGGTCATCGTATTTCTTCGCCTTGGCCCACTGGACCACCTCCTCGACACTCCACGTCATCGGGTCCGTCGTCGGCATCGTAGCACTTGGCGCCGTGGCGGACGGCGCTGTGGCTGCCGACGGCACAGGCACACGGCTCGTGGTCGTACGCGCTGTGGCTACCGGCTTGGGCGGCGCCGCTTTTCGGATCGGCTCGTCCATCGAGAAGCTGCCAGGAATGCTCACTTCATGCGTATCCTCGTCCTCGTCCATCGTCGAGACCGCTGGCTCCGGATCGACGGCCTTGACAGGCTCCGGCTGCACGGACGGCGTAGGCTTGACAGGCTCCCGTTGCGCCGACGCCATAGGCTTGACGGGCTCGGGCTGGGCGACCTTCGCAGGCTCGGGTTGCGTCACCTTCACCGGCTCGGGCTGGGCCACCTTCGCAGGCTCGGGTTGCGTCACCTTCACCGGCTCAGGCTGGACCACCTTCACCGGCTCGGACTGGACCACCGTCGCAGGCTCAGGCTGGATCGATTCCGCTGGCTTCGCAGGCTCGTCCTTCACAGCCTCCATTGGCTTCACAGGCTCCGACTCAGCCGGCTTCACAGGCTCTGTGACATCCGAGCGCGTGACCAGCGGCATCGTGGTCACAGGCGCAGTCGTCTCATTCGCACCAGGCGCCGCCTTGGGTGGCACAATGGGCACGACCGGCACAACGGGTTCAGCAGTCGTTCGAGTGGGCGATGCGGGCGTCGCAGACATCGCATCTTCTTCGTCCTCACTCTCATCACTCATTTCCAGCATGGCCAGCGGCGTCACGCCCGGTGCTGTGCCACCCAGACTCATGCGCTTGGCATTGGAGATGCTGCCAGGCTCACCGAGTCCATGCGATGCATTCCATGCGCCGCCTTGTTCTTCTGCCTGCGCCTGCGCCTGCTGTGCGAGGCTCATGCGCGCTTTCTTCGCAAGCTCTGCTCGCGCAGCCGCATGGCCGACAAATCCATTCTCACTCCCATCGTCATCTTCGTCCTCCTCGGCCGCCGAAGGGATGACAGGGGACGACGTCTTGAGCTCCGACAACGCATTATCGATATCGTTCATCGTCGAGTGCAGAACGCCACTGGATTTAGCCGGGCCCTGGGTCGCAGAGGCGGCCGCGGCACCAGCACCAGCACCGCCGGCGCCCAGCGCCGCTGCACCGATACTGCCAAGCGCCACGTCATCAGTGCGACGCTCTTTGGTCGCGTCCTCATTCGTTTGCGTCGTCGGGGCGGCCTTGCTGGTGGCATCGGGCTCCACTGCGGTAGTAGACCGCTCCTTCGTTGCTTCCTTATCGGCCGGAGCCTGTGATGTAGCGCTATTCAGCATCATACGTGCCGCAGCCTCGTCGTACGTCGTATACGAGAACGGAAAGAGACCCGTCTCTCCACGCTCATTCGTGCCTTGGAACCAACCATCGCCGTAGGCATCGTCCTTCTCCACTACCAGGACACGCTCACCGACCTTGAAACTCACTTCATCTGGATTTTCCGCCTCAAAATTGTAGAGGGCATACACATATTCGACAGGCTTTGTCGACATGGTGCAGAGGGCCTCTCGAAGCGGTCGCAAAAGAGCACGTTGCGCACCGCAGCGGCGCTCTGTGCCATTCCCGAGTCACGTGATTATCACGGCGTTGGGCCGCCCACACGTCTTAGATGGGCCTACATGTGCGGGGCGCATCTATTAAATCACAAAGAGCAAATTCATGTCGATCGGATGCGAGGCGCTCATCTGCGGCTTCTGCGAGTACTTCGCAGCGAGGCAGTCACGCGTCGCATTGAGCAGCTGAACGTACGAGAGCTGCGGCCACTGCGATAAGACTGTAATAAACGCCCAGCTCATCGCGCCTGTGGCCTTGCCAGCCTCCGTAGCGTCCGCACTCGTCTGGCTGTCCTTGCAGCCAGACAGCATAATAACATCCGCACCGCTCGAACGCGTTTGGCGCGTGTACTCCGCTGCACTGCGGTTCATTGTCGCCGACTTGACTGTCGTGAACAAATCGCGCGCCATGCCGATGACATCGCCACGAGCATAGTCCATCGCAGCGCCAAGCAGACCTTTGCCGACATTCATCGAAATGTTCGTCTCCTTGATGTTGCCCGACGTCGCATAAATGTACGGCAAGTCCAGTACCGTACCAGAATGACACGAGTCAAAGAGCGCCGTAAGACGGCAGCCCATCGGCAACGGGCGCACCAGACGCGCATGCAACTCATCGTCGGGCATCTGTCCAGTCATCTGGAAGTCAACCGGAAGGATCGTCTCATTGTACCCATCCTCCTCGTCGCCTTCCACAGCGCGTTCCTGACCACCATGGCCTGAGTAGTGGAAGAATAGCGCATCGCCAGGCTGCGCATCCGACACAAGCCAATGCATCGCCGCGCAAATGTTCTCACGCGTGGGCATCGTGCGCGGATTGTTGCTTGGCTCGTCCGTGAGAATCACCATATCATCGGGGTGATAGCCTGCATGATCTGCTGTGTTAAACTGTAGGATATACATACGTTGAATAAAGTTGGCCATGTTGTGAGCATCGTTCCAGCATCCACGTAGCGCGCTGCTGCTTCTACACCGTGTGAGCTGAGGCGTACACATACCCGACATAATTAATTCCAATCAACAGAGCCTTGCGCTTGCCTGTCATGTTCGAGTACTCATAGTGCATGTCTGATCGATGAGCGAGGTCCCATTACATACCGCCATTCATAACACCACCTTGCGGATTGGCATGGACTTGGCCCTGGTATTGCGGTGGACCGACCGGGCCTGACATCATATGGTACGAGGTCGGAGGCTCCATGTCGCCACGCATGTCGTAGCCGCCGCCTTGAGGAGGTCCATAGCCCTGCGGTGCATATCCGTAGCCGTACATGTTGGTTCAAGAGAAACCGGCGATGGAGCCGTTCCTCCGATCTAGCTCCAATTTACACATCAGGGCTGCGCTGTGCCCTGATCGTAGCGCTTACCTCAGCAGGAGCACGAGCCTCTAGGCTAGCGGTGGGTGTCTTGACCCAGTGAGCGAGCTGGCGGCCTCAGCGGCGTGGCTTGGCGTAGCACGGCGCAGCTCAGCGTCCGTTACTTGGTTTCGTTCAGTGACGATGGACGTCAACGCGGCGAGCGCCCATGCGTTCTTTGAGCGTTTCCCATCGGAATTGCAGGGTACGTACTTTTCTGCTCACGCCAGTCATCCGTCAGCATTTGTCCGAGTCCCACACCGAGCGCGCCGCGGAGGCGCTTCGTCAAGCACGGATCTCGCTACAAAACGCTGCACCTACATTGCCCGCCCATGATGTACAAAAATACGAGACTGAACTCAACGATCTTCAAAAAGCGCTGCAGAGTCATGCGTCTCAATCGCATACGTTCAGTTTCCAGCGGCCTTCTCGTCGGTTCTTATCATCCTTGTCTCGCCGTCACTCGTCGACACCTAGCGCTTCGGCCAGCGACACACCCACCCCATCGAAAGAAACACCTGCCGCGCATTTTGCTGATGTAACGCACGAAATTGTCCGCATTCCAGCAGCAGAGCACCAGGCCGTCCACTTGCATCGCCTGCATCATTGCATCGTCCGTCTCGGCGATGTGCATGGCAGTGTGTTCGTGGACGAATGTACATATACTGTCATTGTCGGCGCAGCTCAGCAGTGCCGCCTATCGCGCTCGTCCAACGTGACTGTGTGTGTCGATGCGCCCACCCCGATTACGCTGGAAGAGTGCCGTGGTCTGTGGATTGGCAACCGGTCCGATTTGGAGCCGTCGCAGGCTACGGCTGGCGCCACGACCACGGCCACCGAGCGGGCCAAGACCACGTTACCAAGTGTCCAAGACTTTGACGATGTATTTATGCAAGGGTCCAACTGGTCGTACCTCCCTATCGATGCCGCTGTCAAGATCCAAACGCACTTAGACTCCCCGTATGGAATTGCTGAGATTCTGTAGCTTGGCCTACTCATATCTACGCTAGGGACCGCCGTGCCAATTTCCGCCGCTTCCGACGACGTACGTCCTTTTTGGAGAGAGGCGGAGGGAGTGTCAGCTCCTGATCAATGCTTGCCTCGTCGGACGAGTCACCTGACGTGCGACTGTGTTGGTACTCGGCGCGCGACAAGGGCTGGCCCAAGCCCTCGTCCTCCTCCGCGCTCAGTTCTTCGGGACGATCGCGACGCAGCGGCGCCACCTTGCGCTTCTTGGGCGACGGCGGTGGATGCATCGGCCCTTTCCGTGGCGAGGCCATGGGTGTGGTAGTCGTCGCATCCAGCGCTACAGGCTCACGGACATAGAGCAGGAGGTAGGCCGATGGATCGTCGAGAGGGCAATGACTCAGTGGCGAGACGTACGAGTCGTCCATACGCAGCCACGTCCCATCTGACGAGCGCACACTCGCGACGTAGTGACCGACATTCGGGCCACTGCCATAGTGATGCACCACCGCGTAGAGGCGGTACTGCTGCGCAGCGCCAATCGTACTGAGACTCTCTTCGTCCATTGTTTGGTCCGCGCCGAGACCCTTTTGGCGTTCGCTCATGTACCGCCCGAGATGCAGTCGTTCGCCATAGCTCACGGTTTTGTTGATCTTATTGCCGAAGATTGTGAACCGCTTCAAATGCACCGTCAAGGCCAATGGCGTTGCATCAATCGTAAAGCGCTTGGTCGCATCGACGTGACGGTGGCAGTGGTCGCATCGGTACTTGTCCGAAAGCATCTCTGGAGCAGTAAACGCGTCGAGGGCCTGTTTCACACTGGCAATCCCTTTGCGTACGTCCAAGCTCAGGTCCAACACGGGGTCAAACGTGTCAGAATTGTGACGGCAGCTATGGCACGTCACACGACTGCGCAGTCGCCCGCCAAAGATCTTTTGAATGAGCGTCGTCATGAGCACGGGATCGTTGGGCGCCACGCTCTTGCGGGCAAAGCATGTGCAGGCATGCTGCATGGACTCCAAGAGAAGACGCAAGTACTCATGCGCATCTTCCTGACGACCTGGGCGCAACGGTCGTGCAAATTTGCGCAAGTTGGCGATGAACTGCGACGGTGTCACGGCCGAGGCACCGCTGTACGCCCGCTCGAAGAACTCTTTGAGCGCAGCGACCGCGTTGAAGGCATTGGCCGCTTTCAGTGCTTGCTTCTTGGTACGTGGCATACCGTAGCGGCCCAGCAAGGTAGGCACACTTTGCGTGAGCATCGCATGCGCCAGTGGTGGCGTATGCAGGAGCGCCTGCATGACGCTGTTCATGTAGCATGTATTTCCACGGTTGTGTAGACCAGCTGCACGCATATGCGCGCGTGGGAACTGCGGGACGATCCGGGGCGTGTACAAAGGCAACGACGAGGCCGCTGCGTCTTTGGCAGTAGGGGGGGGTATATCGGCCTCGTTGTTGTCGGCCGTCGTCGTCTCGTTGACCACCTCAAAATGCGAGGCACGCGCCGCTTCCAAGCTCATACTTGCCTTGAGCTCATCACGCGAGCTTCCGACATAGCGCACAGGGTCGTCGAGCAGCGACTTGAGGAGGGCGCCTGGCTTGATAGCGTCTGGCACACTGCGTGACGTAGATGCTGCCGCTGCTACCGCCATATCTGTACGCACACGTCGTGCCTCACTTTTTTTGGGCGAGCGTAGGCTGCCTTTCGCCATCCGAGCGTGCAATCACCGCGTGCGTGGAGCGAGCGAGAACGAGCGAGCCGCCGCACGAAGCGTGACTTTTTTTTTTTCTTTGGTCTGCCTGCATGGCCGCGCCGCGCTATGCCTCACGCCAGGGCCTCACGCTGACGTAAGACATGAGGCCCACCTACCGGCGGGCGAGTGCGCACGCATGGACCAACAAACGTGCGCAACGTCGATCTCGTTTCTCCCGCGGGTGTGACAGCGTTGACGAGCGTGGGTGGCGGTAGCGCGATGGGTACGTTGTCGGCCACTTACCACAGAACCTTCAACGCAAAAGGCGCTCTTCGATCGCGTCTACGACAAGCGAAAAGCTGCGGCACTGGAATTGGAGCGGTACGTCTGTGTCGGCTGACCTGTAGCTATGTACGTGACTGCCTATCTCGCGGCGATCGTGCACGTATCGACCAGATTGTCCAGCAACTCTGTACCTACCTTACGCAACGCCCTCCACCGAACCCGAATGCTCGCAATGGTGGTCTGATTGGCTTGGCTGGCATGGGCATTGCGCTGGGCCAGGAGTTTGCGACGTACTTGGACCAGTTCATCGGCCCTGTGCTCGCCTGCTTTAGCGATCCCGATCCAAAGACACGCTACTTTGCGTGCGAAAGTTTTTACAACATTGCAAAGGTATGCAAGGGCGAGATCCTGGTGTACTTTAATGACGTGTTTGTTGTGCTTGCGCGTCTGGCTGCCGACGCGGAAGTCTCGGTCAAGAACGGCGCGGAGCTTTTGGATCGCCTGTTCAAAGATATTGTATGCGAGGCTGCGCCGCATTATGTGTCTGTGTACCAAGATGTGGCGCGTGTACGTGCCAAGCAGGACCGCGAAACTGGCACGATCGGGGGTCCCCATGAGCTGTACGTGGCGCGTGAGAAGGCCGAGCATGAGCGGTATATGAGCGAGCAGCATGAACAGCATGATCACCGCAATACGGTCATGAACAAAGCGTTCTCTCTCGCGCGCCTTGTCCCGCTGCTTGCCGAGCGGATGCAGGTCGTCAGTCCGCTCACACGCAACTACCTGGTGAGCTGGATTGCCGTGCTGGACTCGGTGCCAGACTTGCAGTTGGTCGCCTACCTCAGTGTGTTTTTGAAGCACTTGTTCCAGTACCTAAGTGACCCCAATACGGATGTGCGTGTGGCTACGGCCGACGTTCTCGCCCACTTTCTGCATGAAATTCGTGAGGCGGCGCAGCACCACCAAACGTCCAAGACGACGACTAGGAGTGCGAAGAAAAACGAGGACGTGCGCATGCCTGACGCGGAGATGCCCCCCTCCGACGTCGAGGCGGACGACGAGGCGCCTGCGGACCCTGCCGTCGACGAGCCTGACAACCTGGTCTGGGTCCACAGCGGCGAAGTGCGCATTGAGTACGGTGCGATTCTTGAGATTCTGCTCGAGCAGGTGCAAAACAGCGACGAGGAAATCCAAGCCACGACATTTGAGTGGCTTACAGAGTTCCTGCTGGTGGTGCCGGACATGGTCGTGCCATACACGTCTCGCCTGCTTACCGCGATCCTTCCCTGCCTGGCCCACCCCTCGCCGGCCATTCAAACAGCCGCCATGGACTCCAACAAGCAGCTGTTCACGGCGGTGAAAGAACTCCCGCCGCCGCCTTCGATGGAGGCAGACTCGCCCTCGCTTGACTACTTTGCGACGACGCAAGCGCTGAAGCAGCACCTTCTTGATGAAAACGAAAAGACGCGACTCAATGCGCTGGAATGGCTGATTATGCTGCATGCCAAGTCGCCTTCGAAACTGTTTTCTATGGAAGATGGCAGCGTGTCCGTCCTACTGCGCGTCCTGTCCGATCCCAGTGAAGATGTGATTCTGTGCAATATGCGCTTGCTCACGCAGATCTGTGCCCAGGCCGACGAGCGCCATTTCCGCGCGTTCATATCCGACTTGCTGGAGCTCTTTGCGATGGACCGCAAGTTGCTGGAGACGTGGGGCAGTTTGATTATTCGCCAGCTGTGTGCCAAGCTGCAGACCGAGCGTGTGTTTTGCACGCTTGCTGGCATCCTCGAGTCGTACGAGGACTTGGAATTCGCCTCGATCATGGTACAGAATCTCAACCTGATCCTCGTAGCGTCGCACGAACTGCAGCCTCTTCGTAAGCGCCTGCGATCGTTGGACTCGAAAGAGAACCAGAAACTGTTTGTCCAGCTCCACCGCTCGTGGAGCCACAATGCGATCTCGGCTCTGTGCTTGTGTCTGTTGACGCAGTCGTACGAGCATGCGTACAATGTCCTGCGCATCTTTGCCGATCTGGAGATCTCTTTATCGATGCTTCTGCAGCTCGATAAGCTGGTCCAGATGATCGAGTCGCCCATATTCACGTCCATGCGCCTCCAACTTCTCGAGCCTGAACAGAACCCGTTTTTGCTAAAGTGTCTCTACGGTGTACTTATGCTTCTCCCACAAAGCTCCGCCTTTGCGACGCTGCGCAACCGATTGCACTCTATCAACGGCCTCGGCCATGTTCTGCCGCCGGCGCGTAGCACGACCTCTTCGTTGCGGTCCTCGCGTGGCTCGAATGCGCCTGCCTCCGACGTGCCGTGGGCCGAGCTACTGACCCACCTACGCACCGTACAAGCGCAGCACGATCGACTGCGTACGTCGCATGCGTCCACGACCACCGCAGCGATGCCGGCGCCTACCACGACGCATGAACGCGTTCGTGACACCTCGCTGTCCCGCGACGAGGCCGCTCGGCGGCAGCGTCGTAGTGGTCTGCCTGCCGACCCGATGCCTTTCGCCTCGGCGACGCGCTCCACAGCGCCGCCGGGTATCATGTCGGTGCACAACGAGGCGAAAGCGCCTGTACATAGTCGCGCAGCGCGTGAATAATATCTTGAAGACGATCCCCCCCCGCCGCGTGTAGGTCCGTGTCGATATTCGCAGCGTACTCGTCGAGTGTCACTACGATCGCCTCCCATCCTGTGCCTTGCCGCGTGAGCATACGTGCCACATGCGCCTGCACACCGTCGTCTTCCATGGCGAGCCACGCAAGAAGGTAGTCAATGAGCTGCAGCGTGTACAGTCCCGCCTCCAGGCGCTGGCCATAGACCAATGCCACGATATCCGCCTCTTCGACCCCTTGCGCCGTGAGGACCGCACGCTCTTCCGCCACGCTTGCCTCCCTGGCCTGCAGACGCGCCACGGCAATAGCGCGCCACTCGAGCAGCTGGTCCGTCTTGGTATAGTTCTGCTCGACAAACTTGGCCAGCACGCGGATCCGCTCCGCACTGTCCGAGTCCAAGTTGTGAAAGAGCGCGGCAAAGATCGCCAGGATCCGCTCGCGATCGGCCGGCCGCAACGCGCCTTTGCCTTGCAGCGGCCGCATCAACAGGGGGCACAGCGCTTTGAGGCCCAGCGTGTCCACAAACCGCTCGCATAGCAGACCACCTTCTGCTCCACTCAGCGCATGGTCCAACACTTTCAGCGCACCTGCCCGCGCATGTCGCTTGGCTTTGAGCAGCCGAATCATCAATTCCACGCCCTCCGCGTCCAAAAAGCGTTGGCGGTTCCCTGGCGCCAACAACGCGAGGCACATCGCATCCATGATGTTCTCCACAAACTCCACTTCTTCCGCGTCGCTTGGATCGGCCGCGCGGTAGCGCGCCATGACTTGCAGCAGCACATCGACACCGTCCTTTTCGCCTAGCGTCTCGCGATTCGACATGGTATCTTGCAGAAGAATCGAGAGCAATTCCCCCGCGTACGCCTTGTTCTGGTCAAAGCGGCCAGGCTGAAGGATGCGGCGAAGTAGCCACGGCACAAGCGACGTCGTTGGGCCGAGAGACGCAGCTAGCGCTGGGCGTAGCGAGACCAAGTTTTCTAGCACACTGAGGGTATGGTACACCGCTTCCATATCACTAGCATAGTGCGCGAGCGCCTTGACATCCGTCTCGTCGGCCGGAAGCACATCATGCAATCGCGACAGATTGGACACGAGGAGCTCCACCACCTGGCTGGCACACAGTGTATCGACCAACTGCTGCATCACAGCGGCGCTCTTCTCATCGCTCGTCGTGTCTAGCACATCATCGTCCGTCAACTCTTCGAGCACCGTAATAGCCGCCGCGGCAATGTCCACATTTTCATGCGCTAGCAGACCCACAACACTAGCGGCCGTGCCATGCTTGATGAATTCAGGGTACAGCGCTGGGACATTCGTAGTGAGGAGGACCAACTCGCGCAGCGCCGCATCGAGATCGGCCTCCGACTCAATGAACCGCGACGGGTCATCTGCATGCTTCAGCCGCATCTCTTGATTCTTGGAAATCGCACGCTCCAGTTGCAAGAGCATCTTGCGCGTATCAGCCACCTCATCGCGCGACTCCTCTGCACCGTCTGAAGTAGATCGATGCATAATCTCCAAAATCTGTTTTTGCTCATCGTTCAGACCACCTCCAAAGAAGCGGCCGCCTTCTTCATCTTCGTCGTCCTCGTCGACGTCCGGGGGCATCGGGCCCTCCTCCTCCTCGTCGTCGACCTCTGTGACACGTGTGCGCTTCGACGCCGCGGCACTCACGTCCTCATCCACCACCTCTTCCACGGTCGCACTGGGTGCACCTGGTGGCGGTGCGCCCCATTTGCGCTTGTTCAATGCCGAGGCCGGCACCGACGGCAACTGCTCCATGAGCTACACTTTCCTGCTACCTACCTTGAACAATTTGCCGACATCCATGATGGACGACGAAAGTGGAGGAGCCTTGGGCAACGCGTCGCTGATCGACCACCAACGGCCCCGAGTGCCTCTGGGGAGGCGCACTGTGGCGAGGGACCTGTCGTACCTGCACGATGAGCACACCAGCAGACGGCGATATCTACACGCCCTTCTACTACTGGGACAATGTCGCGAACAAATGGGAATTTGATTACGATTCGTTCTACAAACAACACGGATACCCCGAATCGTCCACGACTATTAAGCAGCGCGCAGAACCTACCAGTGCCGAGTTGTACCAGCAGCAACTGCAATCGTCGGTCTACGACTATGTACCAACACGTTCAGGTCGCAGCACACAAGTCAAGGTGGCAGGCAACCTAAAGAAGGGCGAGAAACGTGAGACTGTCCTTCGCCGTGCAGCTGGCAAATTATGGGAAGATCGCTCGTTGCTGGAATGGGATCCTTCGCACAAGCGTCTCTTTGTCGGCGATCTCGGTAACGACGTGTACGATGAGCACTTGACCAAAGCCTTTGAAAAGTACCCTTCGTTCGCTAAGGCACGTGTCGTCCGCAAAAAGAGCGATGGGAAGAGCAAAGGCTACGGCTTTGTGGCGTTTGCCGACCCAGAAGACTTCCTCAAGGCCTGGAAAGAAATGGACGGCAAGTACATCGGCTCGCGGCCATGCCGCCTGAAAAAGGCCGAAGACAATATCGCGCCCGTGGAAATCGGTGCGAGAAAGGACAAGTTTTTAGCGGCGAATGCCAAGTACAACGACTATATGAACAAGGCAAAGCGCGGAGGCACCGTCGGCCGGCACTTGCCTAGGGCATCTGGTCTGCCCAAGCCGTACAGCAAAAAGTAGTCACGCACTTATGTAGCCCATCCATATCGCTTACGCATGCCTACTGAGCTATAGAGACCACAAAAAGAAAGGTTCCTTATTTAGATCTTGGTCTCCTTCAGACCGTCCTTCCAGAAGACAAAGTACGGGGTCACACCGTCCTCACGGTAGTTGAGGAGGGCCACCATACCGTCAGGGTTCATCGACTCACCAGTGTAGAACTCCCAGTCCGAGAACTTGCCGACCACCTTCTTGGCGAACTCAGCAGCCTTCTTCTCAAACTCCGGGATACGGTCCGGGTTTGACTCCTGGAGCTCGGCCTTAATGGCCTTCATGTAGCCCTTCAGGTAGGCGAGGTAGCTCTTCTTGTCGAACGACGTAGCCTGCAGACGGAAGCTGTGCACCAGGTTGATCACCTGCTCAGCACCGTTCTCCAGGGCCTCGGCCTGCTCCTCCGCCGAGGGGTTACCACCAATGTCGACCTCACCATCCTGGATCGTGATCGTAGCAGCGTCGACCTCGTACACAATGTCGTCGACCTCCTGGACCTTGTAACCGTCCGAGACCATCTCGTCACCGCTGATCTTGTCAATGTAGAGCTTCATGGCTGTCGAATTCCTGTTGGTAGGGTAAAAACGAAACGCCTCTTCGACCACACACGGTAGCGTTCGTTCTGCCTCCCTAATTTTTCGGCCGGGTGCGTAAATATGGCGCACGTGGCATGACACACCAATCGATGTGCAACTGCGCGGCCGCGCCCAGCCAGCCCGTCGTGCCTGCGGAGGCGGAGGCGCACCGACACTGCGTCAGCCATGGCTCACACTGCACGACGTACCTTGAGCGCAACGCGCTCTCATGCGCTTCAGCAGGCGCTGGACCACTTCCATACTTCTGGGTCGCGATGGAGCCTTGTCTACAAGACACGCCCAGACTGGCCATCCATCCCGTCATCCGACACACGAGGCACAGTGAGCATCCTGGACTCCTCGTTCAATCCACCAACGTTGGCACATGCCGCGCTGGCTTCCTTGCCCACATCAGGCACACGCACATCACATGCTCATCTTCTTGTATTCTCAGTTCGCAATGCCGATAAGGGACGTGGTCGTCCGGGTGATGCTACACCACTGCAGCGCCTGGAAATGATGGAATTACTGGCGTACCATCTCGAATCACAAAGTTTAAATGTCGCGATTGCTTTGGTTGACGAACCTTTGGTCTTTGCTAAAGCGACACTGTTCCACCAACATATTTCTTCCCACGTCCCTCTCCATCTTTACTGGATCATGGGAAGCGACACGCTCACACGCGTCTTCGATCCAAAATACTACGGCTCTGAGGCTCACTTAGCCGAGTCGTGCAGACGTTTCTTTGAACAGGACACCTCACACATCTTGTGCTCGGAGCGGTCAGACGACTCCGTACAAGGTACCATGACCGCTACAGCGCCTACCACTGTGGCTCACTCTCCTGATGTGCATATTTTACTTCAGCGACCAGGACCTGCACACGACTGGTATCAACGTGGATCTATTGAGCTCCAATCTATTGATCCCATCCTAGGCCAATGTAGCTCGACTGCTGCTCGTCGCTCTGTGCTGCAAGCATACCAAAATGATATCTCTCGCGATGAGCAGTCCCAAATTCTTGCTCGTATCGTGCCGCCTCTCCTGGTAGAGTACATTGTTTCGCACTCTTTATACCATGCCAGGCCGTAGCATTCCCTATGAAAATTAATGGTTGTACAATATACATTTATGCGCCAAGGTCTGTCGTGTAAGTTGCGCCATGTATACGTACATTCACTGCGTAGGGCTGCCTTCTTTGCCTGGAGCATAAAGGCCTCAATATCTTTGCGGCTAGGCGTGGGAGGCATGACCAATTCTTGCGCATCAAGGGCAGGGAGAAGCGGCGCACTATCACTAGGGGTATCTTGCATCTCCTTCTTGGCCTTCTTGCTAGGTTTGTTCTCCATGGAAGACGCCTCTGTACCTTCCATTTTGTCCAAGTCCAAGATCCTAGCAGCCCGCCGTGGTAGCGGCGGTACGGGCGTGCCCTCCGGCAACAACAAGGCCGATGCAATCCGAGTCCAGCCATTCTTCCAACCCAGCTGCTCCGCCTCATCTTCATCTCGAAGCAACACACCATCCTTTTCATCGTCATTGCCAAAGTAAGAGCTGGGTTGATTCTGGAATCGCTTGTACTTTTGTGTTTTGGCCGATTCTTTCTCCTCCTCTTCCAACTCGACAGGGCGTAAATGCTCTTTCACACCAGGAAGGTCTTTGGCACGTCCATAGTACCTGTACCCTCGCATACCGGGAATTTCTTCACCATGGTCGTCCAGAATTCGTGGCACACCACTGCGATAGTTGGCACCACCAAGCGCCGCAATTTGGCGCTCCCACATGCTCTTTTCACGGAATAGCTGATTGATTTCATCATTTAGATCACGGACTTCATAATCTGTCAAGCCGACTACGCTGTTAGAGCATCCTCATACGTACAATCTTGAATGCGTGTCACTTTGCGACTGATTTCACGCATGACCTCCCCACGCCATTTATCGCAATCACGCACACTAGTGACACTTGTAATTATCTTAGGGCGCCTTTCATGTCTGGACGACACGCCCAGCTCTTCAGCCTGCGCTTGGCGGAAGCGATAGAGCATGGACTGCGCCTTTTCCTGGTTCCGCGCCATGACACCTGAATGCGGAGGCTCCGAGCGTCGATGGACGTGCAGCTGGCCTCGTGGCTACCTGGCAGGTCACCTTTATTGTCACGTGATTTTTGTAGGGAGAGAAAAAGCCATCCAGGAAAGTCCTTTTTCTTTTGCCTTACCGCCTTTCTTCAAAAGTAGGTATCCTGTAAAGTCTATGGCATACTAACAAATCAGTGTCCAAGATCCAAGTGTCAAGTGTGCGATCGTCCGTTCGTGACCTGCTCCAGCAGTCGCAGGACAAGAAGCGCAACTTCAGCGAGACCGTCGAGCTCCAGATTGGTCTCAAGAACTACGACCCGCAGCGTGACAAGCGTTTCAGCGGTACCGTTAAGCTGCCGCACGTTCCTCGCCCGCGCATGTCGCTCTGCATTCTCGCCGACGCTGCCGACGTTGACCGTGCTAAGCTCATCTCGCTTGACTACATGACCGTCGAGGACTTGAAGAAGCTCAACAAGAACAAGAAGCTTGTCAAGAAGCTTGCTAAGAAGTACGACGCTTTCCTGTCGTCGGACGCTCTGATCAAGCAGATTCCTCGTCTCTTGGGTCCAGGTCTCTCGAAGGCCGGCAAGTTCCCTTCGCCTGTCTCGCACGCCGAGGACCTTGAGAAGAAGGTCAACGACGTCAAGTCGACCATCAAGTTCCAGCTCAAGAAGGTGCTGTGTCTCGGTGTGGCCATCGGTCACGTCGAGATGACTGAGGACCAGCTGACTTCGAACATCATGCTCGCTATCAACTTCCTCATCTCGCTGCTGAAGAAGAACTGGCAGAACGTCAAGTCGCTGCACATTAAGGCCACCATGGGCAAGCCCTTCCGCCTGTTCTAAGTGCATCGGCATGAACGATTCTCGTTTTTCCCAAGACTAAAAATTGCGGTTTTCTTACTATCCCGAATAAACCATGGCAGATCGCACGCTTGTACCCAGCTTGTCTATAGATATAGCATAAGTGAGGGGAGCTCAGGATCGTAGATTAAAAACCGTTAAAAATATACTAGTATTGGCATGGCGAGGATAGTCGGATGGGCTTTCCTACGGGTAGTACTTCTTTCTCTGTGTGCTTGTCCTGAGCATGTTGGTATGGTTAAAAGAGCCGCACCACCTATGAAATATACGGTCAATTCAATTCGCAAAAGGAGTCGATTCTGTAGCTGAAACAACTATGCACGAGAGGGTAATATGCGCCTAATAGACTAGACTCGATGGAATCTACCCATCGACCAGACAGTTCGTAGCACATGCACAGTCACAGAACCATTTTTGGGTCCATGTTCATCAAGACATTGTACACACGCTTAGAAGCGGTTGAACGCCTTGGCACGCTCAGTGCTCTTGTTCTTAATGACTTTGAGGGCGTTGAAACGCACAGTCTTCGAGAGAGGGCGGCACTGACCTGTCAACGTTAGCATATCTCCTCTTTCTTCTTTTACATACCAGCCACAATAATGTCACCAACTTCCACACGGAAGGCGGGCGAAACGTGCACCGAAAGGTTCTTGTGGCGGCGCTCGTAACGGTTGTACTTCGGGACGTAGTGCAGGTACTCCCGGCGAATGACCACAGTGCGGGTCATCTTAGTCGAGACGACCTTGCCGCTGAGGATACGGCCACGGATCGAGACCAGACCAGTCCATGGGCACTTCTTGTCTATACTGTGTTAGTTTTTGTCCTGTATCAACTGTTCGCCCGCGGTGGGCAAGGTAAATACATACCGATATAAGTACCGTTGATGGCAGCACCAGGGGTCTTGAAACCAAGACCAACATCCTTGTACCACCGCTTGGCACGGGTGCTCTTGCGAGCCACCTTCGAGTTAAGGAAGAGAGGCTGCTTCTGGAAGGCCTTCTCCGTCTGCACACCAAGTTCAACGTTCGACATAGCGGCTGTTAGGCGTTTAGGGACGACGTTCTTGAGACTTCGTCGAAGAGGAAATGCCGCGCTCGCCCAGAACTATAAACTCCCACGTGATTCCCAGGGCATTTTAAATCACGTGATCGAAAGGGCGTGAGGGGCCCTCTTCATGGGCGTCGTGGCTGGCGTACGTCTTCTTTACCCAAGCGCTGGTACGTAGTCGCAACGTTGGCAAGGCGACGACTAACACCTACAGAGTCGGAACTGCACTAGCGGTCCTTTCGAAGAAGCAGTCACTTTACTTTTCTAGAAATCATGTCTGACGTTGAGGAGACTCCTGTGGATGTCCAGGTCGAGGAGACCGCCCCTGCCCCTCAGGGTGGTGCTATGAGCATTGAGGATGCTCTCCAGCAGGTGCTGAAGAAGGCCCTCGTGCACGATGGTCTGGCCCGTGGTCTGCGTGAGGCGGCCAAGGCTCTGGACCGTCGCCAGGCCCACCTTTGTGTGCTGTGCGAGACCTGCAACGAGGCCGAGTACCTTAAGCTCATTGAGGCTCTTTGCAACAAGCACGACATCAACCTCCTGAAGGTCTCGGACCCGAAGACCCTTGGTACCTGGGCCGGTCTCTGCAAGATCGACCGTGAGGGTAACCCCCGCAAGGTCGTCGGCTGCTCGTGTGTCGTTGTTCGCGACTACGGTGAGGACTCGGAGGGTCTGAATGTGCTCCTCGAGTACTTCAAGAGCCAGCGCGCTTAAAGAGTCACTTAACTGGTATGTTGATATATGGTGCAGCCTGGACTGCCTCTTCTCCTTGTTGTATCATGTCGGTCGCTTCTATGGGTGTGGTAGGAGGATGACACAACAGGTCTCCCTCTACTGATGCCTTTGGCATGGGAGGACAAACCCTTATCCGGAATCACTTTTTATGTCTGATACCACTACGAGGAATCTTTCTAGTTCCTGGTGGCGACTGGTAGGGCTCCAACAAGGAGAAGAGGAGGACCTAGAGCTGTATTTGATGGTCCTTGTCAGAGGCTAACGATATCAGTGATTTGGTTGTAGCGCGAGCTCGTCAAAATTTTGACTTGTTTTCCATACATTTGTAGGTTATGTGCAAGTCATACATTTTCTCCTCCTTGTGGCGAGCTGTGTGGTATAGTTGATCTACTTAGTCGTAGCGACGGCCACGGCGTCGTGGTGGAGACCGTTCTCGTCCTCGATGATGCGCAGATCGTGGCGCCGCGTCTAAAACGCATTCCAGCCATACGCCGTCAGCAATGCGCATCTGTTCCAATGTCCGTTGGGCGGCCGTTTCTGAAGGCGGTAGACGTCCACGATGCGACTCTTTGGGCTCCAATGCGCGGAGGACAGCCCGGGTATCTGTGAATGTGTCTGGTCCCTCTGGTGCCAGCAAAGTATCCACACTCGTTGTAGGCACACGTGTGATGCCATAGTAGACAGGTCCTGCTTCGAATTGCTTCGTGGCCGGATCTTGGAATACCACACGAAAGTCATGTGTCGTCATAGCTCGTGAGATGACAGGATCGGCGAGGTACAGGAGATTGGCCATATCACGTAGCGTAGAAGAGCGCCTGTGGTTAGCCATAGCACAACGCACCATGCATAGATTTGCTTTTCACCATGCACAGGCGCACGATGGCGATGAAACTCTGCTAGAGGTCTTTGTCAGCGCGTCTCCGCTCGTACCTAAAATCGTTCCGAGAGACTACGCATCGGACGACAAAGGGAGTAGCCTTTCTGTGAGTGCGTAGCCTATACCTACATCCTCTTCTTCCTCCGGCATACGCTGTGCCATGGTGCGGCGTCGTGGACGTGCGTTACGATGCGTCGTCGTGCGCCCCCACCATCACGTGCACCTCCGCCCAGGCCATGCACCCCATGTGGTGCGAGGATCCACGCGAGGGCGAGAGAAAGAGAGGGACGTGCGTAGCTTGTTCCTCAGTTCAGAGACATGATTTGTAGCGTACACTATGTACAGCCCAGGGCGAACGATGGTTCGTACCTACGGCGTATGTATCCCCCGCGCTATGTGGAGAGTTTGTTGCAGTGTGATCAGATGAGGATCGGATGGCGTAGGGAGCACGCTGGGCTTAGTATGTCACGACGCTGCCTGCGCAGACAAGAATAGAACCAGACATATGCATGCATAAGGGAATGTTGTGCCAGATCCATGATCTGGGGCGATGTGGCGTAAAGGTATCGCAGTGAGGCATCGTGCCCACCGAGTTCCTTATATAGCCACACCTTCTCCTTGTGCCCACGCTGGTTTTTTGTACCGAGGCATAACAGTCTCGTTTACTCACACGTACGTGAACGCTCGCACCTTTCGTTCCTTCGCACGCAGTCACTTGCATGCCCCGGCCGTATCAGTCTACCATGCCTTCCTGGAACACTGATACTGCGCGCAAGGAGCCTAGCACTCACCACCTCGGCTCCTCGTCCTTGTATTCGCCGTTCGATGAGGTGTGGGTTCCTCGTTCTCGAAAATGCTCGCACACGAGTGCCTGTGCGCCATGGTCGAGTACAACGACGCCATCGTTCGTGACAAGAACTCCTACGCCCTGGCCGCGTCCGCATGACATGTACGACCACGATCCATCATCCTGGCTTACGCATCGCATGAACCAGGTCCGCATTCCTTCGGCTCCGCCAAGTACGGAAGGCGACAATGGCCATCTCGAGACGGCTGTCACAGAGAAAGATGCCACGCCATGGACCTCAGTAGCCTTGCTAGGCTCGCCCTTCCAATCTCCAAAACCATTGCCTACGTTGGAGGCACCACCGGAACCCGGAGCATGGGAACGATGGCGGCCTGTGCCTTCGCATGCTTGGGCTGACCCGCGATCTGGGCCGAGCGTCCCTGCGTCCTCTGCCGACCTACCCTTGCCTGTTCGAGCTGGCGTTCGGCAGGCACGTGGTCCACCCCCGCCACCAGTACCCCCTGCTCCTGCACCACCAGCACCCATTCCGCCCGTGCCAGCGCCAGTGCCGCGGGCGCCGGCACCGACACATGCCCCAGCATCCACCAATCCCTCTGCGCCGTGTGCGAGCGGCAGTGCAGGCACGCTGTTTAGCATATTTGTGGGCGGCCTGGATCCTCTCGTGACCGAAGAGGACTTGATGGAGCACTTTTCACATCCATCTCCTTGGCCAGACGACCATCCCATGTACCGTATGTATGCGCACATTCGCCAGGCGACTGGGCCCACCTGGCAAATCCCTACACAGCCTGCGGCGTTCCAAGTGCATTCTTGCAAGATTATTCGCGATAGCACGTCGCAGACGCCCCGCGTATTTGGGTTTGTACGACTGTCTAGCCAAACGGAATGCGATCGTGCGTTGATCGAGATGCAGCGGACATGCTTGGTACCTCGTCGTGCACCGCATATGACCCTGCGCCTGTACCTTGGCACGGCCTCTGCACCACGGTTTGATGTGGAAGAAATGCCGAAAAAGACCTCGCGTCGCTTTGCATCGACGCCAGACATGCAAAAAAGTACTGCAGCGGCGCCGGAGCCTCATGGTCGCCGTACAAGCGGCAGCACTGCGCCTGGCCGACACAGTGCACCAGCGACGACCACAGCACCGACGTCCAGTGTAGCACGCGAGGCACTAGCAAAGGGGTCCCCGCAAGTGCCAGCGACCACGGAGGGCGCGCCCACCGTGCTGACATTTGTGTCGGACGCCAAAGGCGAGGGCAACGCGAAGGAACAGCCGCACTTGGCCTCCGCGTTAAAGTTGGCGCATACCTCCAGCGCACTGGATCCGAACAATACCACGGTATTTGTCGGCAGTTTGTTTTCCATGGCTACCGAGAGTACATTGCAGTCCCTCTTTTCCCGGTTTGGCCCTATCCAGTCCATCAACATTCCACGTGGACAAGATTGCGGCTTTGTCCAGTTTGCACGGAAGCAAGATGCAGCACGAGCTATTGCCGAGATGCAAGGGTATCAAGTCGCTGGCGGAGCTTTGCGTCTCAGCTGGGGTCGCAGCATTGGCGAAAAAGCCGCGGCTCGGGCGGCTGTGCGTGCGGGTTTGCGCTGGGTCGAAGATGCGACGACCCCGCGTCCTGCGTCGAGTTCGTAGTGGTGGAGGCGGTTCCTCCACTTGCACACACGTACGCGGGGTGTTCGTCTTGCCACCAACGTTAGGGCATGGCAGCCGAGAAGGACGCTGTGGATGTGCTTTTGCTCGTGTTTGTGCATGGGTACGTAGACGTGTTGTTGTTTTTTGATTATCCATGAAGATTTAAAGGCCATGCTGAGCTTACATTTGAGGACTACCCCTCGCGTCTCCTGCATATCCTGTTGGAGACCTATCCTTCAATGGACGTCAAGGCGTTGACGTACCCCACGTACGAGACGCGTGGATCGCTCGAAGATGCCGTGGACAAATTCCTAACATGGCTCACGACGGAAGTCGCTACACTTGAATCCGCGCCGCTTCTGTCCGCCGCCTCCACGCGTCGGAAGCGACATTGTGGCGTAGTGCTGTGTGGCCACTCGATGGGTGGTCTCGTTACGTTGGATGCAGCGCTGTCCATCCATTCCCAGGCCTCGGACCACCAACCCGCATGGCCTCACATATGTGGGGTGCTGGCCTACGATACCCCCTACCTGGGTGTACACCCGAATGTCTTCAAACATCAACTATCGACGTACCATGGCTACCTCGACAATGTCATCAAAGTCGGCGCGATGCTGGCGCCTGTCACCGGTGGCATGGCGTCCATGCTAGCATCACGACGTGCCTCACCCAATGTCAGCCACAAGTCACGCTGGTCCACTGCCTCTTGGATTGGAATCGGCACAGCCGCGGCGGCGGCCATCGGTACCGCCGCGGTCGCCGCCTATACGAGCTCGGACCCTGTGCAGGACACTTACCGCTGGGTCTCGGAGCATGTGATGTTTGTAAGGCACTTGTGGGATACGGAGGCCCTGACCTTGCGGTTGCATTCATGCCGCGTCCCCTACCACTGCTTCTATACACAGCTGCGTGGGACGAATCCACGTACGTTTATCATTGTGCCCGACGCCCACAAACCCTATGCTCGTGCCTTTACACCGATCATCATACCGGCCGCCAACGAAGTGGCCGCGCATATTGGCATGTTTTCCATGCGGACCAACCCCGCGTACTCGTCCATGGGCCTGGACAGTGCGGCGCTCATTGGCGAGTGGGTGCCCCGTCTCTCTTCCGCGCCATCGATCTCGACACCTGCATGGACCGACGAGGTACCGATGGAGGAGGACTCTACGCACTAGCCGACTAACACCAACAAGTCTTGCGTTTCTACGCCGTACCATGCCAAATCCCGCCACTCGTCGTCCAAAGCCAGGAGAATCGAATCTGGCTCGGCGGCTAGTACAGCATAAAGTTCTGTTGCCATCCCTGCCGCTTTGTACTGCCGCTCTAATTTTTTGTGGACAGAGCGAACGGGCATGGTCCGAAGCAGGGCACACAATACCGCCGTCTCGCGCAGTGTCGGCACTTCGGCCAACGTTGGCGGGGTTGGATGCCGAACGACCAACACTTCCAACAACTTGGCGCGCAACGTCGGCGTTGGTGCTGGCGCTGTTGCAGGGGCGCCATGGATCGCACACAGTGCCTCGTACCGCGGATCGCCTGGGCGAGCATGGAGAAGATAATACCGCTCTGCCTCTGTCCGTTCTGCCGGTACAATGTCGGTATGGTTGAGTCGAGTGAGGCGGGCCAACTGGGCGATGCATTGCCAGCGTGGTGGCTCGTCGTGGTCCTTGGCTGGCTCTAGGACCAGACTCCATTGGCCTGGTATATAGCTCTCTAAATGACGGAGGCTTGCCATAGAAAGGGTATGTACATGGATTTCGTTCAGATGAGCAAAGATCCGCGTCGTGGGTGTGGCGGCGTCGATGTGTGTGAGTGCATTGTCATGTAGAAGAAGCTTGGTCAGCGCAGGCATCCAGACCAGGAGAGTGACGAGGTGGGACCAGGAGCTCAGTGCATTGCCTTCCAGGCTGAGCGTATGAACGTGGGGGAAGACCTGGGCTAGACTCGGTGCTTCCTCTGGCGTCATGTCTAAATGCGTCAGAGACTGGTGGTGCCAATGCAATGTCGTGAGTGCCGGCATGGCGCGGCCCAGTGTGACGGCATCGGACCAGGGCCGCGTGGTATCGCCGACCACCAGGTGCGTTAGGTGAGGACACATCGCTAGATCCTTCGGTGGGGCCTCCATGCGTACGTGATCCACACGTAGATGCGTGAGAGGCCGATGGTGAGCGAGCCACGCCAGCGCGTGCCAGGAGGTAAGCAAAGAGCGCGATAAGTCCAAGTCTGTGAGGTTGGGACACAAGCGGTCCCATGCATGGGGCGGGCCGAGGTGGGATACGTATACACATGACGCGTCTGCGGGTGCCGGGGGCGGTGGTGCGCCGACCAAGCTCACGGTTCGCAACGTTGGACTGGATGCGGCCTCTTCGTACTTGGCGCACAAGGCCTCGGCCAACGAGACGCCCCAATCGATGGGCGCATGCACAGGCAAAAACGAGCCGCCTTTCGGTGCACTGTGTGTGAGGCGTAGTGCCAACCTACCAAGCAAAGTACCTGGTCCCATCGGGGCCAGTGCCATCATGCTTGCCCTGCTCCGGCCGATCCCATTCAATGCCGTACCATGTACCTGCATGCGGAGGTAACGCGCCGCAGTACCGTACTGTGCCTGTCTCGCGATGCCATGCTAGGCGTGTACCTATCGGCTGCGTCGTCTGCGGCGGCATGCCTCCGGCCAGCGTGGAGGGTGTGAGCAGACAGCGACATGTTTTTTTTTTGTATGCATAGGGGTGGTGAGCGGCTGTACGTACTCTATCTACTACTCAGGGAAGAAAGAATGGCATGCTAGTTATTACGATACACGCACGACCGCTACGCCACCACTGAAACTGCTGGTCTCCATAAAGATACGCGGGGCATCGTCGAGGGGGATGACCGACTGAATGCGGGGTGTGATCGCTCCACGCTGCGCCGCGCTCTTGATCGCTTCCAGGGCCGCGCGGTAGTCGGTGCTTGCATCGATGCCGATCCACTCGTACCCAATGGCTTTTCGGTCTTTGCGGAAGAACGAGCGACGCAAGCTGCGCAAATGAGATCGGTGCGTCGGGTTCGGCACAGCATGGCCATCGCCAAAACATGTCACAAACTGGCCATGGTTGGCCAGAATACGGCGGCACGCATCGTAAATGTTACGGCCGCCGATGGTATCAATGATCAAGGCAAAGCTTGATTCATGCAGCATATTGATTGCCCACAACGCATCGCCTGAAATCACTTCCACGGCGCCATTCGCACGACATATGCTCACGCCGTCGGCCGCGGTGTCAGGCACATGCGCGACAATGACTAGGCCCAAGCGCGAGGTCTCCTGCATGGCGAGCAATCCGATATTATCATGGGCGTTGAGAATAAGCACACGGGAGCCTTTGGGTAGGACCATGCAGTGATGCTGTACAATCTGATGCACCATCACACCCGTCGCCGGGAGCGCGGCAATCTGCTCCGCAGTGAGGCGGCGACTGTCTGGCGCCGGTGCCACATACTCCTGATCCACCGTCATAAACTCGGCCAAGGCACCGCACTTGCGCAAGTCTTGCAGACCAAAGACCAAGTCACCAGGCCGTAGCTTCTTCACCGAGAGACCACACTCGACAATACGGCCACAGAAACTGCGGCCCGGCACAAACGTGCCAGGGGTCTCGCTCCTCAGCTTTTCGTTGACGATCGCGCGATCCACATCGTCAATCGCCACTGCCATCACCTGCACAATCAGCGACTTGGACGACACCTTGTGCGGTGGCGGCGTGTTGGACGCCAACACAATGCTACCTGACGCGCTCTCTTCCGACTTGACACGCGCCAGGTTGCCTGATGTCGGCTGCGCCGTAGGGCCGCGGCTTATGACGTTCACCGTGACCATGGTCGCGCGACGACGCAGCATCTGCTCGGTCACACGCGCACTCACGGACATGGACTGACCTGTGACACTCGGCGGAATAGACTCAGCACCGCCGCCCGGCATCGTCAACGCCGAGGAACTTTCCTGCGCCGCAGCGCCGGCTGTCGCCCCGAGGCCAAGGTACTGGTTCGTGGAGGCGCCCAGCGGTGCCTGCTTCATCATCACCGAGCTCTGCGCTGCAGCCGTCGACAACGAGGCAGCGGGCGACGGTTCACGGGTCCCACCCAGCACCGACGAGGCTTGCATGGGCTGGTACGATGTGGCGCTCATCGCGTCCGAGTCGGGCATCCGACGACGGCCCGGCTCTGGCGAGAGGTGGCCTGATTGGTTATCGCGCCATACACTAGGCGACACGGAGCCCACGTCGGTCCAGGTACCTGGATGCAAATGCTGTCGATCGGGCGACGATGCGCCGCGCATGCGATACATCGACGCGGCACTGCTGCCCTGATCACGATCCCGCGGCGACAAGACGAGCTCTGCCCGAGGCGGCGGCAGCGTTGGATGCGTGGGCACAGGGCCCATATGCACACGCGGCGACAACGGCGAGCGTGTTCGCAAGCTGGGCGACGGCGACAAACTCGGCGACGTCTGGCCTGAGAAGGCAGGCTGCTTGGTCGTATCCAGCGGCGCCAGCGTCGGCACCGACGGCGGCGCAGGCATGAGCGGTGGCACCGGCGGTGTAGGCTTCGCTGGTACCGCGACGGCTGGCTTGAACGGTGGCATCGACTGGGAGGCAGGGATAGTCATGCTGGCCTCGTACGCGGCGTACACAGGCTGCTGTTGCTGGTACGTAGGGTACGTGGGGGATGGCATCTCCGGTTTGGATGGTATCGACGGCATGGATGGCATCGTTGGCATCTCCGGCTTGGATGGTATCGACGGCATTGAGGGCATCGTTGGCATCTCCGGTTTGGATGGCAATGAGGGCATAGATGGCATCGCTGGCATCTCCGGCTTGGATGGCATCGTTGGCATCTCCGGTTTGGATGGCATCAACGGCATTGAGGGCATCGTTGGCATCTCCGGCATGGATGGCATGGATGGCATCACTGGCATCTCAGGTTTGGATGACATGGACGGCATCTCCGGCTTGGATGGCATCACCGGCATTGTCGGCGGCTTCGGAGGAATGGGCGGCTCCGGCTTCGACGGCGGCTGCGGCATTGTCCGCTCCGTAGGCCACGATGCCGCATACGCGTCCGCCGACTCGGGCATAGACGTCGGGAGCGTCGGCGAGTGCTCGAATACCGTCTGTGGTGTGGTGCTCGGCGGGTACGTCGCCTGCAAGTACGACAAGGCCGGCAGCGCCTCGGTGTGCGAGGGCTGTCCATCGTACAATGCTGGCGCCGGCGCCGGCGTCACATCCACGGGCGGCAGCCCCTTGTGCGATGCCTCACTGGCATGCACATTCTGCAATGCTTGACTTGCCCGAATATCGTGCGAAGAGATCCGGCGTGGCTGCGATGTGCTGGGCGGTAGGGACGACGGCGGTAGCGCACTATGCGAGAGCGAGCGGGAATGACGCATCGACGAAGCGCGATCGACCTCATCGCCGTGAATCAGAGGCAGGTAATGCTGCAGTTCCGAGACATGCTCCGAGGGCGTATACGTGCTAAAGCGTACATCTGCGCGCGAAGGAGGCGCAGGCGACGTGCCTGTCGCTGGCTGACGGGTCGTCGTCATGGGTGGGATCCGGTCAATGGGGTCCCAGTCCGACGAGGGGTTAGGCTCGTTTAGCGTATCGGCCAACGTCACATAGCCTTGGTCGCGATGGGCCAAGGGATCCGACGTGTACACGGGCGTGGGGCCATGTGGGTTTGACGACGTAGCGACGGGTGGCTGCAGCGGCGTAATCGACGTCTTGATCTTCGGTACAGGCGGCACCGGAGACGCGTGGCGTGCATAGGTCTGCTCCGACACGCTGCGGCGCGGTGTATGGCCAGGGGAGGGCGCCGGCAGCGAGCCATGCGCAATTTCAATGCCGCCCATAGCCGTCGGTCGCGGCCCACGCTGGCGTGGACGATCCAAGATGCGGCGGCTGGGCGTTGTGCTGGGCGCCGAAAAGGTGTCTTTGCCTGACGGCGTCTTGGGCGCCTCGAAGTGCCGACTCGTGCGTGGCGTCGTGGCGCGCTCGGCCGGCTCGGTATGACCCACATCGCTGGTGCCTGTAGTGGCCCATGCTGCCACCGACGGATCCAGGTCGTGAAGGAGCGAATCCGAGACGGAGATGGTGGAGACGCGATGCTCTTGCAGCGGCCGCAAGAGACCTTCCACACGCCGACGCATCGAGCCGCCCACATCAAATTCCTTGGGCTGCTTCAAGCCGCTTGACGGCGCGGTATGGAACGTCTGCGACCGCGGCATCGAGGTAGATGTAGGACCAGACTGGATACGCACAGACGGGCGTGACGCAGGCATCTCCGACGCAGGGGGCGCCGGTGGCATGGCATTGCGTGGCGACGTACGCTGCGCGGCCCCAGTCTTCACAGGCGATGCATCTATCGCGCCCTGCTCATTAAAGTAGAGCGATGCGTTCCAGGACAGCTGAACCAACTCTTCGTCGGTAGGCTCCTCCAACATGGGGGCGGATGTCGTCGTTGGCGGCGCTTGCAAGGCCGAGTTCCGTCGGCTCGGCGGCGCAGGCGACGTCAGCCTTTGCGAGTCACGTCGCGTCGGCATGGGTGATCGCGCCATGCTGGAAGGCGCTACCCGCTGCGCATAAGGCGACGCTCTCTGGGGTGTATCATAGGGGTCCTGTGTCAATGCAATGCCAAGCTGCGATGTATCCATAGGTGCCTCCTCGGTAGGCAATGCCACATCCAGGCGCTGATCGCTGGCGCTCGATACCCGCTGCTCAAACGTACGCATGAACGAGTGCCATTCACTAGCATCGCGCATGCCCTGCGACGAGACGGAGCGTCGATCCTGCCGCAATGCTGGCTGCTGTGCGTAGCCCATGCTACTGGCGGAGCGACTTATGTGTTTGCCTGTGCGACTACGCTGGCCTGCGTAGCGCATCGGCCCGCTGGCCTCGCTACGTGCCTCGTGCGAAGCGACTTCACGACGCCAGCGGTCCGAGAACGGACCACCAGGCTCAGACGTGACGTCCATCGTCGGCCGCTTTTCCATCAAGCCACGGTTCTCCCACCAACGCGAGAAGGGGTTGACGGTATTCATGTCAGGCACTAACGCGTGTGCATCTGGCAATGCTGTGTCCGGTGCATAGCCCATGCTGCTGCTGGCCCTGTGGCGCTGTTTGTATGCGCCTGCCTCTGACATGCCACTGCGCGGCGGCATACCACTACGCGAGCTAGGGCGCGTGGTGTACGGTCGCGCGCTGTGCGGGGCCGAGTACTCGGACCCGCCACGATACGCTTCGTCTCGGGTCATGGCACCACTGCTGCCAGGCGAAGCATAGCTCTGTGACGGACGTCCAAGAATGGAGTCCAGCAACGATGTCTTCGCCATGGGTACTACAGATACCACAGTCCGATCAGTTCGCGGGAGGAAAACACTCTGTTCACGATGATGACCGGAGGCCGAAGAAAATTCTACCTCCTGACAGCTAGCTGGCTCCACATACGAGGAGGCTTCGCCCGTGTTTTCCCTTTGCACCAATAAACCCGTGGTTCGCCCGTAAGCTATCTATAGAACCACGTGGCTATATACGTAAGGCTCCCCCCCCCTCGCGCCTGGCCCTGATTTCACGCGAGGACGCAGGCACAGCACCGCGTTGCAGGTCGCCGCAGCGGTCCTGCAGTTACACGCTCTTCATCGTCTTCTGCTTCTCCGCCGAGACGACCAGGCGCTTGTCGGTCTTAAGACCTTTGCGCTTGCGCACCATATCCATGTAGCGTTTAGCAATGTTCTCACGATCGCCTTTTTCACCGAGATCCTCCAGCTCCTCTTCTGTACGTGGCACCCAGAAGGGGTCCTGATCGTACATACGGAAGCCAGCAAACACAAGCTGCGGACTCGCTGCACCTGACGTACGCTTGCGGATTTCTATAGGTTAGTAGATCCTAGCAACGTACCATCTGCAAACCCGAACGATTCGACCACAGGTAGTAGTGCACCAATCGTAAAGAACAGCGTGCCTTCTTTCATCTCTTCCGAAACGACACGTCCACGTCGCCTGGCCAACACAGCATGCACTTTGCCCTGCACGTCCGCTGATGGTAAGTTTTTAAAAAATACGTACGGGCTGCCTGAATATCACACGCATACATCGCCAACATAAGACGAGGCGACCAATCCAGCAAACCCTGACGACATGCTTCGCGCGTGCTCGAAATCAGCGTGGAGGCAAGTTGCGAGAGTTTGCCACGCACATCGCTCAGCGCAGCATCGTCTACCTGCACATCCTGCACCAAAAAGGCGAGGCCTTGCATAGGCTCACTGCACATCGGGCCGGCTTGCGTTGCCAGTTGGAAGCCAGCCTCGATCGCATCACACAACTCACGATCCAGACGCGCCTCGTCCAAGGACACCTCTGTCATGGACGCAGCCAAGTCTTCCTGCTGCGTACGCTGCTTAAGTCTGCACATGGTCAGTCAACCTATACATACGATCGTCGAAGAATCTGGTGTACATCCACCAGCATATTCGGGCCGACATGCTTCGGTCCAAACGCACAAATCTGCGGGGCTAACGACGACCATTCCGGTCCCGCCGCTTGCAGCACTTTTTCCAGCTCCTCCCAAAAGAGTCGCACAGGCACACGTCGTGCCTTTACTTCGTCTTCATCTTCGCTGTTCTCCTCGCGGCCCTGAGCGGCCCGCAAATCATCGTTTGCATTGTCGTTGCCGCCATCGTCGTCATCTTCACCCATGCGACGACCACGACGTAAGAGCCTACGCATCGTCGGAATGTTTACGACCAAGAAATCAACCACGGCCTTGGGCAAGGGCATCGCACGTACTGTAAATGTCACAGCGCCGTTCAAAGCTGTGCCTTGAATCGTACCACGTGGCGCACCAGCCTGTTTTGGCGGTGCCATATTCGCATCCTTCACACATGTCTCACGGAAAGGCACCAACGGAGGCGATGGCTGAATCGCACATTGCGCAAATCGCTCTCGCAGATCTTTCAGGCAGCGCTCCAAATGCAACTCGCCGGCGGTGAGGATCACGTGCTCACCATTGTCCTGGACCAACACTTCCACGCACGGATCCGCTTGGTTGAGGAGCTGAAGACCTTCCACAAGGCGCGGCATATCAGCTGCATTGCGTGGCTCTAACGCCACACGGACAATCGGTGTCGTGTTCCTTTGCACGCCAGCCAAGTTTACGACATGGTCCAGTGGGGCATCGCTAGGTGGATGCATCAATGTACCGTTGCGCAGCACAATACCATCCAGCCCACGAATGGCAAACACATTGCCGGCTGGTACGCGCTGCACAGCAACCAAATCACGTCCCATCATCATGTACAGGGCCTGGATCTGTGTCTCCCGCACAAACGGCGCGTTGGCTGGATGCGTAGGCGGCTGATTCGTATCGTATTTCGGCAAAACAGCCCACAATCGATCTCCCACTGCGATAGAGCCACTGTACAGCCTAGAAAACCCGAGGATGGTCTCCTCTGGATCGGAGGAGGTATCCTCCGAACTCTCTTCCACTGCCTCAGCGCCAGTCGCCGCCATAGTTTCACGTGTCACACGACCTCGCTCTCGCATTTCTTCCGCGGTCAGCTGGACGCGTTTGTTTTCCGGCATATCGTCTTTGCGTACAGCAAACATCTTGCTCACATACGCCACGGCCGTCGCATCGGTACCTGTGCGCGACTCAAACAAGTCGCGTTCCACGTCATTGTGCGGTGCCAACTCCGCATCCGAGGCGAAGAATCCAACCTCTGGGCGAATCATACGTGGTACACGCACTTTCTGGGCCTCTGCGGGGGCCGGTAGGGATCGAACAATCGCAGCAAAGGTGCATGCAGACAGAGGAAGCCATTGGCTCATAATGGCTTGCATCAGTGTGCTGGCATCTTTCGCACGCAGATCGCGCGGATGGATAGTCAAGTTGAGGGCGGCAATAATTTTATCGATCATTTCTTGTTGCCGTTCTTCCACTGTGTTTTGGTATACGCTCCATATATTGTCTAGGACAAATTGCACAAACATGGGCTTCAAGTTACGCTTCTCTTTGTCGTGCTGCTTCTGCGTGAGCACACGTTTGGACTTAGGATCCAAATAGTAGTGGCCCCATAAGAATTGGCGAATGTTCTGCTCTTTGATGCCCAGCTTCTTGGCGTACAATGTAGAGAAGCGTTCCAACCGGAAGGCCCAGTGATCAATGGCACTGGCAAAAATCACATTGCCGCGCGCAGGGTCAAAGTACAAATGCGCATCCTCATGCTCTTCGTATTCAGGCAAATCACTGTCCGCATCCGACTGGCCCTGCGCACGTCGTTCTTCTCGCAAACGTTCTTGTTCTTCGTGCCATTTTTGGTCCTGCTCCATGCGCTCAGCCGCATAAAAGCCACCGATGACAGCATTGACTTGCTCGACCAACTGGAGCAGATGATGGTGGGCTTCATTCGGCGTGAGTTTCAGCTCTGTAATTAGACGGTCCATCTTGTTGATGACCAGGATAGTACGCAGGCCATCCAGCCATGCCTGTCGAAGCACAGAGACAGTCTGTGTACATACACCTTCTACCACATCAACAATGACCAAGGCACCATCACACAAACGCGCTGCCGTAGAAACTTCCGAAGAAAAGTCGACGTGGCCAGGTGTATCGATGAGATTCAGTGTATAGTCCTCAATGCCTTCAACCGACCCATCTTCTTGAATTTTCCGTAGTTTAAATGTGAGTGACACGGCACTAGATTCCATCGTAATCCCACGTTCCTGCTCATCTTCGCGACTGTCCAAGTACCGGATTTGCCCAGCAGACCTCGAGGAGATGATGCCGTTGGCAGCTAGCAGTGAGTCTGCGTATGACGATTTTCCATGGTCAACATGTCCAATCAAGGTACAATTCCGAATGTTTTGTGACGCAAAAGCCTTGACGGGCGACATCACGGGCGGCAGGTGAGCTAGCGAGCCAACTGTCGTCAGTGCGTGACGTGCAGCTACGACGCGTGGCGTCGTTGCCAAAAAACGATGTCAGAGAATGTGCTTTGCGTACGCTTAGTCATGGTGACGAGCGGATTTTTCTTTGGTTCTCTTTTAGAAAAAAAGATGTCCCTGATTGTTGTTGTTGTATTTTCGTGCTATGGCTGATAAGCGGAAAGCGCCACCCTTGGGTGGTGGTGAGCTCATGCTCTCCAAACGTGCAAGACAGGGCCCTAGTAGCGATGGATATGCCCTCATACATCGCCAGGACCGTACAAGTAGTCTAGCTGCGCCTGTTATGGCCCTTACGGAAGCACATACTGTACGTCGCACGTTCCTACTTACTCTTCTTCCAGGCTGAGATCCTCGATGTGAAGTTTGCTCCTGACGGCTTTACTATTGCCGCTGCATCTTGTGATCGCACAATTTGTATGTATTGCTTTCTTGGGCTTTTTTGCTTACGTGCCAGCTCTCTGGGAAACATTCGGTGAGCACCGCAACATTGGTCAGCTAGCCGGCCATAAAAATGCTGTTACCTGTCTGGCATGGGTATCCGTCAGTGGTGATGACCGTCTTTTGGTATCTGGCTCGGCAGATGGCACTCTTGTGCTGTGGAAGACATCTACAGGGGAGCGTATTCGACGTCTTCGTGGTCACCGCGGCATCGTCAACAGTGTCGCATGCACGCGCTCAGGCGATGGCTGTATAGCCTCTGCCTCGGATGATGGCCGTGTGCTCTTCTGGGACTTGGAGTCCCGGTACCCGATCAGCTCCCTCGAACTTGGATACCCGGTCACTTGTGTGGAGTTTTCGGACGATGCAGCACAGCTGTTCGTCGGCGGTGTCGACAACGCCATTCATGTGATTGACTTGGCGACAAAAGAGCGTGTATATTCCCTTTTGGGACACACCAACTCTGTGACGTCTCTCTCTCTTTCTCGTACAGGCACACATCTTCTTTCTTGCGGACTTGATGATACAGTCCGGGTATGGGATGTGCGTCCGTACGCAGCACCCAAAGTGGATGCGAAAGGGAATGCGCGTCTGCACCGTACTCTACTGGGTATGGCCAGTGGCTTTGAAAACCTATTGCTGAAAGCGGCCTGGAGCCCTGACGGCGAATGTGTGGCGTGCGGTGGTGCGGATCACACGTCGAATATTTGGAACGTGGAGAAAGGAACACTTCTCTTTAAACTGCCGGGTCATCGTGGAACATGTACAGCCGTGGACTTTCATCCACGGGAACCGATCCTTGTCTCCGCATCCACCGATTGCACTATGCTACTAGGCGAATTGGATTCGGACTAGGTAGCCCTGCCGCATTCCATCTTTATTTAGTGAGCCGTCGCTGTAGCGTCACTTCTTCCCTCTCGTTACATAGTACACACCTCCATCATCATGACCCCACTTCTCAACGCGTAACGCACCGCCCATTGGATTCTCGCTTTGCAGGTTATGAGCCAGCCGTCGTCTGTCTCTGTAGAGACAGGACCGCCAGTACCTCCGCCTAAGGATAGTGTCGAGGGGGTGAAAAAGACCACATGGTACCTTCGCTTTGACCAAGTCCAAATTGTGCGTTCTTCTCACCGCCTTGGTGTCTGCTTTGATTGCTCGACCAATATCCCTAGCTTTCATCGAGCTACATACCATAAAGTCGAGCGATCATACGAGGAGCTAGCATATTTTGCCATGGCGTTGTCTATGACGGGTCCATCGGTGATTGTGCCGCCCCTGCCTTTGCCTACGCCGCTGATGTTGCATATGCCCAATGTCGAGAGTGATCGAGACGATGTCTACGAGCTGGATGAGCTTCGTATACTTGTATCGGACTGGTTTGACCGCATGTCTGATGAGATCCCATTAAAAATGCATCGTGAGATGCTACGGTTTATTGAGGCTGATTACAGCTATGAGCCTCTACCTCTCCAAGATACCTCGCCCAGTGGCCTAGTACGTCAGGCAGCGAAATCGAGCGCGTACATCAAGTCACTAGGCCATGTATGGGATGGTTCTCTTTTTTCGGACAAAGAAGAAGATAACAGCTCCTCATCCGGTATGCTTTCCTTTTTTGGGCGCAAAGCTACGACCAAGGAAACGCCGGCCGCCCTGGTGCCGCCTCTCTTGGCCAGTGCCTCCTCGATCAGTGTGCATGACCCTGACGAGGTGCTGAGTGCAGCACGGGGTGAGATTACCAAGCTGGAAAAGCAACTGAGCGCGGCTGTCAGTGCTTGTGCCCACGTTACCAAAGCACAGCAAGGCGTGCAAACGGCCATGAAGGACCTTGCTGAGAAGCTGCCTGGCTTCGCGACCATGGAAGAAGCACGTGTCATATCTAGTCGTGGGCAATTGCCTCGCACATTACGTGGTGCAGAGGCGCTGCTATCCAGTTTGGCGCAGTTGTCTGAGCAGATGGCCTATGCGGATCAAATTACGTTGGGTGATGCAATGGAGTACCAAGAACTGAATCTCAGTGTTGTGCGGCAGACTTTGCAAGCACGCACGGCCATTGTGGTGGAGCATGCCTTGGCCCAGCGGGTGATTGCAAGCAAGCGGCAAGACGCCGATCAACTTCGGTTAGCCAAGTCTATTCGCACAGACCGAGTGGATACAGCCATTGAGGAGGTTCGTGAGGCACAGCATCATGCTGGTCTCCTGGAGCAGCACTTGAAGCAAGTGACGTCATCGCTTCGCGATAGTTTACAGCGGCACAGTGTACACACACACCATGATCTGCAGCGTATGATGGAGGAGCATGCACGAGTAAGCCAGGCCCTGGACAAGCGCATCGCGCGAATTCTAGATCTATTTGATATGGAGGAAAGTGCTACGGCTGCAGAGGTGCAACGTGTCGCTATGGAGGCTGCGAAGACGCGTCGTACGATAACGCCTGCGCAGATCGCCGCTGCACGTATTGCAGGGCGGCCTGTGGAAGAACAGCCGTCTATGGAAGCGCCTGACTCTTCTACGGATGACGAGGCAGCAGCCACGACGCCAACAACGGCGGCGGCGGATCTGCCTTCCGAAGAAGTGACGACCACGGATCCCGACGCCATCACCGCAGCCGACACGGCGGCCGGCATGCCGCCGCCTATCGATGCCGTGCCTGAGCCAGTACCTGAGCCCAGCTTTGCCTCGCAATTGTTCAATCGTAGTTCGACTGGGGGGCGCTGGGGACGCCTTTCTGCATCCGACGCCGCCAAGTCGTTGGCTGGAACATTTTAGCTAGGGCGTATGTACCCCATGCATACCATGTAATGCACAGGAAATAGGTTTTGCACCTACTAGGTTGGCCCGTGCCCATCGGCCGAGCTACGGCCTTGCATCAATCCACCATGCTCGACGCCGAATTCGGAGTGTTGGGAGCAGCGCTGGGTCTGCCGGTGGACTATGCCAAGGTATGTTTAAATAGCCGCTGTACTTACACTCGCCAGCTCGCAACATGCCTGCTCGTGTCATGTATTCTGAGCCCAGTGCTGTTGCACCTGCCGTCCGCATGGATGCGGCACGTCATGAACGTGGGCGTCTCCGCCTTGTTTCTCATTGGCGTGCTAAGGCTTCACACTGGCTTCCTGCACTTGCTTGGTGCATGCCTTTTGGTGTATACCACGGTCAAGTATCGCGTGGGCGGTGCCACGTATATGCCGTGGATTGTATTTGTGACCGTGATGGTACACATGCTGTACACGTACGTATGTCCTGCGCTACTCACCTTCAGCCACTGCGTCCGCGAGCTGAACCATGTCCCGCTCACGACCGTTGAGATCTCGTCTATGCATATGGTGCTTGTGATGAATCTTTCGTCATTTGCATGGAGCTGCTACGATGGCCAGTTGCGACCGAAGAACGCTGTCTTGGACCAGCAGCAGTCGGCCGCGGCGATCACCGAGATGCCGTCGTTGCTCGAATTCCTGGGCTACTGCTTTTACTTCCCGGGTGTGCTCGTTGGCCCATCTACGCGCTTCCGTGACTACCAACGGTGGGCTAACGGTACGCTGTACCAGCCCTTGCGCCATGTACCGTCGGGCCGATGGATCGAAGCGCTGCGTGAACTGCTTGTGGCAGTGATCTCGCTTGTGCTGATGACATCGCTTGGCGGCTTTTACGACTACCTGCGCCTGCCCAACACGGCCGATGTGCTCTATTCGTGGCCATGGTGGCAGCGTATCTTGTTCCTACAAGTGTGTGGCATTGTCGCGCGCTTCCGCTACTTTGGCGTGTGGTCGCTATCGAACTCGGCCTGCATTCTCTCCGGCCTTGCGTACAATGGTATGGACTTGGCTACCAATAAGGCACGCTGGGACCGATGCAAGAACGTTTATGTGGTGCGCATCGAGACAAGTCACAACTGGAAGGAAGTGCTGGATGCGTGGAATGCCAATACCAATATTTGGCTGCGTGAAGCGGTGTACAAGCGCTTGGCCGGCAACAAGAAGCCTGGCTTTGGCAGCGTGCTGGGCACCTTTTTGGCTAGCGCCATCTGGCATGGCATTGCGCCTGGCTACTATTTGTCGTTTGTACTGGGTGCTATGTGCCAATGGCTCGCACGTCTCCTGCGCAAGTCGGTTCGTCCCATCTTTTTTGCCAACCCACGCTCGCCGGATCCCACTCTGCGTACCATGTCACAGTACTCGTTCGCGCAAATTGTCTACTCGCTCCTGTCGTCAGTGATCACGCTGACCTCAGTCAACTATGCAGCTATGCCCTTCCTGACCCTCGGGTTGTGGGAATCGATTCAAGCTTGCAGGGCCGTGTACTGGCACTATCATATCATTGTGGCCAGTGGTCTACTGGCTTTCCAACTTGGGCTTGGAAAACTGCTACGTCCCTATCACCAACGTCCTCCCCCATCCAAGAAACAACACTAAGTTAATATTTCATAGACATTTGCTCTGTCACCTGTATCGCTGCCGCGTCTTGGCGACGAACACGGCGCTGAAATAGCCATGCTCCCCACAGAATAGCCCCAATGAATACACCAGCTACCATGAAATGGGGACAATGTGATGCATGCTTGGTCCATACCTGGAGCCATTCACCGGTCCGTGGCCGTCCGACGTACTTGGCAATGGTCATGGCTTTGCACTCCGGTGAAATGTGCATGTGAATGCCATCGCACGTATGGAACTCAAGTGCGCCACGTCGATCCAGCTGCGCTAGACCGAGCCAGTCATTCAGGTAGATCTCGCTCTCCCGTAATGGCACAGGGGTCGTCTGATTCCAGCGGTGCTTATCAGGGTCCTCATAGGCGCGGAACCATGCCGACTCACTAGGCACAACCGTTTCGTCCTGATTGAATCGAACCATAACGAACTTGTTAAGCGATGCGAGATTGCGTTTGTATTGTACATTTTTGAGAGGACCTTCGTTATTGATATCGTACAAAAAGGTGTTGTGCTGCTTGTACTGCTCGAACTGTTCCACACTGCGTGTGTCACGGAAGTACTGAGCAATGACAATGGTCGACTGGACCAAGTCTGAATACACATTGGATTGCAGGGCACGGTGCACGGTCTTGCACAGCTTGTCGTCGGGACCGCATATCGGCAGGTCCGTTATGCCCATATGCTGCGATCCAAACGTAATCAAATTGCGTACCGCGGGCGTGTTGAATCGTTCCACATATCCGCGCAGGAACTGCCCACCCTGCGAGAATCCAATAGCATCAAAGCCATGGCGCAGCTCAGGAATGGCGCGTAACTGTTCATGTACCGCCTCAAGTTGTTCATTGACGTTGCCAAAAAGCGTCGCAGAGCGATCTTCCGTCTCCGTTTCCTTCAGTGCGATGATGTGCACATAGATGCCAGGGTACATCGCCTCCAGCTCTTCCTTCGCATGATTCATGTACTCTGAGTATGCTGAATCACCTAGACCATGCCACAAAACGACAGGCATAGGCGACCACATCTCGCCCAGCCACTGGGTCCATGGAAGCCATCGACGAGTCGAAGTCGAAGTCGAAGTCGTCTTCTGAGCCTCGCCACAGTGGTGATGCGGCGATGGCAGTGCTACTACTGCCATGGTTGCGATACATGCAGATAGGCTAAGTGTCAATAGCCGAACCAACGTCATGTCTATGAGAACCAATTGGTCCAAGCGTGGTGGCTACTATTGGAAGACCACCAACGCCAGCCACGACCGATGTCCTATCACGTGCCAACCCCAGGTGGCCGGTATTGCCAGTGGCCTACTTGCTGCTACCTGCCATTGCGTCATCATAGCTTTGCTGCCGGTAAGTAGACGGATTGTACATACACCAGCGTGTTGTTCGACCTCGGACCGACAGTAGTACTTGTACATCTGGTTGTACGGGGTGTAATAGCGCCCCGTACCCCAGCCGAACATGGGGCTCACGTACTTTTTGTACGTGGAGTCAAAGTCGGCTGCTTGATAAGTAGCGACTTGGACATACCTTTCATTTCCTTTCGCAGGTTCTGAAGATCAGCCGTGTAGTCTGTCAGGATCGCTGAAACGCCCCAGCTGGTGGCGCTGACCATCTCGTCTTTGCGGTTGACGGTCCACACCATAACATCTTTGTTTTCTTTGTGAGCACGCTGGATGAAGTCCTGCCCTTCACGGTTGACCAAGGAGGCAAAATGGATGGAAAATGCATCGCAATCCTTCCAGAAGTACTTGAGTGCATCTGCAGGTGAGGCACCAATGTGAGCGCGGCGCAGCGATGGCACATATTGCTTCGCAGGGGCAATGAATTTGGGGTGCCAGAGACCAAGGATCAGACGCGGTGCCAGCTCTGTCTCGTAGTGGGGGAACTTGCTTACCACCTTGTTCATGATGCTGAACAGACGCTCTGGATCGTTGTTGGGCTTGATGTCAATGTTCAGCTTCACATGCCTATTGCTCGGCTGCATAAGAAGGGAACAGAGCTGCTCAAAGGTAGGAATCTGCTGCGGAGGCTCCTTGAGTGTATGCACATGCTCCAAGCCATCCTTGCCATAGTACTGTCGCGCACTAATCAGGCCCGTGCTGTTTGTCGTACGATCCAACGTGGTGTCGTGGAACATTACAATCACGTCGTCGGCCGTGATGTGGACATCTGTATGTGAGCTTGTATGTGTACATACCGCTCTCAATACCTTCCGACCCATCCTTGATGGCCTGTGCAAACGAACGCAAGGTATTTTCAGGGAATTCGGCGGAAGCCTACTTCGTTAGAGGAAGAAAGAAGTACGTACTCCACGATGGCCCCTAAAGTATAAGTACAATCACGTATACGTACCAGCACTCGGGCATCTCACGTTGAGGACTCGACATGTGGGAGAAAGAGGTAAACGGGGCGTCCGCCGGGTTGCCGTTTGTGCCTTATGCATGTCAGAGTGGATCTGACGGTGCACAGACAATTTGGCTACCCACGTGTCTGCAGGCCCGTGCATCTGGGCTTACACGTGCGACAGGGACCAATAAAACAAAGTGGGTATACTATGTGCGGTGCCTTCCCTATGATACAGAGGATTGGTCCGTGAGCATATGATGATCACGATCGACCGTTGTAGGAATGCCCTGATAGTCGTTGGAAGGTTTGTACTGCAGAATAGAATCGATAAGCCAGAACTGCAGCATGTTCATAGCCATAGGGAAAAGTGCCATGACGAACACGACTTGGGTGGCTCGATGTGTACCAAAAAGCCCAAGAAGCCAGTTCCCAAAGGATGTGAGGAAGGGCAAAATGGAAAGAAGAAGTAAGACACATAGTTTCATGATTATCAGCGAGATGACGTACAAACCCGTCTGACGTAACCAGCGACTGGCGACGCTGGGCGTCTGCCCATGGTCCTGCGCGTCAAAGTAGTCACCAGAGACAAAGCCAGGCAAGTGCCATACATTTGTGAAAAGGTATGTCAGCTGCTTTAGTACATGGAAGATGATAACGATCCCCAGCGTGGTGTCTAACGCAATGTTGAGAAAGTACAGCGAGCATGGGTTGCCTCCGTCTTGCAGAGTGCCTACGGCGCTGAACAGTACATTCATCATATGCACAATGAGTTGGCCGGTAAGCTGCTTGGATACATCCATCATCCATACGCGCCAAGCACGTCGTGGCCGTTCTCGATAGCGTTTGTACAACAGAGAGCCAAGTACGACCACACCTAGCAAGAGCTGCGTCACAATGGACACAGGCCCAAAAAGTTTGCAATTACGTTCATCAATACGCGCCACTGATGGGGAAGGTAAGGGCAGGGGTGAGGGTGCAGCGTCCATGAGACTGACCACAATCCCCCACAATGATACGGAGTCAACCAGCGCGCGCCGTACGCAGGCGCGGCTTGGCACCGCGTCGCCCTCCACATTTGTTTGTACTTGAAAAGAGTCTTCTATGGGGTCGCAGACGCTGCGACTTGAACGTACAGCGTCTGCCAACGTTGGATTTCGTCTAGGACATCTTGCGCTTGTTGTCGCGCGAGTGCATCACTGTCCTCTTGTGAAAGGTAAGTGACGACGGGTATCATAGCATTCGCTGAGGTGGCCGATACGAGGAGCGTAGGTAGCGGCAGCGACGTGCGTTGGGACGGGGCATGGCTGATGGATGGCAGCATGCCACCACCAGGCAAGCGCAGCGCTTGCAGTGGCTGATCTACATCGAGATGACCTCGTTGTTGCTGGTCCATGTACGTGTCCATCTGGTGGCAAGACGTGCGTACCAGCAACGCGAGCAGAAGCAGCGCGGAGCGACGTAGCTGGGGTCGCTTGGGATCAGCGTCCACGCCGCTGGCTTGGTCCTTTTCCCAGAGTGTTTCAAGCACCTCATCATCGTGATCGTCATCCACAGCGTGTGAAAAGGTCTGGCCATCTTTTGTACCTGAGACATGGGCACGTACTTTCGCACGCGTACGCAATGGACGCAGTTCCGACGTCAGCTTGATTATCTCGAGGCTCATATTGACCATGGACGCTGCCGCTCCACTAGCAGCTACAGCTTCAGGTGAGATCTCCACACACGTCCCAAGTATTGATAGAAACGAACTGCGCAAGGTGGCTGAGAACAGGGGGTTGCGTATGGCCGTCAGCAAAGGCTCGACAATACGAGGGAACTCCACCACGGCCGCCTCGCCAAGATGCTGGAGCACTTGCAGCATCGCTTCGCCTATGCGCAAACGCTGATCTGTTTCGCGTTGAGATAATGTCTGTCCATACGAGATTGCATGTGCCATGCCATCCTTGGTTTTGTCGCCGCCGATATACATGGCCATAAGAGGTCCGAGTACGGACGCACGATGACTGGCGGCCATATGGGCCAAACCCTGCACAGCATTCAGGTACAGGAAACTCTCGTCGTCTTGAATGGCCTGTAAGAACAAATCAAAGATCGCAGGGAGCAAGGCCGGATCCAACTCGTCGCCATAACGTACATCATGATGTCTGGTGTCTGTGGACACCAACTGGGTAAGCAAGTGCAGGCCGTGGGCACGGACAGGCAAGATGGGATCTTGCAAGTACTGCAGGGCTTCTTGGTAGACATCCATGTACGCAGGCCGTGCGACTGCCTCTTTCTCAGGCCTAGGCGCTTGATGAGCTCGGGCGGCCAGGGCTAGTGTCACTTCCTGGCTCAAGGCGCGCGTCTCTTCGTTCTCTGCATCGCGATACGTCTCAATGCGGTCGGCAAGCACACGGAGCAAACGGGTCGAGGATACATTCAGTGTCGGATCGCGCTCAAGAAGCGAGAGCAATAATTGCAGCGCTGCATTGGTGAGTTCAGGTTCGCTCGCGTGGCTTGGCGCACAGGCCACATCGATCAGTTGCAGCAAGCGTTCCACATCGCCGTCCATCAGGGACGAGCCGAACGTATCGAAGAGGTGGAAGACCAATTGTAGGAAAAACAAGGAGCGCCGCTCCATCTCCGCATGCGAAGCGGAGGTCAAACCAGAGGCCAGTTCTGTTTGCGTTCGTCGGTACTCGTCCAGGCTCAGCAAGAGCAAGGCACTACCGAGAGGTGGGCGCTGTGCTTTCTGGAGGAGAAGGACCACGCGATGAGGGTCTACAGGCAACGCGAGCGATTGAGCCAAGTGAGGAGGCAGGGTATGCGTCTCGTCCTTGTCGGTATCGGAGGCGTGGATGCGCTGTGCCAATTGGTCCAAAGACAACGTGTGGTTCAGCATATGTGACAAAACGTCCGGCATGGAGGAAGGGCGGGCAGTGAAGTGTAGGCCTTCCGACGTGCTTTCCCAGCTGAGCGAGTCACTCAAAGCCCGTTCCAGCGCCGTGAACAACGAGGTGGACAACGCCTCTGCTTGGCCCATGCGAAGCCATGTATGCAGCACCTGCTCAACATCGTGCGCCTGCATATCTCGTGTGCGTACCGTATCTTCGACGACGGGTACGCCGTGTCGAGCCATATGGAGCGCCGTATCAAGGGACCACAATCGATGCAACATAGGCTGACAGAGGGCATGAATCCAGTCCGGCGAGGGCGGCGCTAGTGTGATCAAGGCACTTAGCCTACGCAAAGCGGAATCGATTTGTTGTGGCGTTGGTAGCGAATCTGATCCTAAGACGTCCCAAAAGCAGGTAGTCAAAACAGGACGCATGGCGTTCGCATCGTTTTCGTACATGCGCATTATGGCGAAGGCAGCAGCACGACGATGGATGCTGTGGACAGGTGTCATGCCAGGGGGCGTACTTGGATCCACGACGCTGAAAATATGCGGCACAATCGCCTCATAATAAGCACCTCGTTGCATACCGCGCGGCGGGACGGATAAGAGACGTGCAATACCATTGAGACGCTCGTACAAAGCATCGCCCTCAGTCAGCGTATCATCCACATCACCACGTAGCATATCACTGTCGTTTGCACCTAACATGCCAATCAAGAAAGACCGTACGCCTTCTGGACGTAGCAAGTGCACAGACATGAGCCGCGTCGCATGCTCACGCACAAACGCCGGAATACGTGGCTTCGCTTGGGACAGCGCGCTTGGCATGGCTACACCTCGCAAAACACTTAGCACAGTGAGTGTAGGCGATGCATCGAGCATATGATGCAGCGTCGTCTGGGCCAGCTCTGCCTTCGTATGCCCGTCGCCATAGGCTACGCGAAGAAGCACGCGAAGAATGTCCACCATGTAAATACGAACGAGAATGACAGCCACATCTGTCCGTGCCAGGTCCGTGGTAGGAAGTGCGGTAGATGCCTGCTTGGGGCCTTCAGCCAAGCACGCTGCTAACGCATCGACAACGTTCGATAGACCATCCCTAATGCCACGCCACGCAGTGTCGTCGTCAATTTCTGCTACACCATCGTGCGCGTAGGCTTGATCATATGTGTCCACAAGCGGCACAATGAGCCATGCAAAGCACACGGCTGCTAGCTTCTTGAGGATCGCCAAGTCTTTGACGCCAAAAAGAGGCGCATCAGACGTCGTCGTGTGCGTCGGCCGTTGTGCCTCTTGATGGAGAGACAGAAGGCAGGCTAGGGCATTCCACCCTGTCTCACTTTCGCATCGCTCAAGGGGCGATTTCTCAGATGCATACTCTGTTGTATAGCAAGGGATAGGTAATGCTTGTGCACGAAACTGGGAGAGACGCGCGTCGAGCAACGTTGCCATGGATGCCGGTCCAGCCCCAGACATAGGTCGCGTGAGCTTCCATTCCGCATCCCGATCCCCTGTGAGCGTGGCAGCGCCCTGTAGAAGAGTTGCGAGGCCAGGCGGCATGCCTGTCATGGGCATGCAGCTCAGGAAGCGCGTGCAAAATGAACGAGGCCGCAAGGCTACTGTGCCCTTCGAAAAAAAGGCACAATTCGCCTCCACTTAAGCCGGCGTCCCTTGCCGACTGCTCGATATGAGTGTGACATTGCACACGTCGTTGGGCGATATCAAGGTAGGTTTTGTATACACGCTTATAACAGATTGAAGTGTTTTGCGAAGCTGTACCACGCGCATCCGAAAACTTCCTAGCTCATTGTGCAGCAGGCACATTCGATCATGTGAAATGGCACAGGAATATGAAAGGTACGTGGATGTGAGCGTGACCTTACTATCAGGCTTTATGATTCAGGTAAGTCTAGGCACACTGACATATCAGACGGGTGATCCTACCGGTACTGGCAAAGGCGGGCAGTCGATCTGGGGCGAGCCGTTTGAGGACGAAATCCGAGCTACATTTAAGGTACGTTGTGCATGCACGCTATGCACTTACACCTACACAGTTTAATGCGCGTGGGATCGTTGCTATGGCCAACAGCGGGCCCAATACCAACAAATCACAGGTACGCAATGAACTCATTCACACGCTAGTTTTTCATTACCTACAGCAAGCAGCCCCACTTGGATGGCAAGTATACCATCTTTGGCAAAGTGATTGATGGGGCGGAGCTTGGGGGCACGCTGGAAGTGATGGAAAAAGTACCTGTGGATGCCAAGCACCGCCCTCTAGACGAGATCCGCATGGAAGGTGTTACGATTCATGCGAATCCCATTGCCCAAAAGGCCGCTCAGACATCCTAGTAGTACTCTTCCTTAGTGGCACGGATACCCACACATTCATATGCATTTCATAACAGTCATAGGACCGTACTATTAGTTCATCTACTCATTGAAGCGGAGGACAAAGTTTACAATGATGGCCGTGAGCAGAAGCACAGAAAGGACCGTAGGACCTGAGCATTAGCTAGCACAGACACGTATATACATACCCAGACGGTCATCGTAGGGACCGCTACCGCGGTTGCGGATCGCCTGCGCACGCCAGTGGTAGGTCACAAGGGCATAGAGCATGATCGCGACGGCTATCAAGATTAGTTCCCTGCACAGGATGAGTCCACGTACCGACCAAGCTGAACAGGGCAGCACTCACACGACCTACACGGTCACCAAAGTTAAGCAGACCCGCAGCCAGGGCCGAGAGAGTCACAGTAAAGCTGAGCCACGAGAGGACTAGAGGGGGTATTAGCGATCCTGGACGGGATCATCGGGTATAGTACGTACAGGTACGCTCGTTGGCGAAGAACACCTTAGGTTCGACACGCACAGGGAGCGCAATACGCTTGCCTGCCGTACGCTGCAAGAGAGGCTGAGTCGACATGCTACGATGGTGAAAGACAAAAGCTATTGCCAGCAAGCACTATTCCAACTCTCCCCCGACCCTCCCCCGTATAGGGGCCGGGCTGATGCACGACCCTGCACGTGTACCTCCACCTCCACGTGCCGTTACGCTTTCCATTGCACACGCTGCCGAGTGTATTGCTCGTATTGCATGGCGCGAAGGTGGTAGCGTGTCCGTAGATCGCAGTAGTGACGAACAAAGTGGGTATCCTGTATGTTAGTAAGATGTGTGTACGTACATCCATAGGTGTTGAAGTAGGTGAAGTCGCGGGTGGCAGGCCGTCTATAAAGTCGTTGACGAGTTTTTCCGTTTCATCATGCAGCTGCTGTACTGCCATATGCAAACGTACTTGCATAGCTTCGGGTGTGAAGCGCTAGGTGTGAATGTCTCATACGTCACTTACTTTTCGTGCTTCTAGCAGGGCCCTTTCCACTTCTGGCCATTGATGCTCGTACTGCTTGGCCTTCGTAAAAGCGTCCTGTGTGTCGCGCCGTAACGCCTCGAGTTCGGGGCGTAGTGCATTGTTGCGTGCTGTTTTTGTAAGTGACATGCCCATACAACGTACCTGCTGCCGCTTCTACCTGTTCGACGAGTGCTTCATGTTCTGCATTCAGTGTCTGGATGGCGGGGAGTTGATCCACTAGGGCTTCCAGCAGTTGTGCTTGTGTTTGAGACTGTTCCATGGTCTCTGGCGAGGATGCAAGTTCCTCGAGCATCTCACGTGGAAGGGCCGCGATGCTAGGATACTCCTCAGCGAGACGCTGAGCAGCCCCTGTAGGATCCATGATGGTACGCCGCTACGTTGTTGTTCCTCCGCCTCCACATAGTCGTCATGACCTCCGTGCTGGCCGTATATACGTGGTGTTGCGGTGCTGTGGCCGTGCTTGGTCTGCTTACGTCTGTGGGTATGTATACATGGTCTAACTGTAGCATGGAGCCTCATTCATCTAAGCCAATGGATTGAAGCCTACCCACTGCGGGCGCGGTGGATTGGCGTACGATATGCGCAAGTGCAGCTGGGTCTTGTTCTTCTCATGTACGTGTGTGGCCACCTGCCACTACCAGCAGCTGTGCTTTGTGCTAGCTTGGGTGTGTATGGACTTATATGTATGTGGCCCGCTACATGGCCATCTCAATCCCGCCCACCTATCGTGGCACGCGCGGTATGGGGGGTCGGTGTACCACTCGCCGCGCATGCCTCTTTGACCTCTCATTATGGCGGTGTTCAGCATGCATGGATTGCGCATGCGCATGGCTTTGCCCAGGAGGCACCTTCCCTCCCCTATGCCCAGGCGCATGAGGTGGTTGCTCTCATCGCGGGTCTTGTCTGGGCTTTGCCTGTCTATCAATTTGTGAGCGAAACGACCCAGACATGGTCGTTGCCTACACGTACTTAAACGTGTGCATCCGGCTCGCTGACATACGCTAGGTTCTATGCACATCTTACTATCGATTCATGGAGACCACGTGCGCGTCAGGACTGCAACACCGGGGGAGCCGGGGAGAGTGCCGTCCTGGACAGCGGCGAGGAAGCGTGCGTCGGCACAGACAACGGTGGGGTTTCATGCTCTTTTGTCGGCGAGGTCACTTGGCGCGTGCTTGTGGCCATCTCCAACAAAGGTTCTGATGCACGAAGGGACTGTGTCTCTTGCTCTGACGAGCCTCCACTGCTTTCTTCTTCTTGCGTGTGCGATTTCTCTGTGGTCTGCCGCGGCACTGTGCGATTGTTTTTGCTTGGCGAGGCAAGCCCATTCGCTGCTGCTTCCTTACGACGCATAAGCAGGTACCGCTGGCGGCATTGATGGTACGAACGCGTACCGACAGCCCGCGCTACATGCTCCCACCGCTGCCCATGCTCTTTAATGGCACGACGCAGCTTGGTGTCCTCCTCGGCGGACCAACGCACGTACGGCAGCCGCTTTTCTGGGCTGTGCTGGCTGCCCCCACTGGACGGTCGTGGCTTGCTGGCCGAGGCTGGGGCACGTGGCACAGGGACTGGCGACCACGTCCCACTGGTCGGCGCCGCGTAGGAGCCCGAATGCGTGCGGCGATGATGCGACGAGGCATAGGCGGGTGCATGCGAGTGAACGTGTGTGGGACTGGAAGGATGCTCGATAGCAGCATGGTGCGCGAGCACATCCAAGGCAGATGGCAGCGGGGCATCGTCCATCGTGCTGCTACCGCTTCCCATACGACGCCGCTTCGGACTGCCATAGGCCTGGGATACAGCGCCTGGTGTAAGTGAGGTAGGAACGCGTGCCCAAGGCGATGCACGTGTGGGACTGGTGTTGGTATCCGCGTATCTGCTCGAGGGCGCATGGGAATGCGAATACGACATAGGGCCCAAGGACTGTGCAGCATGCAAAAGATCATCGAGACCGCTGGAATAGTGTGACGACGAAGGCACACTTCGTGCTGACATAGGCGCATAGGGGCTGCTGTGCATATCGTCCGTACGGTGTAGTGATGTGGGCGTATGTGGGTAGGACTCGTACGAGGATTGAGAGGGGATCTTGGCCGTAGCATGCTGTCGATGAGGCGTTGTTGGCATCACATCATGCTTCATCGGCGATACATCTGCGGTAGAGGAAGGTCGTGAAGCATGACGTAGTGTGCGAAGCATGCGTGTCGCCAACAGTAAGTGCTCGGCCGTGGCATCGCCCATGGTCGCTTCGCGGCGACGTGGCTTGGCCAGTGGCGTACGTGTGCCATGCCGCGAAGGCGTAAGTACGTCGCTCATATCGTCCTCATGGTTGGCACGAAGCAGCAAGGGCCTCAGCGTTTTGAGTTCAGACTCCAGTCGCGCTACTTGCGCCTCGGCATCCTTCACGCGCTGGCGTAGGTACCGCTTATCAGCCAGCAGCTTGGTACGCTCCATATTTGTAGGCGATGTAGGCGCACGTCGGGCCTCCTCTTCGTCATCCAACGATGGCATGGAGTACCGTGTCGTCGCCGACGTCGCCTTTTCGTCATGGGAGTGCAGCGAGGCGCGTGAGATCATATCACTGAGCATTTTGGACTGACTCTTGGAGCCTGACAATTCCACTTCTAGTCGTGCCTTGATATCGCGCTCCGCCTGGAGCATATGTGAGTAGGAAATACGTAACGAGGAAAACAGGGAGAGCGATGCGAGGCGCGTGACTCGCAGCAAATGCTTTAGGTGTTCACGACTGTCTTCCTGCTGCCGCATCCGCTTTAGCAGGTGAAGAAGGCACGTAGCAAGGACCTGTTCGCGTGCCGAAGCCTCCTCTGGCAACGACGTCGGTGGCTGCCATGCTGCCACGCCGTCGTCGGGGCCCATGGAGTATCCATACGACGTAAGGAGCGATGCCAAATCGGCCCACTCCGAAGATTGTGTGTCCAAGCCGGTACCTGTCTTGGCATCCATATCGGCTGTCTCATCTAACTCCATGAGCATCTGCATCTCTTGCTCCATGGTACCGAGACCCAAACCCACTTGGGGGAACGTCAAGTGGCCACTTATGGCGCCTGGCACATTGTCCAGCGCTGGCGCATGGCCAAGAATCGGCGATGGTGTCCGAGGCGACACGGAGGATGTGGGCTCCGTCCCCGTATCGGTATGCTGGTGCGCTGAAGATGGCTGCGTCTCATCGCCTGAGAAGCTTGCACGCCGCGGCGGTATGGATAGCGGCATCAGCTGTGATGGCTGTGGATGTGCGATATCCATAGGCTCCGACATGATGGCGTCGCCTACAGTCACTTTGATAACGCGAACCACGTCTCCGCACGCCGGCCAAATACGATGTACAAAGAAAAGGTGGAAAGCACAGCACGGCGGCCGCCCTACGAACGATGCCACATTCGCTCCAGCAGGCAGGTGGAGGTTGTATAAGTCTACATCTTACCTACGGGGCAGTGCTAACATGTCACAACACCTCCGAGTGGCATCTGGCTCAACTCTGACCGTGTCGTCTCACGTGAGAATCCACGTGGCAGTCACGGGCGGCGCGCGTTGGTCAGGGCTGGCCCCCGCTGGCTGGCGAGTGAGCGTGCGCGGCGGCGACGAGGTTCGACGACGAGATCCCTGCAGCACTCGCGCCTTAGCACGAATGTTGCTTGACATACAGCGCAAGTTTTTCTCGCGATCGGAGCGGGTCAAGTCGGTGGACTTCCATCCGACGGAGCCCTGGCTTCTCGCGGGTTTGTACGATGGCACTGTGTTCATTTGGAACTATGAGACGGGTGCGGTCGTCAAGACGTTTGAAGTGGCAGATGTGCCTGTCCGCTGCGTACGCTTCATAGCGCGCAAGAACTGGTTCCTTGCGGGCTCTGACGACTTTTTTGTGCGCTGCTACAACTACAACACGCACGAGAAGGTGACGTCGTTTGAGGCGCATCCGGACTATATCCGCAGCATTGCTGTGCATGCCACGGGCTCGTATGTGCTTACAGCCGGTGATGATATGACGATCCGTCTGTGGGACTGGGAGAAGAACTGGCGTCTTGTGCAGACGTTCGAGGGTCACACCCACTTTGTGATGGACTTGTGCTTCAATCCGAAGGACTCCAACTCGTTTGCGTCTGCCTCCCTAGATCGGACTGTCAAGGTGTGGACACTCGGTGCGCCACAGGCCAACTTTACCTTGGAAGCACATGAGAAAGGTGTGAACTCTGTGAACTACTACCATGGGGGCGACAAGCCATACATGATTACGACTAGTGACGATAAGACTGTGCGCATTTGGGACTACCTGAGCAAGTCGTGTGTGCAGACTCTCACAGGCCATGCGTCCAATGTATCGTTCGCCGTGTTCCATCCCTCACTGCCGCTTATCATCTCGGGCTCCGAGGACGGGTCGGTGAAGTTGTGGCATGCGAATACGTACCGTCTAGAGTCGACGTTGGACTATGGCTTGGAACGTGTGTGGTGCATTGCGTACAAGAAGAACAGCCACGATATTGCGCTGGGTTATGATGAAGGTGCTGTGGTTGTCAAGCTCGGGAAGGAAGATCCATGCATTAGTATGGACCAGAGTGGCAAGGTCGTATATGCACGGAATGCCGAAGTGTTGGGCACAAATGTCGCGACTCTCACGGAAGAAGAGCTGGTGGATGGTGAGCGTTTGCGCATTACCACACGTGAGCTCGGTACGACGGAAGTGTACCCGCAGCTGCTGGAGCACTCGCCCAACGGCCGTTTTGTGACGGTGTGTGGTGACGGTGAGTATACCATCTACACAGCGCTGGCATGGCGTAACAAGGCCTTTGGCGCCGCCCTGGGCTTTGCTTGGGCGTCTGACTCGAACACGTATGCGATTCGGGAGGACTCATCGACGCGTGTGCGCGTGTTTAAAAACTTCAAGGAGCAAAGTGGACTGGTCCTTGTGAACTATGTGGTGGAAGGCATTGCTGGCGGCGCTCTACTGGCCGTGATTGGTGTGGGCTTCGTGTGCTTCTATGACTGGAGCACAGGTGCGCTGATCCGCCGTATCAACGTGGAGGCTCGGCAAGTCATGTGGTCGCAAACGAATGAGCTGGTCGTGATTACGACGGCTGACTCGTTCTACGTCCTTCGATTCCACCGTGCTGCGTACGATGCGTACATGGCAAGTGGCGTGCAAGACGATAGCGAAGGCTACGAGGATGCGTTCGAGGTGATTGCCGAGATTCACGAGTCTGTGCGCACGGGCCGCTGGACAGGCGAATGCTTCATCTACACCAATGCGGCCAACCGTCTGCAGTACTTTATTGGCGAGCAGTCGTACACTATCCGTCCCTGCGACTTTGAGCTGTATGTACTGGGCTACCTGCCGCAGCTGAGCTGCGTGTTTGCTGCGGATAAGGATATGAATGTGTACAGCTTTGTGCTGTCGCTTTCTGTGGTAGAGTACCAAACGGCTATTTTGCAGGGCGACATGGAGCATGCCCATGCACTGCTCCCGAAGGTGCCGCATCAGCACCGCGGCAAGGTCGCCAAGTTCCTGGAGGCGCAGTCCATGCCCGAGCTGGCGCTGCAAGTGGCCGTGGATCCGGACCACAAGTTTGACTTGGCTGTCCAGCTGGGCGAGTTCGAGGTGGCGCTGGATATCGCACGCAGCGGTCCTGCATCCGGCGCGGAGATGCGTTGGCGCCGGATTGGCGATCAAGCGCTGGCACGCTGGAACGTCCCGCTGGCCCAAGAATGCTTCGAGCATGCGAACGATATCCACTCGCTCTTCCTTATCGGCACCGCGACGCAAGACGAGGTGCTGTTACGTCACGTGGCGGAAGCCGCCCAGGCCAAGGGCGAGCTGAACCTCGCGATCACCGCCCTGCTCCAGGTGCAAGACACAGGCGCTGTTGTGGAACTGCTGCGTTCCGCGGACCGTGTGCCAGAGGCTGCATTGTTTGCACGAACGTATGCGCCTCACCTCGTTCCCAGCATCGTGGATGCGTGGAAGCAGGCGTTTGCGACGCAGCCGAGTGCTAAGCAGCAGGCCATGGGTGAGCGCATTGGCCATCCACACACGATGCCATCGTTGTTCCCGGAGGGCGGATACTAATCGTATGCCGCGTCTGTAGGTACCTATATATCATCCATACAGGACGAATCTTTTTCCACGATGACGTAGTGTACATGCAAAGCGTACTGCTTAATCTGCCTCGGTGTCTTGCGTGCCAGCAGGCTCATCATACTTTCCTTGTGGTTGTTGTTGTTGTTGCTGCTGCCGCATCCAACTCGCTTGGAAAGCGCGGTTCATCTCGGATGGTAGCGTCCCGTAGGGCATCCCCAGGGAGGGGTCCGCAAACACCATTTGCAAATGCCGACGCAGCTCCACAATGCCGCGGTTGCTGTACACGCAAAACATCTGGCGCTGGTGATGATTGAATTCCTAAAGGGTGAGCCGTTCGTTCCACATACTTTCGGGGGCGTGCGGCACATGGCTTGGAGTCGTGGCCGTTGGAACGCTGGCACGCCCGTGAGACTCAAGTGCATGAGCCGAGGCAATCGCAATACCAGCCAAAAAATTGCCGGCACAGTGATGTTGTGGCAGTACGACAAGTGGACGCGTTCCAGGTTGGTATGCCGTTCGACCAAGCCATAAATAGCCGTATCTGAGAGGGAGGTGACCTGCAACTCGTTAGTACGTTGGCACGTACTCGGACCAAGCCAATGCGACGAAGCTTGGGAAGATTGGCTGCGAGCGCAATCACACTTGCATCTGTAAGACGTACACAGCATGCGAGGTCCAAGTATCGCAGACGTGTGCAATGCTGCGCCAAGTGGATCACCGCGGGGTCCGTGATACTGTGTGTGAGCGTGGTGGGTACTTACTTTTCCATATGTGCCAGGTGCAAATGTTGGAGTTGCCGGCCCAACGATGCTATCGCATACACGCTCTCGTCCGTCAGGTTGGTGCACTTGGCCAGGGATAGGTTGCGTAGGCGCGGTGCATGAGCAACAATGGCCCGCACAGCCTCGTCGGTAATTTGCGCACACCCTGTCAGATCTAGCATTCGAAGATGCTCGCATACGTGGAACGTTGGCGGATGCTGGGATGATGCCCGCAGTAAGGTATCATGGAGCGATGTTGTAGGGAACGCGCCATCTGTGATTTGCGTGCAATACGCCAGCTTCAGCTCACGCACGACATTGGGGCGAAGCCAGATCCATTGTACACTGGTATCATCAATTTGTGGGCACTGTGCCACGTCAATTTCTAGCAGGATAGGACACTGCTGCAAGAGTGCGATAAGGGCTTGGCTGTTCATATGCGCACAGTAGGCCAGCTTGATGCGGCGCAGCATATGACAGCACTCTGCCAATGCTTGCACACCCGCACTCGTCACCAGTCGGCAGCCTGTGATATTGATCCCTTGCAATCGTCCACACGTTTGGGCAATCACATAGAGCGTAGCATCGGTCACCTGCTCGACCCAGCTGACATCCATTGCGACCAATTGCGGCGTGTTTTGCAGGACGCGCGAGAGCGTGGCATCTGTGACCTGCGTACACTCGGACAGTGTAAGGCGCTCCAGGCGCCGACAGGCGGCCATACGCCCAAAGAGCTGATCGTCCAACTCGCCAGCGAGCAGACTGAAATTCAACCGGCGGATGTAGCTGGCATAGGGAAACAGTGCTTCCGGCTGGATCATGACATGGATGAGCTTAAAGAGCGTTGACAGGCGATAAAAGGAGGGACGGTACCATAGTACTTGCACACCACACACGCACCAGCGGCGGCAGACAAGCAAGCATGCTTGCAAGTCTTGCTGGGACAGCAAGACGTACCGAAATATTTGCAGCAAAATCTCGCGAGGTAGCTCCGCATAGCTGTTGGAGGTCCGACTGGACGAGTCATGCAGAAGGCCCGAGTCACTAAGCGGTGGCGCCTCGCTCACACCGCTTACAGGCATCTCATAAATGTCCAACGGATCGGACTCTGATCCTGTCGATGGCGACATGGGCGTCGCGGCCCCACGCACGACCGACCTAGCGATGGATGGAGCTGATGTCATGCGCACTTCCTCCATGGACATGGCGTCCATGGCGCGTCGTATTGTCCCCCGTTGTGGTGCACGTCAACGCTGCCTTGCTGTGACGGAAGGCGTCGGTGGTGCCTGAGGGCTTGGTGTAAAGTCGACGGCCGCCCTTGCGGAGTAGGTAACGACAGGCCCTGCGACGCTGTGCTGAGTCAGCGGGGCTGGGCGCCGCACGCCCCAGATGGTTCCTCCACGGCAGGGTCTTTTATTCACTACGTTTGAGCTCAGTCATGAGGTCTGTGAGGCTCTCCCACTCCGGCTCGTCCTCAAAACTATCGCGTGTGCGGGCCATGAAGTTGCGTACGAGTGTACGTGCGCGGAATTTCCAGTCGGGCATCGCCGCCTCGCTCTGACCTGGCGCCGCCGCTTGATCGCCGAGGTTCATTAGCACATCGCAAAGTTCCTGCAGCTCCTCCACCGCCAGGGCCCAGGTGCGCTTGTCGGTGACCACGTCTGTTGACTCTGGATCACCCAGACCACACTGGAAGCTCTGGACACGAGCTTGCAGCACGTCGCGGTACTCACCTGCCGAGAAAAGAAGTCGCGCATAACTCTGCCAAATCGCAGCATCTGTCGAGAAACGCGGTAGCAAGGTATCTTGGAACAAGCGGGTCACGGCCGGTCGCAAGGCCTCGCCTATGTCCGTGCTGCGTGTGCTTGGATCTTCATCCGCCGCGGGCGCTCGAATCACAGCGTCGACGAGCTTGTTGAGCACATCCAAGTCGACCACGTTCTTTGCATCGCCTGCTGTCGCAGCGCTGCTGCTCGCCTCCCGGAACCGAATTTCAATCACGCGCGCAAAAGCCCGCGTAGCTTCTCGCAGCATACCGACGTCAATGGACACAACCATATAATTCGCCCATACACGCCACGACTCAAACTGGTACTTCAACGAGATGCCAAGCGCTTTGTGTGCCAGGAGACGCAGCTCAAACGCACCTTCGCTGGTTCCTGTGATGGCACTCGTGCTAAGCGCAGCCGCACCTTCGTCATCTTCTGACTCGGACATGACCGACACGCCCGAGTCATGCGCCGTGCCGACACTGGCCGCATTGCTCTCCTCGTCGTCTGGCGCTTCCTCCAAGACTGTATCCAGACGTGGCACTTGCGTGGCATGCATGCGCAAGTAACAGCTGGCCAGGTTGTTCCAGCTTTCTCCATCCTCTTCTTCTAGTGATGTACACTTACGGAACGCCGCCGCCCCTTCGAGCCATTTTTCCTGGCGCATATAGCTGCAGCCCAGCATGAACCAGCTGCGAGTATACAGTGCATTGATACGCACCGCGCGGCGGAGCCACATAGACGCCTGATCAAAGGCACTAAGGGCAAAGTGGTAGCCGCCCAACGAACGTGCTGCCCGCGCGGACGTCGAGCCTGATACATCCCATGCCTGGAGATAGTGTGATTCCGCTTCGGCAGGCTGCAAGTCGCCTAAAAGGCACCACAACTTGGCTGCACGAGCGCGGACAAACCGCGTGCGCGGAACACGGCTCGCTGCTGTGGCAATACGTTTCTCCTGCAGCTGGACATCCGCCTCAGTCTTACGACCTTCCAGAAGGTCCCGCACCACCTCAATACCTTCTTCCTGCCGGCCCAGTAGGCCCAGACACTGCACCACATCTTCCCACAGTTCAATCTGCTCAAAGATTTCCAGGGCACTACGCAGCACACCGAGGGATACAAAGCGACGTGCGAGCTCTGCCTGCATCGCCCACTTCGCCGGAAGTTCCAAGGCGTGGAAGAACCGCAACCGCTCACGCAGACTCGAGTCGTTGGTCGGCATCTGATCAATCAGCGCTTGCAATTGCAGCGTACTGCGCTCCACTGTACGTGTTCGTGCAGCTTCCAACCGAGATCGAAGCAGCAAGCTCATGGTATGTACACTCCAATTCTGTGGGTGCGAAATCACTCGCTCGACAAATGCTGACATCTGCTCAGACGTGAGGCCATGTGATGCCTGTGTATTGTGGATGTTCAGGCACAGAGCAAGTAATGTGCACTGATCCGTCACGGCCAGCGGCGGCTGGGCGCCAGGCTGCAAGTGCGAGAGAGAGCCTGCGCCATCGCCCGGTGCTGTGGAGGTGAATTGCGTCTGCTCCAGGAGCGTATCGTCGTTGAGCGAGTACGTGGCTGGCTGGTGGTCCACTTGCTTCTCTGGATCGACACTGGCCTGCCACCCAGAGTTCACCGGGTTCGGCTCCGTGTCTTTCTTGGTCGCAGGCGTCGTTTCGTCAGCACGATCCGCACCGGCTTCGCGTGATTCTGCCAGAAGGACCAGCTGCGTCTTGGCCTCTTTCTGCCACTTTGTCCGCTTCCCCAGCGCTCCACTCAGCTCGTACACCAGTCCATTCGCTTTGGCCGCATCAATGAGCCGTTCTGACGACGTGCGATCGTGACCTGCACGTTGATACGCTAGCGCCGTCTCTAGAATCACACGCGAACGTAGTGCATCCCATGCATACTTCTCGCCCTGCGACGATGCTTTCGCTGCATGTGCCTCCATCTTTTCGGCCATCGCATCCACGGCATGCATCAGCGACGCCTCGCATTCGACCGCCTCGTCTAGGATACGAAGATGCACAGATCGTGCACGGAGGCGCCACCATGGTAGCGAAGGTAGCGTCGATGCAGCATCGGCTTTATGCAATGCATCGAGCGCCAGGAGCGAGAACACAAGGTAAAACGAACCTTCACACAAATGGTACGCTGGCTCGCCATGGTACGTCAGGTACTCCAGACTTGAGGCGTGCAGGACACGCGCAGGCATCGCATCCTTTTCCTCTTCGTCAACTGAGCGAGGACCAAATGCTTGTGGGACGCATGCACGTAGCCAGTCTATAGGCTGCATCGCCAATGCTGGCCCTGTCCAGTTGAGCTGTACAAAGGCATGCAACGACGCGACAGCGATCCCCAGCACCTCCTGCTTAGAGCCAGGCAAAGGCACTGAAACTTTGTTAAAAGGTACCACGACATCCTTCGAGGACGACGCCCCCTGCAATGTCGTCTGCAAGGCCTGCGCAATCGGCGCAAGCATCGCGCGCGCCGTGGGCGATCGCAAGACCTGCGTCAATTCGCCTTGCACGACATCGGCTAGGACTGGTGCATCCTCGCGCGATGTCAGTGGCACACCGCGGGCCAACTGCCACTCTGGATGCCATGGCTGCGTCCATGCCGAGGCTGCGGACATCGAAGCCATGTCGTAGGTCGTCACTAAGCTTCGTCGTGACGCATGGCCTGTGATTTTTTTTGGTGGACACGCGGCCCTTTCGTAAGCATTAGCGAGGTCTACGACTTTATGAAAGGGGGGTGGAGGTCATGGTAGGTACGGTCCCACCCACACTGGGCGGTTGGACCAGGACGATGGGTCTGGTTGTTGCGGTGGAACGCAAGTAGCTGGGTAGCGTCTTGGTGGGTGTTGTAACGATGTAGGGTAAATGGACAGAAGTACGTGGATCTTCCATATCCAGTGGCACATCATCGGCCATGGGCCTGTCAGGCAACGGGACGCAAGGCGGTATGGTTTGTGGGGGTAAGGGGGGCTGGTAGCGACGCCATGGGACTTCAGGGCGAACGGATTTAGAAGAGTTCGTGGATGGTAACGTTTGTACCGACTTACCAGGCCGTGGGGGCACCGGCGGGGATCGGCCTGGGGTGAGTCGGTGCACCATGCATGGCGAAGATTCAGAGATGGGCGTTAGGGGGGATGGCACGCCCCGCTCAGAAATTGGTGATGTGGGGGACGAGATGTTTCTGAACCGTAGCGGCGTGGGTGGTGAGCATGGGTTTTGCCTTACGCTTGGTTTGACTACTGCAGAGGAGGCGGGCCGACGCGCAGTGCCGCCCAGAAGCCGATTTACTTCGTCGACCCATTCGTCCATGGCACGCAGGGCTTCGGCGCTATCATCCTCATCGTCGCTCCACGCACTTACTGGATCGATAGGTAGGCTCATGGGTTTGCATGGAAGCTATCGAGGGGCCACCCTCCCTATATGGCATGCCCAGCGTTCCTTTGTTCTGACCTGCTCCACCTAGCAGACAATGCCTCATTGTAGCTACATAGTGAAACGACGTACTCTGCTACTAGTCAGAGATCGCAGCATTGTCCCAGTCTGCATGCATAGCCGTTCTTTTTTTTCTCTCGCCACGCCCAGCCTTGGCGGCTTGTCTCTTTCCCCCCAGCCTATGCTTAGAGAGCCCCCTCCCCTATGGTAAGAGGCGTTGCATATCACGTGATGGTCACTTCGTCGCTGGGCGTCCAGCCCCGCTCGCTCGCTCGTCGTTTCGTCACGTCACGTCACGTCACGCGGAACTGCAAGCATGGCAGGGACCGAGAGTGATGGCGCTACTGCCAAGAGCAGATCCACGACCTCGAGTATGGAGTCTGCGTCTGTGATGGAGTACCTTCGTTCGCATGGGTTTGCGAAAGCCTTAAGTGCTATGCAGGCCGAAATGGACGCCGTGAAAGCAGGCGCCTCGGCGACGCAGGCTTCGGCGGCTCGCGATGCGCAGCTTGGCCCCAATCAAGTGAGTATGGCGGAGCTGGCGAGCAAAAATGTGCCGCGTGATCCACGCGACAAGGAGGCGGGCCCTGACGCGAGTGCTAGCTCGGGGCTGGAGCAGGCCGGCGCGCAGGCGCTCCTTCTCGATCCCACCGATACGGCGCGTGGGTTTGCCATGATCAAGACGTGGTGTACAGGCAGTTTGGATATTTACCAACCGGAGCTTCTCCCGTTACTGCTTCCGCTGTTTGTGCACAGCTACCTCAACATGGTCGACATGGGCCTAGGCATGGCGGCGACGGAGTTTTTCTCTGCCCATGCCTCGTTTTTCCAGCCCATTCACGCATCGCTGCTCTCGCATCTTCGTGCGTTGTGTCTTCCATCGCACATCGCGTCCGATGAACTTGCACAGCGGTTCCGCACAGAGCGATATGTGCTCAAGATGTCGCCCAACGTGTTTGGCTTGCTTATTGGCTGGCTCACAGATGGCACGAGCCCCGTAGGCTTCTCGAGCTTGGAAGACATTTCTGTGGTGGACAACATATTGGAGCCGTCACGTCGTGGTCGTGAAGCGATGCTGAAGATCATCAACGAGCGCTGCCGAATCCAAGTCCTTCGCTCCGCATTATTCCAGCTTGATCCACTGCAGCTCGAAGAAGGTACAGGGCTTACTGGTGCCGGCCCATCGTACTCCTCAACGACCGCTGCTGCCGCTTCGCGGTACCATCCACAGCTCCAAGCGGGCGTGGTGTCAGAGACAGATGCGATTGCGGACTTTAATGCACGTGCGGCAGGCCCTCAGCTGAAGCTGCATCCGCGAATTCCGCTCGCCGACGACTTGAAAGACGAAGTCGAGCATGTCCTGCGTGAAGAACAGCATCAGCTGCAAGCGAAGGAAGGCGCAGAGAACAAGGACGAGTCAACGGCCAAGGAGCCGGAGGCTAAGGATACCAATGCCTCGCCGGCGCCTTCATCGCGCGGAATGTCGGCGACACCGATGCGTGAAGATGCCGAGGAAATGCAGCAGGATACGTCGGGCCTACTGAGCGCTACGCTGGCCGATTTACCGCCGCAGCCGTCCATGTTCCGTACGGTCGACTTGCTGCGTGAAGTCGAGCGTGTTCGCGATGCCCGAAAATGCCTGCAGATTGATCCTTCGAAAGCACCTGAGCCTGCGACTGCGAACGACGCGAAACCGCCGCAGGCATGGGAAGGTGTGCCGCGTACAGTGGGTCTTCCGAGTGTCTGCATGTACACGTTCTACGATGCAGAAGATGGACTTACATGCAGTTCCTTCTCGACTGATTTGACATTGATGGCGGCAGGCTTTGAAGAAAGCTACGTGCAGGTATGGAGCTTGAAAGGCGAGCCCCTGCGTGAGCTGGAAAGCGACTTGAATCTGTCGGCCATTCGGGATCGCAAGACGCTCAACAAGCATCGTGTTCCAGGCGAAGCAACGTCGCGCAAACTCATTGGGCACAGCGCGCCTGTGTATGGTGTCTCGTTTGATCCTGTGGGAGGCAGTGGCTCACAACCGCGTCATCTGCTGAGCTGCAGTGCGGATGGCACTGCGCGATTGTGGAGTCTGGATACCTACTCGGCCCTGGTAGCCTACCGCGGCCACCAGTACCCTCTATGGGACATTGCGTGGGGTCCGCTAGGCACCTACTTTGCCACGGCCAGTGCCGATCGCACCGCGCGATTGTGGAGTGCCGAGCGAATTCATCCTCTGCGCATTTACGCGGGCCACTTGTCGGACGTGGACTGCTTGAGTTTCCATCCCAACTCGCTGTACCTCGCTACAGGCTCGTCGGATCGCTCATGCCGTTTGTGGGATGTGCAGCGTGGTGCCTGTGTGCGTCTGTTTGTGGGCCACCAATCGCCTGTGACGTGTGTGCGTATCAGCTCAGATGGCCGGTACTTGGCCTCGGCGAGTGCTGGAAGTCTGTCCAGTGCGCTGGGCCAAGCGCGCAGCGCGACGCCAGACGCCCACTCGATCAGCTTGTGGGACTTGGCGTCCGGTCGTCGGATCAAGAAAATGTGGGGCCACACCTCTACGATTCACGATATGGCCTTTAGTGCGGACGGCGCTGTGCTGGTCTCCGGCTCGGCTGACGATACCGTGCGCTGTTGGGACGTACGTACAGCGCAAGATACCAACGCGCCCGACGCCGAGGCAAGTGCCGATTGCGTAGGCACCTACTACACCAAAGACACACCCGTGTACGATGTTCACTTTTCGCCCCGCAACCTTTGCCTGGCGGCTGGTGTGTACACGGGCGCTTCGTCATAGTATTTCCATCATGTTATTTTTAGTCCTTGTGATTCTATCTTGGATGTCGTATGTGATAGATTCATGTGCCTAGCACGCTTACGATGCTGGCCCGCACTACATCGATCGCCTGGGCCATCTCGGCAGGACTCAGAGCGCTGGTCACAGCGATGCGCAGACTGGGGTTGGCCCATGTGCCTTCATCCAACTCCGGGCGAATGCTGCGCAGCCGCGGGCCCAGCGAAACCATCACATCCTGGTTCAGCGCCTGGCGCATGATTTGGCGAAGCAGGCGCCGTTGGCCTGCAGCCGACATGGGCTCACTTTGTGCCTTGGGGCGGATCTGTACATGAATCAACGGGCTGCCCGGCGTACTGGGAATAGTGATGCTTGAGATCTGGGAGAGTACGTGGTACGCTTTCTCGGTATTGTCACGTAGTTGTGCTAGGATGTCCGGGTGCGTCATCAGCTTTTGGATCGCGACCGTGGAGCCATTCGCCATCATGACTGGCATTGCCGCCGAAAAGACAAACGACAAACCGTTGATGCGCTGGTGCTTTACAATCTCTTTGGTCGAGGCACAGAAACCACCAGCTGTCGCAAACGACGCAGCGAGGTTGCCCACCACAATGTCCACATCGTCTGGGTTGACATGCTGCAGTTCAGGCAGGCCACGGCCCGTCGGACCCACTGTGCCTACACTGTACGACTCGTCCAGAATCATACGGAACTTGTACTTCTTTTTCAGCTCGACAATACGCGGGAGATTCGCCATGGAGCCGTCCGATTCAAACAGCGCCTCGGTCACGATGAACCGGCGTGTCAACGGCTTGCGCGAACGAGCCTGCTCGCGATTCAAATGCGCTAGTACCGCCTCCAGCGACGACATATCATGATGGTCATACCAATACAGACGACTACGCGACAGCTGCAGTCCCTTCTGGATGGAAAAGTTCACACCAGAATCCACCACAATCACATCCCCACGCTTACAGAACGCGGGAATCACACTGCTAATAGTCGAGAAGCCCTGGCTGTACACAATACACGCCTCCTTGCGTAGGAAAGACGCAATCGTCTCCTCTAGCTTGATGTGCATATCACTTGTGCCGTAAAAGCCAGGGGGGGAACAGCTGCCCACACCGTACTCACGCAGAATCTGCTTGGCTTGCACCGTGAGTTCAGACGCTTCAAGCATGCCAGTGAAGTTAAACGACGCCAAGTTCTTTACACGGCGTGGAACTGTGCCGGACATCCACGGCGCTTTCACCATCGGGTGCGAAGAGGCATGTCCCACAATCTGCGGCGCGCCATCCAAGTCGTCTTGTTCCTCTGGCGACAGTGGTGTGCACAATGGCTCAGGCTCAAACTCTTTCACCAGGTAGTCAATATCTGAGTTCGAAAGGTTAACAAAGTTCCTGCTCGACCTGGTCCGGTTCTGCAAAATGGTGCGTACAGCGAAAATAAACAGAATCAACTCGAGAAGGGATCGGACAGGGTCATTTTGGTAGCTACTCGCAATGTAGCGCACAACAATCTCCTTCCCTGGAATAAGCTGAAAAGATCGATTCACCAGATCAGCCAGGCCTGATACCGGATCCTGAATCAAAGGCTCATTGGTCGCCATCGTTCCAGGCACACTACGAAGCCCCTGCGCCGTAGGAAGGAGATGAGACTGCTTGGCAGGCGCCGTACCGTCCGGCCAGAGATTAACTCCACAATACGAGGAATTATTGCTTGCCCTACTCACACCTCCGCGGCGCTCTCTGCGTCCGAGCGAGCAAGGTTACAAAGCCCAAAGCTACACAATTTATTTTCATCCTACTCTGTAGACTCTTTTACATCATCCGTCTCATCCAGCCAGCTTTGCTCTACCGTGAGCTTCACGCGGCGGACGTATTCTTTCATATTTTCGCGATAGAGTGAGGCCGCCTCCGCATTGGCCGGACTTAAAGTTAGCATCGCTGTGTCACCGGGGCATGCATACCTGTTAGGGTTGGGATCATGAAGAAGACTCTGAATACTCGTAAGAATGGCAGCCACATCATATGTAGGGCTCCAACGATTTTGCAGGATATCAAGGCACAACTCTCCATTCGCATACACATTGGGATGGAACATTTTGCTTAGAAACTTTACCGTAGGAGGTTTATTGGGGTATGATTCATCGAATGTAAGTAGCAATTTAAAGGTGCCATCCTCAAAAGGCGTATCAGCTATCACCATGTTAATATCTTTCTCATTCGCATATATACATACCTGGTCCGAAAATCACAGCGTTCCAGACTAAAAGGTTATCAGCACATGGTGCTCCTGAGATACCACCGGGCGGGTCCGACGAAAGGCGCTTAAAGTCGCGAATAAGCCTGCGCTTGGACGGGGTCGACTTGGTGCGTGTAAGAAGGGACTGGTAATAGGCATACATACCATTTAGCACGAGTATAAGTACGTCAAATATACGATCCACACCCGTATCGTAGTCTAATGAGAAGATCAGCTCGCTCAACCAAGGAATGAACGTGCTTTCCTTATTGAAGGTGGCAAACAAGACCTCTATAATATCTCGCTCGTGCATAGCAGGTCGCGTCCAACTGCGCTTAGTCAGCAAGGTTACGAAACATGCTACGACTTCGCGCTCGCTCTCTCGTATACTAAGGACCGCGTAGACACTTTCTAGGCACAAATCCTCCTTTTCTTTCTCTTATCGTACATCTATCTTCAGATCTCGAAATGTGTCAAAAGTCCTTTTGCAATTCGATAGTAAGCATCTATAGGTATGCACACTAGCATATCTATAGGACAAAACGCGCCGAGTTCTTCATAGTTCACACTAATATGGTTGAAAGACTAACTTCAAATTTACAAGGCAAAGATACCAGAATTATCAACTCCGTGAAGATGTTAATAATCACTGTTTCATCATACCAGCTGGCTGTGGTTGATAACCACCACCACGCGGCATTTGCCATTGACAAATACCACAGAGCCAAATGTGTTTAGAGGAGAACGGAATCTGATATCTGTTAGTACTCCGTTCTTCACTTGTAAGGATACATACCAATGGAATCCAGCAAAGCTCGAACCAAGTACGGCTCTTTGCCTCCACAACCTGGGCATTGTGGCAACGAGGGCAGACGTATGGGGTGCCATCACCCTCCTGCTTGATCTTGTTCGGGCAACCGAAAATGATAGGGATACAGAAGAAAAAGTCCTGTACCTGTTAGTACACCTGGTCGTGCGTCGCGCGACATGGAAAGAAAATATCGTGAATTAATGTTCCCACAAACATCTCCTTGTCCAATATTTCGTATACATACCATCTTTAATGTTGTCAGACAGTTGGACGTGTAAGATCAATTGAATGCAACTTGCCGCACTGTCGAAAGAAGTGGCAAGTTCGTACGACACTATTACCATTTTCCCCGGGCATGGCGTGAGGGTATTCCCGCTGCGTATGCTGACTAATCACGACGCCTGGGCTAGGGATCCAATTGTCTCGCCAAGAACACAGCCAATGCTTTCAATTTATACCCCATCCAAAGTTCTTCCACATGCACAGAAAAGCGGAGCTCCTTGTTTGACATAGCCAGCCTGGCAATGTCATCCAAGTCCGTATTTCTAGGTAGGTATAGTACTACCTTGTCCGTCATACTAGAGGCCAATCCGAACAAAGTCTGTCCATCCACTGGCTGTAAGGCGCTTAGGGGGTATAGGTCTGAGTATGGCTTGGTCAGGTTTATGGACCCAAGTTTTGTTGGATCCACATAGTCTACACCGCCCCATGGTGGTGACTATTTTGTCAGTCAGATATTTCCATACCATGAATATTCTTCAAAGTAAGAATCATTTTCGTAGACATACATGTCAATTGGTTTCAAATGGCAGCCTTCCCATTTCCTCGCAGGTGACGTGCTTGCACCGGTGCGTGCCTGGATATAATCTGTTGCAAACTCCACGTAGTCACCACATAAAAAAGTGATTCTGTCTTCCACACCATAGATTCGAGCTACTGTATGAGTAAAAGAAGGGCACGTACCGTTGTGCTTTGCCATCGAAATTTTTACAGGGTCAATATCAATTGCAATAACTTAAATGAGAACCAAGCGCAACGTACCATTATCACAGGTAAATGCAAACTGGATAGCGTTTCCCCCAGCACCACAAAAGGCATCTAAAATGGTGTCTGTTGCACACTCGACAGCTAGGCGATAAGCCACTGCCTCTGGGGTGACAGAAAACCAAGACTCTTTGTCCATCAAAATACCTTCATGAAACCTAGAAAACAAAGACGTGCGGTATTTCCAGTACTTTACCATATTTCCCGGCAGCTGATGCCTAAAACAAATAGCATGTTCGTATGGATCAACGTAGGCATCGTTCTCCATTACGCACGCGATGGTCTGGTATCAAGTGGATGGCACGAATGGCTCGAGCCACGTTCACGCCTAGATAAAATTTCTCATTTGCTTACGTACAATAGAGGTGCTATTTCTGCTTATAGAGTGCCTGTGCGACAGCACTATGGTAACTGGTCGCTGCTGCCACTAACGCACTTGAAACCTTTTATTAGTAGCAATACCGACATACCTCCTTGATAGAAGATACTTGCTGCACGGGTCCTTGTAGTGTATAACATGTTGTTCTACCCAACGCGGGCATCGTACAGATCATCAAATGTGTGCTGGAGTGAATAGCTTCCGATTGTGACGGATCAACTAGCCATTGTTGATGAGTAGCACCATTCACCGGGAGTGAATACATCAGTGACTAGGCGTAAGTAAAGTATAGATACACACTGCTGTAGAGCCAGTCACAAAACCCAGCATTTCAACACCCGCTTGGGCTAAAGCTGCGCTTGCAGCCGTCACCCCGAGCGAAGAGTAGCCAAGTTCAGACGTGTCGGAATCCAAAACTGTAACATATACATCAATAGAAGATTTTGGAAGTAGTTCTAGCCGAACAGCTGGTAGTAGAGCCTGTTGAATTAGAGAAGCAGGTCCAGATTTCTCCGTATCTTTTCCTGGTTTCTGTCGTTGTCTCAAGCTGAATGGTGCCATCTGAAATTGCACGTTCAGTTCAGCTTTACCAGAATATTGACGACCACGGACTTGACGAGGGCCATGTCTGTTGCGTTAGGCAAAGTATACGTACACAGCGCACACGATTTTCGTGTTACCGCACTCGATCAATGCACTTCCACTGGCGTTGGGAATAATGTCCACTTGCAAATCTAATTGTTAACCATTAACATCACATACAAATGGGTCTGTAGTCAAGCGCAGATCTTCCATTGACACGGTTGAGAATATCTGTACGTGCCATGCGTCGAATATTCAGTTTGTCCTCACCAAGAGAAACCGACGATACAGTCAAGTTTGTCGGGTTAATAGACGTAGGGTCTTCTAATAGTTTGTTTTCATCCGTAGACCATAATGTCTTAGAATGACCTGATCCATGGACAGCCAGTTTGTATACAGGTTGCCCAACTTCTTCGGGACCATTAGCTCTCCGCCTGTCATACACATTCGACATTTTTTGGCGGACGGAGGAAGTGTGCAAAAAGTAGGAGTCTGTTTCTCCACAAAAAAGTCTTTGCCACGTCTACAGAATATGAATGTCTGTCGTTTACAGGAAACAGGCCACAATGGCAGCGAAAATCAGTGTGTAAGTAAGAGCCAATGCATGACGTGGAATGGAACCATCATTTGCTTGCTTCGTGCTTGCACCAACACCGGCGACGCCATTCGGCGTATACACATAAAGCCCGTCTACCACCCAGTAAGCATCTTTGAATGAATCACCCAAGAAACCAACTTGGTAGCTGCACGATTTGAATTGCGACGGGCAAGTCGTTTCAGTATAAGCATTTCCAGCCCAAGAGCCACAAAGAGTAATGTCAAAGATGATGTTATGGTTGTTGAATTGATCAGAGCATTGTGTCAGTCCAAAGTCAGCGTTGGGGACGCCCCATTGATCAGGATTCACATCCTTTCCCGGAGATTTAACATCGCTTGGCTCTTCACCCTTAGCCCAAAGCCACATTCGAATACCCTTGCCGCCATCGGAGAAGTCACGCTCCATGGCGACGGTGACACCGCCCTTTTGATTAAGGTCGGCGTATGACCAAGAGGGGTTGGTACCATTCATAGCAACGCGGCAACCAGATTGTTGGTTTGCAAGAGCATTGCATTGTGTGAATACTGTAGTACCAGTTTGCTGAGGATTTTGAATAGAACATGATGTGTTCAGATGAACAGAGCCAAGGTTGTATGGGAACTGATCATTCACATTCTCCAGAATATCAATTTCACCACCCTTAGGCCAAAGCGGCTGGTTGTTCGTCACAGTCCAAAAAGCCGGCCAAACAGCACAGCCAGTAGGCACATGGGAGGCCTGCATAATAATCACAGAATCATTGTACGAAGTTTTTGACTCAATACGAATACTTGGGCGGCCTTCATGCTGCTCCTTCGTCGTATCCACACGCATTGTGAATTTGTTTCCATCCACGGAAGTCAAATTCAAGTTCTTTGCAGAGTCAATTCCCTGATACACCACCAGGCCTTGCGTCATGTTGGCATCGGTGCCGGAGATAAAATTGAACTTTTCATAATAATCCTGCCCTTGAATTTTGTCAGAGATCTGCCAATTCACTGCCTGCACTGAGGACAGTGCAGTCAGAACACTCAAACTCAATGGAAGCCACTTCATTTTGCTTGAAAGGTGGGAGTAGAAGCCACTTTAGCAATGGGGCACGGACTTCGCCAAGGAACACGTGATTCATTACGCGAAAAGGCTGTGCACGCGTCTTCGCTCCACTTCGACTCGTGTGTATCATTATGCGCCGTAGTGCGGTGGTAGCTGCGCTCACAGAGCTGCAAGACTCAAACCAGCCAAAAAATGCTGAACATACGCGTCAGCTAGCAACAGGAGGTGGATTTGGTCCACTAACTGAGCAGAAGCCCTTTAAAACGCCTTGGAAAAAGCAATGTGGCGCAAGCGCGTCGCTCCGGAAACGGCCACGCGTAAACTACGCCGAACTAGGTGGCGAGTCTCATGGTCATGAAGAAGATTATCGCGAAGTTCTTGAACCTCGTAAGAAGTCAAGTCTAGAGGGTGTATATAAAGGCATTGATGCGACTGGCGTCTCCCTCAATGCGGATCGACGTAAGTGGCTCGTCTACTCTGCCAAACCGGACGCGATCCGGCGAAGATTTTCTATTCCAAGCATGCGAAATGAACGCGGCGAAATTGTCGAGTCTAGGCTATCAAATACTGCTTTGGGTGTACGGAGACCGATTGAAGTACCACCCCGTCCTCTGCATGATCCTATGGGCGAGCATGCCATTGTACTATATGACCCTACCGTTGACGACAAAGAAGCAGAGCTTGAGAGGGAAAAGGCACGAGTAGCATTCGAAGAGCAGCAGCAAAAGCTCGAGCTGCAGAGAGGACCTCACAAAAGTCTCGCGTCGATTCTCGGTATCAATAAGCCCCGTACTGACGTGGAAGAGAAGGTGCCTGTTGTCATTGATCCTCGCCTTAGCAAAATCCTACGGCCACATCAGATTGAGGGCGTAAAGTTTTTATACCGCTGTACCACAGGCATGGTTGCTGAAAATGCGCATGGATGCATTATGGCTGACGAAATGGGGCTGGGAAAGACCCTTCAATGCATTACTTTGCTGTGGACACTACTAAAGCAATCACCACACGCGGGAAAAAGCACCATTCAAAAAGCTGTGGTGGTTTGTCCCTCTAGTCTTGTGCGAAACTGGGCCAATGAGCTTGTTAAATGGCTTGGTCCTTCTGCCCCTGGATCTCTTGCTCTAGATGGCAAGCTCAGCAGGGAACAAATGTTCGAATCGGTTCAGCGATGGGCTGATGCGACAGGGCGTGCGATTGTACAGCCTGTAATGATTGTATCCTACGAAACCCTCCGCAATCTACAGGAGCTTCTTGGTAACACTGAGATCGGTCTTCTTCTCTGTGATGAAGGTCACCGCTTGAAGAACGCAGATTCACTTACATTTCAGGCTCTGGATATGCTCAAAGTCAAGCGACGTGTCATCTTGTCGGGTACACCGATCCAAAATGATTTGTCCGAATACTTTTCCCTCATTAACTTCGCTATTCCTGACGTGCTGGGCAATCGCAACGAGTTCCGCAAACGCTTTGAACTGGATATTCTGCGTGGTCGTGACGCAGAATCTACCGATGCGGTGCAGCAAAAGGGTCGCGAGAAACTACAGGAGCTGTCAGGGCTAGTAAGCCAATTTATTATTCGTCGTACGAATGATATTCTATCCAAGTACCTTCCTGTCAAGTATGAGCATGTCGTTTTCTGCAACTTGTCCCCCTTCCAACTGGAATTGTACAATCTATTTATTCGGTCGCCAGCCATCAAGAAGCTTCTTCGCGGTGCAGGATCACAACCTCTTAAGGCCATTGGCATTCTGAAGAAATTGTGCAACCATCCAGATCTTTTGAATTTACCTGACGATTTGGAGGGAAGTGAAGAGCTATTTCCCGAAGGCTACAAGCCAGGGGACCGAAGAAATGTACCTGTAGCTCTCTCAGGGAAAATGGCTGTACTGGAACGCTTCTTACGATCCATTCGCACTACCACCGACGACAAAATTGTTTTGATCAGCAATTACACGCAAACGTTGGACTTGTTTGAGCGTTTATGCCGAAGCCAGCGTTGGGGCTTTTTCCGTCTTGACGGGACTATGAATATCAACAAGCGTCAAAAACTGGTGGATCGATTCAACGACCCAGAAGCTCCTGAGTTTGTGTTCTTACTTAGCTCAAAGGCTGGTGGCTGCGGTCTGAACTTGATCGGTGCCAACCGTCTTGTGCTCTTTGATCCAGGTACGTTAATATGTTACTTACCCCAGACTGGAATCCAGCGTCCGATCAACAAGCATTGGCTCGTGTTTGGCGTGACGGCCAGAAAAAGTCTTGTATGTATACGCTTATCTCATCCCAGGCTTTGTATACCGTTTTATTGCTACCGGCTCTATTGAAGAAAAAATTCTGCAACGACAGTCGCACAAGCAATCTCTATCTACATGTGTGGTCGATGAGGATGTCGATGCCGAACGCCACTTTTCCGGCGAAGATTTGCGTGCTCTATTCGCGTTTAAATCCAATACCTTGTCTGACACTCACGATACTTACAAGTGTAAGCGTTGCCAAAATGGACGGCAAATTGCCCCGTCGAAGGCCATGCTGTACGGAGATACTAGTACATGGAACCATGTGGCTAGGGAAGATCTTGGGAACCTACATGATGATCTTCTTCGCGCGGAGATTGTGCACGACGATGTCTCTTACGTGTTCCAATACTGTAGCCATTAGTGATAATATTTTATTGACCCGATTGCCCGATGGATGCACATGCGCCACTTCTGGCAGACGTGCAGGTATACCACCGCCGTGCATGTATAGCCCCATGTTGCCGCTATGAGTACCTCTGAGCTTCCTATTGAGACCTTTTTGAAGTCGCAGCCAAGATCTATTCTTATTAGGCTGTTTGAGAAGCCGGCTAGTTGTTTGGCTGTCTTTCGGTATGTCATCTTGACCTATACTGACTGAAGCCTGCTGCCTATGGTTGCTAGACAGATCATTATGGATATGGTCTTCCTGGACAAGCCTTTATCGATGGACGACTGCCACAAATTATTTAAAAAGCAAAGTGAGCAGTACGTCTGATCCTGAGTGACTTACGTATAGCGCCCTGGACATGCCTTTAGAGCGCATGCAGCGACTGTCCATCATTATGATTAAAGATGAAAAGTATTTGTATATCAACGAAGTGTTCCGGCGTGGCATTACAGGTGCACTTACAGGGAGTGGCGACGTCGAATCCTTTGGAAAGCCATGTAGCGACATGCAGCAACAGGCCGTGTCGGTCGACTTTCTGGATGAATATGCGAAGTCACAATGGGAAACGATTCTCTATTTCATGGTAGGCAGTGACCAAGCTACTGCGCCGCGAAAAACTGTTCTCTTTTTATTGCAAAGAGCAGGTCTCATGCAGAAGGACGGCACAAAAGATGACAGCCTGAACATCACGTCCCTCGGCTTTCAATTCTTACTGCAAGATGTGAATTCTCAGCTCTGGGCGCTGCTTCTCCACTATCTTAGTATGGCCGAGGAGCGAAATATGGACCTAGTAGAGGTCTTAGCCTTTTTCTTTACCGTGGGTGGTCTTGAGCTAGGGCGGGCTTATGAAACAAGAGGGCTGTCCCTTACACAGATGCAAACACTTGAAGAACTGAGCGATTATGGTCTCGTGTATCGCCCTTCCAAATCTGCCAAGTACTTTTTTCCTACCAGGCTTGCCTCTACATTGACATCTACGGCCTCTCCACTGCTATCCCGTCAAAATGACCAAGAAGAGCAAGGGTACCTTATTGTGGAGACAAACTACCGCGTCTATGCGTATACTTGTACGTGGGTTTTCTCTACTGACACAAGCCAATTTATTACGCATTGCGATTTTAAACTTATTCGTTACATTAAAAAGCCGGCTTCCCAATCTAGTCATTGGGCAGCTTACGCGGTATAGTGTCAAATCAGCCTTGAACAAAGGCATCACGGCAGATCAGATCATCGCTTATTTGACACACCACGCACATCCCCAAATGTATAAAAACGTACGTCCTCCATTACTGACATCAGGATCCGCTTTTGCCTATCACGGTGTCCGACCAAATTCGACTCTGGGAGCGTGAGAAGAATCGTGTATCTACGGTGCAAGGTACGTGTTTTCTTTCTGACAGCAGGTAATTTGTACACGGAGTTTACTTCGCTTCATGACTATGTGCAAGTGCGAGACTATGCGAAAACGCTGGGAGTGTTGCAATGGGAAAGTGAAGAGAAACGAATGCTATTTGTAACCTCTGAAGGGCATGAGCGTGTGCGTGAATTTATACAACGACGACGTGTGTAGCTGTATTTTAGCTAGAATCCGCCTCGACCAGGGCAACAATGACTCCTCTCGCCCGTGTTGGCCGACCTGCTTGCCTTAAACCCTCCACATGATCGACCGGTTGGGCCCCGGTAGAACGTATTCAGGTCCTGTTGTGATTGGTTGCATGAGTTTATAGCCGGTGACCCACCTAGACGAGAGATGGAAGCTGTGCGTGCGCAATGAAGCACCGTTAGACTTCTACCATGTCCATGCGTATGCTTGCTCGTCAAACTACTGCCCTGCGCTCGGCTGCGCGCGGCGCTATGTCGGCCCGCCTTGTGGCTGGCTCGCGCGTGCCGCAAGTCGTTCGCGCTCCGGCTGTTCGTGCCTTCTCCTCGTCGGTGATGCGTGCGGAGGAGTACGAGAACCCGTTCGGTCCCAACTCGCTGTACAAGTACACCGAGGAGGAGGAGATGCTCCGCGAAGCTGTTCGTCGCTTTGCTGAGACCGAGGTTCAGCCGCTTGTTGAGCAGATGGACGAGAACGAGAAGATGGACCCCAAGATTATCAAGGGTCTCTTTGAGCAGGGCCTCATGGCCATCGAGACCTCGCCGGAGCTGGGTGGTGCTGGCTCTGGCTTCCTGTCAGCTGTCATTGTGATTGAGGAGCTGGCCAAGGTTGACCCGTCCGTGTCGGTGTTGTGTGATGTGCACAACACGCTGGTCAACACGGTGCTGCGCAAGTACGCCAACGACCAGCTGCGCGAGAAGTACATGCCCTCGCTATCGGAGGGTATGCTTGGTTCGTTCTGCTTGTCGGAGCCTGGCTCGGGCTCTGATGCGTTTGCCATGAAGACCTCGGTGAAGAAGTCCGACGACGGCAAGCACTACATCATTAATGGTTCGAAGATGTGGATCACCAACAGTGCTGAGGCTGAGTTCTTCATCGTGTTCGCGCAGGGTGACGCCTCGAAGGGCTACAAGGGTATTTCGGCCTTTGCCGTGACCAAGGATATGGGTGTTGAGATTGCCAAGAAGGAGCGCAAGCTCGGTATCCGTGCGTCGAGCACTTGCACTGTGAACTTCGACGAGGTCAAGGTGCCTGTGGAGAACCTCATCGGTGAGGAGGGCAAGGGTTACAAGATTGCCATTGAGATTCTCAACGAGGGTCGTGTGGGTATTGGTGCCCAGATGGTGGGTCTTGCCCAGGGTGCCTTTGACAAGGCTGTGGCGTACGCCTTCGAGCGTGAGCAGTTTGGCCAGCCGATTGCCAAGTTCCAGGGTATGCAGTTCCAGATGTCGCAGATTGCCACGGAGATTGAGGCGGCTCGCCTCATGGTGTACAACGCTGCTCGTCTCAAGGAGGAGGGCCGTCCCTTTACCAAGCAGGCTGCTATGGCCAAGCTCTTTGCTAGCCAGGTTGCTGAGCGTGCTGCTGGCAAGGCCATTGAGTGGTGCGGTGGTCAGGGCTTCACCCGTGAGCAGGGTATTGAGAAGTTCTGGCGTGACAGCAAGATCGGTGCCATCTACGAGGGTACCAGCAACATTCAGCTGCACACCATTTTCAACCTCCTGGCTAAGGAAAAGGGCTTCTAAATGTATAGCGTCACCAAGTACTACGAGTAACGTAACATCCAATTGTAGCTATTCTATGCCTAACGTAGTACTACCTAGCTGTTGTGGGTTGATATGACAAGGACAGGGGGACAGAGCTTGAATCGTTTCGACGTGGCTGAACGACTAAGACCTTTGGGGCGGCGATGCCTAGCCTTAATCAGACCATGCCAGACGAACACGTATGCTAGCATGTCGTGCAAAATTGATCCAGCCTGGGAATTGGGTACGTACCCAAACACACAGCCGATCTCCTGGCTGTGCATCCTGCACAATCGGACTCGACGTGTCCAAGGTAATCGTATGTACTTTGAACGCATCTGACGCGTGTATGTTGCGGCACAGCTCTTGACGATGAATTTCAGTCCAAGCGGGTACGTCCTCTTCCGTGTCGGAGCCTGTTTCTGCGGAGGACTGTGCAGCTTGGGCAGGTCGTTCTAACGTAAGATCCCACCATGTATAGCTGCCCTGGTAGGTGCCCAGCCAACTTCGATTCGGCTCGCTACTCCATCCTTGATCATGACTGTCCATCTCCACTTCGACGCGAAGCAGGCACCCATGATGTAGCGAGGATGCCAAAGGTGGCGTGTATAGGTAGCGCGTATTGGCATTGTTTGTATACATTCCCAAGAAGGAGCGTGACACGCATAGGTCGTACCCCTCGTCGGCAAACGCATCAACGCGCCGCAACAGTTCTGGTGGGAGTCCCTTTCGCGATAGGATTCGCTGAATAGAGCGGTGGCGAGCCACTTGCGATTCCATGGACGATGCATCGCTCTCGGTATCCACGTCCCAATCTACGCGACCTTCAAACGAAGGCGGATTGTATACGGGCTCAGCCGCATCGTCGTAAATACGCACACGGCGGCGAGGCGGGATGGGTTGCTGCACCTCCTCAGCCTGCTCATTTGATGCGTCGCTGGATGTGGATGTGCCCTGCCACAACGACTGGACCCACTGTATCCACGAGACCATCGCGGGTGACCAGCGGAGAGAGGGTGGCGGCGTCGTGAGTGACGCACAAGCCATGCGACCTGACACCGATCCACCCAGGCGCAGCACGTGCACAACAGGAGGAAGACCATGGTATTATCGACCGACACTATGTCCACGAGTATGCGGTGAATGTATACAAAATAAAGAAACGCCATAATCAAAAAAGGGGGCAGGGATGGTGTCATGCGAGTTTACGTGGGGCGGGTGTGATCATCATCATGCTCCAGCACAGTGAAGAAGGCATCTGTCACGGTATGATCGCCTGCCTCGGACTGCATAAACGTCGAGGGCTCATCGTGGTCATACGGCATTCGCGCATCGAGCGACGTAAACATCGACCGATCGCCATCAGGTCTCATCGCTGTCTCGTAGCGAGACGAGTCAGCGTCGGTAGGCGAGTCTTGCATCACTGATTCTTCCATGTATGACTCGCGCTTGCGCTCAGAGAGACCACTCGCTCTACCGCCAGGAGGTTGACCAGCTAAAATCTGGCTAGAGCGGATATAGTGTGAATCACCCTCGCGCTTCGACTTCCGCCGCAGCGAATGTGGCTTGAGGATGCGTGTAAGGCGACGGAAGACACCCTTAGGCTTTTCTGTGGGCTTGTCAGAGGCAGAGAAAGAGTAGCCGCGATAGTAGGACTGTTCACCGGTATTCATATCGTAATATACGCTGCTCGAACGGCTCTGTGTGGGCATCAAAGGGTATGTGTCGGGTGCATTCGTACGCATGGTCAGATCGCCGTCTTCAGCTTCATACGCATGCGCAGCACGCAACCCTGGCATGCGTGGATCGGTGGTGTAGTCATGTGCTGGTTCACGTGTTTCGATGTATCGCATGATATCCACATCCATAGGGAAGGACAAAAGACGAATGTACTCGTACAGCAGCCGGGGCAGCAAGCACAGGAACACCGTGAAAATGCCTTCCAACCAGAACTGGGCCGAGCGGTACAGCAAATAGTTGTTTCCCCATGAGTACGTATAAATGACGTCCGGTGGGAAGGCAGCGTAAATCGGCTCAAACACGAAAATAATCAACGTAGGAATCCAAACCACACCAAAGATCCACCATGTCCAGGCATGGGATTCAATACCCGCATACAAGTTGGCTGCCAGCACAGTCGCGAGGATCAAACCGGTAGTAGGCTCATACAAGTTGATATCGTATCCATCCTGCCGCGGCGTCGTAGTGTTGTAAAAGTACATGATGAAGAAGAAGAGTACCACGGACTGGTACACACCATCCATCATGTACCAGCCAAAGCGCCACATACTAAAGTACCGACCCTCACGCGAGGAGGCATACAGTTCCGGCACTTGCATAAGCACATGGTCTGATACATTGCGATCAAAGATACCGATCCCAATCACAGCCGCCACAGTCCAAATAGCACTGTACAACAGCAAGTAAATGTAATCAATGGCCTGCGAGGTCGACCACGCACAGTAAATCTGGAACCAGAACAGCGTTCCTGTGTGCACCATCTGCTTGTAGAAGAAGACGTTGACCATCTTACTGTTGCGGTAGTACGACCAGTGGCCATGCACCAACAACAGCCGCTTGAGGAATCGGAATTGACCAATCGCGTAATCGGATGAGTTGACTGCCTGCAAACCTTCTTCGCCTGCCACACCCACTCCGACATGCGCCGCTTGAATCATCGAAACGTCATTGGCACCGTCACCAATGGCCAACGTCGTACCTTCCAAACCCTCACGAACTAAGTGCACAATGAGAGCTTTTTGCAGCGGACTCACACGACAGCATACCACGGCGCGGCAGTGCTTCGCGACTTTGATCAGCAGCTCGCGACTGTGCGGCTCCTCTAAGGCAAAGGCCAGCGCATGGCCATCAATGACCAGGGCGTAGCCACCAGGCCGCGAGCCATTCTCTTCTCCGACCAACGACGCATGACTAAACACACTGCGGCTGGCACTCTCTGCGCCATCCGCAGTCACAGGCGGCGGCGGATGCTTCAGCTCAGAGGCATCCACACCACCAAAGAAGCGATCCATTGCGGTCTCCAGCTGCGCGAATGCCGAGTTCCTCGAGCCATACTCGCCGCCACGTATAACAATCAAGTTCATGTCTGGAGCCAGGAGCTTGGTACTGTACCCGATAGCGATGGCCGTTTCCAGCTTGTCACCGGTGGCGATCCAGATGTTAATGCCAGCACGTTTCAGGTCCGCAATGGTATCTGGCACGCCATCCTGCAAACGATCTTCAATGGCCGTAGCGCCAATCAGGATCAATCCACGCTCAAGCTCATCTGCCAACTCTTCCATCAACGCCTCGCGGTTGTCTGTAGCCACACTGGCATGCTGATACCGACGAGCCCAGTCATGGTAGGCATCAGGATCCAGCTCTTTCTTCGTCATACAGAGAGTTCGGAGACCGTGGCTAGCAAACTCTTCGAGTGCCTTGTCCGTCGTAGACATCATGTCGTCCTGGTTCGAAGCCAGGCGCGAGTAAATCATCGCATCAGCGCCTTTGCTGTACATGATAATTTTGTTGGTCTGGAAACTTTTAAGGACCACACTCATACGCTTCCGAGCCGACGAGAACTCCAGCACTTGGAGCAGTTCGTACCGCTCACGCTCCTTGTCCTCCGGCAGCTGCAGCTCCACCGTGTTCAGATGACGACGGCAGTACACAAACCCATTATCGGCCGCCATCTGGACCAGTGCCTGCTCATCTGGCGACTCTGCACGATATAAAATTACATTCTTGTCGTCCGTAGGCGCCACATGCACTGTATGGCACAGCGATAAGCAATGGAAAAAGTCACGAACTGGGCTGTCCGACGATGTGGACGACGACTGCACTTCCGACGTCAGATCTTTGTCATAAAAGGGGGGAACGCCATCAATCGCATGACGCACTGTCATGCGCTTACGGCCTGTCGGCAACGTCGGTGCCTCTCCACCGCCATGGTACACAGTTCCATTGATTGTGCATCCACGGAAGATCATCAGATTCTGTGTAAGTGTACCAGTTTTGTCACTGATAATGTACTGGATTTGGCCCAGTTCGTCTGACAAGTTCCATGATTTCGCCGTGGTGCGCCGACTGGCTTTGTCATAGTACAGATCGTGATCTTCGAAAATGAAAAGCGCCTGAATCGTGCGCACCACCTCGAAGGAAATGTACAAGGAAATAGGCACAATGTTTTGGAACGTAATCAGTGAGTTTGCAAACGATACAAGACCGTTCAGACTAGGGTTGTCATCATTGAACACAGACAGATACTCCCAGTATGCATTGCGCTTGAAGTAGTACTTTTCCATCGCCGAGTCGGCCGCCGCACAAATCACGGCAATGGCGCCGATAATGCCGAGATTTACGTAGACCATTTTGTTCATGAGGAACTCCATACGACTGCGCTTGCTGGGCGTATCGCCAGAGTTGAGCACAATCTTCGAGTCCATACCCGTCATGAGAACCACACCAATGACCCAGTCGGTGTTACGCAAAGCACTTCCACGCAATAGGACCTGGTTCAGCGTAACGGAGCACGAAACATTCTCACCGCTATCGTCCTGTTCATCGTACAGATTCACACGTGCATTGAAGCGGTACATATCCGTATGCTGTGGCTCCACTTCCACATCAAACTGGCGGTCTGCGCAGGCCTCAGGCGTGCGCATATCCATAAGCTCTGGTACAGCAAACCGACTCTTGAGGTTGATTTCTCCATCGAGGTTCTTCGTTTCAACATAACAACTGCCATCGTCCTCACTTGTAGAACATAAAAGCATATCCGCAGGCACAGGGTCATTATTGCGCAGCATGACAATATCGCCAACATGCACATCTTCCCAATGGCGCCCTTTCCAACGAAGACGCGAAAAGTGATGCGAGCTGCGCTCGGACATCATACTATCGCGAGGCTGGTGCTCGTCTGTATATCCACTCAGCGTGCTCTGCTGCGTGGTTTCGCGATGCAACGAGTGCATATGGGGATGGTTTTGCATCACAGGTGACTGGAAGTGAACAGAATCATTTTCGTTAATCGGCGACATAGGAGGGGGCGACATGGCACGCGGTGGGGCCGAATGAGCCTGGCTTGAGATGTGGCCGCTTGCCGCATCCGTATGAGAAATCTTCTTTCGACGGTCCATCAGTCTGTAGATCGAAGGCGGGATCAAGTAGCCACGCAGCACCGTGAAAAGAACCTGCAAACTTCGGTTCTTGGGCTCCATGTGGTTCGGATTTTTAAAGCCATGTCCTGCCAGGATACGACATTTCTGACGATTCACGTTTCGGTCCGATTGGTGGCGCTTGATATCTTCGTATCCGTCCTTGACCATTGTAATAAACAACACAATCAAAAGAGGAAGCATAGCCACACCTGGACTAATGGTCGTGAATTGCGGAAAGAATTGGAGAATAACAAGCACCAAGAAGAAAATGTTGGCAACACGACGGAACTGCTCTAGCAAGTTTTTGAAAACGAAGTTGTACACCGTGTACTTGGCTGACACAATCTGGTTCGTCACAAACACATTCTCCTTTTTGACACGACCTTTCGAGTCGTACATATCTTTAGGAAGGTCTATATTCACCATCACACGGCGGTGCGAAGGTTTAGGCCGTTTTTTCCTAAACGCTGTCTCTGGGTTGAGATCAATCTCCCGAAGTTTGGCCCAGACCTTGCTGCCAAATTGCTTGGCGCTTTGGCCGGCGGAAGCTGCTTGACTGACAGCTGCCATGGTACCCTACACGTAGTTTTCTCGCACCTGCGCAGATAGAAAAAATTATCGTGCAAGAGTGTAGGACGTGCCACCGTGCCAAAGAGAGAGCAAGGAAGTTACACTGCGTGTTTTCCTGCGGAGTTATTTTGTAGTGTGCTTGCCAAGTTCACCTCCACTTTCGGGTGTCGGGCCAACCACAAAATAGCAATGCGGTACGTGCACAGCTATACTAGTAACACCGCGGAGCACATTTCAACTATCATGGCACGCTATAGTGCACCTCCTCCGAATGCACAGCGAGCATCTGCCACACCAAGGCAGGCACCGGCATTGGATCCAGCCTCGCAAATTATTATGTCACATGCCCAATTTCTCTTAGCACAAACTAAGCAAAATGTCCAGCATTTGGCCGCCACCAATACACTCGACCCCTTGGTGTGCCGTCAGCTACAAGCGATCCTTGAATCCGCTCGTATTCAGCCTCCGCCAGCACCGCCAGCACCTGCTCCTACAACAGTAGCGAAGAAAGATGCGAAAAAGGAACTGAAAGGGAAGAATAAATGGGCGCACGACGTCATCTCCGAGACGTCCCTGCTTCCAACATTGGTGGACACGGCATTGTCGGCTGCAGCAGGCCCTTTGATCTCTTCAGGTCAACGGGAGGCAATTGTAGAGCTTGTATCTATGTCGCAAAAGAAAATCGCTGAGACGATCACAGACCCTGAGCGGCAAGCAGCTGCCCAAGCCTGGACGCGTCGGTCGACCGAAACGGCCCAACAAAACCTACGTACAGGCTTCCAGAATACGGGCAAGAACTGGTCAAAGTGGTCACAGCGACTCGATGAAGAGGCGGGCATACGTCGAAATGATCGGAAAGAGAAGAAAGCGTTGGAAGAAGAGCTTTTGCGCGAACGCGAGCAATTTGTCGGACACTCCGGCGGAGGAGATGTCGTGCGACGTGGCGCAATGGACAGCACCTTGGCAGTAGAGGCGAACAATCCAGCATCCGCAAGTGTGGCTTGCTTCCCGTCCGACCAATTTGCCGATGAGGCTCACGAGGGGTCTACATCGAATGCTGGCGCCGTCACTACTACATTCTCGCCTTGGCCTGGTCTGATCTTAACAATGTCGACAGTGGCTACGAGTGTGTCTGTGGATAGCACTGTGATGGCGGACCAGGGTACGGACCACCGCAGCTTACCCCCTCCACCGCCATCGGCTCAGCCGGAACTACCGCCCAAACCATCGATTCACAGCCAGGTGCAACCTCCTCCCGCACGCAAAACGACGAACAACTCTTCGTTCTTCTCCCCTATGTCCTCGAGCCACCCAATTCCCTCGGCGGTAGAGTCATCGGTCACGGCGCCGCCTGTAACCGACGATATGCAAGCTGTCCCCCCGCCGACGTACTCCCCAGCGCCCTCTGTGCATTCTCACTCGTCGCATCATCCCTATGCACAGCCACCTTCTCATGCACACCCTCCTCCCCCAGGACACGCGAGCGCACACCATTCGTATGGCACACCGCCGCCTCCTGTGCACCACCATCATCATCATGACCACGGTGTTCCTGCAGCTTTGCGACCTGCGAACCCTTATACGTAACGATGCACACGAATCGGTAGTAGGGCTTTATGGTAGATCTACGTCTGCATACAATGATGTTTATATTTACGACAAGAGAGACATGACCTTGGACATATCGCTGAAGCTAGGTGCACTACCACCGTTCAGCATAGAATGCATCTTGTGCTTCATAACCATCTTCATTACAGTTTCACTAGCATGGTTCATCGCATTTTGGTCGCCACCGGACTGCTGGCCAGCGAACGCCATGGCCTTGCCCAGCAGGGCATTCACGCCACCCTGCTGCTGCTGCGCATTGTTGTTGCCGAAGAACTGCTTAAATGCGTGCACACTGCGGAGTTAGTTGTTCATGATACATACGCAGCAGCCTGGCCGACTTCCTGAGAGGAGCCGCCACCATTTTGGTTTACCTTGTGGAACGAGTTCATCAGGTCAGCCTCGTTGACGTTCCCGTCAATGTCGCCGTTTTGGTGCTTGTTTTGCAGGAAACTAGCAGCCTGGCTGAACATATTCGAGTTCTGGCCACCTTGCTGGTCGTTGGTCATAGCATGCTGGATCATGCTGCTGAAGTCCAGACCGTTGCCCTGCTGCGCCTGCGGAATGCCCTGAGGATGCTGCTGCTGACCGTGGCCCATAAACTGGTTCATCATGTTGCCCACGTCAAATCCAGAGCCCTGCTGGCCCTGCTGGCCTTGCTGGCCTTGCTGGCCTTCCAGGAATTGGCGTCCCATATTCACAAAGTTCTCCATGTTGGTCGTATATAGTTGGGAAGGCAATCTGACCTCTGTTGCGGCGTAATATAGTACCAGCTGTGGTGCACGGACTATTTGGTGGTGGCATCTACGCTTACGTACGTGCATCGCAATGTTGATTGGCCCAACGAGACCCAAGGAAGCAATTCGCCCGACAGGCGTACCCAGCACCGTCGCTTTTTCGCGTCACAGCCGCTGCCAGCCCCAGACGCGCGCACAGCCAAGCGAGTACGCTGTGATCGACATCGGCGCGTAGATTCCAAGGCGAGCTCCCGTGGGCGGCCGTGCAACCAGAAAAAACCGTGTGTTGGTGCTATGCCTGTACAGCCAGGACCGCGAATGGACCGTGCGGGTCCTTCGCGCGGTGCCTACGCGACGGATGAGAACCAGCGCCCCTCTCATACACCGTTCGATCCAGATCAGGAATGGAGCATGCATACGCCCTCGTCGTCATTCACCAAAAAATCGGCGACGGGCGCGGACTTGGCGCGTACATTGCTGCCCATGTCACCTTCGAAGTCTGGCGTTGAACGAGGCGGAAGTGCCAGTGCAGACTGGCTATGTCTCGATCTTTACCGAGTACTGACCCCTGTCACGAAGTTTCTGCGCATACCCAGCCGCGTTCTCCGCAGCTTTCACCGCCTTATTCTGGTAATGACCCATTCACCTTTTCTTAGCTCGGTGATTGCCGCGTGCGTTGGCATGTTAGTGGCCTTGCTATGTACGAGCCTTGTTGCGCATGTACGTCATGTGCAAGACCCTGATAAATCCCTTCTCCCATGGCGCGAGTACTGTGCCGTGCGTCCGCCGTTTGTGAACGCGGATGTGGCCTCCATCCACCCCGTAAGTTTGCTGGTGGGTGTGGTGACAGTGGATCATAAATTTGCACGACGCCAAGTGATCCGGTCGACGTATGCGTCGTTGACGATGCCAACGCACCCGCAAACTGGGCATCCACTGAGTCATGTGCAAGTCAAATTCATCTTGGGCCGACCGAAGAAAGAGTATGCGGACCGCATTGCCTTGGAAATGGAGATGTACAATGATATTGTGATTTTGGATATGAAGGAGACGCAGTGGAGCCACAAGACCTATGAATTCCTGCGCTGGGCCTCGGAGAATGCCACAGTGCCTGTTCTGGTCCCGCGAAGTACGCCTGCTGTGCATACAATTCCAGCAGGTGACTCATGGAAAGAGTACGAAGTTCGCTGGAAATTGGTCGACTATGTTATCAAAGCGGACGATGACGCGTTTATTGTGTTGGATGAGCTGGAGCGGCGACTTCGGTCCCTACCCCGGCAGCTCTTGCACTGGGGCTACAAAGTGAAAGACCAATTTATGAGTGGGGAGACGTATGCGCTTTCGCACGACCTAGTGCAGTTCCTGGCGTCCTCGCCCACGGTAGCCCAGTGGCCGTCCCTGAAAGAAGATGAGCAGGTGGCGCAATGGCTTGCGCTGCACCCGAACAAAGAGGACATTACGTGGGCGTCGGAGCCGTGTTGGATTTATGACCACCCCCGCGCGCCGACGCCGTATGCTCATGGCTTCCTCTTCCCCGATGAGGTGGAGCGCATCAAGCATGAGTACATGACAGGTCTGTCGACGGCCGAAATTGAGCGGCGTGGCGGCCTGTCGAAAGCGTGGTCGTACTCCACGACGTCGCAATGGGGCCGCGCGTATACACCGCCGAAGCCTGATTTGAGTGTGGAGGAGCGAGTGGAAGCCCTAGTCGAAGGGGGGGGTCGCTGGGCTGGGCACTGGTACCGCATGAGCCATGAAATTGATACGCCGCATCTCTTCTCGCGCGAAGATGTGGTGCTGCGGCCGCAGGAGATGCGGCATGATCCAGAGCAGGCCCACACGGATCGGGCGTTTGATGCCCATTGGGGGCTGCCTCTATACCCTGCTGCCCCGACGCGTCTGGGGCAAGCGATGCACGCGCCTCTCATGCCGGAGCCATGGGGCCCTACGGTAGAAGGCGTGTCGGACGAGCTGCGTCGGCAGCGCACGCTCAATGGCACGCTGGGCGGCACGGTGGTGGTGCACTACTTGAAGCAGGACCAATGGTTCTACGAGACAGCGCTGGCCTTGCTGGGCCGGACGCGAACGTGGCAGCACGGTAGTGCCGCGAATCAGTGGCGTATGGATCACAGTCCTGTGGTAGAGCCGTATTCGTCTACACATGCGAGGATTGGGCAGCGAGCCCTTCGCTCCTCTATCTAGCTGTTGGTAGTACGTGATGTATGGATACCCATCCGCTCATTGTAGCGATCAATTTCCCATTGAGCGAGACCATCTGGGCCATTCCAGTTCGCAGAGCTTGTGCGGTGGCGCATACGGCGACGATCGCCTTGCCGAGGTGGGAGCATGGTATCGAGGGGCACAGGCCCTGTTTGGCACCCAAAGATCTCGTCAGGATCAATAGATGCTTGCTGCAACAACAACTCTTCCAGTTCGCGGCCGCGTGTCCACGACGGCTCGAGCTTGCGTTTCCGAACGGAGGCCTCGTCGTCCGAGTCCGAGTATTCGCTGGCCACGTCCGGGAGCGTATCGTCCGCTGGCACTGCCTCGTCAGTGCGTGCGGCCGACGCCGGGATAGGCGCTTGTTGGAACACATTCTGGGTACTGATAGCACTGGAGCGCTTCGTCGTCGATGTCGTGGTCGTGGGCGGCGCGCGTGACGACGCCGTGGCTGTAGACCCGGACCATACGCGGTGCGAAGTGGCAGCGGACGAGGGAGGCCGCTCGGCAGCGCTGGACGCACGCACGGCCTTGGTCGTCGCACTGATGACACGCACGCCTGATTGCGTCGTAAGCTTGCTTTTCAGCGCATCTTCCGTAGACGCCCGAGTATGGCCTTCGTAGTTGGTCGACTCTGTGAGGGGGTGTTGAGAGAGTTTGCGGCGTTTCCCGTCCATGTCATAGGTGTACGTGGGCTTTGCCGCAATGGACGTACGTGCGGAAGTCGACACAGGCGCAGACGGTACACGCACGGACGTACGTACGGAGCCTGGCGCACGCGGCGCTGCAGTGCCAGGCCGCGTCGACGTGCTCTTCGATAAGGTCATGGGCTTTAACTTGATCGGCGTCGGGGCCATGGACGACGTGCCACGCTGTGATGTCGTGAGCGCTGACGGCAACGTCGATGTCGACGCAGAGAGCGAAGGAACCGCTGCCGAAGCTGGCGCAGACGGTAGGGCCTCGTCAAACGAGCCGGGCATGGGCGTCAGCAAGTCGTCGTCCCACGACGTCGCAGCGGCCTGCAAAGCGGAGGTCATGAGCGTCTCGGAGGTATCTTCTTTGGGCATCGGAGCAGGCACTACCTTGGCACGGATAGGCAGAGACGAAGGCGACGTGGCCATCGCCGTGGCAGGTCGCACTCGTGGCGGCGTCGTGATTGACGTGTCGGCCTGGTGAGCCGGCGCTGCCGCTGGCGTGCCGGTCTGCAAACCAAAGAGCCCCTTGATCCGCGCTCCCAGTCCATGTGGCGGCGCACGCGTATCCGCTACGGAGGCAGGGCGTGCAGTGTGCAGCGATGGCGTCGTCGCTCGCTCTCGCTCGGCCCCATGATCCATCGTGATCGGCGGCACAGGCTTGCGCACAGGACTGGGAATCTTGGATGCAGACGTCGACATGCCCAGCCGGCTGGGCGAGACGGGCAGACGCGAGCGGGCAGACGCAGGCGTGGTCGACGTTGTAGCCGTCTTGGACGCACGAAAAGGCGAGCGTGCATCGTCACGAAGACGACTGGGCGACGGAGGCACAGGCTCTTTCTTGGGACTTTCCACGGCGCGACGTGCAAACGGCGTAGCAGCTTTGGCTGCAGATGCGTCGCGCTGAGGACTCTGCCACGGCGAAGCGGGCCGCACATGGTGATTCATCCCGCCTACGCGACTCATCGGCCGCTCCAAGCGGCTAGGCGAGCGGTCCAGCCGCGATGGCGCTCGTGCCGTCGTGGGCGAGAGTGCTTGCGACGTCGCTGGCCGTTCCAAGCGACTGGGCGATCGTGGCGGTGTGGTGACCGTCGTAGGCTTCTTCTGTACCTCACGCTTGCCCTTGGGCGAGAGGGCCGAGCGAGACGTAGCATGCGAGAGAGTATGCGTCGACGCAGGCGTCGTACTCGTGCGGCGTACATGCTCGAGCCGCGTACGCAGCGCATCGAGCGAGGGGCCTTGACTTGGCCGAGCTGCTCGCTGCGCCGTCGTCTCCGACTCCACCTGCGGAGCATCGTCGGCCAGCCCACTAGGCATGTTCTCGTCCGCGTCTACGTCAGAGGACGACGGCACCTTGCCTTGCCGCTCTTCGAGGGCATGATGCAAGCTTTTATTCAGGAAGCTGGAGCGGAAGCGTGTAGGCGCTTTCGGCGCCGGAGCGTCCTTCACATCCGGTTTCTTGGTGCTGCGTAGCACAGCCGAGCCAAGCGTACGTTTCGTGCGTAGCCCTGTCCCAGGCGTCAACGCAGGTAGTGACATCGAGGCTTCAGAAGCAAGCATCGGCTCGTTCGACACGGTCGCCTCGTCGGCCTCCGACGCCTTGGCCGTAGGACGTGGAGAGGGGGCCGGCGCTTCAGCTAGGACATCGTCCGCCGGGGCCACTAGCATATCGCTCTCTTCTGTGTGTGGGACGGCCTGGGAAGGCAGTGACGTCATGGCTAGCATATCGTCATCGGAGCACGACGCATCGACGTGCGGCTCGATGGGTGTGGGCGAACTAGCCTCCGTCTTGCTCGGCGACGTCCGAGCTTCCAACATGACACACGTAGGAGACGGCGAGCGTGGCACAGTGTTCGTAGCTGTAGATACGCTCTTCGCGCCATGCTTTCGGGGCGATTTGACAACGTCAGCAGCCAATGTAGACATGGTATCGTCGGAATGCCTGTGTGTGAGCGCATACCCAAGTACGTACTGAACACGCGCACAGAACGCCTCGACATTCTGCCGCATCTGATCCCAAAACTCCTGCATTTTGTCATGCGCCTCTTCTTCCCATGGCGAGAGATCCACATCAAACTCCATCTGCTTGGCTAACTGGAGCAGCTGAGACTGGGCCACAACATAGGCATTGCGCATGATCTGATGATGCAAGGCCTCCGGCGACATGCCACCGGTAGCCGTGGACCGCACGGGATCGGCACGCGAAGCCGAGGCGGCAGCGCCTAGACAGGTAAGTCGTAAGAGTACGTACGTCGCCGAGCCGCTGCGCCTCGAAGCGCAGCTTTGCGTGTGGGCATCACGTACAGACAGGGGCTCGTACAGGGACGAGCTGTCAGCAACCAACACGCCCAGCCGCTACGCGTGTTTGGCCACCTCGGCGCGCCGTCACGTGATATGACCGCCCAGGGGCGGAGCGTCTAGGGACCTCCGTGCGACGTGCCGAGGTGTCGATGGCATGACGGCCGCGCCGCTTCAGCGAGTCACGGTCCCGTCGTTTGAGTATCGCACCTCGCCCGAGCCTCACTATTTGTATGCGGTTCATGTAGAACTCCCGACTCATGCATGGACAGTGTACCGACGGTACTCTGACTTTGCCGCGCTCCATGCCGCTTTTGCCCAGCGTCCGCCGCCCTATGCCTTGCCTCCCAAGCACAACTTGCAGTACTCCTGGCGGAAAATCAAATCATTAGGCGGGTACCTTTCTCCTTCTCAAGAGCAGCAGAACAGAGAGCTGGCAGAAGCCAAAGAGCGTCAAGCAGAGCTCGAGAGGTACGTCCGTGCGATGGTGGCGGCGGCGAATCCGTACTGGAGAGAAAGTGAGCCATTCCAGACCTTTATTGAGCTGGCAGATCATGCATCTCCGCGCTCCTGGAGCATGACACCATCCACAGCAGCAAGACCGGCTCAGGACAAGCGCGCTCCGACCGCGGAGTCCCGACATTCTTGGCTTGCCGGCGCAGGCCACCGTGCGAAAGCCCAAGAAACAGATACCACAAGGCCCATGAGCGATACTGAACTCATGCAGCATCAAACACATACCCTGATGGCAGCCCAAGATCAGCAAGCGGACCAGCTTGCGAAGATTCTACGCCGACAACGTGAGATTGGACTATCGATTCATGACGAGCTACAAGAACAGCAAGAACTTATACAGAGCCTGACGACCGATGTACAAAATACCAAGACGCGTATGAACAATGCGTCGGAGCGGATGCAGCGTCTGGGACATTAATAGCTACTACATAGATACCATGCATGTTCGTTCGTGAAGATACCTGACTCTGCATGGCCTACTTTCGTCAACATACAGCCCGAAAAGCGAGCGAGCGTCTGCGAAATTATCGATCACACTCCGAAAGGTACAGCGAGTAGGAAAGTCATGCGATTGGCGAGCGTAGTATTTACCCTGCCCAGGCATCTCTCTCCGACGGGGGACGTTCTCGACCGATACGGTTGATTGCCCATATTGGACCGATGCCGGTGGGATAATCTGCTCCGACGCGTGCAAACTAGCGAGCCAATCACAAATTCTTTCATTCGCTCCATCGTTTGCCTAGGCTGGATGTGGGGAAAGTACGTGCATGGCACTTCGCGCCATCCCACGTGACTGCGATAGCCCATCACAAGAACAAAATGCACGTCCGTTGCGGTCCAGTCGTGGGTCACGCTGCCTTTTTTCTATAGGACATGGCCTCTGTGAGTAACTTAGGCTCTGTCCCTACAGGCAGTAATAGCGCATCTGGCCGACCAGGGTCGATGCCACCATCTCAACCACTCTCTTCGCATCCTCCACCGATGCCTACCTCACCGCCGCCGCCGCCAGGCGCACATCCCCTGAGCGCAGGCGGTGTCGCACCACCAGCTTCACAGGCCATGTGGTCAGCTCGCCTGATGGATTTGCTCAACCTCGTTCGACACGAGTTCGAGGTGATTGGGAACGATGCTGTGCACTTCAAGTCACAGCGCGACGAGTTGGAAAATCGCAGTACGTATTGACCTGGCTTTCCATCTAACAATACAGTTGCGCAACAGTACAATGAGGTGAGCCTGATGCAGGAGCATATTTATGAGCTGGAAAAGCGTCACTATGAGATTGTGGGCCATTACGAAGACGAAATCAAGAGGCTCCGGTTATTACTGGACGGTCGCAATGGTCCTCCCCGTCATGAGGGGCCCAGCACGCATGCGCCTCCGCCGCATCTGCCAGAGCACAGCATGCGCTCAGGTCCCATGACAGCCATGCCGCCTGGCATGAGCGAGCGTGATATGCGCGAGCGTATGATGCCCGCTGAACCGCCACGCTCTGAGAACGGGCATGTACCTGGTGAATCTGGCTGGCCGCCCGCGAAGCGTATGAAAAGCAACAATGCGCCGAACGTCCTCCATGAGCTCCCGCACCTGAAACGAGAGGATCGTGAGGCCAAGCGGTCGGCAGCGGAGACTATGGCAGCCAAGGAAAGCCTAGCGCCCTCGCGTTCTGAGCCAAGCGCTACGCAGGACACGAACAAAGACGACGCAGCTCTTTCGTCGACCCCTGCTGCTGATATGCCCAATGAAGCGCCCCCGAAGGCTACAGACGCCTCGGAAGAGAAAGCTCAGGAGGCATTTGAGCCTGCAGAGTCTGCTATGCAGGAGATCAAGAAAGAAGGAAGCGATTGGGTCGCCGTGTACAACCCGCATGTGCCTCAAGTGCTAGATATTGATCTGGTGCATACGCTGGCACATGAGAGCGTCGTGTGCTGTGTCCGATTCTCGCCGGACGGCAAGTGGGTAGCGACGGGCTGTAATCGCTGTGCTCAGATCTACAATACGGAGACCGGTGAGCGGACGTGTGTGCTGCAGGATGAAGCGCCTCAAGACCAAGGCGATTTGTATATTCGCAGTATCTGCTTTAGCCCGGATGGCAAGTACCTGGCGACGGGCGCCGAGGACCGTTTGATCCGCATTTGGGACATTGCTGAACGGAAGATCAAGATGCAGCTGACCGGCCATAAGCAAGAGATCTATTCGCTAGAGTACTCGAAGGACGGCAAAATGCTGGTGAGTGGCTCGGGTGACAAAACAGTGCGTCTTTGGGATGCAGAGACAGGCAATGTTCTCCATGTACTGTACACGAGCCCTGGTCTAAACTATGGCCCGGGCGTGACGACTGTGACGATCAGCCCCGATGGCAGTCTGGTTGCTGCAGGGGCTCTCGATACATTTGTGCGTGTGTGGGAGACCAAGACGGGCAAATTGTTGTGTCGTCTTAAAGGACACAAAGACAGCATTTACAGCGTAAGCTTTATGCCTGACGGCCAGTTCCTTGTGAGTGGCAGTCTCGACAAAACCCTCAAGCTTTGGGATTTGTCCAGTGTCATCAAGGAGCAGAACTCGATTGATGAAGAAATTACCAACCCCTCACTTTGCACGGCGACTTTCTCGGGTCATAAGGACTATGTATTGTCCGTTTCCTGCTCACCCCATGGACGCTGGATCGCATCTAGCTCGAAAGACAGGTGTGTGCAGCTCTGGGACCCGAAGACTGCGCAGTCGCAGTTTGTGCTGCAAGGCCACAAGAACTCCGTCATTGCCATTTGTATGAGTCAGACGAACAATTTGCTAGCCACAGGCAGTGGTGATTTTAAGTACGTTTACCCACCAACTTACCCACAGTGCTCGGATTTGGTCGTACAAGGAGAAGTAGACCTATCTGCCTAGGGATATAGAACTACAACAATGGCAAGACTTTTCGCCTAAGGCGAACGACTCCGTTCGCGCGCGGGTGGAGGACTATAGCGAGGTGAATCGTCGCCGCGACGAGCAGACGGTGGGGTATGTGCCTCGTACGATCGAGAAGGTGAGCGTTCTCGTGATGTATCATGATAAGAGTGACGAATTCGTTCTCTACCGAATTCATCGCGATACGACCGCCCACGGTCCTCAGGATAGGGACCGCGCTGTGCACGAGCGCCCTGCGGAGTGAGACAAACACAGACGTACCCAGCCAGCATCACGTTCGCGACGTGTTCGGTTGCCATTCTTATCGACAAATTCATCAGGCGAACGTCGTGGCCGACGATCTGCTGCAGAGATCGGTGGCCGGCCACGGTCCCAGCGACGCTCTTCCGTTGAATGACCACGCGCCTCGTACGACGCAGGCGCTTGTCGTCGAACATGATCCATCGCAGCGGCATTGTCGCCCCGCATTGCCTGCATTTCGCGCTTCTTCTGTTCCACAAAGGCTCGGGGCACACCGCCCACCGACGTCTGTGCGGAGACCAGGTGCTGCCACAACTCGTTCATAAAAGGCGCAGCGCGTTTCTCCAGAAAGCCGGTTAAGGCGATTTGCATCTTGCGTGGATCAGGGAACTGACGGTGAGAAAAGACGCTGCGTACATACTTGTTCGCCTTCAAGTAGGCCCACGATAAATTCTACAAGGACATCGTCCTCAAAGCCCATCATTTGCTCGACGCGCGTCTCAATCCAAGGCCGCATGACGGGCACACTCACCTTGGACATGTCAACACGCTCATTAAACACCGAGGGGAACCGAGTTGACTTGAGCAAGACTTCTTCTTTGTTTTTGAAACGCGAGTCCTGTTCGATCGATACACCACGAACCGGCATTGTGCGTCAGAGTAGGGCGTCTGACCGTCCCAAGCACGCTCGACACCCCACGCAAGACCCAATGGCCATGTACGTCGTCCAGCAAATTTTTGGTGCACGTGACTGGTACGAGCGCTGCCGAGCAGAAAAAAACCGACAACGACCCCCGGACGAGCCTGCGCTTAGGACACTTGGCGCTCATTCCGCGAAGCATGGGCATGAACTCGATCAAGATTCTCACGGGCAACAGCCACCCGGAACTGGGAGCACTCGTATCGGCCAGGTATGTGTTGTCTATGTGCGAAGCATTCGCATGCTAACGCGCTCGCTAGGCTCGGCGTGCCTCTTACGGAATGTGTCTGCCGCAAATTTGCAGACCAGTCGATTGACGTCCGTATTGGCTCGTCCGTGCGTGACCAGGACGTATTTGTGATCCAGTCGGGTCACTCGCCGTACATTGACCCGAACGACTCGCTGATGGAACTGCTGATTATCCTCTCGGCATGCAAAACGGCGTCAGCACGCCGTATCACAGCGGTGATTCCTTCGTTCCCGTACTCGCGCCAGAACAAGAAAGACAAGAGCCGCGTCCCTATTACAGCGAAGATGATTGCGAATATAATCACAGTGGCGGGTGCTGAGCACGTTATCACGGTCGACTTGCACGCCAGCCAAATCCAGGGCTTCTTCGATATTCCAGTCGACAACCTTACGTGCGAGCCAAGCATTGCGCGTTGGATCCGCCACAAGGTCGACGACTGGCGCGATGCTATTATCGTATCGCCTGATGCGGGTGGCGCAAAGCGTGCTACGTCCCTTGCTGATGCTCTGGGCATTGATTTTGCGCTGATCAACCGCAGCCGCCATCTCCAACGTGGTCGCCAACGCGCGAACACCGGAGAGTCGCAAGACATGGCGTCCAGTTTGGCACACTCTCAGTTCAGCGAGGTTGCGAATGGTGTGCACTCGCTCAGTGAGAGTGGTGAGTGGTTTATCACCGAGGAAGGCGGTCGTCGTCTGCGCGCCGGTGGTATCCGCAAGGGCCCGAAGGTGAGCGAAGACACGAACGTATCGGAAGATGAGAACGATTCGACGATGGAGCTCCTAGTCGGAAATGTGGCCGGCAAGACTGCCATTCTCGTTGACGACATGATTGATACAAAGAGAACGCTGGCTCTTGCATACAAGACGCTGGAGGCGGCAGGCGCGAAGCGTGTATTTGCTGTGGCTACGCATGGTGTGCTTTCGGGCCATGCTATGAAGCTGCTGAGCCATCTCTCGATTGAGAAGCTTGTGGTGACCAACACCATTGCCAACCAGGAAAAGGCGCGCGATAGCAAAGGCAAGGTCGAGGTGCTCGACATGTCGGCTGTGATTGGTGAAACGATTCGCCGCTCGCACCATGGTGAGAGTATCTCTACCATGTTCCGCCAGGATGCGGAAATGATGTTTTAAGTATACGTAATTATTAAATAGTCTGGCAAACCAAATGTCAGAAGGAGATGGGTATCACTGTAACGACTACAAGCCTTCGAAAAAGGAGGCATCGAAATCCGACTGAGACAATGTGCCTTTGCGGAGTTTCTTCGCAGCACGCTCCTCAGCCTCCCAATCGTCTTCTTCCTCTTCTTCGTGGGCATGCGATGAGCCAGAAGCCAATTCTTGCTCACGTAGCCACCGGCGTTTCTTTTCCTTCTTCGCACGACGAAGATCGCGTGTCTCTTTACGACGCTTTTGATCACTCCACGCCTCTAGCTTGGGCGCACGCGCAGGGCGATCAGGTACAGGTGCTGCATCTTGCTTTTCCAAGGCCGCTAGACGTTGTTTTTCACGCTGCTTGTCGGCATAAGCAAACGTTCGAAGCTGATGTGAGTGTGACAGGTACGTACATCTGGCGTAGATTCCACGAATAGCGTGCCTTCATTATGCCAGGTCCGCATTTCTGGCATACGTGGCAAGTGAAGTAAGACAAACTGACATGCCATACCCCCTAAAGGCAGGTCCGTAAGGCGGAAAATATAGGAGACTTCATGCTTAGAGTACGCTTTAACCCAGCTGACAAACGCACGAAGACCAAGCTCATACAATGCGCGGTCCTGCCGCACAGCCGTTCGTAGGGTATCTTCAAGCGCGTGAGCTTCCGTATCACGCCCTTCCGGCTCTGTACCTGGTTGCATGATTCCGTCGGGTGTGATACCAAGATAAGGATAGGCCTGTAACGGCAGCTGCTTGATTTGCAAGAATTCTGAAGTTAGAAAACCAACGAAACGTACCGACATAGCCTTCTTCCCGACCCGCATGAAGCATCACAATGGCTCGGCCACTCTTTCCAGCACGCGCAGTACGGCCACTTCGATGATTGAAAACTTTGGGATCACTGGGTGGATCATACTGAATCACCACATCAACGTCAGGTAAATCCAAGCCTCGTGCCGCTACATCCGTGCAGAGCAAAACATCAGTCGCCGCATCTACCTCACCAGCCGTATCGGCATCTTGCTTGTCTTTGGAAGATGACTTGGCAAAGGCGGAAAACGTCGCTGTACGCCGCTTTGGTGTCTGCTTTCCATGCAACGAATAGAAACGCAAACCTTTCCAATGAGACTCGCCCGATCGATTTACCTTGGCCAGCAATGAGAAAACATAATTGACTTGCGCACAGGTAGCAAAATATACAATAGCTTTGCGTGCACCATGTTCGCCTTGTGATTCTCGTTGTAGCAATCGCAGAAGCTGCGCAAATTTGTTCTCGGGGCGGCAAACGTGGTAGAAACTTTGCAGCGTAGCAGGCATACGAATATCCTTGCCAGTGGCAAGACCACGTTGTTTGAATTCCACTTTAACAACCACACGGACAGGGTTGCGTAGGCCCACACGCACTAATTCAGATAAAGCCTCTGTCATGGTAGCGCTGAACAAGCCGGTGCGGCGCTGCTTCGGAAGATAGCTAATGAGTGTGCGAATGACCTGAGAGAACCCTAGATCCAAAAGACGATCCGCCTCGTCCATGACAAGCACGTCCAGTTCTGTCGTGCGTACGCCTGGCTTTTTTAATAGCTCTTCCATGCGGCCTGGAGTGCCCACCAAGATATCCGGGCCATGCTCGCGAAAAGCATGGAAATCATCGGTAGGCGATACAGAGGTACCACCGACACACAGCTGCACACCGCCTACGCGAGGTCTTTGTGTATGTTCTTGCACGGGTTGTTGCTCCAAGAACTGCTGCACGACACCCACAATTTGCTGTGCTAATTCACGGGTCGGGCAAACAATCACAGCACCCAGCTCATGTTTCTTTAAAGGCGTCTCACGACGCTGTAGGATCTCCAAAATAGGTATTACAAAGGCCAGGGTCTTCCCTGATCCAGTGACGGCCTCTGCCACCACATCCTTGTGCGATAAGAACAAGGGAATGGCGGACGATTGCACAGGCGTCATTTGATCAAACTCCATAGAAGCGAGGACATCCAGGCTTGTGTAAGACTTTCTCATACATACATCCATGGTGATAAAGGTGGGTTTAGTCGGGTCCAATGTCCAGCCGCCATCGGCGATAACCCCGCCATCTCTTTCGACATATTGACAGCGTTTCCAGCTAGAAGTGAGGAAAAAAGTAGGACGATGTAGTGGAGGCATCAGCGTAAATGTGGAGGGACATGGCCCGGCGCCTGTAGCCAAAGCGTGGGCGAGAGACCCAGGCATTGCTGTGATTCAAACCCCACAAGGTGTACATGCGCCCACCATGACGCCCTTTTCAAGGTTGAAGAGGAGTGATACATCCTCGTCGAAACATTCACGTTTCGGGAACAAAAACAAAATGAACCGTCATGAGATTGCGAATACGGTGATGGGCCAAGAAAGCTGTGCCTTAGAAGAAGTACTGCAGAAGAATCCGCCACAGAGCATGCCAACAAGTGTACCGGAGAGTGTGCCTCTGCCCCAGCCTGATCCGAGTGAGGAAGTCTCTTATGTGGTGACAGAGAATGCCAAAGGAGGGGAAGGAGCTTGGTCTGTAGAGACAAAGCAAGCCAAGCCACCTATCAGCATCGATACTACGACGTCGCTGTCACACGATTTGTCCAACAGTATCTCGCAACTGTCTAATGTCGGCTCCCCCCTTTCCCAAACCACCCCAAATTTAGACGTTCCCACACCCACGCAATCTACAGTGCTGCAAGGATTTCATGGTAACCCATCCTGGCGAACTATACCTCTGCCACTGAAGGCAAACGATTTAGGTCTGCCCAATATCCCTCTAGGTAAGGAGTTACCTTCGTCTATTGATGCTGCAAAGCCAAGCACTAATCTTTTGGATGACTCTTCAGATACAGATCCAAACAAAACTGTGGCTACAGCCGCTTATCGTGATCTGCATACAGGCGCTGTCGTCGAAACGGACCAAGATGGCCATCAAGCTGCACCCACTGTACACCCGGATCTCTCAACACTTGCTGCACAGAAAGCAACAGCACCTGGCGGTCTTCCTGTGCTATCCATCTTACCCATGAAAATGCCTGGACTGGAAGCAGCCGCCGACCTACTTAATGCTGACGTGGGCATCGATGGCGATGCTGCCAAAGGCGATGCTGCCAAGGCAAACAACACAGGGAATGACAGCGATACAGCCTCTACTTGGAATGGCATTGGCTACAGCGTGACCGGATTTGCTGTAGCGAGCTCGAAGCGCAACGCAGATTTCCATGCCCTTTTCCCCTCTGTTCCGGAGGATGATTTCCTTATCGAGAACTATACATGTGCCCTTTCTCGAGACCTTCTGATTCAAGGCCGGCTATATTTATCAGAGTCGCACCTTTGCTTTCACTCGAGTATATTCGGTTGGGTCACTTCGATTGTGATTCCCTTTTCGGAGGTGATTAGCATTGAAAAACGTAACACAGCCTACCTGATTCCTAATGCCATTAGCGTTCGTACGCTGGAAAGCCGGTATCTGTTTTCCTCGCTGGTGTCCCGTGATATGGTGTACAGCATGCTAGTGAACATTTGGCGTATGACCGCACCTAGTGCAGCAGCTCAGCAGATGGCGGAATCTGCTACAGACGATGATGTGGCAACAGAAGAGGATCATGGTACCCTGCAGGCTGTGCCAGAAGTCAAGGAGGAGGAGCGAAAACTGGAAAACACTGACGTCCTTACATCGCAAGGTGAGGAGTTCGCCACAGCGGCGAACAAACGTGAGAAGCTACGCAAGCGTCTCACGAAGGCACGTAAGAATGCGAAGAAAGGCAAAGACGGGAAGAAGGTGTCAGCGAACAGCGATGAGCACGATGCAGATGATGAGACAGGCAGCAGCTCGGATGAAGATGAAAAGGAGCATGAGCCAACGAAATGCAACTGTGACAAGACCAATTCTCACTTACCCGTACTTGTGATTGATGAAAAGTTTGATGCCACGCCCCATCAACTGTTTGACCTGATGTTTAAGGGCGATTTCATGTCAGATTTCTTATCGAACAACCAGAAATTGATTGATGTGGAGATCGGTGAATGGAATGATAAGGAAAAGACACTCCCTGAGGCGACAGCGACTCGAAAGGTGACTTATATCAAGCCCCTCAATGGATCGGTCGGCCCGAAGCAGACCAAGTGTCAGATTACCGATGAACAGTTGCATATTGACTTCCATGAGTTTTGTACGACTATGACGACGACGAAGACCCCTGATGTGCCTAGTGGCAACAACTTTTCTGTGCACACGAGAACCTGCTTTACATGGGCCGAAAACAACAGGGCTCGATTGTATATCACTTGTGAAGTGGCTTGGAAAGGACGCAGCATGTTAAAGAGTATTATTGACAAAGCCTCCGTCGAGGGTCAGAAGGACTACTATAAAGAGCTGTCCAAGGCGCTTCGGGCGCATATCAAGAGTCATCCAGATATCTACGGCACGAAGAAGAGCAGTTCCTCGAAAGACAAGGAGCATGGTGAAAAGGAGCCTGTGGAAGAGTTGATCGAAGAGGAAACGAAACCTGCGTCAACATCGCCTCTCAGCATGCTTATGGATACGCTGGACTCGCTCAACATTAGTTTGTCTGTCCTCATCCTCAGCCTGCTCATTGTGATCCTTTTGATTTCGAATATTTGGGTATATACGCGTGGCTCAAATGCATCCATGCGTGACCCCCGCAACCCGCATGTCCTGCTACAGCGAGACCATGTGAAAGGATACAGCCAGCCTCTGCAGATGCGTCATGTGAAGGTCTTGGTGGATGAGGAAGTGCAAGATGTCTTGGATGCGCTAGCCTATTCTCGCCGTATGACAGAAGCATTGGAAGAGGATATACGCGAGTTGCAGGATATAATTAAGAAGCGAACCAAGCCTGATGTCGAGAATGAAACGGCCAAGGCCCATTTTTTGCCCTCATAGACACCATTACTTTGTAGCAAAATTAGGGAAACGCTGTGACAACAATGCGCGGGCCTTGGCCTTCCTATCGGCGGCCTCTTGCCGTTTCCGATCACCTTCAGTGGGTGGCGCAGGGGCCTTGCATCCATGGGCAAGAGGAGATCGATGCCTGTGTGTGAGAATGCATTGTACATACATAGCGCAAAAGTAACCATGGCACCTATCGCACTGTGGCGCGCGGTGCTGAAAAGAAGGTGTATCAGACACACGCACATGTAAAGAGGGCTGATGACACCCGGTCTTGTGACATTCATCACGACATGATGCAGTCGCGCGAGCTTCGGGTCGTGACATTAACGCTGTGCATACATGTTTCTCTGGCTGTACATGGGCTTCACAGAACATACGCTTACATTGTGGGCACACTAGCGGTAGGAAGGACAGGGCATGGCAGGCAGACCATGCACAATGTTCGCCATCCACAATGGACATGAGTGGAGGCTCAGAAAGAAGGAAGGGAGAATTCGGCCATTTCGTCGTCTTGCCCATCTCCACGATGCACGGCGCTTCTACCGCCGCACGGCTTCTCTTGGGCCTGCTGATGCTGGCCCATCATGCCCACGCCCAATTCTTCCAGAACATCTTCCATTCGGGACAGTTCTTTACTCAGTCCTCTGAGCAGGAGGCGCAAAGAGTGGGAGATGCTTCGTGGTTCCGCGACCGCGTGAATGCAGGTATGTGTCCGACGTGTGCTTACGCAGCCAAATGCGACGATTACTTATGCAGTGACACACTGGCCTGTGTCAAAGAGCCACATGAATGCCCTTGCCCCTTTACTGAACAGTTGCGATGCCCTATTGGCGATGCCTATGTGTGTGTGCCACGGATGGACTGTAGCTCCGTGGAGAGTTTATACCATTTGTAATTATGTAGACATGACGTCGTTGCAATATGTTTGTTCATGAATATGTGCGTAACTATATGAGAGAGTCCATACGGATAAATACATGAAGGACAGCGGCAATGACTTCATAGGCTGATGCACGGCCCGCTGTGTCGTACTCTTTCAGCATGTGTCGGGCAAGTTCGTCCACACTTACGCCAAGTTTGGAAGTTCGCCCATTTTTGAAGGACATTCGTGCTGCTGCCACATTTACTGGCCTGGCCAGGATGGCATCTGTCGTCCCCCGTGGTGGGAGCCCCCCCGTCGACGACGTGGGCGCCATGGGCCATTGTCCAAACTCTTCCGCAATATAGTCGAAATGCACTTCGACCTCTTCACGCGAGTCGGAGGACAAATGTTGCAATACATTCTCCAGGACATTACCGCAATGAGCACTGCAGACCATACACAGCGCCCGAGTAACAGGAGCATCAATCGGGCCATTATTTGCATCTTCTTTGTACAGGGCCTCTGGGTGAATGCTTCGCGATGTTGTTAGGGCATATACACGCCGCCGAACGGCATCCTTTACGGCCGTATTTGACAGGGGGTGCGTCGGCATATCGAAGAGCAGGAAGTTTCGTTTCTCAGTGCGAAGCACACCTTTCTCTACCAGGCCTTTCGCGAGGCGCTCGCGGACCTGCTTCAGCTGCATATTTAGCTTCATCATATTCCATGTCTCGCCACTTAGCAAGTCCATCCATTCCGATACACTGGCGGGAGGCCCCTGCTGTATATGCCGCAAAGCCTCGTCGAGCAACGGCTCACCTGTACCTTTTCTGTTCTTCACGGATATCAGCCGATCTGCGACTTCGACGCGTTTCTGATCAGCGCCAGGCATGATAGCAATTCGATTTCGCAGTGCTAGTTCCATGAGAATACTCCCACGTAATGTGTACGACAACTTGTCGTTCCAGAACGATAGGTACCCCTGTGCATCTTTGAGACCTAGCAGCAGCACCTCTTCCATGATCGTGAGACGTGGACACGATCTCTCTTCATCAGCATCGTCCATGTCTCGCGGATCGTAGGCTAGCTTGTGCCCTGTGCCTACATCGATGGTCGCCACGGACCCGGAGCCCGAATGCTGCTCGACCCGTGCTGCCTGTTTGCCTTTCCCAGCGCCTCCCTGCGCCGACGAGGCGACCTGCTTGGGTGTCCGCGCTAGGGAATCCTCGTCATCGAAAGCAGCTAAGCTCGACGTGCCTGCGCCACGACGCCGCTGCAGCCCTGACGCTGAACCCATCGATCAACGGAGGATCACTCGTATACGATGCCGCGCGTGGACCTTACCGTATCACGTGGACGTCCCACCTCCACGACCTGCGTGGCGACGCGTAGTGGGACGAGCGTGTGCTCCACGTTGCGTGCGTGCGGGGGGTGGTTGCGTGGTTTCCCTTCGTTCGTCTATCTTTCACGATGTCGTCCTCTGCCCCGCCCTCGCTCTCGGTGTTCAATGTGTTCTGGCTTCTCCATGTGATCGTGGAAATGCCTGTAGCGCTGCTTGCATTCTTCAAGCCGCAAGACTTCCCGCTCGCTGGCTTGAACGATACGACTGTGCTGATCATGCGGGTACGTACTGTGCACTATTAACGATTCAGCTCCTTGCTACCATGCTCCTTACGTCGTGCCTCGCCTCGCTCTTGTGTTTCGGCTTGCCAGACTATCTGCCAGGCAAGCGTGCGTTTGCGATGCACCTGCTGCTCTTCCACGGCTTCATCTCGGCTATCTTTCTGCAAGTGCGTGACGGTATCATCTTCTTTGAGCTGCCGAAGTTCGTCTTGGAGCTGATCCCGGCCGCTGCTCAGGTGAAGAACACGGTGTGGATTGCCGCTACGCATGGCCTGGTCTCGTTCGTGGCTGTGCTTTGGTACGTATATACTCATACTCACCGCAGGTGGCAAGCCACGCTGCCTCTTGTCAAGGCCGTCACAGCCCACGCCAAGGCTGAGTGAGTAGAAGGATGCATAGGTAGTCTGGGGAACACGTTGGCTTGCATGAATAAAAAATCTCCCTCACGTTGCTCTTGCCCTCTATCCACCATGCCCACGACGTACGAGCAGCGTATGCTGGCGTTCCTGGAAACGCATGCCGTGCACATTCGCACGCCTCTTGACGTGATTGCTTTGCTGGTGCATGTATCAGCTGCCGCGCATGGTTTGTGCGACATACGTGCCCCTCTTTCCACACCGTGGCACTCAAGTGCACAGTACCATGCGCGCACGTACCACACGCGAGAGCGTACCTATGACGTTGTGGTCGTCCAAGCAGGCCGATGTGCGGTGCTTCTTGTCACGACCTCGTCCTCGTCGCAAGTATGGAAGAGTGAATGTATCTTAGAGGACGTGGTGCAGAGTGCCTCCCTGCCATGGGATGCCACTGTAACAGTGGCGGCCATGCAGGCATGGTGGCAAAACGAAGCGATCGTGTCGCAGCTATGTGAACAGTGGGATCGCGATGTGTGGCATCCTGCAATGCATGACGAAGAGCGAGCGGCACCTTCCTCTGCCCCTGCTACGTCGAAGGCTGCTGTCCAAGGTCGTTCGGACGAGGCAAAGGCAGTGCCGTTCCTTGCCGCCACACGAGGGATGCCTACCGACCCACGGCGCCTGGGCGACGCGGACCGTGATCCGCTCGCGGCGAGTCCCTACCCTTTCCCCGGCACGGGATCGTTCCAGCCACCGCCCCTTTTCCCCTCGTCGAACGATGGCATGATGATGGGGCCGAACCACCCCATCTTTGCACGGCGTGCGCCGCCGCCGCATGGCGCGCCGCCGATGGGCCCAGACGGCCTTCTGCCGCCTGGTGCTGTGCCGCCTGGTGCCCGCTTTGACCCGATGATGCCATGGGATCCCTCGTCCTCTCGTGCGTCGCATCCCAGTGGCGATCCTGATTGGGACGACCTGCCACCGCCGTCTAGTATGTTTTCATAAGTCCTATAAGATGTATATTACGATGCCTCCAAACGCTCGACCAACCCGTCGCCTAGCCGCTTCATTTCGGCTAGGATCGCTGCCTGGTTCAGACGTACGCCTTTGGCATGCGGTTGCGCCGAGTAGCCCTGTAGCACCTTGAAAGGGTGAGGCGACGTATACGCCGCATTCCATATACCGCCAATGGCTGTGCCGCCCATATCGTCGTAAAAGAGCGTGCAAATGTCTGGGTACAGCGTCTGCAAAAGCATCACGTACTCTTGCACCGGGTCGAAACCAGGGCGTGGCTCGCTGCCGTACACACTTGGCCGCAAGGGTGCCTCTTCCAGGTTGGCATATGCGCGCTTTTTCCGCGGCGCCAGCCAATGCGTAGCGTCTGGCGAGAGCGATTCCGCGTAGCGCATATGCACACTGGGGTTCAGGTGAATCACAAAGTCGTACGCGTCCCATGCGGGCGTGAACAGCACATGTACTTGCGATGTGCGCACCGGCATAGCTTGTTCCCACACACGCATTGCGCGCTGCGCTAACTGTCGAATCCCGTCGGCAATCATCGCAGTTGGCGCGGGACGCGTCCAGGCCTTCGAGGTAATGTCCATCTCAGTCACAAGGACCCAGGCCATGGACTTGTACGCGGGATCGCGCGCCCGCAACGTGGAAAAGTGCTGCTCGGCATCGGCTCGCTGCGCAGCCGGGAATGTCGGGGCGGCACCATCAGGCAGGGCCCGTGCCTCGTCGTCCGACTGTGCCGCCTTGTGTTGGTGTGCAAGCCGCGTCGCGTGCTCCAGAGGGATGAGCAGCGGCGTCTCACGCCAGTCCCATCGTGCTAGCAAGTCCAGCACACGCACCCAGCCATGCACGCCCGTCGTAGGCGGCGCGTGCGCATTGCTCAGGAACGCAGCGACACACACCAACTCGATGGCCGGCACAGGCACGTGACAGGAGAGGCCTTGGGCTGCGAGCCAACGGCGCGTGAGTCGCACGGTGGGCCCAAGCGCAGGGTACCGATCGTGCAGCGCTTGGAGCGCGCCGTGGTGCGTAGGTGCATGCACGAACCGTGCCTCGTAGCGTGCAAGGGCACGAACACCTGGTGCTCGCGCCTTGGCGTCACGCAGAAGCCGCTCAAGCAGCACATGCTCACGATCATGGTGAATGCGGAGGCCAAAAGCAAACCCATGCGCCATCGTCACTTGCAGCGACGTCTGATCCTGGATCGTTTCCTGTGTCGTGGCATCTGTATCGTACACCACACGTGCAGTAGCGCCAGCCAGCCGCTTCGGTAGGACCTCGGCCATGCGTTCATACAGCGCGGTCTTCATTTCCTGGATCGCCGCCAGGTCATCGGGCCACTGTCCTGAGCTTTCCATCGTGATCAGCACATCGTGCACGGGCAAGTACGCTGCGACATCCGGCACGGTGTGGCCTAACTCGCCCAAGTTCAGTGGGCCTGGGATCATGGGGTTCATACTGCGCAGGGCTGGCGCCGTCGGCGTCACGCCCAACACCGACAGGGGCAATTCGTCCATCGCCCGAAGCTCGCGGACCAACGTATCGTATGCACTCTGGACGAGCTGGAAACCCTGCACGGCCGGGTCCTGCAAGAACGCTCGCGAGGTCAGCGCGGTGGGGCGTTCCAGCAGATCCTGCATGGCATCGCCGGCAAAGCGTACGTGCTTCGCACACGCATGGAACGTCCATGCGTACTGGAGGATATGCCGTGGGAGCGCCGCACGCTGCGCCAGGTTCTTCACAGGCCATACGACACTTTCCAATACACGTCCATCGCGGAACCGACGCAATTCTGCCACGTCGCCCCAGAACGCGCGAAAGGCCGACGCGTCTGGCGTGTCGGGCGAGGGGCCATGGTCGACTTGGTGCCAGGCGTGCTGCGCGTCGAGCCATACACCCACATCCACACGCCCATCTGGCGTGCAAGGCGCATCCAGTGCATAGGAAGTGTGTGGCGCATGGTAGGCGATCAGCCCATGCGCACGCTGCCGCAAGGCCTGTGTACCGATGGCCAGCAGACGCCGCATCGCAGCCAGACGCGCGGAGCCGGCATCCTGCTGTGCCAAGGCGGAGAGCGATTTCGAGGAGACGCGGACCTGCGCGACTTCATCACATTGCAGCGCAGCGTAGCACATAGGTGTCAGGAACAGATCCGCAAAGTAGTCGCCACCATCGTTCAGCATCCGCATCGCCTGCGAAGCTTCGCGCGACAGGGCATCGACCGACGACGTAGGCCAATGCGCAAATAGGTTCACACTTCCGCTTGGGTCGACAAATGCACGTTCAAACACGTCAAATGAGGCAGGGGGGATGGGCGATGCACTTAGCCCGAAGCGGGGCTGCGCTTTCATATGCACATGCGTCGCAAGCTTCGAGAGAAAGTCCAACGTACCACGGAACAGCTGCACACTCGACAGGCCCACAGCCAGCTTGTGCCGCATCGGCGTACCTTTGGGCGCGCCATGCAGAAGGTGGGCCAGCACCATGCTCAGCACGAAACGTGCATCATCTGTCCCTGCCACCACACGGCGTGCTGCATACTTGGGCGCCGTCGCATCCAATGAGCCAAAACCGCGCTGCATAGCCCATGTCTTTAGCAACTGGCACGCCTCAGCAAAGTGTGGACACATGTCCGACGTCGCATGCAGGAACACCAGATGGGCCAGACGAAGCGAGTCTGCCACGACGCACGAGTTGTAGATCGGCGTGGGCGGCAGGGCCTCGCCCGCGCTGTCCACTTGCGAGCCACGAAGACTGTTCCGATTCGGCGCCAAGCGGGCCAGCGGGAACGTATTTGGGGCATGGGCCAGGTGAATGCGGATGACTGCATGCAGCTTGGTAAAGTCCAGATCCCCCTTGGTCCGCTCCGGTCGCAAGACAATGCAGGTGCGTCGTCGATCGCCGCCCAGGTCGAGGTACTCGACCTGCATCGAAAGCGTTTCACGGACTTGATGCAAGTGTTCTGCCAGCACGGCCATGTAAAAGGCACGCTTGTAAAAGTAGCGTGCATTAAAGGTATCTTTTTCTTGGAAGAGAGAAGACGGCATCACGACTTCCACATCGACATCCATCGTGCCTGGCCGACGTGCAGCCGCCTTGAGCGGCCAACTTCCCACGAGGTTCAACGCACTGGGCTTGTCGAATGCAAAGGTATACGCAGGATCCTGGTGCGGCACAGGGTCGCAAAACGGAATAATCACCGATCGGCCCACACGCTGCTCCAACACTTTCTTTGCAGCACTCAGTGGCTGGGCCTCAATCGCAGGAATGGCCTGCAGCGTGGCCTGCAATTCCCGCAAGGCTGACTCCATAGGGCCAGCGTGGGCCATCGATGGCTTGGTATGCTTTAACATCTCATCAAGTTGAAGCTTGAATACATTGTTTTGGTACAGGTCACTTGTTTCTTTCAAACCGTGGATCTCATCCAGCGACGGGATCGCATAGTGCGCTGCCGTCGTCCGCGAGGGCTCTTCCTGCAGGGGCGCAGCGACTTCCTCTTCCCCTTCGACGTCTTCAAAGCCGCCGTCGAGATCCTCGTCCGAATACATATCCACATCGGAGATTGCATTCGCCACCGCCTCCTCCTCGCTGGCTATGCTCGCCGTCTCAGCGCTCTGGCGCGGACGCTTTCGCTCAGCGCGTGGCATCACGGACGATGGGCAGCCGCTACTCAAAAAAATTTCCTTGAGCGATGACGACGCTTCTGCTGACTAAGCATCGTTGGATGCTCGTGCGCGCGACGACGCTCCCTGGGCTTGTGCGACGTCCTCACGATGGCCGACGACGCAAAGACAAATGCCAGTGCGTATGCGTAGGCGTCTCACAAGGCAGGCAAAATCTTGATACATGCCGCACGATCTGACAACTTGGATCTCTTCAACTCCATTGTACATGCGGAGCCTGCGGTGGAGTACGATATCAACTACGCCGATGGTCTTGGCAACACGGCCTTGCACTATGCATGTGACCATGTCGCTGTCCACGTAGTTGACGCCATTCTTGAGGAAGAAGTGGATGTGGATGCTCAAAATCGGGTGGACGGAAACGCGCCATTGCACCTGGCATGCCAGGTCGAGAACGAAGAGGCCCGCAACTGGCTCATCAACGAGCTCCTTGAAGCCGGTGCGTCCCCCACGACCAAAAACCACGCTGGGCTCCAGCCCGTTAACCTCATTGTCGGTGCGAAAGCCGAGTCTGAACTTGGCAAAGAGGCGATCAAGATGCTGACTATGACCCAAGCGGAAGCCGCTCTCGGCGCTGACGATATTGCCTATGGTACGTATGACACAGGCACGCCTAACATGCTAGATGACGATGATATTGCCGACGATGACGGGCCGTCGGATGTAGAATCATAGTGACTAGTATTACAAGTCTGTATGTGCACCCTGTGTCTGTTTCCGGAATCGGTACGCGCCCTCCTCGGCGTCCAATGCTTCGTAGCCATCCATCTCTTGAGGCCGCTTGTACAGGATATCGAGCATACGCTCCATCGTACCCAGATCGAGCTCGCCGTTTTCATCAAATTGCACTGGTAGCATAGACTCCGTCTCAGACGTAGTGGATGACCAGCCATGGAACGGCGCTACTGAGCCTTGACGCCAGCGGTAGTATTGCTGCACGATCAACAGCAGCGTCGTGATAGCTAGGATCCACAACAGTGTGCGCATCCGATCCTTGGAGCGCACAGGCATAGGAGCTGGTGCTTTTGCACCCCCCCGGCCAGGCGTGATACGGCTGTGGCGTCCCATGATCGACGTAGCAAACCAACGCCTCTTGATGGCGGGCGTAGCGCTCCGTCACGCTCCACCGTGTCACTTTTCATGTGGAGGCCTGGCTAGGGCGGCGGCGCTTTCCTCTTTCTCTTCGTTCATCTGCGCCTGGGAACGAGGGCCATATATACCCACTCTGCGCATCCCAACTCGAATTCACACGTGGTGGAAAGCTATGAGTGGAGCGAAGAGGTCTCAAGCTGAAGTGATTCAGGAGTGGGCGGATTTCGATGCGAACGGCGCTTCGTTTGAGCGTGGTCGTATGGAGGCGAATATCCAGTCGATTTGCTTTAACGACCCGGCCGGGGTGCCAGCGTCGCTGAAAGACAAGCACAAGGGCCTCAAAATTAAAGGATCTGATGTGTTGTACTTGGTATGTTCTGGGAGGTGACCTAACGTAGACCAACGAATTCCTCGTGGACCAGGATGTAGCGGGGGCTGCTCTGGTGGAAGCCCAGGGCGACGTTACCAAAGCAACCCAGCTTCTTCTACGTAATGCGACTATGTAATATCTTAAAAGTTCGTGCTTCACGGCACCTTGTCGCTAGGGCAAGGGCCACCTGGCCCCCCCCGTAAGCTCGGCCTCCTTGCCTACCGGCGACATGACCGATTAGTGCAGATCATGTCACGTGATAGTGTCGCTCACCCCGTTTTCCTGAGTCATTTGCATAATGTAGCTGCGCAAAAGGCTCCAAGGCTTCTGATCTGCCTTTTACACAACGATGGCTAGCATGCGGATGTATGCCAGCCGAATGAGCGCTATGCGCTCAACGATGCGCACGGCCAAGCACCAGGGACCACGATCTCTGGCTGTCCCAGCGTCGTTGCGCTCGTTGCACGCGAGCCGCACGGTGCAGATGTCCACCCGGCCAGAGCCTGCGCCTTCCTTCCAGTCTCGCTCCAGCCCGTCGCAGCTGCTCGACTACCAGTCGGGTGAGCTGGACGAATCGTTTATTGGTAAGACGGGTGGTGATATCTTCCACGAGATGATGCTGCGCCACAATGTGCACACGGTTTTTGGCTACCCAGGTGGTGCTATTCTACCAGTCTTTGATGCCATTTACCAATCAAAGCACTTTGACTTTGTGCTTCCGCGTCGTGAGGACGGTGCTGGCCATATGGCAGAGGGTTTTGCGCGTGCCAGTGGCAAGCCCGGTGTGGTCCTTGTGACGTCTGGTCCAGGTGCGACCAACGTGATCACGCCGATTCAGGACGCCTACAGTGACGGTGTTCCGCTGGTGGTGTTCTGCGGTCAGGTCGCTACGTCGGCCATTGGATCGGACTCTTTCCAGGAGGCTGATATGGTGGGTATCAGCCGCAGCTGCACCAAGTGGAACGTCATGGTGAAGAACGTGGCGGAGCTGCCTCGCCGCGTGAACGAGGCGTTCAAGATTGCGATGAGCGGCCGCAAGGGTCCGGTCCTGGTCGATCTGCCGAAGGATGTGACGGCTTCGGTCCTGAAACATGCCATTCCTCGCTCCTGGACCGAGCCTGAGCTCTCGCAGATGCCCAGTCGTGAGACGGCCATGCGTCGCGCGACTCGTTTGGGCGGTTTGTTGCACACTTCGAATGTGGAGCCCAACCTGGAGGAGGCTGCGCGCCTGATTAGCATTGCTAGCCGCCCTATCATCTACGCTGGCCACGGTATCTTGTCGCATGAGGATGGCCCGAAGCTGCTGCACGAACTCGCGACGAAGCACAACATTCCCGTCACGACGACGCTGCACGGTCTTGGTGCGTTTGATGAGCTCCATGACTTGAGCTTGCATATGCTGGGTATGCATGGATCGGCGTATGCCAACCTGGCCATGCAGGAAGCTGATCTGATTATTGCGCTGGGTGCGCGCTTTGACGACCGTGTCACGGGTCGTGTTGACAAGTTTGCGCCGGCTGCGAATGCTGCGGCGGAGGCGGGTGTGGGTGGTATTATCCACTTTGAAGTGATGCCGAAGAACATCAACAAGGTGGTCCAGGCTACCTGCGCTGTGGAAGGCGACGTTGTGGAAAACCTGGCGAAGCTTCTTCCGGAGATCTCTGCCACGCCGGACCGCAGTGAGTGGATTGCTCGCATCAAGAACTGGAAGGAGAAGCTTCCGTTCACATATGTGCCTTCGATGCCGGAGAAGGGCGAGCTGATGAAGCCGCAAGAGGTGATTGAGGCTTTGGATAGCGCTGTGTCGGCGTACAAGGACAATGTAATCGTCACAGCTGGTGTGGGTCAGCACCAGATGTGGGCCGCGCAGCACTACCGCTGGCGCCACCCTCGCTCGTGGATTTCGTCGGGTGGTTTGGGTACGATGGGCTTCGGTCTTCCTTCGGCAATCGGTGCCAAGGTGGCCAAGCCGGATCATTTGGTGGTGGATGTGGATGGTGATGCTAGTTTCAGTATGACGGCGATGGAGCTGGCTACGGCATCCCAGTACAACATTGGTGTGAAGGTGCTGTTGCTCAACAACGAGTTCCAGGGTATGGTGCTCCAGTGGCAGGACCTGTTCTACGACCAACGCTACTCGCACACGCAGATGCACAACCCAGACTTTGTGAAGCTGGCAGAGGCCATGGGTGTCAAGGCGCTCCGTTGCGACTCGCTGGCCGATCTTCCTGCGAAGATGAAAGAATTTATTGAGTACGACAACAACAAACCCATTCTGTTCGAGACGCGTGTCATCAAGTCGGAGCATGTGTACCCGATGGTCGCGGCGGGTAAGTCGCTGGAGGAGCAAGTGCTGCACCCTCTTCTGCGTGATCAAAAGTTGTAAACGTCCGCGCCCTCTGCATAGATAGCCTATCCATATTTGTAATTTCCTCCTTGGTTCGTACGTACGAGTGGAGGCATCCAAGCAGCCACGTGGAGTGACGACGATGTCACGCCAAGAGGCGTCTGACCTTCGCTCGTTCGTGGGCTTTTGGCTACGAGACGACTTGGGTTCGTAGCGACGCACGGGCCTATCTATCGCGGCACGATGGCGTCGTCTACGGCCAGCATCACGACAGCGTCCTCTGATATGGGCGGAGGCGCAAGTGCGACGCACGATGCATCGACGCAGTGGCTCTTTACGCGTGACGATCTTGCGCACACCCCGAGTGTAGTCGGGACGTATGCGACGCTGCCAGGCGCCTCGACCTCGTCGAAATCCACGTCGCAGGTCATGACTGTGGAACAGGAGCGCATCTTGCGTGGGAAAGGCGTGCATTTGATTTACAAGATGGGCGAGTTTTTGCAGGTGGGTCAGCATGTGATGGTCACGGCAGCTACGTACTTCCATCGGTTCTTTATGCGGCGGCCCTTGCAGGTGAGTCGCGCGAGTGGTGGATGGTCGCATTACGAAATGGCGGCGACGGCCATGTTCCTTGCATGCAAGTCGGAGGAATCGCTCCGAAAACTGCCCAGCATTGTCGATGCGGTGATGGCGTCGCTGGACAAGTCGCCAGAGGGCCAAATGCGATGGGCTGAGCGCTCCTATCGTGCCAATCATGCATCTCACGAGTATGCCAAGTGGCGCGACTGTATACTACTGCACGAAGAGACGCTTGTAACGACTCTGTGCTTCGACTTTACGGTGCCTCAGCCGCATGAATGCCTGGTTCGCGCTACACGTAGCTTGGAAGTCGAGCCGGCTGTCACCAAGCTTGCATGGACCATTCTTAATGACTGCATGCGTGACCCCACTTGCCTCTTTTACGATGCACCAGTTCTGGCTGCGGGTGCCTTCCTCAAGGCATGCCATACGCTGAAGATCGATCCCGCCATGTACTATGCGGCTCGACCCCATCATGCGCCCCCCGTGGAGAAAGACGAAGAGGATTACTTCGATTGGCTCGATACGTTTGACGTGGACGACGATGAGGCACGCGAGGCCATGCAGGCCATTGAGCAGGATGTGTATGACTTCCATATGCCATTGCAGCAGTCGCGTGCGTCGTCCAAGCCCAAAGTGGCCGCGGATCCGGACGAGTCGGTGGTGGCTGATACGACCATCCCTGAACCGCCGCCGACGAGCGCAACGGAGGCCACGGCCTCTACGCCGCAGGCGACCGTCAACGCAGCGGAACGGACTCGGTCTGCCTCGGTGTCCTCGCGCGAGTCAGGCGAAATATTTAGTTAGGGTATATATGTACTATGGGGTACAAGCACGCTGCAAGAGCTCGGCCAGGGACATGGGGTCGTACTCGTTGCGTGCATGGGCTGAGGCTGTAGCGGAGGCTGTCGCGGCGAAAATCACATCGTCGTCAATGTAAAATGTCACGCCCATTTTCCCATCGATATGCGGCGAAATCCGTAGAAGGGCAAACCCGGTTGTCGGCTCCAGCTGATTGAGAGCGCGCACAAACAAATCGTTGTCGGTGGCCTTTTCCTCTATCACATGACGAAGTGAGACTTCCTCCAACGTGGGTGGCGCATCCATGGGTGTGGCTTTTGCGGCCGGTGCATTTGTACGCGTTTGCGACGAGCGAGAGGTAGGCGTCACGTTCGGCGGAGGTAAGTCGACACGATCCGCGCCGCGATCCAGCGCTGCGTTGATGTGCCGAAGGCCACGAAGCAGCATGTGCGCTATGCCGTCCAACCGCGCCGTGGCGGGCGAAAACCATCCACGCCAGAATTCGTACCAAGCGCCAATATCGTGCCAAGAGACAGCCCCAGGCTGCGTGAGCCATTGATGCAAAATCATGAGCCATTTCGCGCCGAGCTCTGTCTCAAGCACACGGCTTAGCACGCTATCACGAAGCACACCCTGCCATGCCACGACCTGCGCCAAGAGGGTCATGTCCTGGTCACGTGGATCCACCACGAACTGCGTACGTAAGGCTTGTGAGAGGACAGGCACAATGCGCTCTAGCAGCAGGGCATCCCATTCTTTCGTGGCATACACTGTGCGCCAGTGAAGGAGTGCGGCAGGGACGCCGTCCGATACACGCCACGTCGATAGCACACGACGCCATTGCCGTCGAGTGTCGTGGAGAATCATGTCGAGCCGTGCCTCACACAGAGGGAGCCATGGCAAAACAAACACATGGAGAGGTATCGACGTCGAGAGCGTCCAGGCCTGCACGGCTCGCTCCAGTTTCGGCAGGATCAACTGATCGAGCACATTGTCGAGCACAAACGCCGGGAGCACCGGCCGCCATGCCTCGACCAAGCCCACGGCTGGCGCTGCATCGTAGACGTCCCATGCATTGGTCAACGTCGTGCGGATGGTCGGCATCCATACGTTCCACAGCACGCTTTCCCACGGGGTCATGGGCCGTGGCGTTGTGTCACTCGTCGCCGGCTGCATTTGGAGGATGGGCAGCCATGCTTGGAGTTGTGTGATATGCCGATGAGGCTCGCGCAAAGGATCCCACGTCGCCATGCTCTGTCGCAGTACAGGCACCAGCGCCCCGGCCACGGCCTCGTCCAGGCCGAACGCTTGAATGACCGCTGCATCGCATTGCACAAGGCGATCGATGGAGGGAGCTAACGTCTCAAGCGATGTGGCATGCGCTGCGTCGTCACTCAACGTCGTCAGGGCGTCCAGGACGGAGGCGAGTTGCGTTCGTTCTGCCTGCTCTTTCTGCCATCGAAGACTGGACGCTTCCACATCGCGTCGAAGCCATCGGGCCTTATCGCGCAAGGCCATCCCGTGATGTGCAAGCTTATCAAGAGCTTCTTTTTGGCCCTTGCATAGCAAACGCAAATTGTGACGCAGCTCAGGCAGCTGAGCGCTGTCGCTCGTAGGCACAGGGTGCCGGGCTAGGGCGGCGGCTACCGACGCCACTTCTTCGGCATCGCCTCGCGTGGCATCCAGCACAGGCGCGTCCGGCGGTACACCTGCCGCCTCTGCCATAATTTCGTCGTAGGTTCGATATACCACTTTGGGTTTTTGTCGCAGTGTCCGTTTCTTCCAGGCTGTAGAAACATCTTGTGTCGTAGCTTTGGCCGTCGTTCCTTTGTCGTCCTCCTCGTCGCTTTCCATAGGAAGACCGGCACGTCGTCGCTCTTCCTGGCGTTCTTGCTTAGTCTTTTCGCGACGGCCTCCAAAGGCGACACCGGCACGCGATGGTCGAAGTTGCACTTCAATGGGGTTGACAATACCTTCGCCTTCTTTGCCTAGACCACCGCCTGTCCAACCCATTTGGCGCATGTACGCGGCTGGATCGAATCCGCCCGAGCCAGAGGTACGCGAGAGGGCCGGGCCGGCCGTGTGCGGCGCAGGAGCGGCGCCTAGACCAGGACGTCGATCCTCGTCTTCATCCACAGCCATGGAGGCTGGTGGCGAAGTCCTGCCAAGGCCCGCACCAAAGGTACGCTTGGAAAACGTGCTAGGCTTCTCGTCCTCTTTGTCTGCGGGTGTCGCACGTACAAACGAAGGGAAAGTACGTCGTGACGACGTCGACGATGATGATGCGCCTTGTGCTGGTACAAAGGACGGGGCGCGTTGAGATGTCGTTGTGTCAACATCAGACGGCACAGAGTCGTCCGAGTCCGATCCCTCCTCGAGAAACCCATTCTTTTTTCGAGGCATGGCTTGTGCACACGCACGTCGCCTCGTCCACGTCGTCGTTGTCGTTGTCGTTGTCGTCGCAACGCGACACACGCCTCCGATCCATGGCCCTACACGCTGACTAAGCGAGCTGGCTGTCGAGAAGTAATATATATATATATATATATATATATATATGTATATATATTTTCATCTATACATGGCGACCGCAAGCAAACGAACGATATGGACAAAGGCGTACCATACGGTCATACATTATGAAGACGTCAGATCATCCTCTGGGGTAGCCTGAGGTTCTTTGTCTTCGGCAGCGACGGTCGTAGGTGTCGTCGTATCAACAGCCTCCGAAGAGGCATCTGTAGGTGCCTCTGCGGTCGATTCTTTCGTAGTCGTGTCCATCAACGTAGCAGCAGGTGTATCGTTGTTTGAGCTGGCCGACAACGTAGCATCGTTCTCCTTCTCTTTCTCTGCCTCGACCGGTGGGGGCGTATCGCGGGGTTCATGATGGCGTGCCTGGCTTTCTGTATGTACATCCGTCGGCGTCGGCGTATCCCCAACTGGGGCCTCTGCGGCCGCATTGGTCGTTGCCTCTTCAATTGTCGGCGACGCTGGGGTCGTATGGGGCGCAGCATTGCCTGTCGTTATCAATTCAGAGGTGGAGCGTCGCGCGTTTTCGCCGCCGTGCTTGGAGCTAGCTTGCGAGCTGCGACTGCCCTTCTTGCGTGGCTTCTTTACAGACATGTCTGAAAATGATAGATCATGGCTCACGTCGCTCATACGCGGCGTCTCTGGCGGCGGCGGAAGCGGCCGAGGGGCGCGATCCGTGGCCGCCAGCGTCGAATGGCCAGCGTCCGAGTCGCGCGGCGTCGAGTGCGACATCTTCTGCGAGGTGCGCCGGGCCAGCGGCGTATAGGTAAAGGTGCCGCTGGATTTGCGTTCGTGTAAATGCATGAGGCCAGACCGCGTCGAATCATCCTGCAATACGAATCGCTGCATTTCCGCTTGCTGCGACTGCTGCCGCATAGGCTGGGACTGCGAGCGAGCGAGGCGTGGCGTGCGCTCAGCATCGAGGCGCGGCATTGATTCGGTGCGGGAGAGCGACACAGCACGCGCGCCGTCCTGCATCGGACTCTTCTCTGCATCCTCCGTCGGTCCCTCGTCGCCTGGCGCAGCATACGAGGGAGGCGCGAGCATAGGCTGGAACTCCTGCACCGGACGGTACTGCAGCATGCGTTTGCTGCCGGAGCGCGTGTGCTGCATGCGCAAATCGCGCGACGACGGAGTCGACTTGAAGCCGGCGTACGTGCCTGCCTCGAATTGCGTACCCCATGGCTGGGACTTGGAGGCGAGCGTACCTTTTGAGCGGCTGGGGTGGAGTCGCTGGCCGCGTTCGCCCATCGATTCGTTGGACGCACGTTTGCTCACGGATGTCTCTTCGTTCAGCAAGCGATACTGCGCGACGCTGCGGCCGTCCAGCGACGCCAATTCCGCACGTTCACGATCACGTTCATGCGGCGGGAAGAACGGCGTGTTGCGGTTGATACTGGCCGCTGCCCGCTCACTGCCGTTCATCGTGCGTGAGGCTTTGTTGTTCAGCGCATCATACACGCTCATGACCGACGCATCGGCTGGATCGGGCGGTGGATACAGCACGTTGCCTTCCTCGTACTGCTCGCGCAGCCAGGCAGGCAGGACGCCACGCTCCCGGCCATAGTACGATGGTTTGGGCGCAATGGTATGGCCCGCATCCAGAGGTTCGGTATAGGCATCGCCATGCGATCGGAAGTCCTGGGAGGCAATCAGCGATGACAACTTGTTCGCCGACGTAGTACGGCGCTTGGTATGCAAGGACAGGGCCTGAGGCGGGACTTCTTGGCCGGTCAGCAAATGGGGCTTATCCCGCTCAAACTGGCCGCTAGAGCTCGATAGGACCGTGAATGTTTTTGGCCGTGATTGGCGCGAGGCTTTCTTGAATTCACTGCGTGCATTTAGGCTGGCTTGGATGAGCGGGCTAACTTGCTGCCACGGCATCGGCGCCGAGGGACGCTGTGCTGGCACGACGAGGGGCGAGTCCATTTTGGACGCTTCCGGCTCCTCGTGCGGCAAATCTGTGATGCCAGCCGCCGACGAGGACGCGGCGTGCGGCGCCGTATGTGGCCCGCGTGCAATCACCGGCATGGGCCGCACGACACGCGGCTCTGATGGGTTGAGTACCACCTTGTGGTAGCCCAACTCTGGCGGGTCCTGCGGTGGCGGCATGCTCGAGGCGGAGGCCTGGGTCGATAAGGGCGCCATCGGTACATCGTCAGACGACATCTGCCGCACCGGCGCCCGCATCACGGACGAGGCGCGGCTGTCAGGCATCGCATGGTAGTCAATCACCGACGCGGAGCTGGGAGCGCGTGATTGGGTACGGCTGCGTGCATGTGGTCGTCGTTTCCGTCGTTCCGGCGGGGTAGCTGCGGTGAGACGTGGGCATCGTACGTACTCTGCGTAAATAGCAAATCATGCGTGGCCGTATAGCCCTGCTGCGCCCACGCAGCGAGGCGGACCATGGCATAGAAATGCCCTCGTTGGATGCCCATGGGCAATCGCTCAAACAACGTCAAGATCTGGCGTGAGTCTCCAAGGGCACGTACGCTCACTTCATCTTCCACGGAGATCCCCAGTTCGCTACGCAAGAACTTGACCGCCGCATGCTCGTCCAGCAAGCCTTCCCGGCGTGAGTGGGCCGGTTTGATACGGTCGACCCACTGCGTAAATGCGGCATACTCTTGTGGGGAGAGCGCTGATACGTCCAAGTAACTCGGGCGTGCGCTATTGTGCATCGCCGTTCGCGCCATCGTAGGCGTGGACGGTGCGCCCGATACGCTGGCCCGCACAGCGCTGGGCGACGTGTGGGCCGCCGCGTTGGGCGACCATGGCGCGGCAGGGTGCACAGGCATGCTGGACTGCCGCATGGCCCAATCGCTTGTGCGCGAGGATATAGTCGTCGTCGCGGCGGACGGCTCTGGACGACGAGGTGATGTGGCCGCGGCAGCAGGCGCTGCAGCGCCGGCCGCCTCCCTGGCAAGGGGCGCCTCCTCTTCCATGGAGGTCATAAGCTCACCTACACAAACACACCGACCCTAGATACAAGGCAATGTACGTCTAATACCCCGAGGCTAGTGGATCCGCTGAGGTCAAAGCGCAGGTGCGATAGATGCCCCAATCTAAAGCGGGCTATGTCGGTGGGCGTGCCGTCCGCCGTCGCCCAGCTGGCGAGAGGGCCTGGCGCGGCCGACTTGGTCACGTGGACATTGGCACGGTACGCGCAGGCCACGCGTCGGACGCAGGAACGAGATCACGGCGGCGACAGCTTAGGCAGGATGAGAGAGTCGGTGCATATCGTCCACGTACAGCTGGTAGCTGCGCGTCCCTCGCCATCCTTCAAATCGCATGGCCTCCGTATGGATCGACTTCGATGAGGTGCTAGAGAATGCTACGCCGAGCATGGCCAAGGGCGCGTCGCGGTAGCAGGCATGCTCGTACCGAGTCGCCCGTTGCACAAAGTCACGTACATACGCCTGTACACAGCGGCGTACAAACGTCTCACTCGCATGGGCCTTGGTCGCCTGCAACATCTCTTGCACGCGGATCAGCTCGTGAGCGTTCGGTCGCTCATCGCCGCCTCGCCATACCCTCTCGCGCTTGCTTTCGTCGTGGTACGCAGCCCAGCGAATTTGCGTCGAGACCGTAACCAGGCCCGTCTCACAGTCGCAGCATACGTCCCACAATCCCATCTCTTCCATACGTGGGTGCTTGGTCCCTGCAATAAACCACGGCATGGTCTGGAGCTGGTCTACATTGACCAGCGTCGCGTACGGCATGGTATACTCCAAGAACCCACGCAAGACAGCGCCACATCCACTGGTAAACGCACATGCAGCCAACACAAAGTCCACCACAGTTTGGGCCGGTGAGTGGTAGGCTACAAACAGCACGCGTTTTTGCGAGAGGAGCGCATTGAACAGCACAGTGAGGGGGAGGGTATAGGCGCCATTCGTATGCAAATGCGGATGCATAGGGCCTCGCACATACGAAAAGCGGCTAAACGTCGAGAAGAGGAGCGTGAGAGAATACGCGCCCACTTCTTCAGGGAACAAGATCAACGGCACTGTCATGGGGATCGTCACACCAGCATAGTTCATGGTATACTCGTACATTTCCCAAGCCTTGGTCAACAATCGGGGCTCGGAAATGGTGTACCGGGGCTTGGACCGCAAAAACCCTGTGGAATGCCGTCGCATTTTCGACGGTATCCATGACGTGCGCTGCACGCCAGGCGTGCGACTCGCTCGCGACGCATCCATGACACAAGCGGGGGGTAGCGTATACATACTCGCAGACGAGAACGGCACAGGCAGATGTTTCTCCAGCGAGGCTGCGGGCTTCTCAGCGTGGACGCCGCTCGCAGGTAGCTGTGGTGCCTGTGTGCGGAGGCACAGCTTGTCCGAGTAACTTAGACGTGGTAGCAGAGACAGGTCCAATTGATTGAACGCATCATACAGCGTACGCAAGACCCTCCTATCATGTGTGTGCTCGTAGGCATCCAAGGCTAAAATCATAGCGGGCTGGCATGAGTCTCACACGTGCACACATACTTTAAACATGCTCAAGTACGGATGCATCGTACCGATAGCAATGGCCACGTGCATGGCGCCGCTGTCATTAGCCTTGTCCAACGTACCGAGGTGCCTCCGTTAGTTTGTACGTACGTGATGCACACAATATGTAAATTTGCGTACCATCCTGCGCGCGTCCGAACCGCGACTTGTCCAGTACATGCGCCGGTCGTTGCGGGATGGCAGGAAGTCCCGTCAGTGCACTAATTGGGCGGTACAGAACTGTCCAATCCTGCTGTGATATATGCAAGCCGTCCGGAATCATCTGCTCCGCCAGGATTGCCTCGTCCAGCCCTGTTGCACAAGGCACGCTGGATTGCAGCGTGGCTCCACGCTCTGCATCAAAGGCAGCTAAGAGGCAAAATTGGCATAGTGCTGTAGCATGCATCCCCTTTTGTGCAAGCAGAAGGGGGAAGTACAAGATCGCATGACGATCGTCTTTCTGCTGCTCCAAGCGCGCACGTCACGCTCTGATCACGGCGCTGTCTGGTGCCTGTACGGCGCGGTGTGGGGTGCAGCAGGCTTCCCAGCACTCTCTCCACACGCGCGCTCGCGCACGTGATCTCAACACCGACACCCATCCACAGCGCGGCGTTGTGGGACGACGCGTATTCAGAGGGTGTGTGCCTACCGGATGGCGCCAGGCTCACGTAGCACGGCTCCGCCCGCTAAAGCGCCACCACTCCCATGGAAAGATTTACTTCAGGTGATCACAGCGGCCCGGCCTCTGCGTCGCGCTGATGTGGCCGCGGTCATTGCGCACCTGGGCGCCGGTACGTTGGCACGTGCTTTGTCGCTCTACACGAGCAGCTCCACGCTGCCTACGTCTGCTGGTGTGGGCTGGCATGCGGATGCATCCTGGGAGGCCTCGCCGAGTCGTGTGCGTATGGCCAAACAAACAGTCAATGCCGTGCTTACGGCATTGCAGACAATGGCCTCGGCTCGTGCTGCGCCGAAAGTGGACGTGGTGCTGCCGCACATCGACTGCTTCCGTATTGCTATGAGTGCACTCGAAGTCTGCGGTACCGATGCCTCTGTTCTGGCTCCTGTCGCCCTCTCAGTACTTCGGCGGATGAGTGCGCTGCCGTGTGCGTCGCAGGCCCTGACTGAGCTCGTCGCGTTGTGCATGTACCTGCAGCGTGACGCGTCGTCGGCGTGTGTCAGTGTGCATGAGCCAGGAACACCACATACTCGTCTTATGGCGATAGTGCATGCGAAGGTGGACGAATGCAACTATGCGTACTTTACCGAAGCCCTAGCGTTGGCTGTGGCCTGTGGCCTTCCTCTTCTGACGTCGGTCGACGAGGTGGCCTCCCTGTGGCCTGCGCTGTATGCAAATTACGAACTCTTTCTTCCCTTGGCGACCTGCACGGACGAAGTGACGCGCCTTGCGTATGCGACGGAACGTGCTATATCCCATGCGCTAAGCTCTGCGCCGTCGTCCGAGCATGCATGGCCCCTACGGCTCGGCACGCTGCGTATGTTGATACCCATTTCTACCATTGACGATGATGCCTTATGGCAGCGCGTGCTTCGTGTATGCCAGTACCACGTGCGTACGCACGGCCAGGATTCACTGCGTGCCGATATGCCCGCCTTTTTGACGTGGGCCGAGGCACATCAGCGCTTGCAAGGCGCTGCCTACGATGCCTTTCTGCAATGGATGTCGATGCAGGGCCTTTCCGACGCGTTATCGTCTCAGGAAGAGGCTTCAGCGCCTCATGCCGTGGACGCCACGACGACCCTGCAAGCGTGTATGTCGCTGCAAGACGATGATCTCGCTGCAGCGCTGCCGTTGTTTTCCGTCCCATTGGCATCGGACGTGTCGTCGAGCCTACCGCGTGTGATGCGTGGCTTCCTGGGGCAGGTCAACGATACCCCTCTTTCACCAACGGCCCTCACGTTCGTGGAAACGGCCTGGCCGGCCTTCCTCGCGTGTCGCTCGGACGAGCGCCCATGGCCGTACGAAGTGGATGCTGTGCATCTCGCGCATACGGTATGCCAAGCGACCTTTGACGAGGCTCAGCCTGGGACGGCGCGCGTGTCGATGTGGACGGCTATGCTACCTTTATCGTCTGCACCCACTGCGTTTACCATTAGCACGCACCTGTTTCACTATGGAAGTCGGCTTTATGCCACGCAGGCGTACGCTTACGCTGCGCCATGGATCGAGGCGGCATGTCGTGCGTGTGAGCATGCGCTCTCGTCTGACTCGGCGCAGGACGCCTGGTACGAAGCGTACTATAAACAGACTCACGTCTTAGGCGGCGCCTACCAGCACATGGCCCAATGGGAGTCGGCGTACCGCGCCTATGAACGCGGGGCCTTGTTGACAAAGAGGTACTTGGAAGCCCACGTATCGACATTGGATCATCTGACGCCGCCCCCCATGATTGTGCGTCTGTGGACGAGTGCGCATCACGTCGCTGTTTTTGGCCTATTACAGCCGCGGCTGGTGCTGGACGTGATAGCGGCGTGGCCTGCAACTGTGCGTACGCCGATTCACGTATGGCTCATGGAAGCGCTGCGACCTATGCTGCTTCGTGACGATGCGCCTGCTGCGTTTACCACGACCATGGACGACGCTCTCGCGGCTCTCGATCCCACCTTGGCGCCGGGGGCGAGCACGCAACTCTGGCTTGGCCAGGCGGAATGGCAGGTGCTACGGGGGGATCCCATATCCACGGGCCCTGTGCTCGCCACGGCGGCCAAGCTACCAGCGTCGCCGCATCGTGAGTATGTGTATGGCGCATGGCACCTTCTGCAGTGCCTGGCTTCGATACGTGCGTGTGAGTATACCGAGGCATTGGATGCCATGGCGCAGGCCGAGAAGCCATCGCTGTCGTCCGCGCCGCGTCGCACAGCACGGACGATGCGTACACGAAGCACTCGCACAAACCAGGCACAGACACCACGTACCCCGCCAGCGCGCACTCCATCGCAGACCACCAAGTCAGAGACGCCTCGCGTTCCTCCGCTCGTCGCGCTTTGGGACTTGGCGGCAGAGGCATGGCTGCATGCAGGCATGCCAGGCGCCGCGATCCGGGCCTGGCATGCTGCGTTGGCGGCGATGCCAGAGGCTGCATCGACGGCTATGTACCGTACCATCCAGCATCGCCTTGCCGACGTATGGCTCGCGCTCGAGGCTGTGGAGGCGGCAGCTCAGTGCCTGCCTGCGTTGGACGATGATATGCCTGCTCGATGGCACTTGACGCATGCGCACGTCGCTGCGAAGCAGGGCGATATAGGACGTGCACATGCGCTGTACACGCAGGCGATAGCGGCCGCGTCGCAAGCGACGCCTGAGCCTACCTCGGCCTGGGATCGTTGGCAGGCCAAAGTCGCTCGTGTGGACTTGCAAGCGCACGCCACAGACGTCCATGTCGCTCTTTGTGTAGCGTCTCATCAGTACGCGTATGCGTTGCGATCGAGCTTGCACGCCTTGCGTCTGCGTCTGCGGATGGCGATGGTCGTATCCCAGGTCGGTCGTGTGGCATCAGACGATGAAGATGTGTTCGACTCTGCATCGTCGCAGGAAGCGCCAGCGGGGCCACGAATTACTACGCGCGCATGGGCGATGTGGCATTGGCGGACAGGCACGTCTCTCCATGCCGCATACCTTCGTCAGAGTCGTTTGCATGCACACCGCGGCGCCGTGCGCGATGCAGATGCGTTTGCCAGAGAGTGTGTCGACTTTTCCGCAGAACGTGGTGTGCCGCTGGTGTACGCAGAAGCTTTGGCATGGCGCGCAACGTGGCTTGATGCATGTGGCCAAGCTGACGAAGCACAGCAGGATGCACAGTTGGTGCGTGGATATGCACAAGGTCATGCTGTGCCTGCGCAGGTATGGACCTCGCTTCTCTCTACGCAGGAGGACAGCGAGGCAGCAAGGGATTGGTACGACCAAGTCTGTGCGTCGCTGCCCACCTCGCTTCCTGTTCTCACGACATTGCGCGATTACCTTCTTTGTCGTTCCGCATCCGCAACGTATGCACAGACCAACGACCTTTCGGCCGCCATGGATGCGCTCGCTGATGCGGATTCTCCTACAGCTTGGACTGTTCGTGCCCAGCTGCATCATCGCGAAGCACAGCGTGTGCTTCGCACAGATGCGCTCTACGCCATGCTCCCTGAGATGGCGCGGCTCATGCCGGGCGTGGCTACAGCTCCCAGCCGACCTTCCGCGGCTGCGAAGCGAGCGATCGCGCATGTACAAACGGCTATGGCCGAAGCGCGCCGTGTACTCGATGCGGAAGCCCAAGCAGACCTTCGCGATGTACGCGCGGCCTTAGACACGTGCCGTGATGGGGTCGTGACACAAGCCCTGCTTACGCACATGCATTACGACGCGGCAGGCCGAGACGCTGCGTTGTATGCGCATGCAGCGTGCACGATCTCTGTGCAACGGGATCTAGACGATGCCCTGATCGCACGCCAACGCATCGAGTCGGCTTATCCAGCAGCGTTATCGCACGACAAGGCGGCACCCCGGCCATGGGTCTTGAACGGTATTGAATGGCCAGCCACTGAAATGGCCCTTCTTATGATGCTTTCGCACGACCGACAGGACTTGATCTGTGCTCGCTTCGGCGATGGCTACCCTCCGCTGCATGTCTCTATTCCCATTGCGCGGCAGTCGCATCGCGATGGGGACGAAGAGGCATGGACCGTCGATACAGTGTTGGCGACGTTGTCAGATATGGTGCATACCTCGAACGAGCGCGTTCAAGGTGCAAAGGATGTGACTGCGCTGGACGCCCGCAAGGCATGGTGGACAGAGCGACGTGCGATGGACCAGTCGCTGGGCTCTCTGTTAGCGACGATTCAAGCGACCTGGCTGGGTGCTTTCCTTGGCCTGTTTTTCGCATGGCCACCGCCCAGCCAGCTGGAGGCCTGGCGTGCTAAAGTGGATGTGCTTGTTCATCGCGCATGCGGTGCGCATCCACGAGCTCGATCCAAAGCTCTCGGCACGGTGCCCTTACCTGCCATGGCGTGCCTAGTCGCGATGCCTTCGTATGAAAACGACGCCTTGGAAGATTGGCTACACTTTGCTATGGATGCCATTCAGCAAAGTGGCGCGCCTGTAGCGCAAGATGAAGTGGATCTGGATGCCTGCTGTGTGGATTTGCGTGGCCTTCTGGACGAATGGCACGCTCGATGGACGCCGCCGGAGGATCATCATCTCTCCCTCTTGCTCGATGGCGCACTGACACAGATACCCTGGGAATCCATGCCGGCCCTACGTGCCCACTCTGTGACACGACGTACCTCCTTCCAACCCTATGAGCCGCCTATGACACTGTCACCTGCACGCACGGCCTACGTACTGAACCCAGGCGGCGACCTACACCGAAGTGAAGAGCGCTTTGCGCCGCTCTTCCAAGCGCAGTCGACATGGCAAGGCACCATTGGCACACCGCCATTGATGGACCAGATTCCCACCGCCCTGGCCACACAAGATACCTTTTTGTACATCGGCCATTCTGCGGCTGAAATGTACATGCATCCTACACGTCTACGTGACTTGACGCGGTGCGCCGCTACAATGTTGTGGGGCTGCTCCAGCGCAGCGCTTCGTGTGCATGGCACATACCCCCCTAGTGGCACGCCCTACCTGTACGCACTGGCACAGTGCCCTTCATTAGTGGTGGCCTTATGGGATACTACTGATCGGGAATTGGATGGGGTATGTCACTATGTACTGCAGCATGTGGGCTTGCTGCCTGGCAGTGAGACGACGTGCACATTACCTCGCGCCATGGCCATGGCTCGATCCCAGTGCAAGCTGCCCTTCCTTACAGGTGCTGCATGTGTGGTATATGGTACGCCCGTATCATGGTGCAGCGGTCGGCGTTGAGGTATGGCGTTGTAGCGACTTCCATAGCGTATACATATCGCGTTCCAACTGCGTCAATGTCTGGTGCGAGGCACTCCGTTGCGTCTCCAGTTGCGCCAATTGCTCGCGGAGCGCTTTCTCTTCTTGCTCCATACGTCGTCGCTCATCCAAGTCGCTCTGGAGCCGCTCAAGCATGAGCGTATGCTTCGCTTGCGTATCCAGCGCCTCATCCATCGATTCCGCAGCTACAGGCAGTTGCTCATAAACCAAGGCCAGGTCACGGCACGCCTCAATTTGCTCGCAAAGTGCCGATGCTTCAAAGCGGTGCACTTCCAACGTACGTGCAGCATCGTCCATCGTCTGTCGTGCCTCTGCCACGTCCATGTGACGTTGCGCTTGCGCGTCATATGCGTCACGATTCATACGTTTCAACTCCGCGAGCCATGGTGTGAGATTCGTCAGCAAAGCCAGCCGCGTCTCGCGTGAAGCTCCTGGCGCTACAGGGTCGACAAGGCGATGCACTGCATCCACCACGGTACTCGACGCCATACTGCGTCGTCGTGGTATGTCTACTACGTCGCTCTATTGAGACCAACCCACCTAGGCGTCTGACTAAGCCGTGCTAAGCAACGCCCTCCACACCTGATCCACCAACGCCGGTGCGTCGTCGTCCAGCACCGGCGCCAGCGCTTCTTCAATGTCGTGGGCGTCTGCATGATCACGGAGCTTCTCCATAGCGGCATCACATAGATCCGGAACGCTCTCCCCAAAGCTCTCGGCAATGCCCGTGTCGAGCAACGAAGCAATGCTGGGCCAGTCGACGTTGGCCCAATCCGGTGTGATCGCCCATAATGTGTCACGAGAGAGAGAGGCAATATGCGCCATTCGTGCTTCGGGCGAGAGGCCACGCACCTGCTCGAGAAGCTCTGCTCGAGCACGATCGCCCGGTCGTTGCTCGACATGGTGGACTTGGAGCTTGAGGGGAGCGCCTTGCGAGGGACGCCAAGCAGGCGCCGCGGTATCGGTATCCAGCGAGGCGAAGAAGGCATCGGCCTGCCGCTGTCCTTCCACCTCTTTCTCTTTCTGCGCTGCGCGGTCGCTGTCGTCCTGCGCCACTTCGCGATCACGCACCGAGGCACGCTGCTGCAGCCATCGTCGTCTGTTGTGTGAGCAAGTCCCGACGTACCTATCTGTCCAGAACAATTCGAGGGCCAATTCGTCGTCTTCGGACATCGCATCCCAATGGGCGCGTGTCTGCACGGGATCGCGCGATGGGGTATGAGCGGCCCATGCAGCGAGACGTTCACGCTCGCGGGCCAGGTACGCGTCTTCGGCTTGGCGTCCTTCGCGCTCTTTCTTGGCTTGCTCCTGTTCGCGTCGTTGTGCTTCCCGCTTCTCATCGTCGGCTTCCGGATCGTCTATCGTTATTTCGGCGCTGGCCGCCGCAGTCGGTACAGGACTAGCACGAGCCTCCTGCGCAGCAAGCATCGCGTTCCTCTGCCGTTCCAGCTCAAGCTCCTTACGTCGGCGGGCAGCATCACTTGCCACGGCGCCAAGCCGGAACTTTTCGATCTCTGACATGACATCCTTGCGACGCTCGGCTGGAATTTCGTGTACAGGCAAATCTTTCAGGTGCGAAGGAATTTCAAAACGTTCCGGCTCCTCCCCTGTATCGGCATTGGGCGACGCCATCGCCTGCAACACGAAATCCACACGTGAACGTGCGGCGGCATCCTGCAAGGCATCGGCGTCGGTACGCACCATGGTTTTCTCAAATTCGCTGAGGAACGCACTGGTTTTTTCATCAGCTTTGACAATGAGCTTTTTTCGAGGCTGTGTACGTTCTGCACCCATGCTAGGCAGCTCCAAATCATGCAAGACATGCAGCACACGAAGCGCATCACGCAGCGTCGTAAAGTCGGCAAACCCAAACGCCTTGCTCACGCGCTTGAATGAACGGTACCCACCACATGCCTGGAACAGCTGCACCAGCCACCGATCGCTCACACCCGGCGAAATCCCACCGACAAACACCGTCGACACGGTCTCGAGACTCGCGCCGCTCATCGTGCCGCTGTGCTCGTCGTCGACCGTCGCGTGGCACGCAGTGGAGGTCCTGGCGGCGGCGGCGGCAGCAGCGCCGCCCCCGCCCCCCTGCCCAGCGGATGGAGGCGTGTACGACTCGTGCCAGCAAAAACGTGACCCCCCGCGGCGCAGCGAGCCTTCGTCGCGACGACAAGATGGCGTCCACGCAGCCGCGCCCGCCGCCGCAGCTGCCGCCTGGCTGGACCACACAGTGGTATGTATTTGAGGAAGCTGACGTCCAGGGATGAAGGTGCAGGCCGTCAAGTGTATGTGGAATCGGCGACTGGCCGCGTGAGCTGGAACCCGCCGATGATGTCGCCCACACGGCCTCCAGGCCCCCAGCGCGCTCATCCGGCAACAGCGCATCGTATGTCCATGCCTGTGAATCCAGTATCGCGTCCCATGCCACCTCAGGCTGGCGCTCGTCCAGTGCGCCCAGCGCCGATGCATGGCCGCGCGCCCAGTATGCAAGTCCAGGGCACTCGTGTGCCGTCTGGCGCTCGTCCGCCTACGCGAGCGTTCTCGGGCTCCATTTCCGTGTCCAATCCCTCAGCGATGCGCCCCTCTGTGCCATCGCAAAGTACGTCTGGGCCGACTTCGCCGATGCTCGGCGCTACCGCACGCCCGATGCGGCCTGGGGCACCGCCTCTTCGTCCTGGCGCTCCAGGCCGCCCAGGCCATGCCGCGAGTGCTAGCGTATCGACACCCGTGTCGCCCGGCGCAGCCACGCGGCCGCCGCGGCCTGCCGTGCGCCCTACACCAGCACGCCCTGCGCTAGCGAGCCGCCCACCCCCTGGCCCTCGTCGTCGTGCGTACCCTACCGCGCACATTGCGGCGCATAGTATTAGCTACTCGGGCGGCTACAACGATGTCCCGATGATGGGCCAGGAGCCCAGCTCGACGTTCACGCCTGCGACAGTGGGTCATATGCCTACCCGCAGTGTGTCTGCGGTGCATACGCCCACGCGCACGATATCGGCGGGCCATGCGCCTATGCCTTCGGCTGCGCCTGCGACGGCCTCGTTCGCCGTGCCGGAAGGTACGTTGGTCCCTGCGGACATGGCAGGCGGCACGCCGCTATCGGCACAAGCTGCGACGCCCGCCGCGGCGCCAGCGCCGGCGCCGGCGCCTGCGCCGAGTGTGAATACCATGACAGAGCAGATGCAACACATGCAAGTGTCGCAGCCGCCACGCATGGGCAACCAAGTGCAGAACACGGTCGTCGGTGCGCAGCCGCCTGTGATGAGCGAGCTGGAGGCGCAGCCGCCGCCGATCTGCTTGCCGGCCGGTGCCACTGTGACGCCCTCGTTGAAGTGCAATGCGGATCCCTCGTACCAGCGTGTGACACTTACCGCGGTGCCTTCAACGCATGCTCTTGCGACCAAGTTAAAGCTGCCACTCGCTGTGATTCTATCACCGATGCGGAGTGTGCGTCCAGAGGAGGGCGACGAGCCTGTGCCGCTGGTGACAGACTCGGTGATTGCGCGGTGCCGTCGTTGCCGTACGTACATCAATCCGTTCGTGACGTTTGTGGAGAATGGCTCGCGTTGGAAGTGTCCCATGTGCTTGATTTCCAACGAGGTGCCCCAGCTCTTTGACTGGGACCAAGAAACGAACCAGCCAGCTGACCGCTGGAAACGCCCCGAGCTCAACTCGGGTGTGGTCGAGTTTGTGGCGCCGCGTGAGTACATGGTCCGCCCACCGCAGCCGCCCGTGTACGTGTTTGTGATGGACGTGACGTTTGCGGCGGTGTCGAGCGGCATGATCTCCACAGCAGCGAGCACTATCTTGAATGCACTGGACTCGATGCCGAACAAGGATGATCGTGCGAAAGTGGCGTTCATCGGGTTTGATTCCCAGCTGCACTTTTTCCGCCTCGTGCCGGGTCAGACGGAGCCGTCGTTGCTTGTCGTCACAGACTTGGACGACGTATTCCTGCCGCAGCCGAACGACTTATTGGTGAGTCTGACGGAGTGCCGCAGTAGTATTGAAGGGCTCCTGCGTGGTCTCGCGAATATGTACAAGCAGGCCGTCGCGTCGCCCTCGGCGCTCGGCGCAGCACTGCAGGCTGCGTTCAAGTTGATTTCCGGCTCGGGCGGCAAGATTGAAGTGTTCACTGCCTCGCTCCCGAGTGTGGGCCCAGGCGCGCTGAAGATGCGTGACGATAAGAAACTATACGGTGGACCTCGTGAAGCGACGCTGCTGACGCCTGGCTCGCCATTCTACAAGACGTTCCCGATTGAGTGTTCGCGCAGCCAAGTGTCGGTGGATATGTGGCTGTTTGGCCCTGCGTACATTGATGTGGCGACGCTCTCGTGCTTGCCGCGGTACACGGGCGGCCAAACGTTCTACTACCCCACGTACGACTTGCAGCACCCCGAAAATGCACGCAAGTTTGCACACGAGCTGCACCAGGTGCTTACGAGTCCCATCAGCTACGAAGCCGTATTGCGTCTTCGTGCGTCACGTGGCATTCGCACGACGTCGTTCCACGGCAACTTTTTCGTGCGGTCGTCGGATCTGCTGGCGCTGCCGAGTGTGCCGTCTGACCAGGGGTACATGATCGAGTGCGAGGTTGATGAGCCGCTGCATGTGCCGTACGCGGTCTTCCAGAGTGTGGTGCTGCACAGCACGTCGGACGGCGAGCGTCGTATCCGTGTGATGACCACCGCTGTGCCCACGACATCGAGCCTCTCGGAAGTGTATGCGAGTGCCGACCAGGTGGCGATTGCCGGCTACCTGGCCCGCAAAGCCGTGGAAAAGTGCATCACGTCGCGCCTCGACGATGCGCGTGGCCTGCTCCGCTCGCGTCTCACGGACATCTTGCAGGCGTACCGCAGCACAATGACAAATACACGCGGCGGCAATACCGCGCATTTGACATTATGCCACAATCTCTCATTACTGCCCCTGTTGGTGCTAGGCCTGCTGCGCAACCGTGGTTTCCGGATGGGCATGCAAATCCCGATCGATGTGCGTGCGTACAACCACACGCTGCTCCAAACGCTGCCGCTGGAGCGGCTAGTGCCGTTCCTTCTGCCGGTTCTCTACTCCCTCCACAACATGCCCGCTGACGCAGGCACCATGGACCCTACCACCCAGACACTGATCATGCCTCCGCGTCTCACGCTGACCAGTGAGCGGTTCGAGCGACATGGTCTTTACCTGATCGAAGACGGTATGTCGACGTTCCTGTGGCTCGGCCGTGCTGCAGTCCCAGCCCTTACCATGGACGTGTTTGGTGCACAAGATTACCAAGCGCTGCAGTCGGGCCCCGTCACATTGCCGGCGCTCGACAACGCCATGTCGAAGCGTGTGCGTGCGATTGTCGAGCGCGTCGGTACGCAGCGCCGTGGGCCGTACATGTCGAACGTGTACATTGTGAAGGAAGATGGCGATCCAGGTATGCGTTTGCTTGCTTTAAGCCGAATGATTGAAGATCGCTACGAACAAACAAGTGGCTATCTCCAATTCCTCGGTCAACTACGCGATAAGATCAACGGGACTTGATTACGGGGCACTCGACGGGGCCGGCGCAGGCTCGCTCGATGGCGGCGGAGCAGCCGAGCCACTGGACGTCGACGAAGCAGCCAGAGCCGAGCTACTGCTGGGGCTACCGCCCACAGCAGCGCCACCCACCGAGTTGCTGTCCTGTCCCATCTTCGGCTTCGCACGCGAGGCGACGAGGTCCATTTCATTAGCTGCCACCATAGCGAATTGTTGATGCGTGTGCGATGTAGGGTGGTAAATGTCCCAGAACACGTACGTGTTCGGGTTCTCACACAGGCTACGCGGCACACCCGCATCGATTTCCACCTTGTGCACACCACGCAAGCAAGCATCCGTCACGTTGGTCACGTTGTTCTGCTGCGCCTGCGCCATGTACAGCAGCAGCGGGTTCTGCATGTCCACCACGTACACCGTCGAGCTCTGGTTCAAAAACATCTTGGCGCGTGACTTCATCATCTCGTTGAACACATTGGCGAACATCGTAGCGCCAGCCGACGACGACGCATTGGTGTAGTTGAGCCCGTGCGGAAGGCGGCCCATGTCAGTCAGCGTCGGGATCATGAGATACTTGGCACCTGTCGAGGCCAGACGGTCTGCCTGCGTCAACAGCGAGTCCACCGAGCGGTTGGCCAACGACACAGGGTTGGTGTCGTTCTTCATGCCGAAGAAGAAGTCGTTGGAGCCAGCCGCCAGAATGTATAGACCATTCGGGTCCGACTTGTTCTGCGCATCTTTCAAATAGTTGTCCACCTGCATCGCGAGATCCGGCACCTGGATCGTGTCGTTGAGACCAGCCAAGCCCTGCACCAACGAGTTGTTGGTCGTCGCACCACCAAATGCGTAGCCAGCCATGTCCGCACGAAGCTTCTGTGCCAGCTGCTCAGGCCACGTCATACCATTGGTGAAGCGGCCATCCGCGTAGGCAGAGTCAGCCGGCCACGTCTTGTTAGAGAGGACAAAGTCGCCGTTGCCCAGATCAACATACGAATCACCAAACACGACGACACGCGAGATGTACGGCACTTTGCCAGAGGAGTTGAACGAGGGCGAGGGCGCAGCCGCTGGCGCGGCCGCCGCACTGCTAGGGGCAGAAGACGACGAGGCAGGAGCACTCGACGACGCGCTTGAAGGAGCCGCCGACGACGCCACACTCGACGGCGAAGGCGCAGCAGAGCTGTCGCCACTGCCGAACGTCGACACGGCCTGCTGCGAAGGCGCAGACGGCGGATCACTAGACTGGGCTTGCGCCACAGCAGCGCACAGAGTGCCCGCTACAGCAAAGACAGTTCCCAAACGTACCATAATTCAAGTAACAAGGGAACCTACATAATTACCACACCCCACTTCCAACACCAGGCCTGCCCGAGGCAGCCAAACACACACGCCGCGTTTAGCAACACGGATGTCACGGCCTAATTTGGCCGAAACACCCAATCAGAGACCCCGCGGTTCATTTTTGTCGCTGTCCACAGGGACCACCTACGCTCTCAGCGTGGAGAACACGTGCCACTTAGAACGACAGCGCTCACGAAAAGAGGGGCAATGCCGCGTCCCCCAGCAACTTGTGTGCTTGGGCCGTAGGGTGGTAGATATCCCAGAAGAAGTAGGCGTCAGGGTTGTTACATACATGTCGCTTTACGCCCTTTTCGACTTCGGGCTTCGTAGTGCCTTGCAAGCATGCGTCCGATACGTTGTCCAGTCCGTAGCGCTTCTTATGAGACTTGATACGACCCACCGCTTCGTGCAAATCGAAAATGTACACAGTCGCATCACGGCTTACATCGTGGGCGGCCGAGCGAAGGACCTTGTTGAAGTGGTCTACAAACAGCGTACTTCCCACAATATCAATCAGATTGCTGTAGTGCAACGCTGCTGGTGTCTTCGTCATATCGCTAAGCGTGGGGAATACAATGGTTTTCGCGCCATGGCGGATCAGACGACGCGCCTCGGCCTCCAGAGTTCGGACAGCCGTCTCAGCCAAACCAAATAGGTCCAACGTCTTGGCCGTGCCGAAAAACACGTCGTTGGAGCCACCAGAGACAATGTAAATACCACTAGGATCCGCTGTGCCATTGACGAGATCCAGGTATTGACCCACTTGGTGAATCACGTCAGGCACAGGCAACGTGGAGTTGTAGTCCGAATAGCCCTGCGCAGCGCTATTGTTGGTGGTCGCACCGCCATACGCGAAGTCGTGCACGTGTGGGACGTGCAGAAGATTGGCAAGCTGCTCAGGCCATGTCTCTCCATTGCTGAAGCGACCGTCAAAGTACGCGCGGTCAGACGGCCATGTCTTGTTGGACAACAGGTAGGTGCCATTGCCATTGTCCACAAGCGAGTCGCCAAATACTACGATACTAGTGTAGTTCGTAGATGTAGCACGCTCTTCCAGAAGGGGCGTAGTAGGCAGAGCCAACGCGCATGTAGCGCTCAACAGAGCTAGGATGCCAGCCGAGAGGGGCCACATGGGAAAGTCGGAGGGGGGGGAGCCGGCATTCGCGTGCGTTTTTTATTATTTAAAAAATTGATTTACCGGGTGTGCGACGCTCGAAGGTGCATACAGACGCGGATGCCGCCATGCCCTGCATCAGCCTACCAAGGACCACGTCGAGCTACCTGATCGCAAACACATTTGATGTAGTGCGGTAATGTATGTAGAGTATATGTACAAATTTACACAGCGGAGCGACGCGCACCAGCCAGTTGATCCATGACCTGATGTGAGTAAGAGCGAAAATACATACTTGGGCCACACCAGGCAAGGTGAGAAGATGACCCACGCCGGGTACCTGCCTCAAAAATGTGAGGATAACAGGGAAAAAGTCACTACCCCATTAGTCCATCACATCGTACGTACCCAAACAAGTTTAGGAAGCCCACGGTCTCGATCACAATACCGATAATCGACCAGTGCAAAAATACGAGAGCCATGCCCGTAAAGAAGCAGATTGTGCCACGCATTTTCTGCTTGCGGGCAAAGAACAACAAGGTCTTTTGGGGTCCGATCAGAAGCGCAATACCAGAGACGAAAAGAATGTTGCCGAGCGCCAGGAGCGTGGCGTCAAAAAAGAGCACGATGCCCATAAACAGGAAAAACACGCCGCCTGAGACCAATCCTACGCCGATTTCTATGGTCAGCGATGCAACGCTAGCACATACTCTGTTGATCTGTGAGCCACATATCGTCGAGAGAAGAAAAAGGCCAGGTGGATCAACACTGCATATTTCCACAAACATTCACATTAGGCACGCGGGCGTCGCGTTCGTGACGGCACTATCGACTGGGTATCATTCGGCACCACACGTCCTGGAGGGTATGGTGATTTGTGAGGAAAAATGCTGCGCGTGAGGGAATGGGCATGTACATACATTGATTGTGGTAGCGGTGCTTCAGAGAACCATGGGTGTTGGAGTGCTTCTGCTGCTGTGATACGTCGATCAGGGTCGTATTGCAGCAGCTTGTCAAACAAATCAAAGCCGCTGGACGTGCCAGATCGGTCAATGTACCATTGATAGAGCATTTTGGGTACCCTGTTGTAAGATAAGAAGGACGTACATTTCCGCTCTGCGTGTAGCTATCCATGCCGCATAGTCCGGCATCGCGTTGATTTTCGGCCAGCGATCTGCTGTAGGCATACCTAGCACGTCGACAATCTTGCCGAGTTGATTGCTGGCCCGTGAGAAAAGAAGAATACATACGACTGCAGAGGAATCACTTTGGTTTTGGGATTCATGCGTGCCTCTTCACCTTTGAACATGGGACGCAAGGCCATCAGCTCGCCCCATATACACCCTGTAGCCCATAAATCAATCGCAGGCGTGTAGTGACGAGCACCCAGTAAGAGCTCAGGCGCACGATACCAGATCGTGACTACGACCATATCACTGGTGTACAAGGAGATCAGTGGGTCAGCATACAAACGTGCAAGGCCCAAATCGCCGATTTTGACGACGCCTCGTGCATTCATCAAGATGTTCGCAGGCTTTAAATCGCGATGCATTACCCAATTCTCGTGGAGATACTTGATACCGTTGAGGAGCTGCCACATAAGCGACTTGATCACGGCGCCAGAGATGGAGGTGCGTAGAACGGTAAGGTGGTGATGAATGATTTGCAAAAAGTCATGATCCACAAATTCGTACACAAGAAAAATGGAATTGTCTTCCAGCATGACCTCACGTAACCAGACAATATTTTCGTGTTGTAGCTCTTTGTTTAGCGCGATTTCGCGAATGGCACTTTGGCTGATCCCTCGAAAGGTGGTAACATCATCCTCTTTATCCAACTTGAACTTTTTAATGGCATACACACGTGGGGCAGACGGATCCGTACGCCGCCATTCCTCCGCTTTGTACACGCGACCGTAGGTACCAGAATTTAGAAAGCCCAAGATACGGTACTTGTGCATGACATGTTTCCGCATCGAAGCCTTATGTGCACGGTAGGCATGCATCACCGCCGAGGCAGACGCCGAGGTAGGCATCCCTACGGCGCGATCCCCTCCACGAGAGGCCATGACGTGCCGACCGTGCGGGTGGGGACGTGGAGGTAGGAGGAGGGGCAGAGCGCTATGTGGAGTGGGTCGCCATCGAGAGGTGTGCGGCAGACAGCCAGCGTTGTCTTTTGCCATGTCGACTTTCTCGGTGGTGGACTCGTTCCACAACGCACTGCGCAAAGATGAGGACTTGCCTATGCCGATTGCTGCCATCTTTGCCCTGTCAGAGATGATCGGGCAATCCAAAGCGGCGACGACCTCGGAGCTCATGGAGAGCATCAAGGAAGCGAGCGAAGAGCTAAAAGCGAGTCTTACGAATCCTATCCCTGCCACAGCGGGGCTGGAACTGTACATGCGCTTTGTCACCACCAAAAACTGGGCTGGAGGTGTACGTAGGATGGGTCTCACATGCAGGACTTTGCATCGCACAAGCAAAACTTGATTTCCACGGCCACAGAGTTTGCACGGAACACAGTGCCCAACTGTCGTGAACGCATTACGCAGCTGCTTTTGCCCTTTATTAAGGATGATTCTGTACGTATGCTGTGCACTTATACCAGGTGATTATGACACATGGGTACTCACGAGTCGTCATGCAAGCCTTGCTCACGGCCGTCAAGCTACATGGCAAGCGCATTCGCGTGTACGTGACAGAGAGTCGCCCTACAGGCCAAGGACTGCGTACATATGAGCGACTTCGTGAAGAAGGGATCCCATGTACAGTCGTACTGGATACGGCTGTGGCGTACATTATCGATCGTGTGGATATGTGCTTGTTAGGCGCAGAAGCTGTCGCTGAATCGGGCGGCATTTTCAACGCGATTGGAAGTTACCAAATGGGCATCATTGCCAAAGCAGCGCAGAAGCCCATGTTTGCGCTGGCAGAGAGGTATGTGACTTGATACTCATGGCAGCTTCAAATTCATGCGTCTATTCCCTCTTTCTCAATACGATGTGCCGATTTCGGCACGCCGCTTGCCTTTGCCGAGCGTGAACGATGCCTACGAAGCGCCAGAGAATGGCCAAATGACACCTGCGATGGAAGCGCTGAATCCTTTGGTATGTGTGGCACTGTAGCTAACCTCAGATTGACTATACCCTGCCTGGTATGTGGTGCAAGCACACTCACCTTAGAACTACTCACGTTCATTGTCAGCGATGTAGGCATTCTCACACCATCCGGTGTCTCGGATGCATTGCTGGCCGTCTATGGTGGTAACTAGTCAATGGCCATCCGTTTATAGTATACAAAACTAGCGTCGCTTGGGGCCGCGCGAGCGGGACGAACTCATATCACTGCCAAACGCACCGCCTTTGCCACTAGAGCGCAACGCCGTGGTGATTTTCCGCTTCTTCTTCGGCGCCTGAGCCATCTTGGCCATGGGTGCACCCAGATGAGTAGGCCGCTGCTGACGCTTGGCAGCACGAATGGCCGCATCGACCTCGCCTCTGTTGGTTTCCTTGGCGTCTTCTTCGCGCATGATCTTGTTCCGCCGCTGCTTGCGCGACAGTCCTGCAAATCGGTCCTTGCCTTTCTTGCTGTCCATCTTGGCAATGTACGCCTCCTTGGATGCCTCCTTGGCTTGCGCCTTGGCCTTGTCACTTTGGAACCATGTACGCGCAGGGCGCGAGAAAATCTCTTCTTGGTGCGCAATCATATTCTCGCCCTTTTGTACCTGCATTTCCGCCTGCCGAAGAGCCTTCTCTTCCTTCTCCTCCTGCAGGATCTGCTCGATATCAGGCTTAAGGGAGGCAATGGTCTCGCTGAGCTGCTGGACCATCTCGGTGGGCATCAAGCGGTGCTTCACTTGCTCGGGCGGTGTGCGCTTCAGCACGGCCTTGAGCAACCGACGGTCCGATTCGCCGACGAGCGTCACGGCGCGACCCTGACGCCCAGCACGTGCCGTACGACCGACGCGGTGCAAGTACGGCTCAAGTTGGGCGGGCATATCGTAGTTGATGACCGTTTGTACACCGCGGATATCAATACCACGACTCGCCAAGTCGGTCGCCAATAAAAAGTCGACTTTGCCGTCACGGAAGTGCGTAAGCGACTGCAGACGCTGCTCCTGCGAGAGATCGCCATGCAATTCCGCCGCGGTAAGGCCCAGAAGACCAAAGATGATCTTTAGCTGGTGCGCCAGCTTTTTGCTGCGCACGAAAATAATCACTTGGTCGCGGAATGTGCGCATACACAGCGTCAGCAAAAGAGCCGCGCGGTGCTCATCTTCTGCGACCTGCTTCTCGCGCCCTGTCAAATGCGAAGGGGTTCGCACACGCACAAATTCTTGCACAAGCTTCGCGGCTGTAGAGCGCTTCGGGTCCACAAACAAGCGCACAGGCTGCTGAAGACTCAACCGGACAAGCTGGTCGACATCTTCCGTCATTGTAGCAGAGAACAGCATGGTCTGCCGCTTGGTGGGGCACGTACGCACGATCTCATTAAGCTCATCTTCAAAGCCATCCTCAAGCATACGATCGGCCTCGTCCATGACAAGGATCTCAATGTCTTCCATGCCAAACGACGAGCTGTTGCGCATGTGATCAATCAAACGACCGGGTGTTGCGACAATAACATCCGGCCGGAGTTTCAGTTCCGCTTCCTGGGCCTTGAGTGATAGACCACCGACACACAGACAGAATCGCACATCCATAAACTTGGCCAGTGCTTTGCCGACACTGTGGCACTGGATGGCCAATTCACGTGTAGGACACAGCACTACCACGCGGCTCTTCGCATCCTCAGCGCCACGTTGCCGGTACGAGAGACGCTCCAAGATCGGAATCAAAAACGCAGCGGTTTTACCACTACCAGTCACAGCGCCAGCAACAATGTCTTTGCCGGCCAACGCAATGGGAATCGTACGGGCCTGAATGGGCGTCGGTTTCTGGAAATTGAGGGCAGCAAGACCACGAAGCAGCGCTCGATTGAGTTGCAGCGATGCGAAAGAAGTAGCTTGGGCAGTCGACGACGGCTGCTCCTTGGCAAAGTAGGCATCTTGACGGGCACGAGTGGTGTCAGAAACATCAGACGCGCTATCGTCCACGTCCTCCTCCTCGTCCTGCACATTGTCATCATCATCATCCAAGGGATCCTCATCCTCACGTCCCTCGCTCTCGCTCTCGTCCGCCTCATCCTCGGCAGCCTTGCGCTTCGCAGCACGAGCCCCAGCGCCGAAGCCCTCGTCGTCACTATCGCTGTCGTCCAGCTCGTTCGCGCCGGCCATCGCCGCCTCGGCGTCATCATCATCATCGCTCTCCATTTCTTGCAACGCCAGAGGCACTTTCACAGCACCGCGGTGCCGCTCAATAATATCGTCAACAGTCAGGCCCGACGCCTCCGCGCTGTGGGCGCCCGCGGCACCTTGCACATGAAAGTTCCAGCCGGACGCACCATCGACGTTCTGCAGATCATCCACATCAAAGTCAATAGCGTCCATCTCAAGGCCCTCATCGTCACCTTGGCCACGGCGCGCTGGCGCGCTGCGTCCATCGTCCACAATTTTCTCGCGCTCACTAATACGTGCCTTGACCTTTTTCCCAGGACGCACAACCTCTTTTTTGGGCGCAGACGTTTCCTGCTTTGGCGTTTCATCGTCCGAGTCCATTGTCATAATGAAGTCATCACGCCCCATGCTGGTCTTGCCAGCTACTTGACGCGCCATGCTGCACCACCTCTACGTTCGTGCACGTCCAACGACAAAAAAAAGTTGCCCACACATCACGTGAAAAGCAAACGCAGCGCTGCGTGGGCCGTGGCCGCGGCTGGCGGCCTGCTTGGCGAGAGTCTGGGGAAACCAAAAGAAACAGGCTGTGTCGCGTTTCACAACCACCACGATGGAGCCAGGCATTCCAGGCGGGCTCCCTAGCACAAGTCCAGGGTCGGCACAGACCCGGACATCAGCGGCAGGGAGGGTGACGCGCCGCTTTGGGAATATGCTTCGAAGGCAGAGCACTTCGCAGTCCGCACCAGGGGAAACAGTCACGGGAACGAGCCCTGCAGGCCCTGCGACGCCCACCATGCCTGGGCCTCTGAGCTCTTCACCTCAAGCGACATCTCTGTTTCTCTCGCCTTTCCGATCCATTGCTGCATCCAGATCAGCCCGCTCCAATTCTGTATCGAGCGGACCTGCACCGAGCATCTCGGAGACGATGTCGTCGCCGTCGCAGACAGCACAGACGCTAGCACCGCGCTCCAGCTCCGTGGACACGGCGGGTACGGCGAGGCTTCCTCCTTCTTCGGCAGACTATGTACCGGACACGTCGGCGAAAAAGCACAAGATTCGGCTGGCTCCGCACATGGATGCAACGCGTTCGCTCGTCTTCTTTCCAACAGACTTGGAGCTGATCGAAGGGGGACCTTCAATCCAGATTGGACGTTTCTCGGACCGCTACTATGAGAACAGCATCTCAGAAATGCAGGCGGATTTGGCAGCGGATCGATCATCCACAAATGGCCCACCTAGCTCCAGTGAAGTGCGTGAAATGATGGCCCAGGCCTCCCCCCATCGTCAACCCGTCGTGCTAGGCCATCGAAAACGATGCGTTGCTTTTCAAAGCAAGGTCGTTAGCCGATTGCATGCAGAGTTATGGGCGGACGTACATGGCAAAATATATATCCGCGATACGCGATCAAGCAGCGGCACGTTCTTGAATCGCCTACGGCTGGCCCCTGCTGGAATTTTAAGTCGCACCTACGAACTTCAAGATGGGGACCTTGTTCAGCTGGGCGTAGACTACCAAGGTGGCTCGCAAGACGTTTATCGAGCTATTAAGATTCGTATGGAGATTGATCGTGAACCGAAGCAACAGTCGCGTGATTATGGCGAAAAGATGCTTCGCCAATTCCAATCCACGAAGGCGCAACCAGGTGCTCCAAGCGGCACGGCAGCTCCAGTTGGCCAAGGCTTGGACGAATGTTGTATCTGCTTGCTTAAAATTCGGGTCTTCCAGCCCTTGTTCATTGCACCTTGCTCGCACATTTTCCACTACAAATGCATTCGACCATTGATTTCACTGCATTACCCAGGATTTTCTTGTCCGCTGTGTCGTACGTTTGCTGATCTCGAAGCAGACATTGCAGACGACTCTGAGGAGGAGAAGGCCAACGAAAACGGGGATGGTGATGATGATGATCATGACGAAGGAGCTGATAATTTTAACGATGTGAATGAGGGCCCAGCTCCGTTTAGTGAAGCAGTGGTGAATGATGAAGGAAGGCAGGATGAGGATCACGTCGAAGAGCCGTTAGAAAGTCCTACCTCATCTAGTGAAGTCATAACGTCGTCAGAGTATGACGACGAATCGAGCGATGCTCTTTTATCGCCCGACCAAGAGTCACAGGAGGAGCCAAGCTCTGCTTCGCCATCATCGTCTGTTTCTCTGTCCCCCGATGAGGCACAGGAAGAGGGGACATACTCTACACCGTAATCATGCTCACACGCTAGCTCCTCGGCACGGGGCCACGAGCTGCCATATACCACACTGCATTCCTCTTGCATAGACATGTCATGAAATATAGATACGAATTACAGCATGAAGACACTACTCACTATCGCGTTTCCGTTTCTTCGACTCTGATTTCTCTTTCTTCTCCTTCTTGCCTTTCTTCTCTTTCTTCTCCTTCTCCTTTGCGGTGTCTTGGCCTGGGAGAGGCTCCTCCGGTGCAATAAACATCTGTTCACGCTCACGCTCACGCTTCTCTGCATGCTCGGCCTGCGCCTGAAGCTTCTTGGCATGCTCATTCCGCTTCTTCTCGTGCGGCTTGAGGAAGTACTCACCACTCTCAAGCTGCAGATCAATCTTGCTAGGCTGCTGTGGCGGTGGGAAGGGTGTGTATTCCTTCTTCTTAGGTGTCTCCTTCGGCTTCTTTGTCTTGACATTCTGTTTCTTGAACTTGGGCAGGAAACGATCCCAAGATTCTGTAGCCAGCTTCGGGTCCTTCGCAAGCTCACGCTTGATCATCAGCTCTTTAATGTGGTAAATAGGATGGATGTTCTTCATACAGTCCAAGACAATACGACGCACTTCTTTCAAGCTCTTGTATGATCCCATAGCACTGACTGTATTACCCTGAACAAGTACATAGCAGCCAGTCAGCAGTTCAATCGCTTTAAGGGTATTGCCATTAGGCCCGATAAGACGCTGACGACGCTTAACAAAGCGCTCCTTGTTGCGCACGATATTGCCGATCTTAATCACATCACAAGCCATATCGTCCTGTAGAATCTTCACGGCCTGTGTGAAGGGAACGCTACGACTGAGAAGCTTGATCAAATCACGGGCACGAAGAATGATATATGGGTCAAAGGTCTTACGCGTCGTCCGCACTGACATGGAACCTTCCACCAAGTCCAACGTACAGGCTACACCATGCTTTTCAAGAGCCGTCGTTACATGTCCCCAAATTTCACGAAGGTACTTTTCACGGTACTTGGGAAACAATGTTGCAAAACTGCTTTCTTCCAAGAAAGGATGCGGGTTGTCTTCCTGCGTAAACTTATCGATCCTCCAGTGATCGATGTCATCAGTATCCCAAGCTTCTGTTAGTAGTGTGGCGTACGTACGCTTATCCTTTCGGAATCGCTTGTTTTTGTTCATAGGCGCTGACGCATTGTCCTCACTCGACATGGTCACAAGCAAAAATACTCGCCTGCCTTGGCGCTTGGTTGTGGAAAAAAAATTGTGGCGATTATGTCATAGAGCAGGGGCCTCCATCTATCATCAACGCACGTCCATCGATGTGGTGAGGCCTCATGGTCGAGGTGCCTGTCTCGGCAGACACCCCATGGATGGTGGATGAGTATATCCCTGTCGGTGTTATCACTGTCCACCTCAGAGCATGCTCGCCAAGGTCGGTCGAGTTGGGGCCCAGCGATGCACAGCTTCTCTTTTGCACACCAGACGTACTGGCGTCTTTGTGTGCGCATGAACAGGGCGACCTGCTAACGTCGTTGAAAGAACTGGTGGAGCACGGTAAGGCACTGGTTGCTATAGAACAAGATGTTCTGGCTCTTTGGGCCGCCAGCATGTATACCGGTGCGACACACCTACGAGTGGTGGCTCTGGCCTCCCTACCAGCGCCATCCAGGCAAGCACGCAATGCAGCGTTAGCCCGATCATGGCAGCTCATTCTCTCGAATATATGCATTGATGCGAACGCATGGCATTCTATTAGTCGCGATACAGACCCCATGGACTCTGGCCAATCGTTTTGGAATACCAAACTGGTACGTACATCCGCTCTCACCTCAGAATGGCTGGTCTTTATCCGAATTGTACCGTCAACTCCCCAGTCCATCACGGCCTACGTATATTGACCCCTCTTTGTTGCATCCACCTCATCTCCAATGTACCCTTTATGACTACCAAAAGACGTCCCTGGCCAAACTTTTACAACGCGAACTGCAGCCTGAGAGTTATGCGGATCCATATTACGTGCAATGCACATCTCCCTGTACACTAAGCCGCAATGAACGCTTATACCTTTTTGATCCTGAAAGATGCCTCTTTCATCGAAGATACCAAGTGGCCCTATACCCAGACTTGAAAGGTGGTATTCTTTGTGACGAAATGGGGGTGGGCAAGACCATCATCTGCTTAGCACTGATCTTGGCCACCCTCGATGTCATGTCGGAGCCCGATTTGGAGCCAATGGCAAGCACCATAACCAGTCAGATGGCACTTACTTTTCCTGATCATGAATACCAAGGTGCGGATCCGTCAGGTCTGCACTCACGACGTCTCGTGACAGCCGCCTTTGGAGCGCCTAGTCCAGGAGAGAGAATGGGTCGTCATCCCAAACCGCCACCCATATCCGACGAGCCACGGATGGAGCCTACAGCGGAAACTATAGCTTGTTCCCCTGTCTCCTTGGTATCCATCGCAGCTCACAAACTTCGAACAACACATGCCTGCCGCCCTGCCTTGACCTGTACCCTCCCGCCGCAAATTCAAGAGATCCTAGATGAGCGATCTGCCCCCTTCTTCCATTTATGGCCTCCGCCGCCTGCTCGCGTATCTCGGATTAGTCAAAGTCGCTCGCCGCTTCGCGTGTACATTACGTCGGCCACATTGGTCCTTGTCCCTTTGACACTTCTCACGCAATGGATGAGTGAGATTAAGAAGCATTGTGAGCCAGGTGCTCTGCGTGTATTCACGTTGTCTGATATGCATACGCCCTTGCCTCCCGCCTCTGTCTTAGCACAAAACTACGATATAGTGCTTCTCTCGCATGCACGATTCGGACATGAGGCAGGTGATGAGCAAGGCATGAAGTCAGACCTTGACAAGTCGCCTTTAATGCAAGTGTATTGGAAGCGTCTGATCATTGACGAAGGCAATGTCCTGGCTGGTGATTCGCTGGTGGTCCGTCTTTGCACTAGACTTCGTGTGGAGCGGCGTTGGATCGTGACAGGTACGCCAACGTATGCCTTGGTAGGTGCTAGCGCATGCTATGCTGCAGGGGAGGATCTTGATAACAATACCGAATCGCGTCATGAACCCAAATGGACGCCATCAGAACGGAAAAACCTGGACCGCCTTAAGCAGCTGTTGGTACGCTTTTTGCGTATTACGCCGTTTTGTGGAACACATAGCAGCATGGCCTCTGCTGCAAAGGCGTCTGGCCTCGCGCCTGCCAAGGAGCGAGATTGGAACGCACTCATGGCATCAGAATGGAATGCTCAGGAGCAGGGTGAATGGCCTGCTAAGCGCCGGCTGTTTGATGTGCTGTCGCGCGTCATGGTGCGCAATCGTGCGGAGGATGTGGAAAAAGAACGCCCTCTTCCCCCGCTGCAACGCCGTGTACAACGACTTACGCCCTCTGCCACGGAGCGTACGACATACAATGTTCTTCAATCTTTGATTCTACTCAACGCAGCTCTCACGCAAGAGAAGGACAAAGACTACTTCTTCCACCCCAACAACAAGAAGGCATTAGCGACTGTGATGGAAAACTTGGCCCTAGCATGCTTCCACTTTGCTGGTCAAGGGCTTTATGAACAGGCCCAAAGCGCCTATGAGCATATTGAACAGCAGCTTAGCTTGCCCAATGGCGTAGCTGCGCCTTACCGGTCCCAGGCCGAAGAAGCACACAAGCAGCTCCAACAGGCTCTTGCTCTGGATACATGGCGGCAACATATCCTTGATCGTGACGTGATGTACACACTTGAGCATGTCCCCGAAACGGTTCTTCATGCGTGGAGCGCTCATAACCGTATTACCCTCACCTCCGACGAACTTGTCCGCTTTCGTCAGGCTTGCATCGCCACAACAGAAGAGTTCTCAGATGCAGATGATGTGCGAGACGAGCTGATCACCAAGGGCATGCAATTTCGTCACCGCCATGCTAACAGAGCTCGTGGGGATCCCAAGACGCCCAACCCTAGGAAGAATACGCGGCTTCATGAAGGGAGTCTACCCTTGGTACGTTCTTTCACGGCTGCTCGTTGGCCAACAGAGTGGGATCCTGTCATTGTCCAATCCTCTTCCTCCACCAAACTGAATGCCATCCTCCTCGAGCTCCTTGAGGCAGTGCCCCATGAAAAGGTCCTTGTATTTTCTGTGCTGGACAATGTGCTGTTTGAACTAGCCAGCGCTTTGGATCTGCTACAAATTCCCTATCTACTCTATGTCTCAGGCATGCCCCAGCATCTGCGGAATACCTACGCAGAAGCCTTTACGCAAAAATCCACGTACCGCTGCCTGCTTATGACTACCACGGTTGGTGGTCGTGGCTTGGATTTACACTGTGCAAGTCGTGTGATCTTGGCAGAACCGGTCTGGCAGCAAGATTTAGAAAGCCAGGCTGTTAAGCGAGCATGGCGCATGGGCCAAACACGGTCTGTGACTGTAACCACGTATATCATGAAACACACGTTTGAAGAGCAACTGATAACGCGCAAGCAAACGTATGGGCATGACGCGGCACTCGACCAGACCAAGAGCTTGACGGACGATCCAGGTATGCGGGACTTTGTAGCGCATCCACACTTCATCCCGGAGGACGATCCACCTCCTGTGGTATCATGGAACGTACCGCTCTTCGCTCTGTCTGTGCATCAGGCATACGAGCATGCTGGGCCGCCAGCGAAACGACCACGTACAGAGGATACTATTACGGGATTGAGTACGAGGGAGGAGGCGCAAGATGTGTGTGCATCCATGCCAACGAAGAGCGAGAGAGATTAAGCGCGCATGACACAGGGGCAAACGACAACGACGAGGTCGTCAGGCCATCATGGGTATGCAGTGACAATGCGACGTATGATAAATAGGAATGAAGAATATCCGGATGCTCGCCAGGCACCTTCGCAATACCGCCTAGCGGAGATTGCGCAGATAAAATCCAACAAGCGTCAGAGCGCGCATCAATGTAGTTATGGCAGCCGAGAACCTAACCAAGTCAGATGGGGAAGACGTACCTGTGCACTCGCCCCACACCAGAACGAATAACACGTATCTGGCGTTTTCTCCACGCGTCCTTGAAACCCGCTTCGAGGTACTTGACGTGATAGAATCCAACGCTCCAGATGTTCCCTTCTAGGAATCCGGTCAAGACTGTGGGCCAAGGCAAAGGCGGCTACCACACAGTACGTCGAGCCACCTGGGATCAGTAGAAAGATAAACGTACCATGTGATTCGAGACCAGGTTCCTGCGCAAAAGCACCTTCGTAATGCTAAGAGTAAGAAGAACGTGCACGTACTTGGCAGCGCAGCATGTAGGTCATTGCCAACTCGCAGTCCATTATCGACCAGTCATTCAACATATACGCAATGGCAAACGCAGCATAGCTAAAACGGACGTCCTGCTCACGACTCCCGTGTGCACACAAGAAACTTCCATCTGGCTTCTGAAGTTGGTGCACATGACGCCGAAGACCTTCACGGTCTAAACGTGCAAAGTCGTCGCGCAGGATGCTCAAGCATAAGAGGGCCGTATACGTCATGACAATATGCGCAGATGAGGAGGTGGGTGAGCCACGGAATCCACCGCCATGTTCTGTAGGGACTTGTTGGTCGTAAATCCAAGCAATATACGCCTCACGTTGGTCTGCCTGGCAGTCCGTGTCAGTGCGCTGCAGCAAATCCAAGCCACTGAGACAAAAGTAGGCAAAGGTCATGCTAACGCATGTGTGAGCCCCTGTACCACGTACCGTTGATCATCTCCACTCACATAGGGACGGGGAAGCATGGATAAATGCATCTTCCAGAACTTTACATGCCGTTCCACGTCCATCGCGAATGAATCTTCGTCCTCGCCTGCCATGATGCTGTGCCTCAACAAGCAATGTACGCCAGGGCTTCCTCCACACTATGTACTTCACGTGGCGTCAGTCTAGCTAGCAAGCAATCACTCGGATGTCGACTGTATATGCAATCCTCTATCGACTGTCTCTTTAATCTTCCAAGAAGAAGTACTGGCCACTGGCCTTTTGTTCCTTGTCCTTGACACTGTTATGCTTGTTCACACGAGGACGCATGTTGGTCGGGTCACGACGCATACTGACATCCAACGTGGCCAAGAACGAGTTCATACCAGTCAGGAGCGACTCGGGGGAACGAGCATGCGCCTTGATCGATGGCGTACCCTCGTAGACAATGACACGGTCAGCCAAGTACGTAGCCATGATGATATCGTGCTCGATAATCATAGCCGTCTTCTTCGAGTGCAGAATGAATCGCTTAATCACCCTCGACGCCTGGATACGCTGCTCCGAGTCCAGGTAGGCACTAGGCTCGTCGATCAGGTAAATGTCAGCCGGCTTACCAAGCGCCAGCACCAATGCGACACGCTGCAGCTCACCACCCGATAGAGTCTGCACATCCTGGTCGATAATATTGTCGAGGCTCATAGGCTTAACCACATCCGTCTGGAACTGCGGGTGCATAAACGCAGCCTTGATCTGCTTCAAAAGCAACATACGAACCGTACCCTGGAACTTGGGCGTAATCGTCTGGGGCTTCAACGACACATTCAGCTGCGGCAACTTGTCAGCACCCGTGTCAGGCGCGAGTTTGCCGGCCAGCATCTTGACAAACGTGGTTTTACCTGTACCGTTCTCACCCAAGAACACAATGATCTCCGAGTTCGTGAAGCTGCCAGCATCAATCGAAAGCTCAAAGTCACCAAGCTTCTTCGTCATGTTCGGGTATGTGTAGCTCGAAGAACGCTCCTTATCAACATCGTCCGCCGTCTCGGCAATCTTGAACGTAAGCGACTCTTCACGGAAACGCATGTTTTCCGCAGGAATGTAACCATCCAAGAAGATGTTGATACCATCACGCACAGGGCTGGGCATCGTTACCACACCGTACACACTGGGCACACCGTAGAGACAGCAGATAAAGTCACTCAAGTAGTCCAGCACAGACAAGTCGTGCTCAACAGCAATCACATAGGTGTCCGAGTCAAGTAAAGAGCGAATCGTACGGGCAGCGTTAAGACGCTGCTTCACGTCGAGATACGACGAAGGCTCGTCAAACATATACATATTCGCCTTTTGAATGCAGCTCATAGCAATGGCGAAACGCTGCAGCTCACCACCAGAGAGGTTGTGCACATCACGCTCCAACACAGGCTGCAAATCACAAGCAGCCACCACCTCGTCCTTGTTGTCACGCTGAAGTTTGCTGTCAAGAAGTTGGTTGACTGTAGCGCGCGTCTTCAAAGCGCGCGGCAAGTTGTCCACATATTGGGGCTTAATTAGTGCCTTGATGTTGTCCTCCAGGACTTTGGTAAAGAAGTTCTGCAGCTCAGAGCCACGGAAGTACTTCAAAATCTCGGTCCAATCCGGCGGGTCATCGTAACGACCCAGGTTGGGCTTTTGCTTACCAGCCAAAATCTTAAGCGCGGTACTCTTACCAATACCATTCGTACCGACCAGACCAAGAACTTGACCAGCACGGGGCGTAGGCAAACGATGCAACTTGAAACTATTCGCACTGTAACGGTGAGTAGTCTCATTTTCCAAGTTGGTAGGCAATTTGATGATATTAATGGCCTCAAAAGGACACTTCTTCACACAGATACCACAACCGATACAGAGAGTCTCACTAATGAAGGCAATTTTGCTCGATGGTGCCACTTCGATACAGAGACGACCTGTATGTAAGAACGAAAAAAATTCTTAGGAGGTACGTACCCATACGAACAACAGGGCAAGAGCGCTTGCACTCTTGCCGACACTTGGAGGGTTTGCATTTGTCCGAATTGACTGTGAATTAGTCTCTGATATTAGTCACGTACCAATAGCAATACGCTCCTCTTTGGAGCTAGGGGCAGGAGGAGCAGGAGCCATAGCGTGGGTACTCGTCCTACAGGAAGCTTTTGGTGATCCAACGACGATTTTTGTTGCCTTCACGCCCTCCCTTACTAAACCAGTCTTTCGAATTGGTCCCTCTCTTTCACGTGACTATGAGACAGAGTATTACACCTTTTACTAATACAACGCGTTGTGTGACCTGATGACGCATGCAGAATGCAAATTTTTGGCAGAATCACCGAATTAGAAATCAAAAAAAAAGCAAGTGGGACGCATTGGACCCTGTTTCAAAAGACGTTGTGCCTCAATTTAGAGTTAGGGTGTACCGCGTTAATGCGGTGGTATGGCGATGGGAAATCTTAATTCTTTACCCTCTTTCAGTCCTTCATCTCTCTTAACGCACGCAGCTTTACCTTTTTTTCCTGCTCTTCGAAATCCGCATTATGGGCCAAAGGGGGCGCATTATTGCCCTCGAAGTTACCCTATATTCTCCCAAGGGTACTGCGGAGCCCCATATATTGATTGTAGTTAAATCTACGAGGTTTGACGATGGTCACTTAATTGGATGGCATCTTGAAAATGATGGAGGACACGCGACATGGCCTGCCATGATACGTCTTGATCCATCCATGGTCTCATCTTCTCAAGGAATGAATAAGAACGCGAATTTGGGTGTGCGGTTTACGCATTCATTAAGACTCGGTCACGCGCACATGTGCCTGGACGACCTAGAGAAAATATGTCTACGCGCCCCATTGCCTGACTTTGACCTAGGTGAGGACCAAAGTTCGTGGTGCCTGGACATTCTCTACAAAATGGAACAGCAAGACGTAGTTGAAAAAGGCCAGACGCTCCTTTTAGAGGCACAACTCAGCAAGTTTCGTTATGAATCACAATCCAACGAGGCAGATGTCTTAAAAGCGGATACCCAAAATCCCAAAAATACTACCAACAACACTGCTTCAACCTCCCCTCTTTATGTTTGTTAATTTGTTCTGTTTTTTATAATGCTCAGACCATGAAATGAGTATGGTGAACAATCATGCATACGTCTTATCCATCTTTATACACACTCATCATTATATTATGCCCTCAATTTCATTTTGTCCACAGACTTAATTTGCCCAGGTATTTTGCGCGTCTTTCTTTTATAGGTATAGTTGTTCAAAATGTAAACCTTTCGCATTACTCCTTGACTTTATATTAACCTACATTACATTGTAAAATATATATACAGTTAGGAAATAATGCAGTCATGGTCCTCGTCTGAAGTACGACGACCAGTAAGTTTAGCCCAGCGGTTCTTCCGGCGAATGGCTTTTTCTTTTTTCGACTGCACCACACGATCTGACTTGTTCTCTTGTGACTTTTCCTCAATCTCGCGTGGGAACCACAGTCGTAAAAAGTCAGCCATTTCCTTATCATAGTTGCTTTCATCTGCATCCTTGACGGCATCAGTGGAGCGACACAGAGGGCAGTGGTTATCACCCTGTTTTTGAAGCTTCACTAGACAACGGATACAAAAGAGATGGTCACAGCGAAGACGAATGGGATGCCATGCAATGGATGTGCAAACCATACAGCTGTAATCCTCGACCCGAGGCAGAATAGGAAGAAGGTCCTTGGTCATCATCGATGCCAAAATTCGTGGCAGCGAAAGCTGCATAGTCGATTGGCTATTCATAGGCGCCAGTGCAGTCAGAGATTTCAGGATATCCGCACTCGATGCATGGTTCCAGTCGATTTCTGGAATGGGTGCATCCTCCGAAGCAGCTAGCACAAGCTGGTGCGCATGCGAAGACATGGCCATGCGACTAATACTCGAATTTGCATGCAAAGCGGTCTTCTTCATATGCTTCTTCAAAATCTTCCTTATTGTTTCAATATTAAAACGCTGATATCGTTTCAACAGTACCAGGGCCATGTTGAGTCGCAAAAAGTAATCCAAGGCTCCGACACTGCGCGAGTCTGACAAACGACTGTTAGGGGTATAGGATTCCAAATTCCAAGAGTCAATTTGGCTCGTGACCCAATTGCCATGAACAGTCCTTGTTTCATGCGGCGAGATAAATCCACGCTTTTCCAGCTGCTCCATGTACTTGTGAAAACGATTTTCTGTGGCAGCCACACTGAGCTCACCACGATCTTTTTCACGTGAGCTTTCAAAGATGTCATGTTCGAGCCACAAAGAGAAAATCTCACGCCATTCGTACATATCTTTGGGTGCATTCACTGGACTCGCCACTTGAGAGATCACATCGCATAGAGACTTGACTTGGTTGATCAATGTCGCTTGTTGGATCATATGCAACTTCAGCAGAGTACGAATTGACTCAATAAGAGCGTTAAAAAAGCGTTCATCTGCAGCCAAGGGCAGGACGACACGGTACCGATGATAGCCAGGTTTGTCCGTCTCTTCCTGACTCGGAATCTCCGCGCCATTCAGCAATGTAGAGGGAACCTCCTGCGCTGCAGGACCGAGATTAAGATCTTGCACTTGCTTGGCTAGTGTGTGTGAATAGCTGTTTCGTGCATTAGCAAAACGAGGCGTGGTTAGCGGCGTGGTATGAGGGCTCGTGGAGTTCCTCATGCTCTTGAAGGATACATCAAACGGCTCTTCCGAATCAGGCAGTTCCATGTGAAGCACAATGTTTGGATGGAACTCCAATGCGTCACTGTAAAGCTGGTACTCTCCCCATGCACGTCTGCCTGACTTGCTTTCAACCCAATGGTGCTTATTCATATTGGCCACACCACTTCGACCTTGAATATTGTTGTCTTCCGATAAATCCTCTGGCAATAAAGCAGGCACCTTTTTCTCCATCCAATGCGAAGCATTCCAATCATGGGGACTGTTTGTTTGATTAGGATGCTTCGCAGCATTGGGTGGCAAAGGAAGATCATGCGCCTGAAGTGAACCCGCTGGTAATGCGAGGGGCGGCAAATTCATGGCGGAGTTCATCGTCTTGGCTGGTGAATAGTGCATACCACTCACAGATTGTGAGCGGCTCACAGAGGCACTTCTGGAGCCAGACTTCTCTTTGGGCAAAAGGACAAATGTATTAGGCGACACATCACTCGGCTGTACGGCAAGACCAGCCGTGCTCACCCGACGTGGCGAGCGCGTCTTGGAGCTCTCACTAATAGGCAATGAGGAGATCCAGGTGGATGCAGGCGACTTCCGGGCGCTATTGGGGGATTCAGGCGAGGAAGTTGTCGAATTCAACTGTAAAATAGAGCCGGGAGTCGAGCGCTGCCCGCCAGGTGTGGCGCCGCCAATTTGCACCGTGGTACGATTGTGGGGATTGAGAAGGTCATCAACAATGTCATGAGACAGTCCGTACGAATTCAGCTCGTTGACCACACTGTTAATCATTTTTTTCAACTGCGGGGTGTCAGCCACCTGTCAACCAAAATGAAACATACCCGATTGTATTTGATAGCGCCCTCCTTCCATTCTGGAGGGAACTGGGAGTTCTCCAACGTATCGGCAAAACTCTTGCCAAAACGCATTGTCGCCTAGTTCTGTGAAGCCAAAAGGAGAGGAGGAAACAGTAGTAGAGGACAAAGCTACAAAAAAACTTTAAGCACGACACATCCACCTTGTTATTTTCCAAGCAAAAAATTGCGGCGCCGATCGGGGAATTTTCCCAACGCGACAGGCAAGTTTGAATTGAAAAAGCCGCAAATGACGCCTTCACGTGTTCACGTGCGCTCTATTTGGGGAATGACACATTTCCAATTTCATCCAGCCTACGACAGCGGGACGAGATAAAAGACCCTATGAACGCATCTACGTAGAAGATGCCTTTTGCACCAATGTAATCTTATCGCCAAGACTCAGCGCAATACCCTGCGTCTTCGAGCGGATCCGCACATGGCCCTGAATCGTGCCATCATCTAGACGTTCAATGCTTACGTTGGCCAATGCGTCCTCACCAAACAAGCTCACAGCAGAGAGGTTGGCACTCAGGAAACCGCATTCGCCTGCCAAGCTAGCCTCTGGGGTAAGGCACGCCATGTTTGTAGCCTTCATCACTTGTTCAAGGTATTCACGCACATCCGAAATGTGAGTCTTGACATTGACCTTGTTCTCCCACTCGAATCCAGTCCACATACTGCGGAATTGGGTCTCAGACACGTAGGACGGAGAAATGTAGTCCATAATATCCACGTGAATATCGTTCATCACCACATACGAGTTATCGCCCGAGCCCATACTGCTGACGCTCGCAGGCTCGTACACGATGTTACCGAAGATGACACCTGTCTCGGTGGAAGAGACCTTGATGGTGGCCTTGATGCTCTGGAAGCTGTACGGGCCAATGGTATGGGTCGAGGGACGCTCGACAACTTTCAAGTCACCCAATGTCGCCAGCTCTACGCTGAGGTTTTGGTATGTCTCCTCTGTTTGGTTGACCACCAAAATGTCCAGGAGAATATCGAACTGGTGCACATCGACATAGGCCTCGGCATACACAGGGTCGGAGAAACCAGTGAGTTGTACGACACGTTGTAGCTTGCTGATGAAATCGTCTTTCGAGACAGCAGACTTGCCTGTCGCCCTATTCAGCTCCGCCTCGTAGTCGATGTCATCCTGATCGGCATGAGAGCCGCCCAGCTGGCGGAAGACAAGCTGCTCATGCGGCTGCGTGACAACCGACATTTGTTTGTCGGCCTTGGAGGTGTTCTTCGCACGCTCATGCTCCAGCATTGTTGCATAGGCATGACGAGAGTCTTTCAGGAAAATGTCAGCCGCAGCATGGGCTTCGTCAAGAGAGAGTGAGGCACGGCCAAGAATCTGCAAGCATGTCATAATACGCTCCTTGGAATCCTCGTCGATCTTGGAAGAGACAAATGTAGACTGGCCCACGCGAATAATTGAGGTCATGATCAACATGGCCTCGGCACGAAGGATGTTCTTTGCTTCTTCGTCCGACGACAGGCTCAAGAAGCGCAGCGTCAGCTTGACGAGCGTCACGGCCAACACGGAGGCCGTGTAAAAGTCGCCATAGAGAATCAGGCTTCGCAGTGGTGGCTTGGAACGCAGCGAGCGTGTCTTCTCGCCTGACGACTCGATTGTAAAAGCGGACTCCGTGGCGTACGTGCCATCCGCACGAACACGCGTAGCTGCACTAGGTGCCGACTTCGCAGGCGCTTCCTCCGAAGCGGCAGGCTCGGTTTGGTCCTGCACATGCTCTTCCGCCGCCAGGATTGGGACTTCGCCCAAAACTTTGCGGATCTGCTGCATGACCTCATGGACCATTTCCACAGAGTTGCAGTAGTCTCCGACAATCCACAGAGCACCACGATACACTTTTCCATTGCGGAAGTCAGGGAAAGCGCGGATCAGCTTCGACAAGATATCCTCGCGCAAGTTCGGGAAGCGCTCGACCACTTCACGCACAAATGCAATCACCTCCACGGCCAACGAGCTGCCTGAGTCGCCCAAGAAGTTCATCAGCTCGTGCATCACCGTGCCTGATACTTCAGAGAAGCGCACTGCGCACGCATGCAGTGTCTTGATAAGCAAATGACGGTAATCCGTGCCAGTATCTTGACCCTGCGACGTCTTCACAAGTTCTTTGCGGAGAAGAAGAACGACCTCTTCTACAGTACGCACAGTGAGCATTTCCAGGGCCATGTCCAGCACCTTTTCGCGCACATCCATATCGGGGCTGGATAGGATACGAAGCAAATCGATCACTAACGGATCCAATACGTGTTCATGACGCTTGCGGAGGGCGTCCAGACGATCCAGCACAATCAATTTCACATTGTTGTCACTCTCCTGTACAGTAAGCTCGATTAGTGCACTGGCAATCGCCTTCACAGCAGGCACATTGTGGGCCAGGCCAGCGAGTGTAATAGCCGCCTCGTACTTCACGGCATGGCTCGACGACGCCAAAAGCTCAGATACAATCTGGATATAGCCATTTGTACGTTCACTTTCATTCTTGGCATCTTTGCGAATGAGTTCAATGACCGCCATCTGCATGAGCTCATCCATCACAGGCACTTGGCTAATAACGCCGTCGAGATAAGCAACAGCCCGTTCCAGATCGCAGTGCACTAGCATAGCGAGTGCATTTCGCTTGCATGTTGCATCAGCTTCTCCAGCCAAGAAGGATTCAATAAGCTCGGGCGCATCGCTCAATAAATGCTCGTGTCGCTCATAAATCGTCCAGATAGCCATGACAGCATTCTTGCGTACATAGCTGTGACGGTGGTCCAGACATTGACGAACCGTCGGGATCAACGGCTCCAGAATCTCCTGCTCCTGAATCTTTTGCAAGAAACGCAAGGTAGAGCCACGAATATATTCATTGGGGTGCTGCAGGTCGTTTCGGATGGCATTGCATACCAAGATCATTTCCTGCTTCAACTTGCCCTCGTTATCAAGCTTTGGGCATACCTCCCAGTAAAAGTGCAGCATCTTCTTGATCTGCTTGTTCTTACTAGGAAGCACGTACTGGATAATCGGCATCAACAACGACGCATGAGGCTCGCCATTGAGTGTGGAAACAATAATCGCACGTAGCGTTTCCAGCTTGACCTCGTCGCTGTGACTCTGCAAGTTCTGCCGCAACTCCTGGGTCGACAGGTCCAGCTGGTAGCCCACGTTGGAGGCTACCAGCGTGTACGCCGTAGGATCAGAAGGCATGGTCCACTGCCACGGTGTCGTCGCGTTGTGACCAACAAACCTGCGCGGGCGATGCCGACCGGGTGTATGACATGTCTACTAACCTAGTAGGTTATGCAAACTTGCCACGTGTGAAGACGTAGAGGCCGCGCGCTTCTCCACTTTGCTTGCTGGAAGAACCATGGCGGCGCGGGCGACATGGTGGGGCTTGCTGGCCAGACAGGCCATGCGAAAGCCGCTAGGCTGGCAACAGCAGCTTCGTAACAAGTCTACGTTGTTCTCTGTGCAACCTACTCCAGATATAATAGAAACCATCTCTTCATACTTGATGAAAGAGCGTGAGAGACTGTTACAAAATGTATGTATGATCTGCCTCTCCACTGACACGTTAGCCTGAAGCCGCGACTTCGTCCCAGAAGATTAAGGATTTGGAGGCTGTACACGCTACATGGAAAGAATGGAGAGACCAGATGCAGGTATGCTGCCATATTATCTAACCACATAGACTGTCCAAGACACGGAGCGCATGTGTGAAACGGAGAAAGACACGGATCTCGTGGAAATGGCACAGCAGGAATTACAGGAGATGCGTGCCGAGGCCGATGCGCGGCATAGGGCCTTACGAAAACAAATTTTGTCGAGCTCAGCACCTGTGAAAAGCAAAGGGGCCATCATCGAGATGAGACAAGGTGTGGGCGGACAGGAATCGTGTTTGTTCCTCAGTCAAATGCTACGAATGTACATGAAATACTGCGAGAAACGTGCCCAGAATGCAGAAGAAACAGGTGATACCAGCGCATTGGGGGCAGGTTGGCGTATTGAGTTGTTGTCTGCGACGCCAGTTGACGTATCTACGTCGAATGGCTCCAACGATGCATTGCGGGAAGCCATTCTGCAAGTGCATGGCACTCATGCCTACGAGGCACTGCGCTTTGAAGCGGGCGTGCATCGCGTACAGCGCATTCCTGCCACGCAGAATCTTGGGAAGCTGCAAACCAGCACCATTGCCATTATTGTGCTTCCCATGCAGGGTGGCGAGAACGACCCAGCCGATGATATTGTTGATCCCAAAGATGTCAAGATTGAGACGATGCGGGCACGAGGCGCTGGTGGCCAGCATGTGAACCGAACAGAATCAGCTGTTCGGTTGACACATGAACCTACGGGTATTACTGTCTCCATGCAGGATTCAAGGAGTCAGCATCAAAATCGAGCCAAGGCCTGGGAAGTGTTAAGAGCACGACTGCTTGATCGCCACCTTCGCAAGGAAGCGGAAGAAAACAAAGCGATGCGGCGTTCACAAGTCGCTAGCGCAGATCGCAGTGAGCGTGTACGCACGTACAATTTCCCGCAAGACCGTATCACAGACCACCGTGTCGGGATATCTCTCTCCGACATGGATGGATTCATGGACGGCGATGATGATGGCGGTGCCGGCCTGACGCACCTCATAGAAGAACTGAATGCAAAAGAAGATGAAGTGCGTCTTCAAGCCTTACTTGAGACGCTGGAAACGATGCATAGCTCGTAGTTCATACCCTCATACCCTTACACGTATGTTCAGTTCAATGCACGGCTTCGAGACGCAAGCCATGCAATGGCGGTACAAGAAGCCACAAACCCAGCAAAGCGGAGCCAGGCAGCATGCTCAATTTCCCGTTCTTGGGAAATGGTACGAGAGGATCTAGGATATGAGATACAGGGGGAGACCTACCGGAAAATCGAGCGCAAATTGGGCAGCGCCATAATGGGGAGAAACTGGGCTGCCACGCGCGCCGCGTGGGCAGAGACGAGAAGTCAAGGGCCTGTGGAGGGGGGGCTTAGTCATTCTTGACGCGCAATATACTGCCGCCATGTCCAGCCGTACAAGAACGGAGCGTGGCTCGGTGGCAGGATCAGAAGAGATGCAGGTGTGGCAGGCAGTACGTGCCCAGCTCCGAGGGCTCGATAGTGCACGTTCTGCTTCGCTGGCAGGCTATGAACGGCTCCTACGTGCCAGTCCCGACGCGAAAAATCTGGATAGCTTGTACAGTGCTACCGACGCGTGTGTACAAAATGAACAAAAGTAGGTGCTCTACAAATTATGGCTAATACCAAGATATATTACAGGCGCATTAGAGCAGTTGGATATCCTCCTGGCCCTACGGAAGGCGTCCTCCGCGAACATGTTCGATATGCGGCGGAAAAAGCGCAAGGCTGATGAGACAGATCTATCGGAGAGCCTAACCGATGTGGCCTCTAAAGATACAGATGGGCGAAAGACGAGAAACAGTGGGATGCCGCGGTCAAGTATGGCAGGCCAAAGTGAGCATGCAGCACGTCTTCGATCACAGCTTCCCTTGCAAAATGGACGCAAAGTAGCTTTCTGTCAACCGAATGATGGCGGCGAAGAAGAATGGATTCTTGCTACAGTTCTTGAATGCGTCAATGAAGAACGAAGTCAATACAAGGTCCAGGATGCGGAAGACGATGGTGCAAGAGAGAGAGTGTGTATACGCCTTTCTCACCGCAGTACTTGGACGACAACCATCGACTCCATGGCACCGCTGCCTAACAGTATAGATACCTTGCCTGCGACAGATTATCCGGTCGGCGCGCGTGTACTAGCGCTCTATCCTGACACGAGTTGCTTCTACTGGGCCACGGTTCAAGGTGGTGGACCGAAACTGACCGGCAAATCGCGATCGAAAGTATGTCGAGTCTATATACTCACGCAAGCTCATAAAGCGCGAAAACGAGCTTCTGCATGCGCCCTACAGTGTCATGTTTTACGACGATGGGGCCGACATTAAGCAAGTGCCAGCCTATTTGGTCGTGGAGCATCCATAGCTTTCTTTTTCTTTGTATGACTAAATCTCCACGTGTACATCTACCCATTGTCTCCGCCGCCGGACGAGGGCGTACGACTCACTGTGGTGTCTCTAGATCGATGGCATTGGCTGTGAACCTCAATTTCCCCATTGACGTTCTGGATACCGAGACACACACATAAATTTAATTCTGATATGGATACAGTCGCGACATCGAATGCTGGTCCAGCCGAGGCCATTCATATGACATGGCAACAGCAGCTTATGAGTCAGTCATGGAGTCAAGACGGGCAGGCGAACCGAAAGAAGAAGTCCAAGGCAGTGACGCTGAAGAAGCCAGCGTCGAAAGGCTCGGCACCAGCGCCAAAGAAAAATGAAAAGGCGGTGCCAGCGAACCCTGAGACAACGATGACATGGCAGCAGCAACTTTTCCAGCAATCCCATCGTGCGGGGCCTACGTTTGATCATGCAGCGGATGAGAAAGACGCAGAAACGTTTGGCACGCCTAAAGGAGGGAAGAAGAAGGGCTCGTCGTCCAATGCAGCTACCGTACCGGATCGCCGAAAGCCCAAAAACCAGAAGAACAATGCGAAGCCACGCGATGGACGGTCGACCGCTACGCCCACCAAGGAAGCTACGGCGACGCCAGCCGCGGCGTACGCCGGACCGACTTTCCACAATTCGCCTTCCGCTGCGAGTCTTCCCACGCCTCGTTTCTCTATGCGTACCGACAAGGCCACGTCGTCAGAAACGCCGCCGACCACAGCGCCGTCGTCAGTGGCGTCCCCTGGACCATCCGCGGCCTCTCCATCGGGGCCACCACCGATGCAGACAGTGGATGCGCTGTTGGCTCAAATGCTTTCCCCCCATTCCCTATCCCTTGGTTCGAAATAGTGCCCTACGTGTGTTTTTGATAGGGACATGCTAGATCGCCCCTGGATCTGGCCACGATACTGTATTTTTGTCTACATAGCTCGCTTACTCGTACGTACGTATGCCTGGCCGCGTGCATCCTCGTCAGTCCTCCACATCGCACGAACCGCGTCCCTGTGTAGTCGCGCGGTGAGCGCGTGGTAGACCACGAGTACACTACAGTTTCTGGAGGAGATCGGCTCTGCAGCGCTAGTGCGGGCAGAGCCGACAGCGGAGACTCCGTCGTCTGTCCGATGGCATGTGGGAGGCGCGAGAAAAGGCGCGCCGTACTTTCAGAAGGTGGGTGCGGCTGTACGACTGTTCCCTGGTACAGGCCGAGAACCTCTGCCGTACAAGGAGCAGACACCCGTGCATGAACGAGCGTTGCATGCTATGACGTTCCTGCATAGGTACCACCCAGGCATCGACGTCCCATCGCGCCTCTTGGCACAGACCATGCTGGAAGATGAGCAGCTTCAATGGCAACAGCACGATCACGGTGATGACGATCTAGTGGGATGTACTACCTCGATCGCGATGGATTCGACACTTTCATGCTGCCTAGTATGCGTCGGTGGCGTGAACCGATGCGATTTGTGTATGTATAGCCTGTACTGACCGCAGTTGCCATGACGTGGGAAGACAAAGGACATGCATGGCATACCGTTGCTGGCGGCCGACCGATCCTCACTACGACCTCGCCCATCCTCCAAGTCACAGCATATCATGCACGCGAGTCGTTTTCCACCGTGCTTGTTCGTACATGGACGACCATCCTGGTGGGCTATATCGAACGGCGCGATACCGAGGACGATGCGATGTATGCATGGCATATCATCGACCGTGTGCATACCAATGAACATATACCCACACGACAAGTGGATGCGTGCCTATATAAGAACGCCCTCACGATGATCGATACCCATGGCCATATTCGAATGTGGGATATGACACAGCATACCGGCACGACGCTAGCGCAACGTTCGTCGAGCCAGGGAGACCGATTTGGCACAATCACTAGAGTCTCGCCCCAAGGCTACCTAGCCGCCAATGCCACCGAAGTATATTTCCTCGATGATCGAGCACCAGAGCCTTCTGTCGTGGCACAAGCTGCGTACTCGACGACGGCTATGCAACAAAGCAAGTATACCAGCGTATGTGCCTCGTCCCTGTATGCGCATGACACGGTATGTGCCGCAGTGTCGACGACAGATGTTGTGGAATACTACGATCTGCGCTACCCAAACGTGCCCTTGCAATCGTGGAGTCACCGGCGTGGGTATGACCGATCGCTGCGTCTGCATGCCTTGTATGCAAACGACACGGAAGTGCTATGCCTGACCTCGCGACGCAACCGCCTAACGACGGCGTACCAGACCCACACCGACCCTACTACCAAGTTGCTTTTTGACTTGCCTAGTACGCTCCCGTCGGCCGTGCCGCTGTCGTGGGCACCAGAGGCGCCGTCTTCGTCGTACTGGGTCGATATGGCCAGTGTCCCTGGCGCTACAGCGCCGCTCATTCTGCAGATGGAGCAGACGCAACGCGGCGATATATGGATGCAAAGTTACGCTACGAAGCCTGCCGAGCCTTGGGACGTACATGTCACTTGGACGCCCACCTTGCAAGCGGCAGCGACCCAAGCACAGAGGCTGGAAGATAGTGGGCCCTTCGGGGAGCGAGAAGCGACACATATGGATTTCCGTGCTGTACATCAGCGTACGTATGTTGTTTACTGATACCAGTCGCGATGCTAGGCTGGATGGGCATCCCGGACCCCTTAGCTGCCGAGGCCGAGGCGCCGTCGCTGGTAGCGTCGCTCGGCAAAACACCAAAACCACTTCGAGGAACGACGCATACTTTGTACGTGGACCATACACTCACACCAGACTCGATCGACTGTACTATAACCAAGACAAGAAGCATGCGCTTGGCTCGTCCCAACTGCATATGGATGTGGCCTTGCATGGCAGCACAGCGCTTGCGTCCTCCGCGTGGCCAATGTTGTGGCAGCGAATGAAAAAGCAATCCACGACATCGCTTGCACGCGCGATGCACCCCGAGGCCCCAGAAGAGACAGTACACGTACCTACGTGGCTACCGTCTCTAGGGCCGCCTCCTATAGGCGACCCAGCCGCGCAACCGTGCGTCCAAGCAGCTGAAGCTCAGGAAGCTGTGGACTTGGCCTTGGCATGTACGTGTATTCCACAGGCGGTACCTGCCGCTGAGACCACAGGCGAGCATCACAACTGGGTATGGGATGCCAAAAGCGAGCCTACCGTGGACACCGAGACGGACGATCTATCGGACGCAGCCAACTTGCTCCTTACAGAATGGCCCAGCGGCACATCCGTGGAAGACTATACATACATATCGCCCTACCGTGGCTTGGATCTGGAGGCACCCACCCAGAAAAGCTTCGAGGCCCTGCCTCGTACGCCTACCTCGTCGCAGCAGCGGAGGCGCCCCATGGTCGTCGCGAAAGCGGCAGAGCGTGCAGGCAAACGAACGCGTGCCAAAGAGCCAGCCAGCTCCCCGATTCGCGTCGATGTCACAGCGTCGCAACCATCAGCGAGTCAGGAGTGGGATGCATCACAGCCTCCTATGGTCACACAAACGCAAGTAGAGCCTGGCCGATTTGCGCAACGCGCTACGGTCCCGAAACGCAAAAAGCGTATGGGCGGCTTTTAGCTCTTGGAGGCCATGTTTTTCGTGATACCATCAATGTAGGTCTGTAGCATTTCATTTTCTGCTTCAGCTTTGGTGCATTCCTGCTGCACATGGGACATGCGTTCCATCAGTTCTGTGGGTCAGGCGGTGGGGTCGGCCAACGAACCTTGAATGCCGCTTTGAAGCGATAGGACGTCGCTGCTGCGTGAGTCGCCGACCAACATACCGCACAAGTCGCTCCTTCTCGGCTACAGTGCCTGCTGTAGGCTCCGATGAGGCTGTCTGCAAGGTAAGTCATGTTGAGTACATACCCAGGCAGCCTGATCGCCCCAGCCGGATGTGTCAGGGCCTTGGGCCATGGTGGAGGCGATGAGGCGCAAGTGGAGGAGCGTTGAGTAAGAAAGAAGGCAACGTGTTGGGCGCCTAGGCCTGCTTTTCTTTCTTGGCATTGCCTACGAGCATGTCGTGCAGCACGTCCACCTCGGACGCGCCCAAGAGCAAGCCGCTGGATGCCATGGGAGATATTACGCGTCTGAATGCTAGGACGGTACGGATTTTGGGCCAAAACCCAAGCACCTTTACATTGAATGGTACGTTCTCGTTTGCGTGTCTCACACGCAGGCACCAATACCTATTTGCTCATGCCGCCAAGCGACTGGAACTTTGAGGATCGGAATACGCTTCTACCAGCGATGCTAGTCGATACGGGCGATGCCAGGGAGGACTATGCGCCGATCCTCGAGCAGGTCCTGCGTGGCAACTTGTCCATGCAGGACGATGCACACGCGCCTGTGCGAATTGGCATTACAGACATGTACGTGGGCCCATGTCTAACCGCAGTATCTTGACGCACTGGCATCATGATCATGTCGGTGGTGTTCCTTTTGTCTTGCGTATGCTGGACAAATTGCGCAAAGAGGCAGCGCCGTACGCTCAGGTCCCTGTCCCTCGTATCTTCAAGTTCCCAGAGCCAGTGACAGATCCCAGTCTGTTTGAGCGTGTAGAACGTGTGCCGCTCAACGCGTATCTCCATGTGCCTGGCGTAGATGGCCCTGCCCGTATGATGTGGCCGCTTCGTGACAATATGACGATACGCGTCAGGGACCCCGAAGATCCGACGCGCGTAACATCCGTGCGCGCTTTATATACGCCTGGCCATGCGGCAGATCATATGATGTTTTTGTTGGAAGAAGACAATATTTTGCTCACAGGCGACAATGTTCTGGGCCGGGGCTCGACTGTGTTTGAAGATCTCATTTTGTACATGCATGGGATTCAGCGTGGTCTGTCCTTGCTAACGATGCGACCAGCCACGCCGCTGGGCGTCGTAGGTACGCCGATGACGGGGATGAGCGGCGAAAATGTGCTGTTCCCAGGGCATGGCCCCGTGATTCCCAAAGGCAAGGAGACGCTACGTCGCTACCTGAAGCATCGTGTAGAGCGAGAAGAGCAGCTTCTTGCGCTACTTACATGCCGTCCAGGCGACAAGGAGCGAGTGAACAAGGCGATTGCCTACCCCATGGAACACATTGAGGCTGCACAGCAGGGGCGCGCGGCGACGCATGTATGGACGCTCCGCCAGTTTGTGAGTGCGCTCTATGAGAACTATGCGCTAAATATGTACCCAGCAGTGGCGCGAGTCCTGCTACTACATCTACAAAAGCTCTCCGTGTCGCCAGCAGAGCACAAAGCGCCGCCCTTCCCTACGCGCCAGACGGTGCCATCGACGGCGTGGGCGCTGACGGGGCCGCTGGTACGTTGTGCCTCGCTGCCATCGTTCCAACGTACATCGCAGCCGTTCCCTGACCTGCCCAGCAACGACACGGAATGGCGCGAGATGCTCGACCTACCGTGGTGCTTGTCTGCGGCCTGATCCACGTGGCATTTAGCGCAAGTGAGCGTGGCCATCGGATGTGACCGGAAAGGGACCAAGCGTTCGACCTTCTCTGCAAGAGCCACGTGGAACCGACTGCCACGCACGACCGGGGTGGACACATGTTATAAAAGAACCCGGGTACCCGGTTGTCGGGTTAGTCTGTTCAGCCAAACATAGTTACGATGAGCATTCAGAAGATCCAGGCACGCATGATCGTCGACTCGCGTGGTAACCCCACGGTCGAGGTCGACCTCACCACGGAGAAGGGCTTGTTCCGTGCTGCTGTGCCCTCGGGTGCCTCGACAGGTGTCCACGAGGCCGTGGAGCTGCGCGACGGTGACAAGTCGAAGTGGGTTGGCAAGGGTGTCGACAAGGCTGTGGACAACGTGAACAACGTGATTGCGACGGAGCTCATTAAGTCGGGCATTGCCGTGACCTCGCAGAAGGAGATCGATGACTTCCTGATCAAGCTCGACGGTACCCAGAACAAGGGCAAGCTTGGTGCGAACGCCATTCTTGGTGTCTCGATCGCTGTGGCCAAGGCTGGTGCGGGCGAGAAGGACCTGCCGCTGTACAAGTACCTCTCGGACCTGTCTGGCACCAGCGCGCCGTACGTGCTCCCGGCTCCGGCCATGAACGTGATCAACGGTGGTGCCCACGCTGGCAACCCGCTGGCCTTCCAGGAGTTCATGATCGTCCCGACGGGCGCCAAGACCTTCACGGAGTCGATGCAGATCGGCACGGAGGTGTACCACACCCTGAAGAAGGTTATCAAGGCGAAGTACGGCATTGACGCTACCAACGTCGGTGACGAGGGTGGCTTTGCTCCCAACGTGCACTCGGCGGACGAGGCGCTCGACCTGCTTATGGAGGCCATCAAGACGGCTGGCTACGAGGGCCGCGTGAACATCTCGCTGGATGTGGCCAGCTCGGAGTTCTACAAGGACGGCAAGTACGACCTGGACTTCAAGAACCCCAACTCGGACTCGAGCAAGTGGGTGACCGGTGCTGAGCTTGCTGAGATCTACAAGGGCTACATCCAGAAGTACCCGATCATCTCGATTGAGGACCCCTTCGACCAGGACGACTGGGAGGCGTGGACCATTCTGCGCGAGTCGGCTGGCATTACCATCATCGGTGATGACCTGACGGTGACCAACCCGCTGCGTATCAAGACGGCCATTGAGAAGAAGGCCTGCAACGGTCTGCTGCTCAAGATCAACCAGATCGGTACCATTTCGGAGTCGATCCAGGCTGCCCAGCTCGCGCAGTCGGACAACTGGGGTGTTATGGTCTCGCACCGCTCGGGTGAGACGGAGGACACTACCATTGCCGACCTGGCTGTGGCTCTCAGCTCGGGTATCATCAAGACGGGTGCGCCCGCTCGCTCGGAGCGTGTGGCCAAGTACAACCAGCTGCTCCGTATTGAGGCGCTCGAGTCGAGTGCCACGTACGCTGGCGTTGATGGCTTTGTGCAGGGCGGTGCTGCCCCGAAGGTCATCCGCAAGTAAGTAGACAAACCCTTGTATACGTGTGCGAACACCATCGAATTTCCTATATATTGGCTCGCATAGGTGTAGGCGCCGCATCAAGCGGTGCGCCATACTGGGAAGCATCGACGCGCGTGTGCGGCTCTTGCTCGTATGCCGACCAAGGCAGCACAGGCGCAGCGTCCACACTGGGCTGCAAGCGCTGCTTGAATGTCTGGACATCACGTACCTCCTCGGCCTTCAGAACGTCGTTTGGCGCCGGCGGCAAGGCGGTGGTGGTGGCAGTGGTGTCGGACGACGAGACAGGGTGCTCAGCTGCAGCGAGCTCCACGACGCGCATCAAATCCGCTTCCTGGAGCGTCGCCGGCATCTCGCCCTGCGCAAACGCCTGCTGCACAAACGAACGCAGGCTTTCGACGCTCGTCACTTGCGCCTGGAGTCCTTCCCGCGCCTCCGCAGGGACAGCCATGCCGTGGTCTTCGACGTACGCAAAGAAGGCCTGCCAAGCTTCTGGGCTGAGCGGCGTCGAAGACGTGCCTGGCTCAGTCTGTGCGTCCAGATGCGTCACCGTTTTCGCACGATGGGGGCTGCTGGGGTGGATATAATGCTCCATAAACGCGATCATATCGTCCTTGGTTAACGTTGGGAGCACAGCGACATCGCGCTCACGATGCAAAAAGTCATAGTACCCAGAATGAATACTCTGCCAGAACCGCATCGTTTCCTCGGCCAGGTTCTTCACCGTCTCTTGGCGCTTGTGCAGCAGGGAACGAACGTGGGCCTCAAATTCAGCGTCGGTCATGCGACGCATCTGCTGCAAAAGCTGCTCAAAGAACGCGTCAATACGTGACTCCAAGTATGTCGACGAACGCTCCGACTGGACAATCACACGGAACCCCATTTGGCCCACAGAGGTACGCACACCACTAAAGACCAGGTAGCCCAGCTGCTCCTTAGTCCGCAACTGATCGAAGCACGGCTCATGCGCGATCTGGGCCAGTAGAGCCAGCATCGTACGCTTGCGCACATCTGTCGGGTCGCCCACTTGGCAGTAGTATTCCAACGAGGAGTTCACGTTGCCGGCATTGGCCACAGGCAGATGCCATGCGACGCGGTGGCCCGGCGGCAGAATAAGCGAGCGGGGCGGCACCGTCAAATGCACTGGTAGTGCCTTGAAGTCCAAACGCGATTCCACATCAGCCAGCAGCGAGTGCGCCACCGATGCCGACATGTTGCCGTGCACCAGCATCTCGGCATGCAGCGCGCTCAGCAGCTCCGCCTGGTACGTCTGCACATCCTTCGCGGTGATCGAAGAAATCACTTTCAGTTTGTCATGCTGCGTCCACATGTGCTCCGTAAGCAGGTACGACGAGTAGTACGCCGCATGCTGGTACGGCTCCTCCACATCAAAGTTTTCGTAGTTGCGTCGCACCTGCTCCTTGATGATAAGGAAACGCTTCTCATCGACACGCAGCCCCTTCATCGTATCTAGCACAGCATGCAAAAGCTGTGGAAGCTTGTCGTTGTAGCCACCAAGAATGACATCGATGCCATCCATCTGGCTATCGATGTTGTAATGCAGGCCAGCCACATCGGCGTCGTAGGAAAACTCACACAGCGCATCCTTGACCAATTCCACATACAATCGCGAAAGCACAGCCGTGCGTGGCGACGCGTTCACGTTCGGCGTACGAAGCAGCAGCGCGACATTTGCCTTGGGCAGGAAGAAGCGGTCGTCTTGCTTGTGCCACAACCGTGACAAAGGTGTACGCGTTAGTAGCTGCGGTCGATCGGCCGCTGGCACGTCGTCCGGTCGGTCGGACGACGCGACGTCGAGGTTCTGCGGAATAAACTGATTGGCATGAGGCATGGCCATGCCATCCAACGTCGCCTCAGCTTCAAGAATACGAGGAGGAAGCGGCCGGATCGTATACTCGGTACCGTACCACTGCTCCTTTTGGTCCAACGCTACACCCGCAGGCGGCTCACGTCCTGCCAGCATAAGGCGGCAGTGCTCAGGGCGCAGGCTCTCCAACGTTGCTTGGATCAGCGGTGCATCAAATTCGCGAAGAACATAGGGGCCGGACAAGAGCCATGCAGGCGGGAGGCCATGCTGCATCTGACTCGCCAGCGTCGAGCCATACATCGCCGGTGAGCTCTTTTCCTTGAACTCAAACCGCAACTCGCTCAGACGCCGCACTTCCTCGTACATCCACTCCTGAACAGGCTGCGAACGGAGCAGGTCCAGGTACTGGAACACCGCCGCAGCAACATCCTCATAACGGGTATAGCCCTCGGTCGTAAGATCAATGTGGATCTTGAACAGCTCAAAGCCCTCAGCATTGATGGATGAGCCAGCACTGAGCGAATTCGCCCAGCCACGCTGCTTCAGGCAAGAAAACAGCGAGCCATCACCCTCGTGCCCAATAAAGTGCGAAAGCAACTGCCCTGGCTTGGATAGATACAAGTGCACCTGCTCAGGGAACGGGAACGTAATGTCCAGCAAATGCACATCCTTGATCGTGCGGAAGATCACCTCAGTACCGAGCTGGGAAGGCCCCAATGGCGAGCCTGGGAACGAAGGCGCGTCGCATCCCTTGTTGGGCACCTGCGAGAACTTTTCCACCACCCAGCGCATAAGCTGCTCAGGTGACTCGCGGCCGAGAACGACAAGCTTCATCATATTCGCACTGTAGTACTTAGCATGGAACTTGAGCAATTCGTCGCGGATATCGAGGCCGTGGGCGCGCGGCTCATCCCACAACGTCGTAATGTTCCCTGTACCGAACTTGGAGTAGGGATGCGAGGGATCACATAAGCTCTTCTCGAGCTGAAATGCACGCCACATATCAGACTGCAGATTCTTTTTGTGCTCCGAGTCGACAGCGCGAATCTCACGCTCCGAACAGCTCGGATCGAAGAGGGGCTCCAGGAAAAACTGCGCAAAACGGTCCAAAGCGCCTTCAAAGTGAGCATGACCCACATCGAAGAAGTAGTTCGTGTTTTCCAGCGAGGTAAACGCATTGGAGCTGCCGCTGTGATTCGACAAATATTCACTGTACTCATTCTCACGAGGGTACTTTTTCGTACCCATAAACAGCAGATGCTCGCAGAAATGCGCCATACCCTGCAGCTCAGAAGGATCACTTAGATGACCTACACGCACATCCATAGCAGCACTAGCCTTGTCGGTCGTGGGATCGCTGATCACGAGCACCTCAAGATCGTTGGCGAGGCGAACAAGACGATACTCGCGCTGATCAGTTTTGGGCTTCTCCATAGCGCCTTCGTACACATAAAAAGTCACATCGCTGTCATCATCCATTTTCATATGATGCGGGACAAACTTCGTGCTGGACGCACTCGCACCAAGAGGCGGTGCTGTCACAGTGGCAAACTCCCGGACACTCAGAGGCATAGTTCGCAGAAAAGGATTACGTAGCGTCGTCGAGGGCGTCGAGAGACACTTGACGGGCAAAGACGAAATAGGTACACGAGCGAATGTATTGCGAGAGCCGAGCCGAATAGGAGGCAGAAATCGAGCGGAAACTCGCCTGGGTACCGGCATCGACCCAGAAGATCGTACCACGAAGCCACGAAAGGCTCCTTTGTTGCGCTCAGACACTCTCGATTCGTCATCGCCGCCAGGCTTTAGTCATCGCTGTGGAGGTTTGACAGGAATGCTACTTTTCCCCTGCCTCGTAACGAGCATGAAAGTACGTCGCGTGTGCATGCAAATGGGTGGGCTGACACAATCCAGATCGCCGTAGAAGGATGCTGTCATGGAGAATTAGACCGTATCTACGATGCGATCTTGGAGGAAGAAAGGATCTCTCAGCAACCTGTAGATCTCGTGCTCTTATGTGGGGATATTCAGGTACGAAGTTCATATCACTGACCCCAGGCGCTTCGCAACGAGGGCGACTTAGCTAGCTTGGCTGTACCCACCAAGTATCAACGTCTCGGTGATTTTCACAAGTATTACGCGGGCGAAAAAGTGGCGCCCATACTAACGCTCGTCATCGGCGGGAACCATGAGGCAAGCAACTATATGTGGGAATTGTGCGTAGCAAGACAAGCACTAATGCAGATTTTATGGCGGCTGGATCGCTCCAAACATATATTATATGGGTGCTGCAGGCTGCGTAGAAGTCAATGGCATCCCTATTGCAGCAGCCTCGGGTATCTTCAAAAACGATGACTATCAACGTGGCCGCTTTGAGCGACAGCCTTTCTCTGCGGGTGATATGCGCAGTATATACCATACACGGCAGTTTGAGATTACCAAACTTGCTATGCTATCACGGCCCACGGTTTTTATGTCACACGACTGGCCAAACGGCGTCGAACAATACGGCGATGTACAGGCACTATTACGTGCCAAGCCCTTTTTCCGCGAAGAAGTATACTCTTCATCGCTTGGCTCTCCGCCATTACAGATGCTATTGAATGAATTACAGCCACGTTATTGGTTCTCGGCGCATCTTCACGTCGAATTTGCGGCACATGTGGTGCATGGTGTTATGCCCCAAGCATCTCATGCCAGCATTTCTGACAATCCGGAAGCAATAAACGTGGATGATGACTCGGACGAGGAGCTGCCTCCTACCCCTAGCGTAGTGCAGCCCCAATCCATCACAGACTTTTTAGCCCTAGGGAAATGCACATCCAAGGGCGGATACCTTCATGTACGTACAGAGCGTAACTCATTCCAGTTCTTTGAAATACCTACATCCACAGATACCCTGACGCAGGGTCGTCGAGAAGTTTCACTGACGTATCATAAACCCTGGTTGGCAATTACACAAGCATTGGATCCCTATTTCTCTTTCCATCGCACACAAAAACCACTGCCATTGCCTACCGATCCGAACCTGCAAAATGCCGTCCACGAAGCTATGCAGAAGATAGACGCGCAGTTGGCCACAGCAGAGGGGAATCCCTTGGATATTCGGATAGCGCAACCATTTACTCGTACTGCGCCGACGCAGAGCGAGTATGCGCAGCAAAGCAGAAAGTCTATTCGTACGTTTTTGTGCAAAAACCTATTGACATTAGACCCTTACAAGAACCCGCAAACAGAGGCGTTCTGTCAGCTGGCAGGAATTCCCAACCGCATAAACTCTTTCGTCACGAAGCAGTCGACGCGCCCCAATTCTATGAGCTCTAGCGCCCAGTGCGTTGCGACTCCAGCGGCGGAAACGCAAAACGAAATACGCTTAATTCATGCTGTAGGCTCGCAGTTGAAGCGTAAACGTGACTAAACACTTTGTCACGTTTGTATGTCGCTCCAATGGGTACTGGCGCCAAGCGCATGTGGGCATTGATGCAGACATCAGTGTGAAGAATGTAGTAAGCCAATAATAATAATAGGGTACAAACGATCTATATTGGGATAAAATGTAACAATATTGGCAGCCAATAAAAAACTGAAAAAGACACCGTGTCAGTCAGGATAAAATGGAGCAGCCCTCAGTTGAGGAAGCACACGCGCCTTTCTTCAGCTGCAAGATGGTAGTGGATTCCGCGAAGGACGTCAACGGACAACGTTACGCACCTCGCCGTGCGAAGGAATACGAGGAAGAGAAGCTGTTCCAATACAAGGTTCCAGAGCTGTCGGTACAAGATCTCCTCTCTGCGATCCCTGCGCACTGCTACAAGCGCTCGACATTTTACTCGTCGTTGTACTTGATCGGTGATTTGGTCCAGGCTGGCCTGTTGATCTACGCAGCGACATGGATTGACCCCGTTGTGTCACAGATGGGTGTGCAGCTTCCTTCTCTTTCGCCGGATGCAAGCAAGGCCGTTATGAGCTTTGCTCTTTGGGCTCTGTACGGTTTTGTTCAAGGACTGGTGTTTACTGGCGTGTGGGTGGTAGCTCACGAATGTGGTCACCAGGCATTTAGCCCAAGCAAGACAGTAAACAACGCTGTAGGATGGGTCCTGCATTCGGCTCTGCTAGTACCCTACCATTCCTGGCGTATCTCGCATGCGCGCCACCATGCTGGCACGGGACACATGACTCGTGACGAGGTGTTTGTGCCAAAGACTCGTTCCTCGCGTGGCCTCTTGCCTCTGCGTCCTGCCGATGACAAGTCTCCTCTTGTTAATGAGAATACGACGTGGGGCGAGTGGATTGCGGAGATTCTTGAAGATGCTCCTCTGTACAACTTCATTGAGCTGCTAATTCAGCAGCTGTTGGGCTGGCCTCTGTACCTGCTGTTCAATGTTTCCGGACAACCTCATTACCCACCATACACCAATCATTTCTCTCCTAACTCCATCATTTTCGACAAGCGCCACCGCAACCAAATTCTGGCATCGGATGCAGGCATCCTATTGACACTCTCCTGCCTCTACGCTTGGGCCAAGGTAGCTCCAGGCGGATGGATGGATGTGGCCAAGTACTACATTGTACCCTACTTGTGGACCAACCATTGGCTTGTAATGATCACCTACCTGCAGCACACAGACGTTAAGCTGCCTCACTACCAGCCATCCATGTGGACCTTCCCTCGTGGTGCGTTGTGCACGATTGACCGTGAATGGCTGGGCCTCGTGGGCCCCTGGTTCTTCCACGGTATTTCTGAGACGCATGTGGCCCATCATGTTAGCAGCAAAATTCCTCATTACAACGCTTGGGAGGCCACAGAGGCTCTGAAGAAGCGTCTAGGCCCTCACTACCTCAAGTCTACGGAAAACGTGTTTGTTACGCTATGGAAGACTGTTCGTTCGTGCCGCTTTGTGGATGACGAGCCTGTGGCCTTTTACCGTAATGCTGACGGTGTTCCTGGAAGTGTACCTGTGTTCCCACGCAATGCTGATTCAGGCGTTGCTCTGTCCGAATAACTTGTATAGATAGCTTGTCTAAACAACATGGGTACCTCTGCTGAAATTGTATGACTAAAAAAGTAGCACGGCCCTAGCATCCTCTCCCCACGACTATTGTCGCAAAGATGGCGAGTAAGATGGAGCCAGCTACAACGCCCACACAGTATGTTTGGATTAAGACACTTTTTCTCACATTAGGCCTCCGAAGGATGATCCCTTCACGCCGGAGGAATTGGCGAAATACAATGGATCTGACCCATCGAAGCCTGTATATGTGGCTGTTAAAGGTACGTGCATAGACCGGAACTCTACTCATACTTAGGTGTTATTTTTGACGTCTCGCCACGCAGAGAAATGTATGGTATGTGGTACTTGTGTTTATCTGACCCAACAGAACCCGGCAAGGGCTACTCCGTCTTTGCAGGGAAAGACGCATCGCGTGGCCTGGGTATGTCTAGCCTTAAGCCCGAAGACGCTGTGTCTGACTACTCAACCCTCAATGAGGCACAGATGAAAGTACTAAATGATTGGGTATGTATGCTAATGAAAGGAAACTAACAGAGCAGTTTGAATATTACAAGAAGGTTGGTCAGCGATGGAATGAGCGACTAACTAGACAGCGCTACAATATTGTGGGCCGCGTAGTGTCGTAAATGGTTGATGTATCAAGGATCATGTACTACTTTGCATATTCACGCCTTAGGAAGGGCCTTGGTATCATCAAAAAAGGCATCAGAGGGTACCTTGCCCTGTTTTCGCCTGAATGTGAATACGTGATAGGGATACGTACGTTAGTGCCCCTGGGAGTAAGAAAGTAAAAGCCCCGCCACTCTTAAGAGGTGGGGGCGTATGTTCATAGCCGATAGGAAGTTGACACCGTGTACAACGAAACTCATACTGTCGTTCGACACTGCCGTCAGGGCTGCGATGTAAGAATAGCAAAAAAGCCACATACCGCTCGAGAATTTGTCCTAAACCTTGCGAGGCACTTATCTTGTATATGGGCGCAACAATGCGCTCGCCATTTTCTTGCTTGGGGGAGTCAAAACAACGCAAGACAAACGATCCATCTAACGGACGACGAGGCAGCGACTCCAAGGTTGTATTACTGACAAGAACAAACTCGCCACATAGGCAATAGTATATGTATAGTGGTGGCTTGCTCGCCACCGATGTGCGTGAAAACGTTTTGGTATGCCGAGACATCCCTGACAAATAGTGTGCCTAGGGAAGCGTCCTGGAGCCACTGTTCCTATGTGGAGCAGGTTTTGGACAAAATATGTCGGTTTTCTAGGATTCGCCTGCTTCAAATTGCGTTTGTATTTCTCTTACGATGGGCGTCGAACAGTCAAAATTGCGCCCACCAAGCAATGATACCAGCAACCAGCCCTCAACACACGACACGGAAGACATTACGACCCCATCTACCGTGACTACTGTGGCCAAGACAGATGATACTCCCTTGGAAGAAGCTGATCATACCCTGGCACTCCTTGCTTCTTCTGACGCTAATGCAGCGCAAAATCGACCAGACCCACCTGAAACTACATCTACGGAACGGTCTCTATCTGAACAGAGAGAGCTTGTACAAAAGCTGCGTGCGAGTCAAGGTAATCAACTAGCCTCAGATGCAGACATTCAAGCAGACATGCTTTTAGCTGGTGTCACTGATACACGCAACGAAGCGGCAGAAGATACGGAAGCTTCGACATCTGAGGATGACAGCGATTCTTCATCTGATTCAGACTCGTCAGAAGAAGAGACTGCGCCCGTACCTATCCAAGAATTGGATGAGGACGAGGGTGGTGGCGATCAATCTGCGCCACGTACAAAACATGAAGTAGTGGATGAGAGTGTTCCTCTACCTCCGTTTAAGAAAGTGCCTGCGGAAGAGCTGGACTCACTACAGCCTATCGGGCGTATTCATTCCATTGTGGACAATGTCGTTCTGGTTGCGCAAGTTGATACCTCAAATTCCGTTCCATCTGCGCGCTCGTATGACGTGCTTGATTCCGAGAGTTTGTTATGCTTTGAAGATGGTGAGGTGCTTGGACTCATTTACGAGACCTTTGGATCTGTCCAGGCTCCTATGTACACAGTGCGATTCCGTGCCGCCGTGGATATTGATCATGATATGGTCCATATCGGTAAGACTGTGTACTTTTTGCCGTCTAGCAGCACATATGTTCTTACACGACAAATCCGCACTAAAGGCAGTGATGCCAGCAATATGTGGGACGAAGAAGTGGCTGAGGATGAGGTGGAGTACAGTGATGATGAGGCAGAGGCGGCTGCTAAACGCAAGTCGAAGAAAGCACGAACGTCGTCGCACGCGTCTGAGTCGGCCACAGTGGATCCTGCTACGGCATCGCTGGGACCGCTCGGAGGAAAGCGTTCGTCGGGCCCTACAAATCGCGGTGGTCGCCGCCGCGATGCACAAGCGTCTTCTAGATACCCTTTCCCCCCTGGCTGGGGCGATAGCCAGTCACGCCGGATGCCATCTGACGGCGGACTGCCACAGACGATGCCTCATATCAATCCACGGTTTGCGCCGTCTTGGTTTGGTGCACCGACTATGCCGTATGCAATGCCTCCGTTTCCTATGCCTGTGCCTGGCTATTCACCAAACTACCCTACAATTGGCATGCCTACATCCCATGAACCATACCAGCCGAATGTACGCCCTTCTGAGCCTAGTTCGTCATACCGAAGCGACGATGCCTACGATCCATCACGGCCTCAATAGTCAATCTTTTCGGCTAAATTCGCCCAACCTTGGAAGGCTACCAGTGCCTCGCCTCGCAACAGCGGGATCATGGTAAGAGTCCGATGTTCTGGGGCCAATGGTACTTGTTGGTATAAAAAGTCGTCGTCAAATCCGATATCAGCGGCATCGCGGCGATTATTGCCATAATATACTGTGGGGATGCGAGCCCAGTATACCGCGGAGAGACACATAGGACAGGGCTCACAGCTTGTGTATAGTACGCAATCTTGCAGATGGAAAGTCTTTAGGTTGGCACATGCGTCGCGTATAGCTACCACTTCTGCATGAGCCGTTGGGTCACAATCCACTGTCACCTTATTGCTGCCTCGGCCCACCACGGTGCCATTGCGAACAATGACACAGCCAAATGGTCCCCCTGCTCCTTCGCGTAACACTCTCTCCGATAGGTTAATGGCCTCACGCATAAATGCTTCATGCTCCATGGTGGTGGATTCTTGTGGATGTGCTGCTGACACTATAGACATGGATGGGCTGATAACAAACATGCATCTTGTTGCTTATCTTTTGTGGAGGGAGACTTTCCCTCCTTGGCCCTTTTCACACGCATATCGGATACAAAAGACATCGATGCCTACAAAGGTAACTTCTCTACATAGACACACGCTTAGAGCTTGGCGCCCTGCGAGTTGTCGAGGTGGGCCGTCAGGTCGGTGGTCAGGAACTCGCTCGGCTCCTTCGCACGCACCTGCTGGGCAAGGTAGCGCTGCGAGAGCTCCACCGCCTTCGGGTCGAGCTTGGTCAGCTTCTCGGCCTCCTTCTTGGTGAGCTCGTCGATGAACTGCGGCGTGATGGCCTTGCCATCCTTGGTCTTCGCACCATGGTAGACCCACTGCCAGAGCGAAATACGCGAGATCTCAGCCGTAGCAGCGTCCTCCATAAGGAAGTTGATCGGCACACAACCGTTGCCCTTAACCCAGTTGGCGCAGTAGGCCAGCAGGGCCGAGACGTTAGCACGCGCACCAGCCTCAGTAATGTCACCAGCCACGTTCGGGTTCAGCAGGTCAAGCGCAGTGACCTTGACCTCCTCACGGCGAATGTGGTACTGGTTCGGACCGAGCATGTGCTTGTTGAACACCTCCAGAGCGATCTTGACCAGAGCGGGGTGAGCGACCCAGGTACCGTCGTGACCAGCCAGCACCTCACGGAGCTTGTCGGCGCGCACCTTCTCCATGGCAGCGTCGTTGGCCTTCGGGTCATCCTTGATCGGGATCTGAGCAGCCATACCACCAATGGCAGCAGCACCACGCTTGTGACAGGTCTGGATCAGCAGGTTCACGTAGGCCTGCATGAACGGAGCAGTCATGGTGACCATAGCACGGTCAGGCAGGACAGCCGACTTGTTGTAGCGCTGGCGCTTGATGAACGAGAAGATGTAGTCCCAGCGACCACAGTTGAGACCCGACGAGTGCTGGCGCAGCTCGTAGAGAATCTCCTCCATCTCAAAGGCAGCAGTGATGGTCTCAATCAGCACAGTACCACGGATCGTGCCACGGGGCATGCCAATGTAGTCCTGGGCGAGGTTGAACACATCGTTCCAGAGACGGGCCTCCAAGTGGGACTCCATCTTAGGAAGGTAGAAGTACGGGCCATAGCCGATCTCCACCAGCTTCTTGGCGTTGTGGAAGAAGAAGAGACCAAAGTCGAACAGACCACCCGACATCGGCTTGCCATCGACAAGGAACGACTCCTCGTTCAGGTGCCAGCCACGGGGACGGACAATGAGGGTAGCCAGCTCCTTCGCAGGCTTGAGCTTGTACTCCTTGCCGTTCGAGGCCTTGAAGTCGACGCGGCGGTTGATCGCATCGTTCAGGTTCACCTGACCATCCAGGTTGTTGTTCCAGGTCGGCGAGTTCGAGTCCTCAAAGTCAGCCATGTAGGTGTAGGCACCCGAGTTCAGGGCGTTGATGACCATCTTGCGGTCGACCGGACCAGTGATCTCAACACGACGGTCACGCAGACCGGGGGCAGGGACAGCACAGTGCCAAGAGGGGTCCTCACGGATAGCGCGGGTCTGGGGGAGGAAGTCCAGGGTCTTACCACCGTCCAGCTCAACCTGGCGAGCAGCGCGAGCCTTCAGGCGCTCCTGACGCACCGGCTCAAAGTTGCGGTGCAGCACCGCCAGGAACTTGATAGCCTCAGGCGTGAGGATGCGGGCATGCTCACCCAACACCGGCGCAAGAATACGAACACCGTCAACCGACATTTTGGAATATGGCGAAACTGTAGCGTCGGTGCTGAGCTCTTATATGAGAATGCAGCCGGGCCCGGCCCAGAACGCTTGCTCTGCCCCGCAGTCTGTGCGCGATGTGGCTCATTCAGAGGACAGGACCTGCGTGGGCCCAATCATGATTCGTTACGGAACTTCCGGTTATTCCCGGAAGGCAGGCCGGTCTTCCAAAGGTATCTGAACCATGTTGTTATGTAAGTATTGTGTCATCGTTAGAAACCCATCTCTCTTCCACGTGTGCCAAGCCGTAAATCTATCGCGCGTGGAGTTCAGCAAGGGGCCATCCACGTTGTGAAAAAAGCAGCGAATGAGTGTTTCGTAATCAGTGGAGCCTACATGCAGCCGGTTACCTTCCGCATGCATCATTGACATGAGGTACGCGCGTCGCAGGGCTCAGCTCTTTCCCTAGGGCGGTGACGCCAAGTTGTCTGTTGCTTAGCTTGCGTGTACAAATCTACAACAGAGTACTTACTGGGTGTCGCACCATCCCGATCTGTCTTTACGCATCGCCGTGTAGCCATGGCAACCCTTCCACGCTCAAATAGTCGTGCCCACGCCGTTCGGTGGTCACTACTCAGTGGCACTAGTCTCACGCTACGGGAGCCAATATCCGACATCAATGCGCGGCGGTTTTCATACATTGGTTTCGCTGAACAACGGCAGCCTTCTTTTCGCCAGAAGCTCCTTCCTCGTCGGTTTTCTTCGGCAGGATCGGTGGACACCCTTGATGAAGATGATGAATGGGAGTTTTCATGTGCATCAGCTCGTGAGTTTGATCGTTTACGAAACAATCTAGGCATTCAAGATGATGTATCTCTTGATACATTATTTCTGCGCATGTGCCTGCGTCGACAACCAAGCGTACCTGATATCCCTGACTTAGCGGATTCTGACTCTTCGCACTCAACCGATGCATCTGAAGAAAACGAACTCGTTTCTATTTCATCATCATTTACAGAAGATCTTGATTATCGTCCTATTGTGTCTTCTCTTTCACACACACCTCCTCCTCCTCCAAAACGTTCAACGAAGCGGCCTATGTATATTATGTCCCAGCAGTCTCTTCCATGCACCGCGCCCCCGATACAAGTAAAGGATCTAATTTCACATGTTGCACCAAGTTCTCCATCCATTCATGGGCTTTCTGGCATTGTTTGTCAGCTTACACCTGTTCTAGAAGACCCATCGCCAAAGCATACGGTCACAGAAAATCTTGGTACATCGTTGTCTTAACTTCATCGAAAATAATAATAATAATAGCCATGGAGTGAACGCACCCATATGACCCCGTGATATACTATTCATGCCCTTTCATCTGTACTTATATCTGTGCATTTATATACGTTACTAGAATGTCATGCTATTTTATGCTTGGATTAAGCTTTCGTAGGTGGTTATTCTCATCCTTTGACTAAAGCCCAGTAATAAAGTAAGGGAAGCACGTGTTTCGTCGTCAGAGTGAGTGACGTGACATCCCTTCGGCAACAGCCTGCAGTGAGACAGATTCCTGCACTGATTCAGGTTGGGCCCCTGGATCCTTCTTGTTGTTGGAGTACCGAAAGCTAACATCTGTGTGCCAACCAAAAGGAACCGGCTGATTGCGTACTTTCGCATCACTCTTGGTGGTTCTACGTAAATTCGGCTGAATCTCAAATATGTTTGTACGTATCGTTGTCTTGCATGCATTCTAACACAACTAAGTGGCGCTTTGGCGTGGCACCTGTCTCTTCGCTCTCCAAATTGCTTGAGAAGCAAGACGTGAGCTTGGAGGAGGTTCTAGATGATGCTGATATCTTGCAGGAATGCAAGTCAAATAATCAAAAATTGATTGAGTACCTGCAGCAACCCAGTGTACTCTCACGCTTACTGGATTATGTCGTTGGTGCTGTTGAAGTCGTCGATGTATCAGGAAGCGAAGCTGAAGAGAATGTTGGATTCAAGTACGTACTTTTACATTTCTAACGATAAGATATCCTTTTATTGCATCTGAAATCTTAAGCAGTGAGATCCCAGAAGTGTCGGCCCTTTTGTTTGAAAACTCGAACAAATATTTGGAGCCATTCTGGTACCAGTTTCTGAGTATGGCAGCAGATGCTCCGCAACGGCCAATTCCGCATCATGAGCATCCTCTTACCAAGGCTGCTTATGGTCCGAAAGCTGCGCCAGATGGTGAAAATGAAGAGCCATCGGAAGAGCAACAAAGTTACTCTGCGCGAACACATGGTCCTGGTTTTACTGTTTTAGCTGGATACTGGACAAAGGTTAATACAGCTCTTCTTGACCATCACCCTCAAGAGATGCTTGCCTTCATCAAGACCATGCCCAGTGTAGTAGAGGGTTTTGCGGCTCATTTTGAGACGCCTGCTGTTGTGGACCTATTGTTCCGTCTTATCCAGTGCGAAGATTCTGTCCCCGATTCGAACATCGTTTCATGGCTATCGGAACGCGACCTCGTTTCTCATGTCGTTTCGTTGCTTTCCCCTCATGCTTCGACGGATATGCACAAGGCAGCTTCTGAGTTTTTGAAGACGATTATTTCTCTCTCGGCCCCGTCTCCATCTTCTTTGAATCAAGTACCCGTTCATGACACGTTCGGTGGCCCTGGTGAGATGCTCTTGGGTGCAGGAGGTGTCAACAACATTCTTGTTCGTGAACTTGCGTCAGAAGAGAATGTGAATAAAATGGTAAGCTTCATGTTGGATTATGAGCCCTGGAAACGCCGTCAAAGTGTTGTTCGCGATGAAGCCAAGAAACCTTTTAGCGGCATCCTTGATGCGTCGCTACAAACACTACCCGAAGACTCTGCTGTTGAGGAAGAAGAGGAGGAGGAGGACGTCTCGATAATCCACCAAACTATGAAAGATCGTCAGAATCGGCACCTCTCTATGTCGCGGCGTCTTTCTGCCGCTGGTACTAGCGTCCGAGACTCCACTGCCACAGTTCGGCCTTCGATGGTCCGCCGTCAAAGCTCAACACAACGAGGCCTATCGCAAGAATCCATCACCTCTTCCTTCGTCAATTGCGCTGGTGTATTCATTGAACTTATCCGCAAAAATAACAGCGATTACTTTGAGCAGCACTTGTTCCATACCATCCGCAACTATCTCGTATTTCGCCAGCAAGAAATTGCAAACCAACACCAGCAAGAAAAAGCGTCCCAAAAGCAATCCGAGCCTGCTGCTGCCGACAAACCAGAGCTATCTCTGGATGACCTGCCTATTGATGGGGATGCTGACGCAGAAGGCTTGGAAGAAGCCATGAAGGAGGTATCAGAGAAAATGGGTATTGTTCACCTAGGTCCTTTACTTCAAATACTCGCCGAAAAGATACCCGATCTACAGGAGAAAATGCGACGTCCTCCGCAAGACACTTCTATGGTGGAAACGACTCTAGGTAAAATTGAGCCATTGACTCAAACCCGCTACTGTATCGCTGAGCTCTACGCTGAACTTTTGCATTGCTCCAACATGGCCCTTTTGAATCGAGCCAAGAATGTGGGCCCTCGGTACTCGCCTTCAGGATCTCTGATGGGCGGACTTGTGGGCCTACAGGCGCTGTCCTCTACTCTTCAGGGCGAGGATGCTATTATGCCTCCGGATAACGAAGCGATGGCCAGTGAAGAGTGGTCGCCCGACAAAGATGAACACGAGGACAACGTGGAACCTCCGTCGGGTGCTCCTTCTGGGGAACCCAATGCAGCTGCTGCGCTGCCTGCCAAGGAGTCAGAGGCTGACTTGTCCGAATCCTCTGAATCTGAACAAGATGATGCTGCCAGTATTGCCTCTGTTCTCTCTAGTATGTCCTTGGCCGACTTGACCTCGCAATTGAGTCATCGATCAAGCGTTGCCGAGGAGAGTGATTATCGAATTCGAGGAAACTACCTGAAGAAGCAGTTTTTGACGTACGAGGTGATTCCTACGCTTGTGGAATTGTTTTTGGAATTCCCTTGGAACAATTTCTTGCATAATGTTGTGTACGACATTATTCAACAGCTCTTTAATGGAGACGTGGACAGCCCCATTAACCGGAAATTAATTATCTCTACATTCAATGATGCCTGCCTCGTGGAAGCCATTCTCGAAGGTGTACGGCGTAATCGCCAGTCGACGTCACAGCTCCGACACATTCGCCTTGGCTATATGGGTCACCTGAATTTGATTGCCGAGGAAATCATCAAGCTGTTGGAGCGGTATCCCATGGAGGTTGGCAGTGCTGTCAACGAACATTTCTCACCCGATTGGGAGAGGTTTTTGAATGAAGAGCTCAGCGAATCTCGAGCCAAAGAATCCATGCCATTAGCTGGTGGCCGCCCCTCTGGCAATGGTTTAGGTATGCAAAACTGGTCAAATCTGGAGTCTGATGAATGGTATTCTGAGAATGATAGCAACCACACTTTTGCGCAATACCTTTCAGCCCAAATGCGTACAGATGGTGGCGATGATGAATCCAGCACGAACGTCTTAGCATATATGAATGATGCTGACCCTCTGCTTGGCCGCGGTGGATCAGGTGATGATGAATGGGGGCCTTTTGCAGACTCGTCACAGTCAGCCTTTGAGTTTACATCTACTGCTTCTGTGACGACAAATACTAAAACGTATCAGGAAAACCTCACACCTGCAGACTGGGCAGCTGAATTCCGGAGAGGCGGTGCTACTACTTTGTCGGACATGCCTGATGATTCTAACGTCGACAATGACTCGGATTCTGATGAGGCTAACAGTGTCCAAGGGCGCGATGACTATTCAGCATCGAGCACGGACTCTGAAGATAACTACGGAGATGATTCGCCCTACGTGGATCTGCATAAACCTGCATCGCTTCGCCAGCGCACTCAAAACATCGAACGCATGCAGCCCGATCGTCTTCCTGAGCCCAATGAACAAAGTACGGAAGATTGGCCTGCAGCGCATGCAGCACGCCATGTCCGCACGTTATCATCAGGTGGCGAAGATCGAGCGGCTACGCTTGCAGCAGCTCAATTACCTGAAGACGTCGAACCGACAGCAGAAGGTCTTCTCCGACGTACTTTGGCCGATGGCACCACAGTCACTGTGCCATTGGATGATGCAGAGTTGTCTCAAACACAATCGGCGATTGTGGACGACAGTTAACCGGCCCTACCGACTCCCCCGATTTGATCTGCAGAGGTTTAACCGACTTACCTGGCATGCATGTTTCAGACCCTGATTGACTTGTTTCGCCTATAAAATCGGGGCAGGCTCGGTCAAAACCGGCAACGTTGTGGAGAAACGGCTAACCCCGTGCACTTCACCCCGCAGCGATATAGACTGAGAAATACTACATTCCAATCACACTTTTCCGCTATACCACCACCACTATGACTAACGCATTTATTGTCGGTTCGAAGCGTACTGCTTTTGGCGCTTTTGGTGGCAAGCTCAGCCAGTTCACCGCTTCCCAGCTAGGTGGCCATGCCGCCAAGGCTGCTCTGGCTCAGCTTCCAAGCGATACTCCGGTTTCGTCGAACGTTTTCGGTGTGGTTGCGCACTCCGATAACTCTGCCCCTTACACTGCCCGCCACGTTGGCCACTACGCCGGTCTTCCTATTACTACCCCAGCCCTGACTATCAACCGTCTTTGCGGTAGTGGTTTCCAGGCTGTGATCAACGCTAGCCAGGAGATTCGCTCGGGTGATGCCGAAGTGGTTCTCACTGGTGGTACTGAGAGCATGTCGCTTTCTCCTTACACTCTTCACGGTGTTCGTTTCGGAAACACGCGCTACGGTGTTGATCTGAAGCTTGCGGACAGCCTGGCTACTGCTTTGGTCGACCAGGTTCCTGTACCAACCCCTATGGGTATCACCGCTGAGAACCTTGCTGAGAAGTACGGTATTACTCGTGAGCAGTGTGACGCTTTCGCTCTCCAGTCTCAGCAGCGCTGGGCTGCTGCAAACGAGGCCGGTGCTTTCAAGGATGAGATTGCCCCGATCGAGGTCAAGGTTAAGAAGGCGACGGAGACCTTTGAAGTCGATGAGCACGCTCGTCCAAAGACCACCATGGAGTCGCTCGGTCGTCTCCCTTCCGTGTTTAAGAAGAACGGCACTGTTACTGCTGGAAATGCCTCGGGTATTTGCGATGGTGCTGCTGCTAACGTCGTGGCCAGCGAAGAGGCTGTTAAGAAGTATGGTCTTAAGGCCTTGACTCGCATTGTGAGCTACGGTGTGACTGCATGTGAGCCTTCGATCATGGGTATCGGCCCTGTCGAGGCCACTCGTCTGGCCCTCAGCCGTGCTGGTCTTAGCATTGCTGACATGGACCTGATCGAAGTGAACGAGGCCTTCGCTGCCCAGTTCCTTGCTGTCCAGAAAGAGCTTGAGCTCCCTAACGACAAGACTAACGTCTTCGGTGGTGCTATTGCCCTTGGTCACCCTCTTGGTGCCAGCGGTGCTAGGATCTTGTCCAACCTTACTTACAACCTCCACCGTCTTGACAAGAGGTACGCTCTTGGTGCTGCTTGCATTGGTGGCGGCCAGGGTATCGCCGTCATCCTTGAACGTGTATAAAGTTGATACCTTCTGTACTCTTCCTTTGTTCTCAACTAGGAATCACGATTATCGACTTATTTTGTTAGATGGTGTGGATTATCGGCAGCTTCGATGGTTAAGGGAAATGAAACGAGAACAACTTAAAGGTAATTAGAATATATATGAAAAAGTCGGAGACTTGGGCAAGTGTGACTTTATAACTCAGTTGGTTAGAGTATCACGTTAACACAGATTCGTGAAACACGGTGTCACCGTGAAAGTCCCCGGTTCGAGTCCGGGTAAAGTCATTTTTTGAGGTTGTTAACGCTGCGACTTTTTTTTTCTAAGAACTTATTTATATACTTCCCTTAGGTTCTTAACCAATTCAATAGGTATTCTTGCACCAGATGGTCCATAGATTCGCTTGTCGGCGTACTTTTTTCTTTCTCAAGCCACTCACGAAGCCCATTCACAATCGCCCTCTCTACGTCGTCGGAGATGTACACTTTCTTGCTTTGGCTTGTGGAGACTACCCAATCAACATAGGATGCTTTGCTCATTTTTCTGATGTCATTAGGCAAGGGTAATGTCTCGGAACGTGAGAGTAGTAACTGGATATGAAGAATCTTTGGCATTTCCCAATCTTTCATAGAGGCAGCTGGATTTTCAAACACCTTTATTGGTTCAAATAGCAAGCCTCGTAAAGCCCTGATAGATTGGAATGATACGCCACAAGAAGTCAGAGAAACAGGCTTGATATTTGCTGTTCGAGCTGCTGTCGCTAGAAGTTGAGTAAGCGATAGTTCTAAAGCCGTCATATCTGCCACCAGTTGAAGTTTATCTTGATCTTTTGTGAGCCTTATTAATGTAGCATGAAGGACGAAGATAATCAGGGCAAATGAGGCAAGATCTTGTACATAAAGTAGGGTGTCCTGCACAAAAGAAATGTGGTGTAAAAGATTCTTTTGCAGGAATGCCAACCGCGCTGTAAATTCCAACATATAGGCGCTTGGATCAGTGCTAGGACCATTAGTTTCCATATTCAAGGGTTTGTCAATTTTGAATCTGTGAATTCTTGCTAGCACCGTTCTCATCTCACTTTTTACAGATGAAGCCAATGGCGAAACTAGTTTTGATACAACAACTTCAGATACGTTCGTTCTCCATGTTCGTACTTTCTCTTGGACACGAGTTTCTTCAAATTGGTTTAACTTTGACACAGATTCATAAAAGGCATTTAATGTGTCAGCCACGTTGGCATTGACTTGTTGTTGGTATGTAGGTCGCGTGTTGGTTAGTGAAAAGGCACTTTCTTCGTGAGAAATAAGTTTTGTTAGCTGTGTCAATAAAGAATCTAGGACCTGTTCAGTTATAACAAAAGTTTTCTCGAACAAAGTCGGAATAGAAGCGCATGCACTCAATTCTCCACGAATGCTTTTGAATAACCGATTGATATCGTCTACACATTGTGATCCTTTCGCTGAATCAACAATATTTTCGCATATAGCTTGAGAGATCTTTTCCCATAGAGTAAAAATCTCAAGACGATACTCTTTATCACGATGCTCAAGAATTTTTGCAATATCTCCGGTACGCAAGGGGTCACTTTCATCTTTGTTAAAGGAGAGGCGTGAAAGCAGATCATAAAATATTTCTGCCAGCTTGGGGTAGCAGGTAACACATATATAATGCCAAAATTCTGATTCTGAAATACGCTCATTGAGAGCGGTATTCAAGTGCTGGACAAATGAATTCACCAAAATATGCGTAGGCCTATGCCCTAGTTTCATTTGAACAGCTGTTATGAGCTTTTCGCTGGATTGAGGTATCAATTTCAAGTAAAGAACTTGCTCCAGAGTATGGACCTTCGAGTAAATAGCTGGAAATTCATCATCAACAAGGATTTGGATCCGTCTCCATACTGCTTCAACCCAATTGGTGAAATGTTTCAACGTGTCACTTTTGGAAGATTCTCGGATTTGGTACTTGGTTGCTCGATAACTATCCGGCAGGACAGGAGGTTGACGTTCATGTAGTTCCCTACCGATGGCAATCAAATCGAGGCTCGCTTCGATTCGTCCCATCAAGACATCAGCGAGGTCCTCCAAAAGTTTTTCAATAACTGTGCTCAGCATCTTCATATTATGCGCGGCCTGTAATGAGAGTCCCAGTAGACTTGGTGACATATTCCGCAATCCGCATAGAAGTAAGTTTTCCACTTTTTCAAACAATTCTTCTCTGATTCCGGGTATCTTTTCATAGGAAGACCGAATGCAGTCTAATTGAACGACTTCAGAACAGAGTTTTGCTTCATCCTCGTCCGTCGTTGAAGTAGTATGAACTAGAAGATCTTTTGTAAGCTGATAAATACATACCCAAGTCACCAAGCAGTGTGCACAAAACAACTGTTTGAGATGCATATGTATGCAATGAATCCAAATCTTGGATGGACGCCATTACATCAAAATTAAGTACTGCATCTTTGTGTTGAAATATACGTGATATAGTTTCCATCACTTGCTTTGATCGCACAATGATCTCGTCTAGCCCTTGAAGCTGTTCTAACCGGGCTTGTTGTGTTTGAATTGTTGAAAGTGGACGATGTACATGTTCTCGTGCGCTGATATGTGAGTGGATAGTATACATACTCAGAGGCTTGTTGATGTAAGGCAGCCATATTTTTTCGCGTTACAGAAAGAGACTCCTGAAGTGTATCAACCTGGTCAATACGCTCCAAAAAGTCACCAGCATGCTGGGTCACCAAGTCTTGTATTCTTTGGTCCACCTCCGTGATCGAGATATTCATACGGCTTATGGCAATACGAAGATTACTGTCGAATGACTTGGCACTTGTACCATGAGAAAGATTTGTGGTATGAGTACCAGATTTACCGTCGGACTGTGACGATAAAGCTGCTTTTGTAGGGCCTAGGAACTGCTTGACATAATCGTAAGCATCAAAATCATTTTGATACAGAGCTTTGATATCTGGGTAAGCCACTTAAGCACACGTACCTAGAACATCATCTTCAATATGGAGTGTAGAATGGACATGTTTGTACAATGGCCCATCCATCCGCGTCCCTTGCACGCTTCGATCTGTCATGTGGGGGTTGGGCGTAGAAGAGGATCGACTTGCAGCACAGCTTTCCGACCGTGCGCATTTTGCCTTGCATTTTGTGGAAATATGCACACCGACCTAGAATGGTGGCTACGTGAGTGAACGCATGGCTATTGCAAAAGCAACTATGTGGAACGCTGTGCGCGTCGAAGCTCGAGTTCTTTGTTAATAAGGTCTTCTTGCCATTTCTGTATTTCGGATTCGCTCGCAATAATTCCGCGCTTTCCAAGCTCTCTCATAGCTTTGTTCCGGATCAAATTGTCATGATTGCGTTGCTTATGTTCGAAGTTTTGGAGGGCAGACTCAGCACCAAGAACCAATCCAGTTGTGGTAACTAGCGTAAGCAGATCATATACTACGCACATGCCATAGTGAGAAGACCTTTAAGGGCCAATGTCTGACGGCTGTCATGGAGTTAGCCTACAAAAACCACATACCGAAAACCAGGTATTAAATGGTGTGCTGAAAACACAGACGCAAGTCCTACAATAGACCAAACGGCAGCCCCTCGAAGAGCTGCATGCTAATATGTCAGCATACCAAGGGCACAAACCACCAACTTTTTGAAGTTCGTACGCAGAGTTCGCGTGCTCTTCCCTTGCTCTCTTTCTCTCGTTACGCAGAGGAGCCTTTGTATTTGTACTTTGCTCACTCATCAACTCAGATAGGCTATTATATGCACAGTTTAGATTGTAGTAGTACACTTGCGTCCGCAAGGAAGGTCGTAGTTCGTGAGTAGGTAGGCCCTACTCGGCTTGTGCGCTATGTGGAGGAGTATGGAGGCGTCCATTTTTTGAACAATTTTTTTTAGTTCTTACCATAGCCATGGCAGGATCTACTAAAAAGGCCCGACGCGAGGAGGACACGGCTACCCTATCCGTGTCAGCCGGTACGTTGATCTATAACAACTAATCTCGAGAAACTGTGTCCCTTGTCCATGCTTTCCTGCATACTCATACACCCAAGCTTGCGCCGAAGTTTGCGTCCAAGTATCCTAACTTGGCTCTTGAAGACCAAGCGGGAAATGCTGATGCGTTATCGAATGCGCTAGTAAGTCTAGTGAAGACGGCCGTATCTGTTCCCAAGTCAGAGCTGAGCGTACTTTTGCGCACAGATGACGAAGAAGAAGAAGAAGCAGAAGACCGCGTGAAAGAGCGCAAGATGCCGAAAGAGAAGAAGGACAAAAAGGAAAAGAAAGAGAAGAAGGAGAAGAAGAAAAAATCCGAGGAAGCTGAGGCCAAGAATAAGCCTGAAGAAGTGGATGCTAATGTCTCTATACCTGCACCAGCTGCGCCTGAGGCTGTCGTAGAAGAGACGATGGAAGTCGAAGTGCCAGCTCCTCAGCCTAAAAAGAAGGGACCTGTTCAGGGCCAGCGGTTCCAGCGCGTGAAATCGGAAAATGTCGTGTTTCTGGATGAACGTCTTAAAGATATGAGCTATGATGCCAAATCTGGCGCTGGAGATTGGGGTGCCAAGGCCAGCGCCGATCTCATTGTGACGCGAGGGAAGGCGTTTACGAAGGAAAAGAACAAGAAGAAGCGCGGAAGTTACCGTGGTGGTCTTATTGATCAGGGATCACAGTACGTATACACACGCACTAACACGCTAGCTCTATCAAATTTACATACGACGATGAAGAGTGAATGTGGTCACTCGCTCATTCCCATCGCTAAAGCTTCGTCCCACATACCAATTTCCAAGCGAGTAGATGTGTCCCAGATGATCTGTAGTCTCTTCATTTGCTCCACAGTTGGAGAGAATTGAGCCGTGTAGTCTTCCAACAGTTCGAGCAAGTGGGCCACTAAGCCTTGGTAGGCATCGCCAGCGTATTCATGCACCCAATCCGCATATTTTTCTTCGTCTTCGACGGCGGTTTGAGAGCGCATAGCATGAAGCCAACGACCTACTTCTGCGTAGCCGAAGGCACAAGAAGCCAAAGATACCATCAATGGAAGCAATCCCTCCTCTGCTATATCCAGCACAAATCGTGTATAGGCCATCGTGGCACGGCTTTCAGGTGTTGCAAGGACCGTCTCCTTGGCAATGCCAGCTTTCTCACACACTCGTAGATGCAGCTGAGATTCTTGCACGACGCCTTGGATAATGGCCACAAACGCCTCTGCTTGCGCTGCAGTGGTTCCTGGTTTTGCAAGCGCTTTGGACCAAGTCCGAGCATAATGCTGAATGTAGATATAATCTTGGCACATAAACCACAAGAAAGACTTCCATGGCAGCGTTCCACGGCCAATCTGCGTAGGAAAGGGATGCCTTGTGTACTTGCGCCAGAGGGGCCATGAGCGGGCCATGAGCGTCGTGAATAGTGGTGCATCATTGTTCTTTCCACGCAGGGGCACACCGCGTTCTAGCAGAAGAGCGCCATGGTTCAAGGGACCTGCGCCTTGTCCTACATTTTCCAGAGAGCTTGCGAGAGCATGCTGCATGTACCATAGGGCATGCGCCACAGCACTGCACATAGAGTGGCCCTTCGCTGAAAAGGCACAGATCGCTGACGATAGGGTACAGCCTGTGCCATGGGTAGCCGTTGTAGGCACCTCTGGTTTGATGAAGAGGGTCATATGCTGGGTCTGCGTCTCCACTAGTACATCCACCACGTAAGTGTCACTCAATGGCTGCAAGAAGGTCACATCGTGAATATCGTGCATCCAGATTACATCCATAGAGTCCTGGGTGTACAAAGAAGCACCAAGAACCAATGCCACATCATCCATGTCTGTGCGTGCCTGCGCAGGGAAGAGCAATGCACTAGCATTGTGCTCACGACGGCAGGCTACGGCAGATGGATCTACGGCTTCCTTGAATCCATCTAAGCCCATCTTTTCCAGCTCCTTGTGCAGTTCGTGGATCTTCATAGGCGCATGTCCGCCCTTGACAAGCACATAGGCCGTACCCAATTGTGCCAGTGACGTGGCCAAGTGGCACTGATGAGCTAGTGGCTGAGCATCTGGCAGCTTATCTACGCCCATGGTTTGCAGAATTACCTCTGCCTCGTGTAGGTTGGGCGTGACAATGGTGCTCATTGGGCAAAGCTCTTGGAGAATGCATTTAATAGCTTCTTTCTCCAACAGCAATGAGCCAGAAGTAGCGACCATGACAGGGTCGAGTACAATGGGCGTGTCTGGATGTTGAGTGCGCCATCCCTGCAAACAAGAGATAACCTCCGTAGCGATGTCTTTATTGGCTAGCACACCTAGCTTGATGGCATCCACCGGAATATCCTGCGTGACACAATCAAATTGTTGACGCAGGAACGCTGCAGGCGGAACATGAATGCCTGTCACACCTTGCGTGCTTTGCGCCGTAAGCGCCGTGATTACAGACATGCCATAGGTACCACATGCAAGAAAAGTCTTGAGGTCCGCTTGGATGCCAGCTCCGCCACTGGGGTCCGACCCTGCAATCGAAAGCACACGCGGGATAGACATAGGGAGAGAAGGTCCATGAACGCCCGGGCCCTCAGTGGAGGTGGAGTGGCGTCAGCCACGTTCTACCGTGCCTCTCGCCGTCGCGAGCCACCATGGCGCTAGCGTCTCTCAAGGAGTCGCGCGCGTTTGCCTACCTTTCTGAACGCGGTGAAGATGCGCTCTATGCAGTCAAAGATGCACTAGGAGGTACTGGCTCTTCTCAATACCTGGATATGAGCGAAGAGAAGCTGGCTCGTATCCGGACCCAGCTCGAGAGTACGCATGACGAAGATCGCTTGGAAGGCATGAGGCGTGTTGTCGCGTTGATTTCCAAGGGCCGTGATGCGACACCCTTTTTAGCATCTGTACTAAAGCTCTCTTCAACATCGTCGTTGGAGGTGCGGAAACTTGTGTATATTGTCGTTCTGCGCTACGCCCCATCTCACCCGGATCTAACACTTCTGTCGATCAACAGTTTCCAGCGTGATTTGTCGGACCCCAACCCGCTTATCCGTGGCATGGCTCTACGAGCGCTGAGTGGAATCCGTGTTCGGGCTGTGTCTGCTATTGTGCTTTTAGCTGTCGGCAAGGCTACCCGTGATCCGCATCCTTATGTGCGACGCGTCGCTACCTTCGCGCTGACCAAGTGCTACCATATGGACCATGGCCAGTATGATACGCTTCTTGAGCATATTTCTACCTTTTTCCAAGATCGTTCGCCTTCAGTTCTGGGTCCCGCGATGTGTGCCTTTGGAGAGCTGTGCCCAGACCGATGGGAGTTACTGCATCGTCACTTCCGCAAGTTTTGTCTCGCGTTGAGTGATATGGATGAGTGGTCGCTTCCTACATGCACACAAATCCTTACGCGCTATGCGAGAATGAACCTTCCTAAGCCTGACCATGCTCTACCCATGGACGAAGACCTACAATTGCTTCTCTCCTCCTTGCAGCCGCTATTGCACAATACCAATCCGGCTGTAGTCATGGCCTCCATTCACGCACAAAAAGCCTTGCAGCCAGAGAAAGTGGTAAATCTACTGCCCCCATTGATCCGTCTCGTTCACTCTGCACCGGACGTGGCCTACATGGCGCTGATCAATTTGCTTACCTTTGCCGAATCACATGCCGCTAACGTGGCACCGTATCTGACTTCACTGCTTGTGCGTGCCTCTGATCCTGCCTACGTGGCACAAGTCAAGCTTCGAATTTTGGTATTGATTGTGCAAGCCTCTGATATTTCGATGCTGGCGCATGAACTCGCTATGTATACCCGCTTCCATGCCGTGTCGGTAGCGACAGACAGCGTCACGGCGTTGGGGCAGTTGGCCACGTCTTTTAGCGGAGTGGCATCCACTTGTTTGCAGCTGTTGATGGAGGTGGTCCAGGACGCTACGATACCTGTGCCTGTTTTAAGTCGTGCAGTGCAAGTTATCAAAACACTACTTCGAGTGAGTCCAGACAAAGTGGCTGCGCAGATTGTCGCCCAATTCGCAGTCCGTTTGTTTGTCCCTCTTGCGACGTACGGCCACCCCAAATCATCCAAGCGGATCCGTATATTAACCGATCCCACGTCGCGAGCCGCTGTACTATGGATGTTGGGACAATACAGTGAAGCCCCTTTTGCTGGCGCTACAATTCTCACGCTGCTCATCCCTGATGTGCTGCGATGCCTTGTTGCTCATTGGGACAAAGAAGATGCGAAGGTGCAATGTCAGGCGCTCGCCCTCTCATCCAAGGCCTTTGTACTAATGGACCACTTGGACGATGTAACGCTACAAAGTGCCTTGCCTGTATTGCACTATGAGCTTCTTGCACGGGCGTCGCGCTGCGCAAACCAAGATGTGCGCGAACGTGGCCGGTTTTACAGTGGTCTCACACGTGGTCTCAACGATGCTGAAAATGAATTAGAGGCAGCACCCTCGGACGAGATCCGGGAATATATTGCATCACATCGTGCGCTGGATCAGATGCGACTGCCGGGTGTGCGACTGCGTCGCGAACAAGTTCAACACGTGCTTTTTGCGCGCGATCAGGTGGAAGCATCATCGTTGGAGCGTTTGACTCTTAAACCTATTACTGACGACAATGTGACGTGCATGTCGACCTTTGCTGATGGAATGCACTTGCGCGGATGGAAGCAAGCACAGTGGCCTGCATGGCGTGACAAGGCTGATCTGCCCCCGGCCATTGTGCGTGCACAAGATGCGAGTAGTCTTGCAGCCGGTACCAATGCACAAAAGACTAATACATGGCTCGACGAGCAGCGCTCGTTTAGCAGCGATACTTATGCCATCAAAGGCAAGCAAACAGAGCCTGAAAAAGTGGTGTTGGAGCCACGTACCTCCACACGACCTAGCATGCGAGCGCCGACTAAGGCGAGGTACGAGGACTTGGACTCGTTCTTCAACTCGGATGAGGATGAGGACACGGAAAGTCTAGGTGAGCCAGCTCCGGAAGATGATGAATATGAAGCGGAGGAGGTTTCGTCGTCCGACCTAGACGATGATTAATGTTCCGTACGTAGAGACATAGTCGTCGTCATCATCTCGTGCCAAAAATGTGGAGCTGATCTGATTTTTTTTTTCTTCCTCCACCGCCATCCATGCCCAAAGCGCCATCGTCAAAGAGTCGTAGCGCTCATTCTGCGCCTGGGCATCGTCCTCTTGCGCAAGAGATCCGCGAAGATGAAATTATATCGCGGTTTGGGCGCGTTCGTGCCCCAAACCAGCGCCATGGAAAGCACAAGTCTGAGAAAGAGGACGACGAAGAGGCGCCAGCGCCTGGTACGTCGCTCAAGATTACAGGCAGTCGTGCCGGGAAGTCGTTCGTCGATCCCAAACTAAGCCGTAATATTTTGCGCTTAGCTCGTGAACAGCAGGAAGAAATTGAGCGTGAAGAGGCTGAACTGGAGCGTGAATCAACCATTCCAACGAAACCTGCCTTCCGTGAGATGACTGATCTGCAGGACGACGAAGATGATGGTGACGATGAGAGTGCCTCGTTGCCTAGCGATGACGAAGAAGAACATGATGACATGGACTATGCGGCCATGGATATTTTGCCGGAGGACCAGGCACTGCTAGAGAGGCACGATGAAGAAGAAGAGCAGGCCCTTGCCGACGACGACGCTGGGCGTCCGCGCACCAAGACCCTGGCGGATCTGATTATGGCGAAGATCCAAGCGGCAGAAGACGGTGAGGCGGCACCGAGTATGGAGGATGAGTCGCGCATGATGCCACCGGGCATCAATCCCAAGGTCATTGAAGTTTACAGCAAAGTAGGCGAATTGCTATCGCGCTACAAATCCGGTCCACTGCCGAAGGCGTTCAAGATTGTGCCCTCGCTGCCACAGTGGGAAGACGTCCTGTATATTACCAACCCTGAGATGTGGACACCGCATGCGACGCTAGCTGCGACACGCATCTTTGTATCGAATTTCAAGCCAGCGCAGTGTGAGCGGTACTACCAGCTTGTTTTGCTAGACAAGATTCGCGACGAAATCCGTGACAACAAAAAAGTGAGCTACCAGATGTACGAGGCAATCAAAAAGTCCTTGTACAAGCCTGCTGCATTCTTTAAAGGCATCTTGTTCCCTCTATGTGAAGGCGGCGGTGTGACGCTCAAAGAGGCTGCGATCATTGGCTCCGTGCTTTCAAAAGTGTCGATTCCTGTCTTGCACTCAGCTGCGGCCCTTTTGCGTCTGGCTGAGATGGAGTACACAGGCCCTACATCGCTGTTTATTCGTATCTTGCTTGACAAGAAGTATGCATTGCCATACAAGGTTATTGATGGTCTGGTGTACCATTTCCTGCAATTCGCTGATCCTTCCAAAGGTGTGGAAGTCACTCGGACGCGCCAGGGTGTGGTAGGTGAGCGGCGTATGCCTGTCCTCTGGCACCAGAGCTTACTTGTATTTGCGCAGCGATACAAGCGGGACATGACGCCGGACCAAAAGCTGGCGCTGCTCGACTTGATTCGTGTGCAAAAGCATCCTGGTATCGAGCCTGACATTCGGCGCGAACTGACCTCGGGCGAGTCGCGAGGTGAAATGCTACCGGAGCCTTTGTACGACGACGACGATGACATGTCCATCTAGGCTCATAGAGATATAATATAGCGAGGCACACTTTCCCTGTACTAAACACCTCTGGGTTGAATCTTTCTATAGTATACTTGTTGGTCATGCGACCATCAAACGGTATCTATCTCTCTGTATAATAGGAAACAGAAGGAAACATTAGGACATGTATAAGGCACAGCGTGGCACTTAGTCAATCGACTCCATCGCCGACTCGCCAGCAGGCTCGTCCGCCTTGGCATCGTCCGCGGCGGCCTCCGCCGGGGCCTCGACATCGTCGATCGAGAGACCAAGGCTGATGAGCTTGAACAGACGGTTGGCAAAGTCCTGCGGTTGCTCGAGCGAGAAGCCCGAGGTGAGGAGCGAGCTCTCGTAGAGCAGCATCGTCAGGTCACGCACAGTCGGGTCGTTCTTGTCGCTGGCCACCTTAGCCGCCAGCTCCTTGATGATCGGGTTGTGCGGGTTGATCTCCATGGTCTTCTTCGATGCCATGTACTGCGACATCGAAGTGTCACGCAGCGCCTGGGCCTTCATGATACGCTCCATGTTCGCCGACCAACCGAACTGACCAGTGACGAGAACACACGGCGAGCCGACAATGCGGTTCGACACGGTGACCTTCTCGACCTTCTCACCGAGAATGTCCTTGATGGCCTTGGTGAGGTCCTCGAACTTCTTGGCCTCCTCCTCACGTTCCTTCTTCTCGTCCTCAGTCTCCTCGAGCTCCAGGCCCTCCTTCGAGACAGATACGAGTTTCTTGCCCTCAAACTCCTTGAGCTGAGTCACGGCGTACTCGTCAATCGGGTCCACCATGAGCAGCACCTCGAAGCCCTTCTTCTTGAGCACCTCGAGGAATGGCGAGTCCTTGACAGCGGCCAGGCTCTCACCAGTCAGGTAGTAGATGTTCTTCTGGATCTCAGGCATGCGAGTGATGTAGTCAGCCAGGCTGGTCATCTCGTCACCGCTCTTCGTCGAGTAGAAGCGCAGGAACTCCGCCAGCTTGGCACGGTTCGTAGCGTCCTCGTGAATACCGAGCTTAATGTTCTTGCCGAACGCCTCGTAGAACTTGGCAAAGTTCTCCTTGTCCTCAGCGATCTCCGAGATCATCTCAAGGGTCTTCTTCACCACGTTCTTGCGGATGACCTTCAGAATCTTGTTCTGCTGCAGCGTCTCACGCGAAATGTTCAGCGGCAGGTCCTCCGAGTCGACAACACCCTTCACGAAGTTGAGGTACTCAGGGATCAGCTCCTCACAGTCGTCAGTGATGAAGACACGGCGCACGTAGAGCTTGATGTTGTTGCGCTTCTTCTTCGACTCGAACATGTCGAACGGAGCACGCTTGGGGATGTACAGAAGGGCCTTGAACTCGAGCTGACCCTCGACCGAGAAGTGCTTGACAGCGAGGTGCTCCTCCCAGTCGTTGGTCAGGCTCTTGTAGAACGAGGCGTACTCCTCGTTCTCAATAGTCTTCGGGTCACGAGTCCAGATCGGCTTGGTCTTGTTAAGCTCCTCGTTCTCGGTCACAGTCTCCTTGACCTTCTTCTTAGGCTTCTTCTCCTCCGACTCGTCGTCGACCTCCTCGATCTTGGCCTTCTTGTCGTCGTCGGCAGTCTCAGCCTCCGGCTCGTCGACTTCCTTCTCGACCTCCTTGGTCACCACCAACTGGATCGGGTAGGAGATGAACTCGGAGTGCTTCTTGACAATCTCCTTAATGCGCTTCTCCTCGAGGTATTCGAGCTGGTCATCCTTCATGAACAGGCGCAGCTCGGTACCACGGCCAATCGAGCGGCCGCTCGTGTCGGGGGTAATGGTGAACGTACCACCAGCAGCGCTCTCCCAAATGTACTGCTCGTCGTCGTTGTTCTTAGTGATGATCTGCACCTTCTCAGCCACAAGGTAGGCCGAGTAGAAACCGACACCGAACTGACCGATCATGCTAATATCGGCACCCGAGCTCAGAGCCTCCATGAAGGCCTTGGTACCCGACTTGGCAATTGTACCAATGTTGTTCACAAGGTCGGCCTTGGTCATACCGATACCAGTGTCACGAATCGACAAGATCTTGTTCTCCTTGTCTGGAGTGATGCGGATATAGAGATCCTTCTCAGAGTCGAGCACGCTCGGGTCGGTCAGAGCCTGGTAACGGACCTTGTCCAAGGCATCCGAAGCGTTCGAGATCAGCTCACGAAGGAAAATCTCCTTGTTGCTGTAGAATGTGTTGATGATCAGGTCTAGCAACTGACTAATGTCAGCGGCAAAGCCGAACGTCTCCTGCTTGTCAGCCATGATGTAGTAGAAGTCAAGCGATGGAACTAGCTCTGCGCAGCTGATGGGCACGCATTATATAGGCACCGCAATCTCGCGCACTTGCGTTTCTACCAAGTTCTTCGCCGTTCGTTCTTCGCAGCGTCTGCCATTCGACGACTTTCCATGTGGCGTCCCTCCACCGAATGTGCCAGAACAGCGACTTAGGCTTTGTCTCTCCTGGCCAACACGTGGCTTGGAAGCTGTCCAAAAGACTCCCAGGGTCACATAAGCATTTCGGCCGAAGCGCGGGCCCCACGTATCGTGTGAGCGGGCCCCAGCCAACCAAGGGAAGCGGGGCATGACGGCCGAAGCCGCCGTGTGCATGTGTGGCCGCATACTTGTCGCACATATTGATCTCCATCAGTCACGCCTTGTGGTGCAAGTGTCGTCTGAAAGCTTGTATTTCTGGCTCTAGACGCTGCTCACTCCCTTGTGTGCTTCGGACTCGTCCCCTTGCAGGGACAGGATATGATCACTGCTTTGTTAGAAGCCAACAGGCCCCCTCTGGTTTCTGAAATTGCTATTGAGCGCTTATATTAAAGCATCATGTACTCACCCTCTCCTCCGCCTGTAACGGCGAACACTAACCCATATGTATACATGAACCACCAGCCAGTGCTTTCATCAGGACAATATGTGCCTCGCACGCAGTCATCGGCGCTGGGCGGCATGGGTATGCCGACACCGTCTGCAGGTGCTGCTGCGGGCGTCTCATCGTCCTCGGCCGGCGCCTCATCGTACACACATAGCCCAGCCTTGAGTGGTATGGCACCAAATCGGTTTGGTAATGGAAGTATGGGCTGGATGCAGCGTCAGCAGCAAACATCTCATTTTCCAGGACATTATGGCTCATCGTCTATGTCGTCTTTGCCGCAATCTGTCAATCACTCTGTGAGCTCTGCTGGCATGACTCCGTCTTCGCCCAACTATGCAGGGATGAATTCTCCTCATGGTGTGCCACTCATGAAGACAGCTATGTCGCCCGCTGGCCAACATACTACCCACACAGCAAGCGCGAGCATGTCTACGTTTGCTAATTCTTCGCCCGAATGGCAGCAGCAGATCATGTGTGCAGAGATCTCGCGACAATCGTTTGCACCGCATCATCATGCTCGTGCAGCAGCATTAGCGGCCCGAAGTTCCGTGAACAACGGGCAAGATCCCAAGAAAGGCATTCAACTGCCTACGGGTGTTGTAGCCAATGGATTGTCCTTCCCCTTCAAGGGCTCAGAAGACGCAGGACGGTCTGCCGATGACCAGCAGGTCATGTCGCCTAGCAAGTCGGCAGGATTGCGCACGAAGAGTTCCAACTCCGATGATGATACAGATAAAACTTGGTCCATCATTGATATGGGTGGTTTGAAGCTGAAAAACATTGGCGACCAGGTTTTCCGTTATACCTTCCTGACATCTCTTTTCATTAACCACAATAACCTTACGTCGATATCCCCTGCCGTGGTGCAACTGCGTAATCTTACTGTGTTAGATGCAAGTGGTAACCAGCTTGTCATGATCCCTCCTGAGCTGGGTATGCTGACTGAGCTACGCGCACTCTTCCTTTTCGACAACCAGCTGACGGTGCTTCCTCCTGAGCTTGGTACATTGTACCAACTGGAAATGCTTGGAGTGGAAGGTAATCCGTTGCAAGACAACCTCATGGATGTCATTAAGCAAGATGGCACACAGGCGCTTATTGCCTTCCTTCGTGATTCGTGCCCTGTGCCTGTACCACCTCCTGAGCGTGAGTGGATTACCCTGGACGCTGATGTCCCTGCCGCTGCTTCCGAAGAAGAAAGCTCGAAGAATACATTCGCTGTTCTGTCATATAATGTACTGTGCGAAAAGTATGCGACAGTGCAGATGTATGGCTACACTCCTAGCTGGGCATTGGCCTGGGACTATCGCAAGGAATTTATTCTTCAGGAAATCATCAGTTATGCTCCGGATATTTGCTGTTTGCAAGAGCTCGAAATGGGTCAATACGAGGAGTACTTTGAGCCCAAACTGAAGCAGAACGACTACGAAAGTATCTTCTGGCCTAAAACACGTGCACGAACGATGCGTGAAGACGAGCGACGGCATGTGGATGGCTGTGCCACGTTTTTCAACTCACGTGTGTACCAGCTGGTCGACAAGCAGGTGATTGAGTTCAACCAAATTGCCTTGCAGCGGCCAGATTTTAAGAAGACAGAAGATATTTTCAACCGTGTCATGACGAAGGACAATATTGCGGCTGTTGCGATGCTTGAACATCGTGCTACCGGTGCCAAGTTGTTGGTAGCGAACTGTCACATGCATTGGGACCCCGAGTTCCGGGATGTGAAGCTCGTGCAGTCGGCTATGCTTCTTGAGCAGCTCGACTTGGCCGGTAACCGCTTCGCGAAGATGGCGCCACAGGTAACTCCTAGCGATGGCATCAAGCCACCGACATATGCCAATGGCAAGCAAATTCCTACCATCGTTTGTGGCGACTTCAATTCATCACCTGACAGTGGTGTATACGAGTTTATGAGTCAGGGCTCCGCTCCACCCGATCATGAAGACTTTATGAATCATACGTATGGTATGTATACGTCGGAGGGTCCTCGTCATGAGTACTCTTTGCGCAGTGCATACAATAGCATCGGCGAACTTCCCTGCACGAACCACACGCCGGGCTTCCGTGGCGCGATTGATTATATCTGGTACACATCGAATACATTGGCCGTATCTGGGCTATTAGGAGAAGTCGATTCCAACTATTTGTCACGCGTCGTGGGCTTCCCCAATGCTCATTTCCCCTCCGACCATATCTGTATTCTTGCTGAGTTCAAGATCAAGCCCCCGTCAACAGGAGAATCGTCGCGCTGAAGATGATGAGATGTATAGCTAGCTATAGGTCACACTTCGATGTCAAATCTGTCTGCGTGGTCATTTTCTCATACATACATGCCACCGTCACCGATGGCCCCTGATGGCGTGCGGGTATGGGTGAGGGCTTGCCAAGCCGTATGCCATAGGGTGGGAGCCGATACAGGCGAAGATGGATCCTGAGAGACTGACGAAGGGAAAATAGATGCCGACATACGGGCTGTACGAACATCCATGTCATTAACCAAGTGAGACACGCGCTGGTATGCTTCTTCGGGGCTGCTGGACGACACAGCATGCGGCGCAGCTGCTGGTATCAGGGCCGGTTGGAAAGTAGGGTGAGGTACAGCTCGTGCTGTGGGTAGGCAATAGATCACAGCAGGCGTGGAAAGGTATACAGCTTGCATCATCAATGCGGCAGCACAGCCCGTTAGGGTATTGGGCGCCTCCCAACGCTGAAGCCATGAAGCTGTTGGCACCGATGTGGTGGAGGAGGCAAGCCAACGAACAGGCGCTTCTGCACTGTTGGGCTTGGAAGGCGGATTTGAACCATGCATGTAGAGAGTCGGTGCATAGGCTTGGAAGAGAGTAATACTCGAAGGGAGCCATTGCTGCAAAAGGGCTTGGGTCAAAGACGCTTGGGCCGCCAGTGGCACTGTATCTGGCTGCGCAATGTACACTAGAATGGGACTCATAGAGTCAGTTGGTGTATGAATCACAGCCCAAACACCTTGTGGGCCTTTGATACGCTCTGTCACCAAGAGGTGGTTCGTAGGCAGCCACGCTGCAAGACATGTCGCACCCATATCGCCTAAGAATACGAGCATAGGTCGATGCTTAACCGGCGTTCCCTCTACAGCAGGCTTCCAGGAAGGCGTAGAAGGTGCGGAGTCTTCATCATCAGACTCCAATTCGTACCTAGGCGGAGGCCCTGAGCCGTAGAACAGATCCAGGTCCATCACGTCGCTCGAATAGTTCGCGTGGCCAGATAATGCAGTGACGCGTCATGGCTAGCAGCGCTTGAGGACCACGTGAGCGCCGCCAGGACTGTAGTGTGGAGGTTCGCTCCCTCGTGGCCGAAGCTTGATGGAGGTTAAAAAGAAACGTGGCATGCGGGCTGCTGCAGCCCCTGCAGAAGCGGTGAAATAAGCAGGGCCTTCCCATCCGTGGATCGTGCGCGGCGAACCTTGCCATCTTTGCGAAAAACCTTCTTCTGTCGCATAGTGTACACTGTCAAGGCTGTAAATATCAGCCGTTTGCCTTGTCACTGGTGCGAGGAAGTGGAGAGGAAAACTGCGTAGGACGATTCTTGGTCTCTGTGCATTTAGAAACGACTGTACCCAGCCGTTTCATCACAAGTAAACCAAGCGGCCTTTGTTCATGCAGCCTGCCACAGGCTTGTCATCGCCCAGCGCACCAGGCCCCTCACCAACGGAAGGGGCAGGGGCCTCTTCTGCCAGGATGCCTGGTAGTCCCTCTACACAACCAGGCTCGCCTATCTTAGTGCGTCCTCCGGTGGCGCCTATGCCATCGTCACCCCCCGTGAATCGCCCGCCACCGACGGCGACTGGAAGTATGATCCGACCAGTGATGGCAGGTCCCTCATCACCTCCCCAGCGGCCCATGGTGCGGCCTGAGCGCCCTGCCTTTCTAGGCAGCCCCCCTATTTCTCCGACACTGCCACAAGGTGTACGACCCACGTTGGGCCGACCAGCCATGCCGATGGGCATGCCTCAGCGGCCGGCAGTTCCACCATCGTTTTCGTCCTTATCAAGTTCCACAGAAGGAAGACCAGTGAATGGATCGCTGTCACCATCAGCTTCCTCGCCTGTGCTACTGAACAAGGACGGTCCAAGTGGCAACACGCCAGGAGTTAGTCTGCTGCCAACAGCGAAAAGTGGACCTCTGCACCAGTTGATCCGACCAGCTACAGAGACAAAATCGGACATGCCGTCGTCTCCATCGGCCACACCGATCGTACGTCCGGTACCGCGGCCTGCCGACTCGCCTAAAGCGTCCACGTCAGATCCGTCCATGCCGATGTCGGCGTCATCACCGACTGTCTCGGGCAGCAATGGACGGCCTGCGCCGCCCTCGTCGTCGGAGAAACCGACAGGATCACAATCGCTGAAGGACCTTAAGCCTTTGCAAACCAAGGATCTTTATGAGACATCCTCACCGATCATGTCACCGCTCAACTCGCCGCCTATGAATTTGTACCGGGAGCGCTTAGCCAGTATCCATCCACAAATTCCAGACCCTCTTTCTGGTGATACAAGTATCACAGGCTCTATGCGAGAGACATCGTCTATGAGGCAAGGATTCTCGACCGCCGCGGGTGGCACAGGAAATGCACCGGTGCCTGCGTCCATGGATCGTACGTCCTCCTCGACGTTCCAGACACCAAGTGACGATGGACCTTTGCTGGACCACCGCCATTTGCAGCCAGGTGAGACAGTCTCGCTGCTCAGCCACAAGAAGACGCTGGATATGTACCGTGAAAATGCAAAGAAGACCAATGATCCACAGCTAAATTATGAACTCGCTGTGTTTATGCTGGATGTGGGACGTACACTCGAGTACGAAGATGAGGCCTTTTCGCATGGACAAGATCCCATGGAAGAGCGTGAGGCGCTCATTAAAGAAGCTGTGTCACTTTTGCGTCGCCTTGCTGATCGTGGTCACATTGAGAGCCAGTATCTGGTAGCAGACTGCTACATCAATGGCTTTGGCACGTCGAAGGGCAAGCCTGACCTTGGTCAGGCGTTTGCCTACTTTTCCCAGGCTGGCAAGCGTGGCCACCCCGATGCTGCGTATCGCACAGGCACGTGCTACGAAAAGGGCTGGGGTTGCCGTCGCGAAGCCAGCAAGGCTGTGCAGTTTTATAAGACGGCGGCGACGCGTGGCCACCCTGGTGCGCAGTACCGTCTGGGCACAGCGGAACTCAATGGCGAGCTGGGCCTTAAGCGCAGTGGTCGCGAGGGTGTCAAGTGGCTGAAGCGTAGCGCGGAGAATGCGACGCCCGAGTTTCCTCATGCACTGCACGAGCTAGCTCTGCTTCATGAGAAAGGTGTGCACAATGTGCTCTTCCCGGATCCAGAGTACAGTTGTGAGTTATTGGCCAAGGCTGTGGAGATGGGGTATGCGCCTAGTGCCTACAAACTCGGTGTGAACTATGAGTATGGACGAATGGGCTGCCCCCAGGACAGTGGTCTGAGCATCCACATGTACAACATCGCAGCGCAGCAGAACCACAAGGAGGCATGCTTTGCCCTGACAGCCTGGTACCTTGTTGGCGCTCCAGGCATTCTACCACAGAGTGATACCGAGGCGTACCTGTGGGCGAGGCGGGCGGCCGAGCAGGGTCTTGCGAAGGCCGAGTATGCTTGTGGCTACTTTGCCGAAAATGGTATTGGCACGTCTAAGGACTTGGCGGAGGCGAAAGGATGGTATCAACGTGCGTTGGAGCATGGTGACTCGCGTGCCAGCAGTCGTATATCTGCGTTGCAAGGCTACCAAGCGAAGCAGGTGGCTGGTGCGCCTGAAGAGAAGGGCAAGAGTGATGCGCCCAGCGTAGTGCCTGTGCAGCCGCTCAGCGCGCCGTTCCCAGGTGCGACGCCCAGCAACTCGGCATCGAACTCCCTGGGTGTGCTCAAGTACCCGACGCCCAAATCGATGCGTGAGACCCAGGCGTTCCAGCGTGATTTGCACTACCAGGCCCTGGTCGCGGCGGCCACGGAACGTGATAAGCCCAAGTCAAACCCTACCTCGCCCTTGTCCGCGCGCGCTCGTGCTTACCAGCCAGCCCAGATTCCCAAAGTCAACGGCGTACCTATCAGCATGATTGCTGCCGGTCCGCAGAAAGGTTTCCCTAAACCGCCGTCACCAGAACCGGAACCGGAACCCGAGCCTGAGCCGGAGCCTGAGATGCCTGCTGAGGCCGATGCTACCGCGCAGAAGAAGAAGTTTTTCCGCCGCGTGTTCCGCAAGGGCAAGAAGGCGAACAAGGAGGAGGTGCCTGAAGGCGAAGGAGCTGACATGGATGAGGCGGCCGCCGTTGCCGCTGCTGGTGAGACACTTCCGGATGGCGCAGCTGACAAGCCAACGGAGCCTCGTGACATGCCAAGCTCGCCTTCCCAAGGCCCTACACAGCCTGGTACGTCTGCAGTGGGCGCCTCCGGTACGCAACCACCGACGCCAGGCTTGGCTACATCGCCAAGCTTGCCTGGTGGTGCATCGCCCGAGCCGGATCAAGCACAACCAGGCTCGGACAATGCGCTTACCCTGATGCCAGTTCGCCCTGGTGGGCCCACTGGCCAGGGACCGCCACCGCTGCAGCCTGGCCAACCCTTGGGACCGACCTCGGCGCAGGGTGGCGAGCGTGGTGCGCTGCCCGCCTCTGGGTCGAATATGTCGTTGGTTCGGCCCAGTCCGTCCATGTCAGGAATGCCTGGCACGCCCTCGGCAGGGGGTCCTCCACCTCTGGGTCAGATTCCCTCACCACGACCTGGCATGCCAAACTCGCCCTCGATGGGCCATGGAACAACGCCAGGCCATCCTACCTTGGTCCTTCCTTCACCCAACCCCAGCAGCTCGACAGGCAGTCCTATGGTCAGCGGTGCTTCACCACAGCCTGGCTCGCCGCATCCTTCGGAAGCTAATGTCATGGTGGTCAACCCGCAGGGTACCAGTGCGGCACGTCCGGGTATGCCGCCGCAAGGTCAGCCGGGTACGCCACCTCGTCCTGGCATGCCACCACAGGGTCAGCCGGGTATGCCTCCTAAGCCCGGTATGCCGCCACGCCCTGGTATGTCTCCTAGGCCCGGTATGCCACCACAAGGCCAGCCGGGCATGCCTCCTAGGCCCGGTATGCCTCCACAGGGTCAGCCCGGTATGCCACCACAAGGCCAGCCGGGCATGCCTCCTAGGCCCGGTATGCCTCCACAGGGTCAGCCTGGTATGCCACCACGCCCTGGTATGCCGCCGCAGGGTCAGCCTGGTATGCCACCACGCCCTGGCATGCCGCCGCAAGGCCAGCCTGGTATGCCACCACGCCCTGGCATGCCACCACAGGGTCAGCCGGGTATGCCTCTTAGACCAGGTATGCCGCCGCAAGGCCAGCCGGGTATGCCGCCCCGACCTGGTATGCCGCCGCAAGGTCAACCAGGAGCCTCTTCCACCTCGCAGCCTGACATTATGATTATCGGTCATCCACCTACATTACCTACGCCTGGTCGCCCTACTCCTACAGACAATGGGCCGAAGCAGGATGGTGCTATGAACCCCATTGGTCGCCCACCAGCAGCAGGCCAAGAACCGCCACGACCTGGCATATCATCGCAACCTGGCCGACCCCCTATGAACATTTTGCCAAATCCATCGGCAACGCCAGGACCAGGCCAGCCCAGGCCCACAGAACACCCAGGTGTGCCGCCTCTGAGCTCGCAGATGACAGGGCCATCACCTCGACCTGGTCAGCAGCCTCCCTTGGGCCCGCAACCGACTGGCCAAGCACCACCCCGGCCTGGTATGGCTCCACCACAAGGCCAGCCGGGTATGCCGCCACGCCCTGGTATGCCTCCTAGGCCTGGTATGCCGCCACAAGGCCAGCCTGGCATGCCGCCACGCCCTGGCATGCCACCACAGGGTCAGCCGGGTATGCCACCGCAAGGCCAGCCGGGTATGCCTCCTAGACCAGGTATGCCACCGCAAGGTCAACCAGGCGTGCCACCATCAAGTCCCCAGGGTGGTCAACCGCCTCGACCGGGTCAACCGCCTCTGAGTCCCCAACTTACAGGCCAGGCGCCCCGACCCGGCATGCCAATGGGTATGTCGCCTCGACCTGGTCAGCCTCCATTGAGTCCACAACCAGCAGGCCAGCCACCAAGGCCTGGCATGCCGCCGCGTCCAGACATGCCACCGCAAGTCCAGCCGGGTATGCCGCCGCGTCCAGGCATGCCACCGCAAGGCCAGCCTGGTATGCCGCCACGCCCTGGTATGCCTCCCAGGCCCGGTATGCCACCGCGCCCAGGTATGCAACCTTCTAATCCGCCATTCCAGGGCCGACCAATGAGCCCTGTACAGCCGCAGCCGTTGAGCCCAAATCAAAGTTCATCGCCTATCATGGTACAGGGTGGTATGCAACCTGGTCGTCCGATGATGGCACAGACAGCTATGCCTATGTCCATTCGACCAGGTAGTGGGCCAGCTCGTCCACCGATGACTATGCCGCCACGCCCATCATTTTCTATGGGTGTACGCCCACCTCCTGGGGCAGCAAGCATGATGGGCCAAGGAGCTACACGGCCGGATGCATCAGCAAACCCAGACGATCTACCTCCCCCGCCTAAGATGCCAGTGTCTGGATCGGGCAGCTCCATCAAGTCATTCGATTCTGGTGACGTCGAGGAATGGGAAGATGCCGAAAGTGGTGAACCTACACGGAACCATGGTCATGATGCGGCTCGTGATGCAGACCAAGTTGGTGGCCAGGATGGGCGCAAAAAATGGTTCGGATTCATGTAAACCTATCTTTTCATAATCTACCTTTATTCCCTATCATAGTAGAGTGAGTAATTTCTGTAGGAAGAAGAAACCTATGTCTACTTCTTACGCTTGTTTAGCCAATAGGTAGGGGTTTTATTATCATCCAGAGACCAAGTCCCAGTCTTGTAGCGTTATCGTCGACTTTAAGAATTCACAGAGATTCACTCACGAACTCGAACACTAGTTATGCCACTGCGAGTGTACAAAAAGGGGGGGTGCGCCTCCTTTATTGGGTCAATTGGTTGTCAATTAGCGATAATCGGGCATCGTTTTCGAAGAGACAATCAAATACCTCACGTTGGGAAATAATATAGATAAATGATTGGTAGATCTTACACGTGGGTACTAACAGAGAACCGACAGTGAAAGTCAGAAGTAAATCTTAAATAGGACGAACGCAATGACAGGAACTATCTTTCGATATCCCCATGTCTCCGCTCAAGATTGTTCTGTTCCTGTGGGTGGCCGTAGTGGCCCATCTCGTGCATGCGCGGGCCATCGGTGTCATGCCTCCGCAAGTGAAGCGCGACCTGCCAGGATGGCCCTCGTCCACTGCAGCGCCTCAGCCAGTACCGGATCCAGTCTCTATGTACCAACAATTCGCCGGACTGGCTCAGGAGTCGAACTGTGTTAACTACAAAATCAACATGACTATAGGCGACGCGAAGCTCCTGTACAGCTGGGGAGACGGTGACCACGACCAACGCCTTCAGCTCTTCCACTCGAAGTCCCTTGGTATCGTTGCTTCTTGGTCGGGAATGAACCAGTCCAGCTTGACGTCCTTGTTGAGTGCTGCGGATTTGTTCCTTGTCGATCCAAACAGGGATCTTTTCCCTATGGTTTTGCCTGGTACCAAAGTCTTCCAGGGATTCCAGAGTGCTTACGAGCGTGTGGCATCGCGTTTGTTGGAAAAGCTGGATTACTACCAAAATATGTACGATGAAGACCGCGTCTCTTTCACAGGTCTCTCGTATGGTGCAGCCTTGTCCGCCTTGGCCGTGCAACACGTGGATGCTAACTTGAAGCGGGGCTCTGTGTACAAGACTGTTGTGTTTGGTCTGCCGCGTATTGGTAACCGTGAATGGGCCAACTCCCTTGACAAGCACATGAAGGGCCGTTTCTATTATGTTGTAAATGGCCCAGACTTGGTTCCGCACATGCCACCCCGTGAATGGGGCTACCAGCAGCCATCAGGTCAGATTTGGATCAACCCTGCCAACTCTACCCACTGGAAGTTCTACCCAGGCCAAGAAAATGTCCATGGCGCTGACTCGGTTTTGGCTTTCAACATCCCTGACCACACAGGTGTGTACTTCAATACGGAAATCGCTTCGTACTGGGGTCATTGCCCAGCTACTATCGGTCAAGACGGAGGAAAATCATCATGAAGCAAAAAGTAATGATAAAGTAAAGTGTATGCCTTAGTCATAGACACTTGATAATGGTGACAATGTTTAGACAATATGCTGTGTACGAAGGTATGCATTGTTATGAAGTTCCACCAAGACTTTCATTTGTTTGCCATCTGTAAAGTTCGAAGGTGGCAGCCATAATTCAGAACCACATTGAATTGTGGGCTATTTTTCTTACCAATAATTTTGTATCAGATCGTATAGCAATTTCGACCATAGCGGATATAATGCTGACAAAAGTGACTTGAAAATCCGTAACATAAAGCTGCTCGATGGGAAGGTTCAATTAATGTAACGCATTTCCATTCGGCCTGTCCATAACCGTACATTTTAAATGCCCGTTTGAGAATCAAAAATACAGTGTAAGTACTGGCCGTAGCAGGCTTCATTTTTGTGTTGAACATCATATAGGCCACCTCCAAATATTGATGCATACTTTGAATACAGCTACAAACAATCATACCGGGAAGTGCATTGTCTTGCGTAGATTCAATAGCATTACAAAGATGTCGGTTTTACATTCATTTCATGGTTTTCTATAGCGAATTCTTTGCTTGCGAAAAAGCTAGATGGGACGTAGTACCAGACCTGAGAGACCTTGTCTACTGATTCGTGTAGATTGTGCACACACTTTGTACTAAGTGCTTCTAGCATGAAAGTGGAACCATTGATGGGATGCTCCTTGGCGGGAACGGCCCAGCCTCCAATTTCGCCTTTGAAAAGTACTACAATGTCATCAAGTGTATGACTATAAAAATGTAGTCCTATTTTGACTTTACTGTGCCCTAATATAACATACTCCACGGCACTATGTTTCTTTATTTCCCCGACGCGGTTTCTAGGCAGAGTCAGCCAATTCATCTGCAACCATGAATCCGGTGCACATAATTGAGCAACCGTATAAAACGGTTGTGCGTTCTGGTCCTCATGAGGATCCTTCAATACAAGATAAGGAAATAAATGGGAAGAACGATACTCATATTGTAACAGAGCCGTTAGGTGTTGAATCCAATGTGCTAGAAAAAGCACCTAAGGATACTATACCTAAAAACCCACAGCCACAACCTTTTTCGCATCACTTTCTGGACCCGGAGCTTAAGCATATCCGTAAGGCATATCTAATCCCTGTCGGAGTGACGACAATTATTGTCATGTGCATGGTATGGTTGTTTTGCTCGATTCACTGGGCTGCTTTATACAAGATGAATGACCACACTCCCCGTATTCATGCCTTGGTTGTCAATCGTGATAATGGGATAATTGGAACTACTATCACCAAGGCGTTGCTCGATTCAAATCACGGTCCTGTTCCTCATTCTACATGGTTTGAAGGGAATGTCACAGACTTTCCCACTCAAGATTCTATAGTGAAAGCTGTGGAACCAAACCATGACTACTGGCTTGCTGTCGAAATTCGTGAAAACTTGACACAAGAACTGGAACAGGCCAGGATGACGGGTGACAGTTCATGGGATCCTCATTCCGCGCTGACGATGATTTTCGCCACTGGTCGAAATGTAGCAGCCACGTCTCCCATGATCGTCACTCCAGCACAACGTTTAATTGAGTCCGTTGAGAAGGAACTAAGTGCCAACTTGACGTCACAATTTCTTGCAGAAAATGCAGGAAATGCGGAAGTGATACAAGGAATGATAACTGCACCACAACTTTTGTCAAACCCGCTGGATATGCGGATGATGGATGTACGACCATGGATAGCCAATACGGCTTTGGCTCCCACATTCGATGGTATGATCTACTTGATTATTTTGCCTTTTCAAGTCGTTATGGCCGAGTATGATGGTCGAAGGGCCCTTCATAAGTACTTGCATTTGAAAGGGCAAATCTTTCTTCGAATCGGCGCGGCATTGATTTGGTCCATCTTTATCTCTTTGATGATCACATTGATTAATATTCCTTTTGAGCTTCCTTTTGATGGTGCTTTCTCTTATGGAGGCGGCTTTATGATCTATTGGCTATCGGCATATTGTGGCATTGTTGTATTTTCTTTGGCGCTCGAGTCCGTTTTGACATTGATGACTCCGACGTTCATTGGTGTGTTCCTGCTTCTGCTTATTATTTCCAACTTGAGTATTGCAAATTTCCCGGTGGAACTAGAGCCGTCTTTCTATAAGTATGGTTATGCTATGCCCTTCTACAATCTTCGACAAATTTATTTGTCTGTGATGTTGGATGTTGGTGACTCAACATTGATTCTAAAGCACATTGGTATTATCTGGGCATGGGTAGCACTCATTCTCTTGACATTTCCCTTCGTGATCTGGTATGACTACCGTAAGCAATTTAAAGCTTATCATAAATCAATATTATTTGGTGGGATGGACTAGCAAATATATATAATTGAGGGTACTCATTGTAACGCATATTCAATTCAATCGTACCATAATTGACATGCTCAAATGGCTGAAGTAAATAGACCATATAGCTCTACACTAGTTCTAGTAGTGTGGTATAGATGATAATGGAAGCAGGAAGTCGGCTCCATGGCGACATGTCAAGCGTGGTTAACCTGCACGAAGTGTCGCTAGCGCCAACCTCGTGAATAAAATTATGACAAAAAAACCCTCGCACGACGCGTCTCCACGCGTGGATCGCGTAGACCAACTCGGACTCCCAGCATCTGCGATTGATTCGTGATGCCGTTGAAGCAGCTTGAAATAGATAATTTCAAGAGCTATCGCGGCAAGCAAATTGTTGGTCCTTTTAGCGCGTTTAGCGCAGTAAGTATGTATGAACATGACACGAATAAACTAATACGCACAGTCGGGCCGAATGGCAGTGGCAAAAGCAATTTAATGGATGCGATTTCGTTTGTTCTAGGCGTACGTGGTGCACAAATCCGATCGTCTGAACTTTCCGATTTGATATATTCACGGAATTTATCACAAGGAGACACTGTCACAGTCTTCGAGGACGATGCGCCAAGCAAAGCGTCAGTTACAGCTGTGATTGAAGATGCCAATCATATGGAGCACCGTTTCCAGAGGATTGTCACTGCAACAGGCGCATCAGAGTATCGGTACAATGGACGTATGACAACACAAGCATCATACAATGCAAAGTTAGAGCAGCTGAATATTCTCGTCAAGGCACGAAACTTTCTAGTGTTCCAGGGCGATGTGGAAGCCTTTGCAGAGCAATGTTCCAAAGATTTGAGTGAGGTAATTGACCAGATCAGTGGTTCTAAATTGTTGCAAGGGGAGTATGAGGCGGCCAAATCCGCTTACCAAGAAGCCGTAGATCATTCTGCGGCCCTGGTAGCCAAGCGCAAGACACTCCAAGGAGAACTGCGGCATATGAGACAGCATAAGGAAGCATCCGATCGGTATGATGTATTGAAGAATGAGCTTAGCTCGCACATTGTGCAGAAGATGCTGTGGCGTTTGTATCATATTCATGAAATTATTGAGATCCATACGGACTGGATTGAGGCGCATGCGACGCGGGGCGAGCAGGCGCGAAAACGTTTGGAAGATAAAGAAGGTATCGTGGCTGCTGCGCGAACGGAGCTAGGCAAGGTGCAGCAGGCAGTACTGGACAAGGAGAACGAGAAAAAACAAACAGCGCGACTTTTGGATGCCAAGCGGCCCGAAAAGGATCGCCTCGTGGAGCGGGCTGAGCATGCGCGACGAAAGTTGCAGCAGGCGCAGTCACTGTATAAGCAAGCCGAGAAAGACCATACCGTACAAGCAGAGGCACTCAATCGACTGGAGGCGGACAAGGTGCTAGTAGAGAAAGCGCTTGTGCAGGCCAAGGAGGCGCAGGAAGCTGCATTGGCTACGACTACACGGAAGCTTAGTGACGAAGAGCTACAAATGTACCATGCCCTCAAGGCGCAGTCTGCTGCTATAGCTTCCGATGAAAGAACGCAGCTAGAGCAGATCCAGCGTGAACGCCGTGAAAAGCAAACAGCTCTGGATACAGTGCAGGATCGATTGGACGATGCTGCAAGCAAATTGGAACGCCTAGAAGAACAGGAAGCGTTGTTGGCCGCTTCAGCTATGTCCTTAGAACAGCGTGAGCCTGAGGCTGCGGAAAAGGTGAAGGAGGCCAAGGCAGCTTTGGAACAGCATCAAGCGCAGAAAGAGGACATTGCCGCGCGCGAGAAAGAATTGAACGATGTGCTGGTTCTTTGCTACAACAAGTTGCTACGTATGGGTCAAGACCAGCGTGTGCACGAACGGGAAATGCGTCTTCGAGAGTCGATTCGATCTCTACGCTCCATCTTCCCTGGCGTACATGGCCGCTTGTTGGATTTGTGCAAGCCCACACAGAAGAAGTATGAGATTGCTATGGCTACGACACTGGGCCGAAATACAGAGGCCGTGGTCGTGGACCATGAAAGTACGGCCATGGAATGTATTGAGGTACGTATACATATGGCTCACAACAGTACCTTCGCAACCAGCGAGCCGGTCAAGCGACATTTATCCCCCTCGATACGATTCAGACGAAACCGATCAATGACCGGCTGCGTAGCGTCTCACCACAAGCGCGCTTGGCTGTGGATGTGATGCAGTATAGTCCAGCGGTGGAGCGAGCTGTCCATTTTGCCTGTGGCAACACGTTGATATGTGATACCTTGGATGTGGCTCGAAACGTATGTTTCGAGAAGAATCAGCGTGTGAAAGGTATGTATACGACGCGAGCAACTAATGCCGAAGCCGTCACACTGGACGGGACAGTTATCCATAAGACGGGTATGATGACCGGTGGACCATCTATGCAGGACAGTGTGCGCCAATGGGATGAGCAAGAGATGCTCGGTGTGCAGCGTGAGCGGGATCGTTGCATGTCGGAGCTCAAGGAGCTGCAGCAGCAGAAGTACACCCTCGGAGAGGAAGAGGAAGCGGTGGCCAAGATCACACGGGCTCAAGCGGCTCTCTCGAATGTGCATCAGGAGCAAGCCGACGTCGCGCGCCGACGTAAGGACATTGCCGCCGAGCGCAGCACGTTGGAGGCGCAACAGAAAGCACTCACTGTGGATGTACACAAACACAACACAGCGCTGACTACCTTAGCCACGCGCCTCACCGAGCTTGAGACGTTTCTTGCGCAAGTGGATGACAAGCACTTTGCTGCGTTCTGTGAACGCATTGGCGTAGCGAATGTGCGTGAGTACGAGTCGCAGCAACTCGCGCTAACGCAGGCGCTGGACATGGAGACAGAACAGTACCAGCGCCAGCTAGCTCGTCTTGCGCACCAACGCACATTTACGCTGCAGCAGGAACAGAACACCGCAGAGCGTTTGGCGTACATTCAGGCCGCTATTGACAAGGAGACCAAGCGCCTTCCGGCGCTCGAGCAGGAGATGGCGGCGTGTGATCGCGAGATGGCGTCGCTACGTGCCCAGCTGGAGCAGATGCAGAGTGATTGGCAAGCGTTGCGTGACCAACACCGGGAGAAGAGCGATGCCCTGCATGAAAAGCGCAAGGCCCTGATTGCAACGAGTCGCGATGTGGATGCGCATCGGAAAGAAGTGGCGGAGCGCAATGATGAGATTGCACAGCTGGATCTGGAGCGCACAAACTTGTACCGGCAGTGCCGTCTAGAGACGATTGATCTACCGCTCGAGTCAGGGGATTTGGCCAACGTGGCGCTGGAAGACGAGGCGCCCTTGCCGGCAGTCGATGGCGATGATGCTGTGCAGCCCATACGTCCGTTTGATGTGGTCGTCGACTTTTCGCGTCTGTCCGATGCGGAGCGGACCGATCGTGGCTCGACCAAGGCGCGTGAACTGCAGGACAAGATCGATATGGCTCGAGAAGAAATGGCCAAGTTGAATCCCAGTACACATACCGCTAACAAACTCGAAGGATTGGAACGCGAGTTGCAGACGTGTGAGCGCGACATGGACAGCTGTCGGGAGCACGTGCGTGAGACGCGGGAAGAGCTGCAGCATGTAAAGAAGCAACGCACGGACAAGTTTATGCGTGCTTACAACCATATTGCCGAGCGTATTGACGGTGTGTACAAGGACTTGACCAAGAGCAAAGCAGCGCCGATGGGCGGTGTTGCCTACCTCACGTTGGAGGACACAGACGAACCGTTCCGTACAGGGATCCGGTATCATGCCATGCCGCCTATGAAGCGCTTCCGCGATATGGATCAGTTGTCAGGTGGCGAAAAGACCATGGCCGCATTGTCGTTGCTGTTTGCGATTCATACTTATCAGCCTGCGCCGTTCTTCGTGCTAGACGAAGTCGATGCGGCCCTTGACTCACAAAACGTCGCACGCGTTAGTGAGTATATCCGTGAGCACGCGAGCGATCAGTTCCAGTTTATTGTCATCTCTCTGAAAGCTTCCTTGTACGAGCGGAGTCAAGGTCTGGTCGGTGTTTATCGAAACCAAGCAGCCAACTCTAGCGCGATTGTCACGTTGGATTTGGAGTCGTATGCCTAGGTAGATAGTGACGACAATGCTTCTGTCCATGCCGAACACGTGTGCAACAACGCCATGGCGTCCTCGGGCGAGCCATAGACGCCTTGGACTAGGGCGCGTGTAGCCCATGGCACAAGCGTATCGATATACAAGGTGCGGTGCTCTGTTGGCACAGAGGGGAGCAGCGCAGCTAGGCGGGCCCCAAGCAAAGAGACCATCGTAGCTGTGAGGGAACGTGGCGCAAAATGACGCAGCACATTCAGCGCGGCTACCAAATGATGGGCGATAGTGTAGCAAGCAGGCGACGTACGTACACTCGGTGGTACGTGCTGCACATCGGACGGTTTCGATGAGGAGCTCGGGACAGGCGCTACGGGCTCTGTGCGAACAGCACGTAAGGCAGCGCGCCATAGTTGCAACGCAGTAGACTCCCACACATTAGACGCACCTGCCTCCATGGATGGCTCGGTGATCATGGAGAGACACAGCGCTGCGCCCACGTCGGAGAGACTATCCGAGGTGACACAGAGCTTGGCATACAGCTCTGCCCATCCCTCAGTGGTGGCCTCCCACGTAGATACAGCGTCGGTGGGCGTCCAAGAGCGTCGCAAATGTGCAGACACAAAAGCATAGAGAGTCTCGATAGCCAGTACCGTAAACGACGCAAAGAGCTGCGTACATGCAGCCACGTCCGTGTCCGTTATTGGGCTGTCCATAAACAGGGAGAGAGTCATGGTACATGTGGACAGCATCAACGTACGCCAACGTTCGATGACGTCCAGCACAGGCGACTCGTGCTCAAGGACAGTCTGCAAACGCCGCTGACGTGTGTACAGGAACGCGAAACATACATCCGGCATCTGCAGATCCGACGGTGTTTCGCTAAATGTATGCTGGCGCAGTTGAATGGAGCGCGCCAGGTAGTGGGTATACGATCGTGCTTGCGCCAAGGTCAGCGAGGGCGTTGCCAAGGCCTCCAGAAAGACGTGCTGTACATGCAAGAGCACATGGTGCATATCTGTATGCAGGGCCTCAATAATATGGTGCATACCGCCGTCTTTGGCAGGCAGGACGTCGAAATAGCGCTGCATGAGCTGTAGGGCTTCTTCGTATTGAGCCTGTGCGACACAGGCCCGAATCAGAGTAGGGTATTGAAGAAGGGGGAGCAGGGCGGTATCCAGGACATCGTCCATACGTTCCATCGCTTTTCTTGATGCCATAGCTTTTTGCGCGGTAGTATGGAAGAGACGCGCCGCGTCTTCGACTTTCGGGGCATGCTGCGTCGTGAGGGACGAGAACGTTGTGTCACACGCCTCAAACAAGGTGGGGAATTCGTTGCAAGCTGACTGAATATCCACAAAGGTATGTGTGCTTCGTAGACTGAGATCCAAAAGCTGGTGCTCCAATGAGGCCGCAGCGGATTGCTGCTGCGCTGGATGCTGCTCGACCACATCGAGAGGCGTACGGGCCAGGTCACGCAAGTACCGAGCAACTTCACGACGATGCACACGGTTATCGCCAGGTGCGGAGCTGGGAAGAAGATGCAGACTTTCTAGCACCTGTAGTGGCGCGTCCAGCATCGACACAGCACCATCGGCGGCCATGCCCACAACGACACAATGGAGGGAGAAGAGGCCCTGACACACCGCCCACGTGGGCGTATCGACGTCGCTCCACTTCGCCACGATGGCGTCCAAGCGGTCGGCGGCCCACGCGCCAGGCCGATTCGCTAAGGCAGCACGGATACCCAAAGACCCAAGAGTATGTTCCATTAAGACTCACACAGATTCCTATTGGAGCCGACCCGACACGTAGTATATACTATGACCCTGTATTTAACCCGTATGGGGCCCCACCCCCTGGTATGCCTTACAAAGAACGACGTATGTATACGTGGGCCTGACCGAAGCCCGTACGCCTACAGCCGAAGAAGAACGTGCTAAGAAAAAGGCCGATCTACCTCCGCCACGTAAAGCCCCATCCCCTACTGAGGAAAGTCCTGATGATGATGACGATGACGATGACGAGATTGTCATGCCGGCAGGTCCACCTCCACCGCAAGCGCACCTACGTCAGCGCAAAACACCATCGCACACAACGTCACAAGCATCTACGATAGCAGCGCCAGTCCGCTACGATACGCCACCGCCCGCACCGACTGAGTCTGCGTGGGACCCCTCCAACGAACCTGTCTTTGACCCTGACAACGATGCGAACAATACAGCGCCAGGCGTAACAGAGCCAGCTTCTTTATCAGCTGCGCCCCAACTACGAGACTTTCAAAAGGAGACCACGATATTTGTACCGATGTCGGTTCGACGGCGCCGCGAGCCACCACGGTCGTCCCAGCGTGATTCCACGTAGGTGCGAGAGAGAGCGGACAGGGCTGGTATCACGTGATCCGACACGTCCTGTCTCCACGCGTAGTGTTGGTAGGAGAAACGCAGAGCGATTGTGGCTTGACGCTGGCCATCTGGCAGTATGGTTGTGGATGTGCCGCTGAGGGCACATACGCCACCTCGGCATGAAATACGTCCCTTTCTTACACCATCGCCTAAGCGTCTCTCTGCTGACGCATCGCACGAAGTGCCTGTTCGTCGGGGCTGCCATACCGAGCGGCCGGTGCGGATCTGGCGGGCCGATTTATCGGCTGTCCCTTCGCTACCGCCAGCGGCACCGGTATTCCAAGAAGCTGAAGGGCTAACGAAGTCCCATACTTCTCCCCATAGGAGGGAAGAGGAATCTTCAAGCCAGTTTTGGCCGGACGAGGCGACGTTGATCGAGGACAGCGAAGCAGAAGACACCAGTCTACCAGGCTTGGCACGGTCTGCTCCTTCCACATCGTATGCAGCATCACAAAATGAATACGTACGTACCGTTCTTGGCAATGTATCAAACTGGAGTCCAGTCCAAAACATTCCAAGTCTGGATTCAAAAAGCTCGCCTCTGCATGCGGTAGCGACCCCACATCGGAAAGAGAAATCATCACTCAGTACCTCTGCCACAAAATCCATGACACCTATCCAGAGAACGTTGCAGGATTGGGCACATGATAAATTTGAGCGACCAATGTCAGCCCTGTCAAGCAAGCAAAGCATAGGACGATCGCCTCGAAAACCTGAAACCCATCCCACGAAGTCGGATGTCGCTGTAAAAGCGCTATCCCCTCTCCCTCCGTGTCCAGTGCAGGATGTGCACTTTGACATTCTTTCTCCTTTGGACAAAAAAGCGTCTGTGCAGGCTGCCTGGGAGTCTACAAGTGGCAAGCAGCGACCATCCGCTCAACGTGTGCCTGGCTACCGAGGACCAACAGGATCGCGCGAAGAGCCGGCAGCAAAGCGGATCTCCGTACAATCCATGTCCCCACCTGGACTGCAAGAACCAAAGCTCGGCCCAGCATCGCTTTCTGCCAGTTCACCCAATACCTCTTCGCCGCTGCCAAGGCTCGTAACCAAAGAGGCTCTCCCTCTGCACCAGAGCGTGTCAAGCACGCCGTCGCCCAGCAAAGCAGCAGGATGTTGGCCTCTTCGGCCTATTCGGTACGCAAGTCAAGCACCGGCCATGCGAGTGTGGGATAGCCCTGAAAAGCAAGCAGAAGCACGCAAGCGAATGAAAGTGCAAAAGCCGGTGGAAGTACCGTCGTCACCGCCAGCTCCGAAACCTGATGTATTTAAACCAGCGCCTATGACGGCCTTGCGACATACGTCTGAGAAAAATGTGCCTGAGAGACGCCCTCGATCAGCTCGTATTGCCGCAGCAGCGAACGTGCCACGACCCAAACCTTTACCTACTACGCCACGAACGCCGCCAGCCACGCATCGTCGGATGCCTGTGCCCAACTCACAACCATCATTGTCGGCAGTAGACCTTGCTCGTCTTACAGCCAAGAATACCAAGCATAATCAAACTTACTCTGTGCAGCTGACGTTACGTACTCGTCGCATACCTGGGCCGCGGCCACCGAGCCCTTCGCAGAAGTTTCTCAGTGGACGGGGCCAGCGAGCTCGTACGAATTTCCGACCTGCTATGGCAGAAACGAATGAGTATGGTGAGCCATTGTGTCATGCAATGGGAGCCGGTGAAGAGGAGGAGTACCAAACACCTCCGCGACCTTCGAGCAAAGTACGATGGGACAAGCGATTGGTGCGCAGTCCCTCTTTACAAAGTCGACGACCTGCACCAGCTCGTCCTTTGCAAGGATGTCTTGTGAAAGTATGTATACAATGTGACTAACGGCAGACGCCGCGTGCGTGTGATGCTTTTGGGAACGTGGCGGAACTGCCCAAGCCCGATCGAAAGCGTCGTCCAGTGCTAGTGGAGCGCCGGGTCTACGACGATGACGAAGTGGAGGATATGTAAATCCGGACCAAATTCTGGAAGAGATCGTGGAACACTTACGCTATCTACTTTTAAAAAAAAAATAACTTTAACATACCCTCATCATGTAGCCAATTCATAGATCTTTATGACGAAATTGTGCCGCCGTCCGCCTCAGCCATAGCTGCCAAAGCATCAATAATATCCTTCACGTCAGGCACGTGCCAGTTGGCACGAGTCCGCTTTGAGTTCGAGCCGACTGTCGTAGCGAAGATCTGCTCGCGGCGGAGGTGCAAGTTCTTCTGTTCAAGTTCTTGCACAGCATCAGGATTGAAGGGAGTGGGAGGCGAAACAGTCACCTCTTCAGCACCTGTGGGCTCCATTGTACCATCGGCCTGTTCATGCACGACATATCTCAATCCGGTCAAGAAGCGGAACATGTCTTCGTCTGTCTTGTCGTCGCCAGCGCAAAACACAAACTCTGTGTCTGGGTTCGCATACAAGATGCGATGCACGGTTTCACCCTTGTTAATAGCCTTCGGGCGTACTTCCACGTTTTTCTTGCCGATGACCACTTCGACTTGCATTTCGTTCTGGATAAGAATGTTATCAAGAAGCGCCTGACATTCTTTTGCCTGGAACGAACCATAATCTGGATCGGCATTGCGGTAATGCCACACAATGCTAGTCTTCTTCTGCTCAATGTTGCTACCGATCGTGCGGTCGGTAAAGTAGCGGAACACGTTCAAAACATCTTCCTTCCACGACATGTCGAGCTCCACGGAAAGATCGTGCCAATGATGTTCTTCGCCATGCTCTTTGAAGAAGCTGCCGTGCTCTGCCGACAAGCCAATAGCATGCATACTGCCGAAATGTTTCGAGAGGAAGCGCTGATCTCGCCCAGAGATGATGTACACAATGTTGCGGGGGTCTGAGGTAAGGAAGTTGAGAGCCTCGAGCAGGCGCTGCGACGGCAGCGCCGCCTCCGGGTCCTTGACGATTGACGTGAGAGTTCCGTCGTAGTCGAGGAAGATGAGACGCTTCTGAGCATGACGATAGTGATGAATCAGCGTCGACATATCGAGGATCGGCGTCTTGTGCGCCGAATGGCGATTGCGCAAACGAAGCAGCATGCGCTGAATCAGGCCCAGCGCCCAGATCTGCGATGTCTGTGTCACCACTTGATCATAGCAGCGATCGTGGCGCTCCACTTTTTCCTTCTCATCCATGCACAAAGCATGATGAATCGCAGCTGCGACACCGCCAATGTCCCACGGATTGATCAAGACGGAGCCCTGCAAATGACCTGCGGTGCCTGTAAATTCACTGAGGACCAAGGGGCTCTTGGAGTATTGGTTTTGGCACGCCACAAACTCCATAGACATGGTATTCATACCATCCCGCACCGACGTGACAAGCGCCATATCGGCCACAGACAGCAAAGCAAAGTACTCATCTCGTTCGATCACTTGATGGTAATGTTGGACAGGCGTGAAGCTAAGTGAGCCAAAGTGGCCATTGATCTTGCTGACAAGTTCCGATACCTGCCTCTCCAACTTCGGCGAGCTGTTGATCGTAGGCAAAGTGATTTGGATGAGCACGACACGGCCGCGCCACTGCGGGTAGTTGAGCAGCAATTCGTAGAATGCCTGCAGTTTCTGGACGACACCACGGACCACGTCCAGCTTATCGCAGGCAATAATGATGCGCTTGTCCTGGTAAAGGTTGCGCAGTTGGTCAATACGTGGCCCAACGCCAGGACGCAAGGCATCGTATTCGATGCGGGCCACATCGATGCCCACTGTATTGTGCGACACTTGTGTGACGCGGCCCGATAAAGACTCAACAAAGCCACCTTGCACTTCGAGGCCCAAAATACGCACACAGCACGACAAAAAGTGGCTGGCATAGGGCTGGTTCTGGAAGCAGATTAGATCAGCGCCCAGCATGCCATCCAGGATATCACGGCGCTGCGGCAGGCATCGGAAAAGCTCGCTACTGGGGAACGCTGTGTGCACGAACAGACCGATATGCGCCTCCGGCAAGGCGCGGCGGATCATGAGCGGCACCAGCAGCAGGTGGTAGTCATGGACCCATACAATGTCGCCCGTCTTGTGCTCAGCCACAGCGCGATCGGCGTACATTTGGTTCACACGTACGTACGCGCCCCAGCTGTACATATCCCATGTACTGCGGTCCTCGTCGTCGCGCCACATGAGGTAGTGGAAGAGCGGCCAGAGTGTGGTCTTGCAGTAAGCATCGTAGTGCGCAAATGCCAGCTTATGATCAAGCCATACAGGCACGTACTTGATACCGAGGCGTTTCTTGGTCTCCTTGGCCTCCAGCGCCGACGGCCGCATAGCCAGGCCTGACTTGTGCTGTGTCCATGTCGATCGGTCTTGGAGGGAGGAGAGGACCTGCTCAATCTCGATCCGTTCTTCCGGTGTGGTCTCATCGATAAACGTACGCGTATCGTTTTTCGACTGCTGCGCAAATGTAATGTGGGGCGGCACACCGATATAGGTCTGCTCGCACACCTGCGTGAGACTGTAGACGCCGCTGTTCAGCGCGGCATGGCCACGGTGCAGGGACAGAATCCACGGCGGACGTGCCGTGCGTGAGGGTGTTGAGGTATGGTATGCCGTCCCTGAAGGTGCCCGCTTTTTCTGCGTCGTACCTGGCGCGTCATCGACCATCCACGGCCGATGGCCTTCGATGGTCTCCGTGCGGCGATAGAGTTCGCGCAGTTTCACATCGACTTCTTCGTCGTTGAGCGAAAAGTGAGGATGCGAGAACAGGTTGGTCACCGAGTCCACACCTGTCTCTCCGCTAGGCTCTCCCGCGGGTGACTCATCCATATTAGTGCGGGACGAGGACCCCGGATGATGAGCATTACCATTGATGTACTGGCGCTCTTGGTACAGAACTTCCTCGACAGGTGTCATGGAGAAGGGCAGCGAGTACACTATATGGATCACTCGTCCACTCGGTGTATTCTTAGGCCTGGCCACCTCCAAGTCCTTGCGCAGGCGGTGGATCTCCTCCAACAGCTCTTCGGACGACGAAAAGCGAGGCGCATCAGGGACTTTGGTCAGGGCATTCACGGAGACATGCTCCCGTACAGCATCCTCCTCGATGGCCTTTTCTATTGCGTCAAACTCCCGCTGGGAATCTGGCGCATGGGTCGCCTGCATGGAGAGTATCTCTTCGGTACGATCGGACAGTGAGGGAGCATTGCCCGTGCTCCGTGCTCGCTACGGGCCTCCGCGCTGACTAAGCTCATTCTACATGCGTCAGGAACGTCGGGGTAAAGACCGGCAGTGGATGAGCTTCGGTGTTGAGGACCCACTGATGGAAGGGCAATAGATCTCGCTTGGTGAAGAGCAGATAGAAGTACTTTAGCGTCTCTGAGAGCCAGAATCTGAGAGGTGAGTTTGGCAGGTACATACGTCTCCATGCGATCAATTTGCTGATGATCGACACTGTCCACATCGTCGATGCCTGCATAACCGCCGTCACCGCCATCCACTTGACACCAGCGCTGGAAGCTTTGGAAAATAGTCCAGCCCCATTCACGGTACACCGGATCACCCGTGAGCTGGAACGCGATATACAGCGACTCTATCGTTTCAGGGCGCAGGATGTTGCGCGAATCGATCAGAGCTTCCGCGTAAGGATCCAACGCCCGATTTGCTCTGTCGGTAAGTGTACGTAGAACGTACCGTTTCACACGCCATGCACGCCCATTGGGCTCACTGTAGCCAGGCGGATTGAAAAACACAATCTCCGCGCCAAGGCCGGTGGCCGAGGCTGTGTAGGTATCCACACACGACCGGATGAGTTCGTGACCTACCTGCCAATCTTCCCACCGCGCTGCAGGAATGCCTGGCACCGCCATGGGTGGGGTAAGAGGGCCGTAAGTCTGAGCGGCAGCGCCAGTCATCATCGTCCCACCTAAGAAACAAACGAGATGGTCCTGCTTGGTCCGTCGCAGCCATTCCAGCTCCATCATCATGGTCTGACGAGGGAACATTTCCAACGTGTGCACCAAGGGTGGTGTCACCGATGTTACTTTGCCCAGAAGGAACGCTTTGATCCCACTAAAGGCATGCTCATACATAGCTCGGTACACATCTTCCGTCCGGTTCGTTTGGAGGTACTGCTTTACCAGGTACTCATAGTACGAGTCGCCACGGGATCCTAGCCGCACCTCGCCTGCATAAAACTGACCCGAAATCGGATCCACAAAGATCGGTAGTACACCCGGCTCAGGTGGCTTGCTGTGATCCAGCGCGACTTGCATTGGTCGTTCCGCCAACGACCAGTACGTCGCATTATGAAGTCGTTCGGCAAGATACTTGAACTCGAGCTGGATGGTGGTAGCCTCCGCTAGACTACTAGCATTTCTGTTGTCTGTATCAAAGAATGCTTCACCTGTGGCCAAATTAATTTCACGCTTAGGGATCCCACTTGGTGTTTGGAAAGCCGGCAGCATACGCTCTGCCAGCGTCGCAGCCTTATCAAGAAACAGCTGAGCATCGTCCAACGAGCGAGGGAGTGCGCCTGCTGGTGGGTCAAGCATAAGTGCCGAGGCAGAGAGCAAGCCGCCCAGCACACGAATTGTCGTTTCAAACACATTCAGGCGCCCATCAATGTCCCAATGCAACGTCGTTCGAATCCATTCGCGTGCCTCCACGTACTCCTCCTTCATGCCCAGGAGAATAAGCATATCCAAAGCATCGACCATGGTATATCCCAGCGGCGCATCATCTTTTCCTAGCAGATTAGACCCGCTTTTTGAGAGAGGATGAAATTCATCATACCCCCATGCATGGCGTTTGTACGCATTCCACGACTTGGCAAAGGCTGTACGAATCTCGCGGACTTTCTCTGTGTCTTCTTCATAGAGAGGGTGGGAAGGCAAATCATGTAGGGGCGGCAAGGGAAACGGGACCAAGGGCTCGCGATTAGAGTACGACATCACATGTGAGGGAGCCGACGACCCCTTCAGAAAGGCGACGTACCCTACCGCCACCGCCACTACTACGGCCACCAAAGCCCACCACCATGACGGTTTCGGCTTTTCCTCTTCCGCTTTTGTCTTCGCACGACGTGCCGGCTTAGATTTCTTTGCGGCCATCGTGCGGAGAGCGTACGTGACGGACCGACCTCCACGCGAAGGCGGAAGCAACAGGGGCGGCGGCGCGTGCGTACACCGCTTAGCTGGCTGGCGCCACCGTCTCCACATTAATAACACCGCACGCCGCCTCGTTGGGGTTGGCAGCTCGATATGATCTCGGTAGGTCGCCTAGCTGGCTCACACGCAGGGCATATTCCTGATCAATGCACAGGGGAATGCTCTTGTCTCTCGGTTGTTCCGCGATGACTTGAAGTATGTGGTGATCTTGCTTACCTTCTAGAGCTGGAGTTTCGGACCTGTTTCGTATCCACGTGGTGCAGAATCCCAGCGTTGATGCGCCGATTGTGACGCTGGGCAATATGACTTTTATGTGGGTCCGCCATGCGGATGTATACGTGGTCGCTGCGACGGTATCGAATGCCAATCCCACGCTCGTGTTCGAGTTTTTGTACAAATTTCTACGTACTGCAGGCTCGTACTTGGGTGGGCACCTGTCCCAGGAGGCTGTGAAAAAGAACTTCATGTTGCTCTATGAGCTCCTAGATGAGATGATGGACTTTGGATACCCGCAAGACACGGAGCTGAACTCTCTCAAAATGATGATCACCAGCGAGATGGTACGAGGGGGTGGCGACGCGCCCCATCCTGAGCGAACATACCCTATGCCGTCATCCGTCGCAGCGCCGACATGGCGGAAACGTGATATCAAGTACCGTAAGAACAAATGCTTTATCGATGTAATTGAGACACTGCATCTGCTCATCAGTGCGCAAGGCACTGTCCTTCGTGCAGACGTCGATGGTCGTGTACAGATGCGCAGCTACTTGTCAGGCATGCCTGACTGCACCGTCGGCGTAAATGCGATTGTGGACGGGACCACAGCATCAGGGCCGGCGCTTGTGCTGGACAAATGCCAGTTTCATCCATGCGTCAAAATCGGGCACGTCGGCCAGGAACAGTGCTTACGATTCATCCCTCCAGATGGCGAATTCGAGCTGATGCGGTATCGCGCGGTGAAGAACATTCGTGTACCATTGCTACTGGATGTTGTCGTAGAAGAAACGGCTCAGCGCATGGTCCGCTACAATATCCAGCTGCGCGCGAGTATGGACCCGCAGTTGGTCGCCTCCGATGTGGAGATTCGAATTCCCACGCCGCCGGCCTCAGTGCACGTCGATTGTCACGCACAGATTGGGCAAGCGAAGTGGGAGGGGCCTGAGGCGGGCATGGTATGGCGTATTCCTCGCATTCAAGGCATGGTCGAAGTGTCCTTTCGTGCAGAAGTCAAGTGCCGTCCCACGCAGTCTTGGACGCGCCCACCGATCGTGATCAACTTTGACGTGCTGATGCTCGCAGTGTCAGGGTTTCTCATTCGATATTTGCAAGTGGTCGAACGATCTAACTATCGGCCTGTAAAATGGGTTCGCTATCAAACAAGGGCTGCACATTCGTACCTAGTGCGATTCTAGCGATGACCAGCAATACGCCAACGCGCAAACTCTGCCTCGCCGAAGCGCAAGAGTGACATGGTCCCTTGGTCGACAATCGCCACGACGACACTGCGTCGGCCGGCTTTCAGTGGCAAGTATACATTCGACGGTAGCCGTTCCGGCGTGCGCAGAGGCATGCCGGCCCAGAGGCAGAGGGCCCGCAGCCATGCACTCAGCAGATCGAGGCACCGACGAAGGCGCGCTAGCATAGGCCCCAGGCGTGTTGTTGGGTGCTTTGAGACAGGGCGTGGCCGCGCGGGACGCTGCTTGCCGTACGCCCGTCGGTTCTGCTCGCGAATCGCTTCCAATGCCTTGGCGTCTTGGTCGTCGTTAGAGTCAGCCGTTGGCAAAGGTACATGCGAGAACAGCACTTCAAAGTCGCGGCCCTGCAGCATAGGCTGCTTCTCGGTTTCCAGGACGCATATGCGGAACTCGGGCGGCGGTGGTTGTGTACGTTTAAAGTGCGTAGCAGGCCGCCATGCGTAGAAGAAGGGCGACATCGCCGAAGTCTCTGTGCTAGGCGGCCTCTCGTTGTGACCGGTAGGCACAATACGTAAGGCATCATAGACGGAATCTGTATATAAGTAAACAAGGTAACGTACCAAAGGCATCAGTAGGCGCAATACCCAGCAGACCACGCGGGCGTCGGTATAGGCGTCGAATAAGGCAGAAGAAGAGGCACCATACACGCGACATGACACGGAAAAGGAACTGCCATAGTGAACGTGTCCAGCGCACATGAAGACGCGGCTTGGATGGCGTGGCTGTCATGCCTTGCCGGATACGATCAATCACTGAGGTACGTTGGACAATGTAGCCCAAACGCTTCAAGTACGCATAGATCTGATACCGCGCGAGTGTAGCGCCATCACGACCAAGAAGCTGGGCATAGGCTTGCGCCACTGATATGGGTATACTCGTTGCAAACAACTCGGATGAAGGGATGTCGCCAGGCGTCTGTGTCCACCGGCAGTCCAGCGCACCGCGCTCAATAAGGTACACGGCCTCTTCCGGGAAAAGCTCCAAATGTGTGATTGTCTTGTCCCCACATACACGGCGCTCGGACACGCCCACATGTGCACAAGATTGTCCACGCTGCGTGTGCACAAACGCGCGCTGGAATACGGGGTCCCATGTTGCGGTGCACAAGGATTTGCTGAAGGTAAGAGAAGAGAAAAAAAATAACATACCTGGAATGGGCACGAGGAAGAGAGATGGCTGTGAAAAGAGCTGCTCTGCTCTGCTCCAGGATCTTGCTTTGACCGCCAAAGCCTGTCGGTTCGAAATCTTTTTCGCCGCGCTTGGGAATAAATGGCGTAGCAGTGTCAGTTGACGTGCTTCCTGCGATATGACGCTGCGAAAGCGTTGATAGAACACGGTAGTCCGGCATATCTTCTTCGTCATCAGATTCGGTCGCCATCGGCGCCGCACGCGCGACTTTTTCATCTTCGTCCATCGTGGAGCCTTGGGCATGATCCACTCACCGACAGCGCTCTTGCAACCTCGTACGCTGACTAAACATCCAGCCATCCGACCCCCCAGACGGGGCCACGACGCTGTGTTGCAACTTCACCGTCGTCGTGGCGTAGCAACCAAGTCCCCTGATTTGGAAAGATGGTGCCACCTGGGCTTTGGGATACCCATGATGGGGGCAATTCGACAATGCCGGATATGCCGGGCCCACGCGGGAAGACGTTTGCCGGCCCGTGGCTTGAGCAACAAATCATTCTTTCTGCGATGGTAGGCTTTGTATCCATCCTCATCTTTGGACTATGGAAGCGCCACTACCCCAAGATCTACATGGCTCGGCATCACATACAGGGCTCCGCGCTACCGTACCAGCAGATCCGTAACAGTGTATTTGGATGGATCCTGCCTACCCTGCTCTACTCGGATCACAGTGCGCTGCATACGGTGGGTCTAGACGGCGCTGTAGCGCTGCTCTTCCTCAAGATGGGCTTTGTGTACCTCGTTCTTTCAAGTCTATGGGCCGTATTTGTACTTATTCCCGTGCACTATTACACCAATGGCTGGATTGACGGTGTGAAGCCTGGCGAAACATTTGGCGAAGCCGAGCCGGTCACGCTCGCCATGGAATCGCTCGCCAAGCCACGCGATCCGTTGCCTTTTATACCACTTCCCAACATTGTAACACGCGATACGCTCTACGAAAATACACAACTTGTGAGCACATTCTTCTACTCATTGCTGGCTATGTGGGTCTTATCGCGCACGTATGCTGTGTTTATTTCGTTCCGCCAAGGCCATGCAGGTGTGCAGCCTAATACACGTACAGCGCGAACAGTAGAGATTCGGCAGCTCCCCGACCACCTGGTGAGCGAAGACGAATTGTGGGGCTACTTTTCTGACATTCGCTTGGACGTGGAGAATATCAGCATTCTGAAAAAGACCAGGGTGTTGGACAAATTGCTATCGAAACGCTCCCACGCGCTTTTCCGTTTGGAAAAGGCATGGAATACGTGGATTACGGATCCCACGGAAGCGCAGAACTACGATCCCGAACAGATTCGCGAGCAGACTAAGCACATGATGCGCCCACCCGCGCCTGGTGCAGCGCCGTTTGTTGCGGCCGCTGTACAGTCAAACCGACCACGGCCTACAATGGTGCGACCATGGTGGAATCTGCTGGGTCCTCGCGTAGACTTGATTGATCAACTTTCGTACGAATTCAACACACTCGACGAAGCTGTCTCGAGGATGCGTGCATCGAGCTTTGAGCATGGCCACACAGCCTTTGTAACGTTTAAGAACGCATGGAGTGCGGTACGTATACATCTTGCTTACATGACAGCAAATTGCCAGCCAAGTCGTTCACTACCCCATGCCTGGCTATTTCTACACGGAGCCTGCGGTGGAACCGCGCGATATTATCTGGGTCAACGAGGAGACAAGCGTTTGGGATCGCCGACTTCGGCAATGGATTATGTCGTGTATGATTGGCGTGCTGCTTATTTTCACGCTCTCGATCGATTTTGTGTTAGCGACGCTGGTCAACTTGAACGAAATCAAGCAATACATGCCCTGGTTGGGTGACATTCTTGACGAAAACCTACGCGTGCGTGCCTTTGTTCAAAATTCGCTACCAACGCTGTTGTTGATTCTGATTAACGCACTGGTGCCGATCGCCATGAAGTACTCAACGTACTTCCAGCGGGTCCGCTCGTTCTCACAGATGGAGCACAGCGTGTTGAGCAAGTACTACTTGTATCTACTCTTTTCTGTGGTGTTTGTGTTCTTGTTTACGAGCGCGCGAGACATGCTAAAAGAGCTCTCGCAAAGCCCTATGCACATGATTGATAAGCTTGCACAGTCGCTGCCAGTGGCACGTAAATTCTCGCTGTCGTATGTTGTTTTCCAAGGTTTGGCAATCCAGCCGTTCCAGCTGGTTTTGCTTCCGAGTCACCTCCAGCATATTCTGGGCCGTATCTTTGGTCTGACGACGCCGCGGTACTTGGCGCATATGTTTGAGGCGCCTAGTCTGAACATCAGTACCTTGTACCCGCAGGCACTGCTTATCTTTACATTGGCTGTTCTCTACAGTATTGTCAGTCCTCTTATTTCCATCTTTGGCGCGTTGTACTTTGGCGTGGCGTACACGGTGCTAAAGTACCAACTTCTCAATGTCTTTGACAAGCCGTACGATTCGCATGGCCACGCATGGCCCCTGGCCATTCAGCGGTGCTTGTGGGCTCTCATTTTGTTCCAAGTCTTCCAACTCTCGCTCTTCTCTGTGCGCAAGCAAGTATTCAACAGTTTGCTGATTGTATTGCTTATTGGCTATACCATCTGGTTTATGGTTTACATGCAGAAAACGTTCCTGCCTCTGACGTCGTACGTGAATTTGTACGATATCTACTCGGCAGAAGACGAAGACGTCCAGCGGGAGAGTCACCATGCAGTCGTCGCACAGGACGAGGCGCAGCCTATACCCACTTCTGGCTTTTACGGTGATGAGGCATATGAGCCGCCCATGTCCAATCAGTCAGGCCTCTTGAAGTCGGAGCGTGATGATACATACGGGCAGCCCGCATTAACAGGGCGCCTTCCCACGTTGTGGCTCCCTATGCGTCGGCAAGGCTTCCTGCCGGCCAGGTCCATCGACGAAGTATAGTGATATTACTATTGTATGACATAGAGTATTTCATGGTTGTTTATTGTAGTATGGGTAAATACATGCATATATATATAAATATATTTCATCCAAGACGCACAGCATTCGCGCCACTAGCGAACTTGGCGCGCTTGGCGGGTCGCTCTTTTTCTTGCGATGGTCCCCAATGGGCAGTCGGGGTACTTGTTTCCTTCTCCTTCTCGGCTTGCTTCCGCTTCTGGGCTTCTGCTTCAGGCTTGACATACTTCTCGTGGAGTTTGCGTCGTTCCTTCTCGAGTTCGGCGTTCTTCGCTTTGATTTTCTCACGACGGTGCTGACTCTTGCCACCACCGCCAGCCGTAAGCTCAACATTGATTTGCCGACCTTGGAACATGGTATGATGGAATCGAAGTGCTTTCTGCATCGCCGTGGAGCTCGTGAATTCGACAAACGCACAGCCTTTCGACACGGGGGCTGAAGGGTCCTTCGCTTTGCCCTTCGCAATGGATTTCTTTTTCGAGTTGGACAGTTTCTCCAAGGCAGTAGGATCGCCTTTCTTGGTAAGGAGACGGACTTTAGGCAGCTCGCCGCAAGTAGTGTGCATATGCTTGGCCAACATCTCAGCGGTCACGTCGTAAGACATATTGCCTACAAAAACAATGTACTTGCCCGCGGTGTCCTTGGATTCTTCCTTCGACTCAACGGGAGGGATACTAGTTTCATGTGCAATACCTTCTTCGTCAAATGTCATTTTCTTTGCAGAGGTGTTGGCTTTGGTTTTGGTCTTGGTCTCGGGAGCGGACGCTGCATCGTTCGTCAAAGGCTCCGATGGAAGGGCCGGCGTGGACACATCAGTTGGGAACTCATTCGTATCATAGACTGTAGTAGTATCTTTTTCGGCATCACCTCGTTGCTTTGCGCGGAACCTGGCTGCCTTTTTTTGGCGCTTGGTTTGCGTCGCCGTATCTGACGCCATGGAGAGAAGGAGAACAAAAAAAGTTGGACTATGTGGAGAAAGGACCTGTGCGAGCGATCCCAAAGACTCATTCTACCAAACACGGCACTGCGCTAGCAACTGCATCACTTGATCCAGACGCACTCTTTCTGTTGACATATCCCATTCCTCCTTTGTCGGTGATCGTTCTAGAGCCAAGGCCACAATAATAGGTTTCAAGCGGCTTTGTGATGGAAGATCCGCAGAGGGACCGATCAGATCTTGGCTAATACGTGTAGCAATGTGAGTAGCATAGAGAGAATATACATCTTGTAGTTCAGGTGGGGGTGTGCCAAACAAAGGTACCAGGGATACAGTAGGCTGAAGGGGGGCAGATGAAGGAGCATCGTCTTGCCACGGCACTGGCTCCGCATACGACGACCCTATATGTGTCTGCGCTTGAATCTGAAAGTAAGCACAAAAACTCACGTACCAGGCAACCCATTTTCCCATACTGTGTCACGCTGACCAAAAGACGGTCAGCATACGATTGACATGTTACCGTGATATCCCGCCCTTGAGGAAGCGATGCTGAAGCAGAGAGAGTGGGTATCAGGTTCGTATTGGACAGCTCCTTGACTTTGACCAAGCCATGCAACGACGGTGGCGCCAGGGACATGACTGACTCGAAGGAGGAAGGTAAGTCCAAAGGGACCAGGGACAGGCGTGACGTGCGTGCTGGCGCACGTCCAACTCTTTTTCTTGAAAATAGAGCATGCGTTGCCCCAATGTAATAATTGTGGTAGGATGGCCGAGTGGTCGAAGGCGGTTGATTCAAGTATTTGTTGAATATTTCGGCGTTTGCGACGCTGGTTCCCAACTTATCCTGGGTTCGAATCCCAGTTCTACCATATTTTTTCACCTCTTAGGTTAAGAGATGAATGTTTTACCACGTGTCACGTCCGTGCCACTCTCGTCCGGTCTTTACGTCTTGCGTCGGTGGAAGCCAAAACCTTCTTTTTTGCCTTCACTTTTGACGACGTCTCTCTGAAGAGAAAGAGGATTACCATCTACTATGCCTGAAGAACGTCATGTTGTGATTATTGGCGGCGGCATTATTGGTGCCAGCATTGCCTATTACATGTCGCAGCGTGAAGATTGTCCCAAGATTACGTTGCTAGAATCGAGTAAGGATGTAGCACCTGGCGCATCTGGCAAAGCGGGTGGCTTTCTTGCGTTGGATTGGCATGGTACGTCGACAGCCAGCTTGGCCGCCTTGAGCTTTGAGCTTCACCGTCAATTGGCCAAGAAGGAGAATGGCGCGGAACTATGGGGCTACCGTGAGGTGGAGACGCACCAGCTGAGCTTGGACACGTCGCGCAAGGCCCGCTCGCGCCCCAAGATTGAATGGCTGAACCCGAACGTTTTCATCTCTACGAGCCTGATTGGGGGTGGCGGCACGACCGCCCAAGTCTCGCCTGGACACTTGACGCGGTTCCTCGTGCAGCGTGCAAAAGAAAAAGGTGTGACCGTGCGTGTGGAAACCATGGCTACGGGGCTGCTGCAGAATGACGAAGGTGTGGTCGAAGGCGTCAAGATTATGGTGAATGGAATGGAGGAGATCTTGCCTGCGACGGATGTGGTGCTTGCCACAGGCCCGTGGACGGGCAAGCTGTTGCAATCGTGGTACACGCCGCAGTCTATGCCATCGTACCTGCGCTCGGCCGCTATGATTGAGGGCAGTCGTGCCCATAGCATTATAATCCAGGCGGCGAAGAACCAGCAGCTGAGTGCTGACTGCTTCTTCTCAGAGATGCGGTACGGCACATCCGCAGGTGCGCCCGAGTTTTACATTCGTCCGAAGGGTGTGGCGTACGTGTCGGGCGGTACCGACGACAAGCCGATTCCCGAGCTCGCAGACGAGGTGGACTTTGAGCCCAAGTTTACGAGTGAACTGCAACGCCAAGCGAGTGTGCTGAGCCCTGAGTTTTTGGACGTGAAGCAAGGTGCGGACCTTTTGACGGAGCAAGCGTGCTACTTGCCGATTTCGCCACGGACTGCCGCGCCGATTCTTGGTGGCTCGAAACAGGACCGGATCTACGTTGCGGCGGGTCATGCGGTATGGGGCATCAGCAACAGTCTGGGCACGGGCCAAGTCATGGCCGAGCTTTTGCTGGACGGCAAGGTGGTGAGTGCTGATATTCGCCAGCTGCAGCCCTAAGCGCACAAAAAGGGCCCTCTTGTGTGGGCATGGACCGGATTCGTATGGACCTAATTGCACGATCTATGTACTATGATGACATACATAGGAACGGGCCAGCATAGTCTACACATCGATGACGACGAGGCATTACGACTGGTACGCGAGACGACGAGCAAACTCAATGAGTGCACGCACAGGCCGACCCGTCAGGCCCTTGCCCTGGTAGTCATTCAGCGTGTTCACCGCGGCCTCCATGGAGCCAGCAATGTCAATGTGAGCATAGCGCACGCTAGGTGCCTCGCCCTTGGTGCGGTCGCCCAAGCCGTGGACAAACTGCTTGAGGAACACCGCAGCTGTGCACGAGCCAGCGGGACGGCCACCCGTGTTGACCAAGTCGGCATTCACCTTGGAGATCTGCGTGAGGTAGCGATCTGTCAGCGGCATACGCCAGCACAGGTCGTTCTCCGCCTCCGACGCGACCTTGAGCTCCTGCCAGAGCGACTCGGTCTCCGTAAACACGCCCGAGTAGACGTCGCCCAGCGCGATCACACACGCGCCCGTCAGTGTCGCGACGTCAATCACCGTGTGCGGCTTGTACGTGTCAGACACGTACGACAGCGCATCGGCCAGGATCAGGCGGCCCTCCGCATCCGTGTTGTCGATCACCACCGTGAGGCCGTTGCGGGCCTGGAAAACGTCGCCCGGCTTGGTCGCACGGCCACTCGGCATGTTTTCTGTGAGAGGCATCACAGTGACCAGGTTGATCGGGAGACCCAGCTGCGCAATGGCCAACGTCGAGGCCACGACGGCGGCCGCGCCACCCATGTCCGCACGCATGAGGTCCATACCTGCGCCAGGCTTGAGGCTGATACCACCCGAGTCGAAGGTCACGCCCTTGCCGACGAGCGCCAGCGGCGCCGCGTCGTGATCAGGGGCGCCATGGTACTGGATCTCGACAAACTTGCACGGCTGGTCCGAGCCCTGCGCGACGGACAGGAACAGGTTCATGTTCTGCTCACGCGCCCAGTCAGCATCATGGACCTTGACCTGCGTGTTTGGCACATGCTTGAAGGCCTCCTGCACACGCTCCGCAAAGATCGCCGGCGTGAGTAAATTCGCCGGCGTCTCCTGCAATTCGCGCGACCAGTTCTGTGCTTTGGCATACACCTCACCCGTGTACCAGCTGAGAGGCGTCGTTGTAGCAGCGAGATCGTCTGCATCGTCCAGCAGCTTCTTCTTCTGCTCGACCGACGAGGCACCACTGAGCGGCACCACCTCGATATGACGACCACCCTGCTTTTCCAGCGGCTGGCCCCACGCCGGCGCCGAGCCGCGTGTCTTGAAGTGATTCACATTCCACAAACCGAGGATCGAGCCGACGGCAGCGGCATGCGCACTGCTAAAGGTATCGACGTGAACCTGGCGCTCGCCTTCGTCCTTGCCAAGATCGCGAAGAGCGCGCACGCCCTTCGCAGCGGCCAAGCGCGTCTGCTCCAAACGCTCGTTGCGCAGGAACGTGGCAGCTGGGGGCAGAGCATCTGGGCCAGTCGTAGGCGCCTCGTGCTGCTCGCCGGTAGCTACAGCAGCAATGGGATCCGACGACGTAGGGTACAGCACACGTAGTTCGCCGGCCTTGGCAGCGGAAGCACGGCTGCTTTGCCACTGCGCCTTGACCTGTGCAGCGACTTCCGGCAGAGCCGACAGGGCAGGCGCAGCGCCGTCCGCATCAATACGGACCACCTTTCCGAGCAAGTTAGCCATGGTGTTTTCTTTAATGAAAAAAGAAGGGAAGGCCGAAATGCCACGTATGCGGGGGCCAGGTCAGGCGCCCAAGGCACAGGGTATCACGCTATGGGTATATATGCAAATATATTACTGGGCCAGGGACACGGCGTCCTGGTGGAGGAAGGTATACAGCTTGCGGCCGGGCTCGGCGCCAATCGCGCCCTGAAGCTCAGCGAGAGAGCACTGGCACAGCGCTTGCAACGAAGGGGCCACGCGCGCAATGTACATGGCGTTCTTGGTCGTCACGCCCGGCATCGCACGTAGCATATCCATAGGCGTCGTATGAACAGAAGTATCCACCAAGCCTTCGCGACCCATCGATGCATCGAGCCCAATCGCGGCGGCCCGCACAGGATCAGGCTCGTCGAAATTGTGCTTCAAGTCTGCTAGGATCTCCACACTCGCGTATGGCGACGACGACCAGATGAGGCGCAGGCGCGGGAAGGCCAGCGTAAGCAACACAAGCTTCGCTTGGACGTCCAAGTCCCCTGCCTCGGTACGCGACGCCAATGAGCGTGCAGGAACTTGGGCCCGCGCACGGCCGCCGATGGTCTGCAGCGTAAAGGCGCGGTCTTGGTCAAACTCAATGAGCAGGATGGCATGGGGGTAGTGCATCGACATGGCTTCGCACTGGGTATACAGGCGGCCGGACTGGAGACTTTGCACCAGGTCAGTGAGGCTTTTCCGCTCCACACACATCTCGGACGAAATGACATAGTCGCCTACCTGCAACGTGCACGGAATGACCTGCAGGCCGGCTGCATGCAAAAGCGATGGCAGACTGCTTCGAAACTCGCGCATATCCACGACCACCGACGGTGTGTGGGCCGCCGAGGACAGCTGACCGCCGGCTACACGTGTGCTGAGCTGCCGCAGCATACGCTGGTCCGCATCCTCCTCCGCCAGCGTGCCATCCACCGTAAGAGGAATCGCCATGCGCCCTTTTTGCCGGATAAGGCGCTCAAACGCATCCTTCTCGCGACGCAAGCTGGCCAAGTACAGTTGCTCCTCCACGGAATCCGTGTAGAGCAAAAAGTAGATGCGCAAGTCGGGCACGCGGTACAAGGCACGGTGCAGCTCCACTTGGCGCACAAACTGCGGGTTGGGGTCGTACATGACAACGTAGTGGGGACGCAGTTCTTGCAAGAGTCGATCGTTGGCTTCGCCTTGGTACCGATGAATCACCACGACATGATCCATGTCGACCAAGCCAAAGTAGTCGTCGGTCTCCGCCATCACAGCCTCCTCGTCTTCGACCTTGTCCGTATCGTACGCATGCGTACCAGAGGGCAGCTCGTTCATATGCAGGGCCATCTGGTCCCATTCGCGCTGGATATCGTGTCCAGCGATGGGGTGCACCGAAGCCGAGACAGCCATCCCGCCGCGAACACGACGCCGTTTGTTCGCCGGCATACCGGCGCGCTGCATTTTGCGCTGCAGTGCCTCTGATACAGGCTCCTCGGCCTCCGCCTCTGTACTCTTCGATGATGCTAACACCTGTTGCAACTCAGCAATGTGGCTCGTCCAAGAGATGTAATCGTGCAAGCAAGACGCCAACACACTCTCACCAGGCTGCTCGTCTGCTGTATCGGAGGCATTAAGAAGAGCACGAAGTTGTGTAACAGTTTTCTCCGAGTCTGCCATGATGAGAATGGTGTAGTTCGACGAGGTACCTGCCTCATCATGACGATAAATGTCCTGCTCAATCTCATGCATCACCTTCATGAGAAGTGACCATTTCGGCGGGGCCTCAAGCACAAATTCAATATCCCCTGCACGATCACTGCGTTGCCTCCATATCCGGTCACGGGCTTCACGAAAGATGGTGTTGGAGGCATCGCTCAAGAGCCACGGCGAAGGATGAGATCGTGCCCCAGGCTCCGTAGGCGCATTGGAAGCGAGAATAGTCTCAAGGTATACATAGAAAGAGACAGAATCGTAGGAAAGCAGCGCTTGTAGAAGAGATCGCAGCGTACTTAGATCCCCGACCAACTGCTTGATAGCAGGACTGAGCCGATGCCATACAGGATCCAGCTGGCGACGGATGATCATATCGAACGACTTATGCATAGCTTGATCGACTTGGATGTCTTCCATATCAAGGGCCAATTTGCTGCGTTGAATTTCGTGCAACGTAGCCTCCAAGCACTCAATGATGCCATTCTGAATCATGCGCATGGACGGTGTGAGAGGCTGATGCAGCTCCACGACATCCGCACGTCGATGACCCAAGTCACGGTCGATATCCTGATGAAACCGGGGCCAAATATCGACTTGTCGTAAGTGTAGCTGCCCCATGATCATCTGCAGCGTATGGAAGCCCGCAGCGAAATGCTCAGGTTGGTCTGAAAAGGCTTTGACGAACCCGACCTTGTTCTCCTGGCGAAACAACCGGAGAATGAAAGACTCAATAGACGTAGGTGTGATTCTTTCCGCGTGAAGTACCACTAACCCGGTTACTTTCGCAGTAGGGATACGTTTGGATAGCATATCGACGACGAGAATTTGCGACGTCACACTGATGATGCCATTGGACGTGTACAGATCATGGCGCTGCTTCGCAGGCATGTCGTGATGGATGTCATGGATGGCATTATGATGCATCCCTAGTGTTCCCAGATCATGATTAAGTCCTTGTACATCGTGATTTGATGCATTGACCAAAAGCAACAAGCTTTGGGAACTCGTGAAGACGCGTAGAAGGGTGGCTACAATGCGCCGTAAGCCCAAGCCTGGAGCAAGCAGCACCAGAAGATCGCGAAGCTCTGGGTCATCGGGTATCAGCCGCTGTAAAATGGAACGATGAAACGGCAGCAGCCAATGCCGGCTTGGCGGTAGAGCTTCCATGCTCAGTTGGCTGCCCCGCACGTTCCAAGTTGCGAGCAAAATCAGATGTGAGGACTATGCATGCGTAGCCATAGTTGCATTTGTGATTAGCTAAGAGTCTGCAAGCCCGCCAAGAAACTCGAGGGGGATTGGATACGATTGAATGTAGTACAGAAAGGAACACGCCCATGTACGCGCCCTAAGCGCACCGAAAAGGCGTGGGCGGTTCTCTATAAATTCTCGCCCCGATGTGTGGGAGACGCCACACAGCCCATTACAATGAAATGGTCAAGTATCGTTCTAGCGCTAGCCATGGCTAGCGCTGCTATGGCACGTGAATGGAATTGCAAGCCATACATGACACCCGGGACTCTTCTGAGCAAGAGTATTGTGGCCAACCGCACGGAAACCTTCGAGATTTCTCGCACCAAGAAGGTGGATGGCCATCCTGCTTTAGTCAAGGTGGATTCTACGGATCAGACGTTCCAGTTCTACGAATGCGACCCTCCTAGCCCAAATTATAAACAAGGTGGACAAATCCGCAGCGCTAGCAACACCTCTCTTTGCCTTTCGCCAGGCGACTTGTACCGGTACAACTACCATGTCGGAAACTTTACCAAGTACCCTGAGGATGCGGACGAACGCATTTCGTTAGAGCCTTGCGCAACAGTGCACAGCCTTACTATGCGCCGCCAATGGTTCATGGTGACCGAGACGGAGAACAAATGCCTGAGTCGTGTCTCTCAACAAGGCTGGAAAACAGATGGTACGAGCGACGTGGTTGTCTTGTCAGAGAATGGTGTAGCTTTGGGCTCCAACATTTATGATAAGAAGGAGTCTTTCTTGTACCTGTCTTCAAACGAAAGTGACGCTTGCTAAATTTGTAATCTTAGTGGAAAGGGACGTTCCTATTCCTTTGTATGCTCTGGTAGCGCAAAGTAGGTTCAATGACCGGTGTATGTAAGCCAAGCCTGGGTCATAGTCACTGGAGGCATCGTTACACATATCGAAGGTGGACAGAAACTCTGAAGACCCCCGTTCGTTGTTAGTAACACAACGCGACAAGATGCGTAGAACGTAATTAACAGGGATAATATATTTTAAAGAACAACTATCAAAAGTGTCAAATGAAGTGAAAACCAAAGGCTTGAGAAAAGGGCTCAACTTATTTACCAGGGAATTTGTACAGGAGCATATCAAGCGTTTAAAGAAGGCTGTTGTTGCTGCCGATCGGACCAACACTGTTGTTGCTGCCAACACCACCAATGCTGTTGCTGCTGCCCGAACCACCAATGCTGTTGTTGTTGCCAAAGCCACCCAGGCTGTTGTTGTTGCCTGAGCCGCTGATGCAGATACCAAAGCCAAACACGTCGTCATTGCCACACATCATGCCACCCATAGGCGAGGAAGCGGTAACAGTGACCTGCTGGCCACTAACAGTGGCGGTGACAGTAGAAGGGGCAGCAGTGGCGGCAGAAGCGGTGCTAGTAGAAATCGAAGACGACGACGACGAAGACGACGACGAAGGAGTGTTAGACGATGACGAAGAAGCGCTAGACGATGACGAAGAAGCGCTAGGCGACGACGAAGAAGCGCTAGGCGACGACGAAGAAGCGCTAGGCGACGACGAAGAAGCGCTAGACGACGACGAAGAAGCGCTAGACGACGACGACGAAGAAGACGACGAAGTCAAAGCGCTCGAAGTCGAGTTGGTAGACTGAGCAATAACCGAAGCAGCAAGGAAAGCGCCAGCGAACAAAACCTTAGAGAACTGCATGGCTAACGAGACAGATGGAAGACGGAGACAACTTCCTATCCCTTATATTTTGCCATTAGGAACATTGGAGCCGTTCACGCGAAGGATGCTAAGCATCATGTGTGCAGTTGATGGCTACCCAAGTCTACACGGTGCCAACTTACCAATTACACGACCTTAATAGCTTATCAGCGCTTAGCCCTACTGTCAACACGTGCATGGAAATTACGCTTTACCAAATGCGCCTGAACTGGGTTAATGAAACCACTGTCTTTTTGACAGCTGAAGACAGACTAGCGTACAAACAAAATATATATATAGCATTATGGACAGAAAAGAAAAAAAAAAAAGCATAATACATGATGCGCTCATGCCGTCTTTAGTCGAAAGAGAACTGAACCAACTTGAAGAAACTTTGCAAAGGGCTCAATCATTCCAAGAAAGGCAACATATACACCCGTTTCAATAGTCAAAGAATAATACAATTAATAGATGGAGGGAAACAATGAATTAATCCAACAAGCGTATTCAAATTAATTGCCGTTACCCGAACCCTGGATACAAATACCAAAGCCAAAGATATCGTCGTTACCACACGACATACCATTTCCATCAGCGCTAGCTGTGACGGTTACCTGAGTGCCCTGTGTCACCGTAGTCACGACAGTGGTAGAGGTGTCAGTAGGAGACGATGAGCTAGACGAAGAGGACGAAGTGCTTGACGACGAGGTCGAGGTACCAGCTGGGGTAGTCGAAGTGCCCTTAGTGGTGGTCGAAGTGCTCTTAGGGGTAGTCGAGGTGACCTTCGGGGTGGTCGAAGTGCCCTTCGGGGTGGTCGAGGTACCAGCTGGGGTGGTCGAAGTGCCCTTCGGGGTGGTCGAAGTGCTCTTAGGGGTAGTCGAGGTGACCTTCGGGGTGGTCGAAGTGCCCTTCGGGGTGGTCGAAGTGCCCTTAGGGGTGGTCGAGGTTCCAGCGGGGGTAGTCGAGGTGCCCTTCGCGGTGGTCGAGGTTCCAGCTGGGGTGGTCGAGGTGCCCTTCGGGGCGGTCGAAGTGCCCTTAGGAGTGGTCGAGGTACCAGCTGGGGTGGTCGAAGTGCTCTTAGGGGTGGTCGAGGTACCAGCGGGGGTAGTCGAGGTACCAGCGGGGGTAGTCGAGGTGCCCTTAGGGGTGGTCGAGGTGCCCTTAGGGGTGGTAGAGGTGCCCTTAGGGGTGGTAGAGGTGCCCTTCGGAGTGGTCGAAGTGCCCTTCGGAGTGGTCGAAGTGCCCTTCGGAGTGGTCGAAGTGCCCTTAGGGGTGGTCGAAGTGCCAGCTGCACGCTGCACAAGACCATTTACCTGCTCATGGCGATGCAGAGGCGTAGCCTGCGCACCAATAAGCGCAGCCGAAACCAGGAACGCAAGCTGCAGTACTTTCATTTTTGATAGAGGATAGGGGACGTCAACAAGAAAGAGCGATTTTATACTAAGACAAACTATATTATCATGATTAATGAAGCTGCGCATCCTTAGGACTCCGAGTGCATTTATCTAAACAAGAAAGGGAGAGTCGATATTATTCGAAGAGTATTAAGTAGGCAGAGCCAATAAGGGCTTCTGGTAACGAATCTGTGCAAAGATTTCATGCATGAACCCTGAAACAGAGAACGATTCGTCCATATGATTGCAAAGTTTGAAGAGCCAAAAAAAACTCTTACCACTACAGCCACGTGTGATATGAAAGTAAAAGCAAGGGAAAGAAACTTGAAAGAACGGGAGTTAGAGATTACCATTAATGAATCTGAAATTAAACATTCGAACGTAGGAGTAGCTTGTTTTTGCGCAAATAACAGTAACAATAAACAACTACAAAGTTATCATCACTAACCAAGAAGAAACGATGCTAATGCATCGATACTAGGTATACGTTCCATCCACTTAGAGAATGCTGTTGTTGCTCAGGCCGCCGCCAAGGCTGTTGTTGCTGCCAATACCGCCAATGCTGTTGCTGCTGCCCGAACCACCAACACTGTTGTTGTTGCCAATGCCTCCCAGACTGTTGTTGTTGCCTGAGCCGCTGATGCAGATACCAAAGCCAAACACGTCGTCATCACCGCACATCGTACCAGCCACAGACTTGGTAGCTGTCACAGTAACTGGCTTACCACTGATGGTGGTAGTAATCGTCGACGGCGCAGCAGTAGGAGCAGCGCTTGATGACGACGACGAGGCAGACGACGACGAAGCAGCAGCGCTAGACGACGACGAGGCAGACGACGACGACGACGACGACGAAGGCGACACAGTCGTCGTCACCACCGTCGTGTGGGTGTGACCCGAGGTCGGCGACAGCGTCTTGGTGCTCTTCACAGTCAGAGTCGAGCACTCAGTGCACTCCGTCTCCGAGGGAGTCACAGTGACAACCTCCGTAGTAGTGGCACAGGGGGTGTCCGACGAGGCAACGCTGGCCGTCACAGTGACATCATGCGTCACAGTGCGGGTCCAGGCGTTAGCACCAGCAATGAAAAGGGCACCGGCAATCAGGGTCTTGGAGAACTGCATCGGTGTAGGTTGCATATATCAGATCGGAAAGAAGGCCTTTATATATAAGCGGAGGAAAGCGCAATTTCCGTAAACAAATTTTTGAGTCCACATAGATGACCGAAAATTTAAGGAATTGCGTCTGGTGATATTTCACGATTTCAAACGTTTCACATGGACTCCCTGAGGTGTACATTTGCTCCCGAAGAAGAAACATGTAATAGTTGCTATAAACATGTACCATACATACTATGTCACAGAGTATAAACGTGATCAAGGATATATAGCAGGGTGATTAAATCATGCTAGAAGAGAGTGTCTATAGGATTGAGCACACCGAAGAATACTACGTGTGAATGAGAAAAACATATTAATATATTAGTAGATAAGTAAAGGTAAAGGCAGGCAATACACTTAAGTTGTCAATATTCAGATGTATTGTTCTATTGCGAACGGGGTAGATTACGAATCTAACAACCAATAAATACGAAGCAGTCATTAATATCTCGTGGAGTACCATGTAGCTCAACCCCTATCGTGCATTAGTAGGACAGGTAGAGGTATATTTGAAGCATGCGATAGAGGCTGTCAGACCAAACAAGCTAATAAAAGAACCGGCGAGCCAGGGGTCAGCAGCCACTAAGCACGACGCCGGCGTTGCATATCGGCAGCTTTCTCGATACAGATAACAATACCAAAGATATTGTTATCGCCACATTGGCTGGGACCAGCGGTTTCCGTAGCTGTGACAGTGACAGTTTGGCCACTGTAGGTCGTGGACAAAATGGGCGTAGTCGTGAAAGTAGACATGGGCAGGGTGAGTGTTGTCTTCGAAGCGCTCGTGGTGCTTTTTGAGTTAGCCGAGGAGCTGCCAGAGGATGAAGTCTGCAACGCCGTAGACGTAGGGGAAGAAGAAGAGCTTGAGCTCGAAGTCGCCGAAGAGGTAGAGCTCGACGACGATGGGCTGGAGGAGGCCGAACTGCTAGAGGATTTAGGAGTAGAAGAGGCCGAGGTTGAGGAAGTAGAAGAGGAAGTGGAAGTGGAAGTGGCCGAGCTAGAAGACGAAGTAGCGGACGTAGTCGAGTCGGAGCTCGTGGAGGAAGTAGAACGGCTGGACGAAGAAAGAGCATCAGGAGAAAGAGTGGTATAGGCTGTAACAGTAGCGGTAGCAAAAGGCAGCGACATATCGGTAGCCTGGGCGGACACCGAAGCGGCGGCCAGCGCGCCAGCGAGGAGCAGTTTACCGAACAACATTATGGCGAGAGATAGATGGGAGAGGGGAGACTGGAGAATTTATCGCGATCAACATGCCGAAGAATGTGCCCTAATAACGTGCGCACGTTCGTGGACAAGCGTGCGCAGAAAGCCCGCATGTAAATAGTGAACGAATACAGCCAATCAAGTAAACGACGAAATGACGACAAGACATCAGTGTCCAACATTTGCGCTATATCACCCCAAACTCATATGCATAAAGTGGAAACATAGGCAAGATAAGAGATCTAATTTCTATCTCGCAACCTAAAGAAAACCATGAAAGTACTTGAGCAAGGACGCTCAAGAAATTACCAACCAAGATAGTAAATGAGAGTCTCATTAAGTGCATGAAAAAAGACATGTAGTCACTTAGAGGATACTGTTGTTGCTGCCAATCGGGCCGACAGAGTTGTTGCTGCCAAGGCCGCCGACGGAGTTGTTGCTGCCAGTACCGCCAACAGAGTTGTTGTTACCGGCACCACCAAAGTGGTTGCCGTTGCCGGAGTTGCTAATGCAGATGCCGAAACCAAAGACATCGTTGTTACCGCAGCTCATGCCATTGACCTGTTGAGTAGCAGTGACGGTAACAACAGCGCCGCTCACAGTGGCAGTGACGGTAGTCGGGGCCGCGGTGGGGGCAGTGCTGGTGCTAGTCGACACCGAAGCGGCAGTGGCCGAAGAAGAAGAAGACGACG